CATTTGGGATTTGAATGAAATTCAATTGGTTCAGAGAGAACATCAATAAAACGGTGATTAGTCAGCAAATCACACCTGTACACTTTCCCAAAAGTCACCAAGAAACATCAGCACGCACAAATGAAGAACATCCATCAAAAGTACAAGTTGCATTGAAAAGGTATCCATCCATATTCTTTATTCATAAAACCACCAATATCATCAAGCCCGCTTCTCTCCTTTCGTTTCCTGAACACCAGCCCATATCAAAGTCCAAATAAAATAAACTCTCATCCCATATGGTATTCCAAAATTCGCCTCCCCTTTTCCTAGCACGTCACGATGACCTTTTTCTGCATCTTCAATCACCCAAGTACATCTTGCATCTCTCACATAACAGTGCAAGGAATAGGAATACAACAGCATTCATAACCATCACACTCTATGCACTTTGTCTTTCCAGTTGTGTTTGTGCCCTTCACGATATCAGAGATAGTAGACGAGGCTGCGGAGCCAGGACCGTTGCGGTTGACGAGACCGGTGGAGGTTGAGGTACACATTTTGAGTTGTGTTTGAGTGGTTTGAGTGAGGTTGATGTGGTGTTGAGTGGTGCTGAGGTCTGCAGTGAAAAAGTTGTTAGTTTCTGATTCTGGTTGTTTATGGTGCTGTGCGGGCTCGATTGGTGTAGACTTGAGCTTGGAATGGCTGTGTCGTCATATTTGTGGCACCGCCATGATATCGTACCCACAGTAAGAAGTACGGAGAGTAGCTTGTAACTTACAATAGCTTTTTTTTTGATAGTTGTTGGTAAATTCAACTGAGAGTAGTTTCTGTTTCTCTGAATGTGTTTGATGCCAGAGGGAAAGTGTCAAGGAGGAAGTGAATGATAATATATAGAGAATTCTAGACGTGGCTTAATACAAAGAAAGTTGTTACGCATCAATCTTGGAAGCTTGGAACTCGCCTAGTAATTGGCTGATCGTCATTTTGGACGATGTAATAGCGGAGGCACAATTTAGCGGAACAATCATTATGACTTTTCATCAAACTTGGTTAAGCTTCGAGATTCATGGATTTAATAATTAATTATAGATTGCCATATGGCATTAAAGACTATTAGACACCTAGGGTGTAATCGGTCGCGCCAACCAGGTGTTAAAATAGCAACCAAATGATTGTAGATCTCACACTCCATGCTGATCTCTTTTCTTTGTTATACGGTGGAGCTTGGGTCCAACAAGAATACCAAGCCGCATAGCCATTAAGATCGACTGATAGATGCTAGAAATGGTATAGCCGATGAAGCAATGGCTAAGCCTTGCCAGTGATGTACCGGTCCTTCGATGAATTTCGGTAGAGTGATGACACTCTATCAGATGCCTCATCCAATAATATTTTCTCTGCGTGTGGCAGTAAAAGATGGATGCATACCACCAGACGGCACCTACTCAAGTCCATACGATATTTCGAATCGTCTGCACAGCCATCTTTCAGCCAAATTCCAGGTCCAACTGTTCCCAAACGTCTTTCCCTTCATCCTCCGTTATATTCTCGTGTGTTTGAGTAGTAGCAATATCATCATCTGCTAGTTTGATCTGACCGAATCCCTCTAACATTCCTTCCACTTTCTCTTTCATTTGCATGATACCCTCGGTCTCTGCTCTCGATTTCTCCAATTGGTCGTGCATCATTAAAATCAATGATTCTCGTGCTTGGTATGGTCGATATTCGTTCAGGAGATGGTGGAAGTTGGCGAACAGGGTATGCAAATCCTCTATCTTTTCATGGCTCTATAGATGTCTAAATTAGTATTTTGTTTGGTGTAAAGTAGAAATGATTGCTCATACCTGTTCTGGATGGATACTCATTATACCAACCAGTTCTAGGAAATTCAATAGTAATGACTTTGCGAAACGTTTAAGAATCAACTTGCGATCCTCATGCTTTGCGCTTCCTGTTGGTGTGCCGGGTGGTGTATATAGCTGTTCAACGCCCTCAAGAGGAGGAATATCATTTTCGATCTGCCATAAAATGTCAGTATGACAAAGCCCAACAGCTAGCAGCATTCAACATACTGTTTGGACCTGTCCGAATGTTCTGTAGACTCCAGTTGCTGGTGGTTCTGGCGGTTGAAGATATCTCAATCCGGTAGGAAGATCAGGAATGCGGGGAGGAAGTTTGTAGGTTGAATTATCGGCGATCTTGTAGCTTGAAAATTTCTCAGCGCGTAGTTTCTCTATTCGTTCTATATTTTCGGGTGTAAATTGCTTCCAAAATAATGGTGGTCCTGGAGGAACCTGTGCGATCGAGTTTGGCTGTAGTTGCTGTTGATCTGCCATTGCTTTACCTAATAGAGTTTGTCATCCCCTAGAATTGTGGTTTCCAGTCAAATTTGTAATGGGTTGAGCTCGCCCAATGTCTGGTAGTTGTCGCAACATAAATACTTTGTTCTGAAAACATGGTGGATGAGAGTGGTAATCGTAGATTAGATTGACCTTGGTGCCGAAGATCTACCGACACTGTGGAAGAGGGTTTGTCATCGGTACAAGTACATCTTCAGTCAAACTTTCTAATTCATAAACCCCAAACCACATTTTCTGGTAGGATTCTTGGATTCACTATATATGCTTATTCAATGAGGAGAACCTGACTTCTACCACTGCGCTGTGTCGCAAGAATGTCTCGAATCGGACGGAATAATGGAGGGTTAACCTCGAAACCTGGATGGATTGGTGCAGTAGCACGCTCTTGGGAGGTAAAACTATTCAAACATATGTATATGTAACCACCTAAAATTCTATTATAGAAAAGCTATGCGCCAGATTATCTTGGTTTTGTATTGCTATTGACGGCATACATCTTGGTAACTTTCCTAATCCATCTCCGCCTCTATTATACATGTACAAGTTCTAATCAATTCCCTTCTGTTCAGATCGAATTTCTTCAAGAGCCGTTCCACCGCATGTTCTTTATCAACAACATCAATATTCAATATCCACATGCCTTAGTGGAAAGAGTATCTGTTTGGTGGAATCTGATTTATGCAGGAGCCGTTCCATGCATAACTTTAGCCCTCTGGTTGGGGATTTCCAGGGCGAACCTTCATAAATGCCATATCACCATGCTTGGGTTTCTCATTGGGTTGGTTCTTACATCATTCATTACAGATGTCATCAAAAATGCTGTTGGGAGACCTCGACCCGATCTAATCTCGCGCTGCAAACCTGCACCAGGAACACCAGAAAATAAGCTAGTGACCATAGATGTATGCACGGAAAGAGATCACCATACGTTGCATGACGGGTGGAGAAGTTTTCCTTCGGGCCATTCTTCATTTGCATTTGCTGGACTTGGATACCTCGCATTTTTCTTCGCTGGACAAACACATGTCTTTAGACCTAGGACTGACCTTGGAAGGGTACTCTTAGCTCTTGCTCCTTTGCTTGGAGCTGCCATGATTGCGATAAGTCGATGTGAAGATTATCGGTAAGCTGGATTGCCATCGAGTTCCAATGAAAAGTACTAACACTATCATAGTCACGATGTATATGATGTTACATGTGGATCCATTCTCGGCATTTCTCTCGCATATTTCTCATACAGAAGGTATTTTCCAAGGCTACATTCATCTAAATGTCATGAGCCTTACCCGTCACGGGAAGCTGTATTCAACCAAGGGTTTGGAAAGATTAAGAACGACGAAGAGACAGAAGTAGGGAGGGCCATAGAGTCTGATATATCAGACAACGAGAGTGATGCATCCTAAATTTTTGAAAATTATATCATCATCGAAGCGAATTTCCATGTCGGACATATTTCCCTGTTCTTGAGCCTATGGATTGTCTGACTTTGATCTACGATTTACCGCATTTGGGGAATAAGTGACTCCCTTTCACTCTCTTTGTGTGTTTTGAACAATTCTTCGAGAAGACTCGTGGAAACCTTTGAGGTCATTATGGCTGTAATTTTCCTTTGTCTCATGGATCTTGATTTCACCCAAAAAATTATATGATTCCTCTGCTATATCCGTCCTAAATTTAATTCATATTTTTACTACTTTAATTTTTGATTTCTAGTTTCTATCCGGAAATTGATGAGAAATGCCATATTCTCTGTTTCAGTAGTACGGCAATATTGAAAGCACGCTTAAAGACTCGGTTTGTACTATGCAAGTCTTCTTCGAATGCCTAAGAGATCATTTGACCTATCCTCTTCAAGCCGCGCATCACTTGTGAACTAGAAACAACATGGCCGACGCCCCTCCTCCGGACGGGCGTGGCCAATTGCCAGCTCTAACTGAACTGAAGAAACGTCAGCAAAGAAGACCCAAACGCCGTTCCAAGGTGCTGCTAAATCATCTCCTATTGCTATTTGCCGCTGGAGCATCTACCATATATCGGGAGTGGCTCACTTCACCACTCAATGCTCTATTGGCGTGGGCAGGCGGAATAATATTTTATCATCAAGCCTACTGGCTGGCCAACATTCGCCCATTTAAAGAAGTACAGAAATGTAGTGCAACATTGAAGGATGCAAAGGATTGGAGGCTAGGTTATTACTTTCGAGAGGTCAGCAACGATAAATGGTGGTTATATATGGCTTGCCTAGGAAATGAAGATGGTTGGTCAAGGGGCGCTGGGATGGTTCAGTTAGTAAACACAACCTTTGATTACTTGACAATACTAAAAGTTAAAGGACTTTATCTACCGGTCCATTGCTATACTATCCATCATTTCGATACCACATTGGTACTGGGTACAGTTGATGTTACTGTTGGTATATGTTAGTTGAGGAACATTTCCCTGATTATCATATGATTATCGTCTAATAAGGTGCCTATAGGTAATCGGCATATTTTGCAGGCTTTTACTGCTATCTGTAAGTAACTATATCCATTCTTCGTTATCCTATTTGAAACTTACAATATTGAAAAGTTTGAGCAAGAACTCTCTGAATGGACATTGGTTCCAATGGTATTTTCCGCGGGTGCGGTCGTCAACAATATCGTTTACGCAGTCCTCGCTTTTTGTGTTGACCCGTTTGTCTTATTTCTCAACTCCGCAGTAAACTCGATGTTAAAAGTTTGCTTGACTGCTATTGGCTGCATCAACTTTTTTCCGTCGATTTTGTGGTATTGGTTCCAATTTATTGGCCTTCCGACTTTCTATATATTCTATGTCCAAGAGTGGATACCTATACGTGCTGCATCAATATTTATTGCGCGCCGGGACAGGCTTGCTGCTGTTGGACGTGATTGGGAAGACAATCGAGATCAACAAGACATGGAAGAATTGGAACTTATTTGGCCCTGGCTAGCAGGAAGAATCAAACATAATTGTTTCAAGCTTGCGAAAATAATTGTCAAAATTCTGGATCTTATAGCTATAGGTTTAGACGAGTGCTATTTCCTTTGGATATTTTGTGGGAACTGCTGGCATATTCCACGGCGAGTCGCCGATCTTACAAAGCGCGAAGTTGCTTTTGAACTACAAATAGATGTTCTTGAACGGCGATTAGCTATTGTTAAGGAGGGCGAAAACAATTACCGGAGGAAATTTGTGCGGCTGCTGGGAATGAGGATGGATTGCATAAATGTACATCACGGTTTCAATGATCAAGATCAGATCCTGGGAGAATACGTGAATTAGAGCGACAGAGACGACAGACAGGTGGAATACCACGAACTATTGGCAAAGTACACAACGCAGCGCCAAGCTTCAAGTGCATTGATCTTGGCCGGTGGCCCAGCGAGAACGGTGGAAAAATTGCTTGATGAATCCCTTCATACAAAAGATTTGCACCGTCAACAAATCCAAACTCTGACCGCTTCAGTCGTTGAAAGTGGTGCTGAGATTGCGATACTCAAAGATAAAGTCAAGACATTAGAACGTGACCTCGAAACTGTCAATGAAGGGAAAGCAACATTGTTATGGCGAGATATGGAGAAACAAAATATTGAATTGAGGAAAAGGGCAGAAGAAGAAATCTGGGAACGAGACGTGAAAATTCAGAGGCTACGGGACTATCGAGATGACAATTCTGTAACATCATTGAGTTTGGATTCAAAAGGACAACAGATTTTGAGAAGACTGCGAGAAGAATTAATGAAGGCGGAGGATAAACTTGCCCACTCCGAAATGATAATTGCTAAACTGAAGAATAATGAAGCTAGAATTGACGAAATTAGGAAACAGATCAAGAGGGAAGCATTATACGGGGCATCAGAGCGAATGGGAGAGCTTTACATGAATGCTGCTATTCAGGTTGATGAGTTATCTGAAAAGCTAAAGAGATTCGAACACCTTACTGACCCGGAGCATGATATCGAGGCTGTTCAACGTAATTGTAACGAGGAAAAAGGGAAATTACGACACGAAATTGCCGATAAAACCTCCCAAATATCTACATTTAAAGCGCAAATTGACCATGCAATGGGTTGCTTGGATTGGACTCACAATAAGTTTGAGCCTCTGGACAAATACTTGGGCTTTGTGCCTGGAGCAAAAGAGCAGATAAGACGTTTAGTAATTGAACTTCGGCGTTTTCATTTTCTCAGTGAAGTTCATCAAGGACCCGAAACAACAGAACACCTACGTGTTTTGGAAGATTTGGCCCGTGAAAGAGATCGTGTGTCAGATCAAAGGCAGGATCTGCGAGTAATGTGTGATGAGCTCTTGCATGAAAGACTGCGGAATGAGACAGAGTTGGAAGTGCTAAGAGATCGAGAAGCTCGGAGGAACACACAGGTAACTAATCTGCAGAAGCGAAACAGGGAACTCCAGGTTCAACTCATGGAAGCACAAGCGGCTGTGCCTCCAGCTGACCCACCAGATATTACAGAAATAACAGCTCCTATAGCAGAGATTTTTAGAACGAATCTTTTAGCTCTAGAAATGGAGATTCGGAGGAGGGGTATAGAAATTCAAGATGCCGTAGGGATTCCGGGTGTTGATGGTTTACCGAGAGTTGAAAAGAGAGAGAAATTTCTATGTTAAGAATTTTCGAAGGGCATAGAGAAAGATTTGACGAACTATCAGGGCTAGTTAGAGCAAGTAGACCTATATGGCTAGGAGCGGCAGATGATTGGGTTGATGATGATTCAAACAACAGTCCGGAGAATCTGGAAGCGCGCAGCCTAAACCGAATATTAAGAATTCAAGACCTTTGGGACTATATTGGAACATTACATTACGACACTATTCTTTTCCTCCGCGAATTCTGCACAAGAAGAATTGGAATAGTACCAGGTGTCGAAGCACCCGAACCGCCCCAGCCTCCGCCACCTGTACCTTCCCCAACTCCTCCTCCCCGAACTCTCCCTCCACCAGCTCTTCCCCCCAGGGATAGAGATCTATTTCCAGCACAATTTACACGCTATAAGTTGTTCGATATTCAAAGATGGAATGTCTTTCCGCTGTTTTATGAAGAAGTAGATTCTTCGCTCAGTGTCCTGGATGCTCTGCAAGGATCCATTCAGGCACAACTACCGAACTATTATGCAGAGAAGATTTTCCCCGGCGCGTTCCTCGGTAAGTTGCTGCGTGTGGTTGGCACCGATGGATCCATGGACAACCCGGTTAACGAGCGTGATGTAGCTGAAACCTTATACAGGCTTAACCATTCATTTGTTTTGAAAACTGTTACACAGTTTCCACTACAAAATGGGGGCTTCAGATATTTATCTCGAGAGATCATGTATCCAGATACGCTGGACGTGCCTCCACCGAGACAGATAGTCGTATTGTATTTGTCTGGTAATCTCTGGCAAGGTATGAGCTTGCAAGCACAGTCACCCCCGAGTCTGAGGAAGGATCTGACGGTGAATCTGGTGAAGAGTCTCCTCTTCCCGATCTTGTTCTACCCAAATTGGTAGAATTCAACATAGCAGAGTGGAAATTAGGTCACTTACGTGAAAGCTGGATGAGACCCGGACATGTCACTATGCGTGAAAATTTGTCTCCGATTTGTGCAGTTGCACTGTCCTTTCATTTGCAGTATCCAGGCATACTACCCCGTCATTTGAATGGAGCAGAGGCCTATGAAAATATGTATGAAAGATTTATGAGAGTCCTCCCACATGCTAATAGGGACTATTCGCCGTTGCATATTCAAGTGGTATTAGAAGATATACCAGGAAATCAACATAACAGACCACACTACCGACTCGCAGTCGTCAAGTGCTACGAATTAGCCGTTGGAGATGTAAGATATTTCTCCAGGAATCTAGGTGGTGATTCACAGAGTCCCGTGCTTTATGTATTCAGTGAGCCCGACGGCAAATTGCATGCAATGCGGAGGAGGCGGGATGGTGATTCTGAAGACATGCTTGCGGATTTAGACTGGATTCAGGATTTTCAGCAACCATCTCCGGATCTTCCTCAAGCTCATACACCAGCTCATACACCAGCTCAACCAGTTGATGTGGTACCACCGGCTGATTCTGTACCCGCTTTCATGAGAAGAGATGAAGATTATGGAAGAAACGTCATCAGAGCGCCATTTCATAGGGATGGTTGGTATTTTGACGTCAATATATCTCATCTAAACGAAGGACTGACAAAGCGTCATATGAACTGGATACATAACTGCGGCCCACAAGCATTGTATTATTCAATGGAAAATCAAGTTAATCTTGGGAATTTATTTTGGGGAGAATTTTTTCAAATATTTGAAGAAGCTTTTCCCCGTCACTACAATGCCTGGGAGGGAGAAGAGCTTGCTAGATTGTTAAAATGGCACCCACGACTTGGAGGATTTACACTTGGTATTGTCCATGGTGTTGTTTTTGGTGAGGATGCAATCATGATTGATACTTGGTCCCAACCGGAGGGCTATGATCCTGAACATGACCAGATAGTATATGTTGCCTCAATTACGGACGTGCGATTCCAACCCGTAGCCGGTCGACCGGATCATAGGAATCACTGGGTAGGTATGAGCTATCCCGCAGGTGAAGCAGCGCCGCCGCCTCCTCCATTACATACGACTCGACCAACCGTACCTCCTCCAGCACCTCCTAGATCAGTTTTTAGGCCCTTGTTAGACGCACAGGCCAGCGTACGAAGGAATAATAATGATACTGCACCCAGAAATAATAAGACTGCTTGGTTTGATTTCGATACTAGGGAAAGTTTCGCATCTAGGACTGGTCAGATATGGGTACCACCACCTCTGCCTCCCGGGCCTCCTGTAGCTACACATGCCGTGCAATCAGCAACGTGGCAAGGCGTGAATGCCGCAGCAGCAGCGTTTCAACTGGTCCAACCAGCCGCGGCTAACACACAGCAAGCACAGCAACAAGTTGGTACTGCAATGCAACCGCAACAGCAGCCAGGCTTGAATCCCGCTGCAGCAATGTTTCAACAGGGTCAGCCAGCAGCTGCTAACGCACAGCAACCACAGCAACAACTAAATCAAGCAGGCTTCGGCACGAATGCGATCACTATTAACGATCAGCTGGAAATTGCACGTCAACTCGAGAAGAACAGGGTCGTGGCGGCGGCAATGAGGAGGGGAAGAGGTACGCAGCCGAGGATCCTAGGAGAGAGGCCGCATGGAATTGAGGGGAGGGAAGGAAGGAACGGGAAGAGGAAGGGAAGGAAGAGGGACTGAGAGGATATGGACCGAGGGGGAAGGAGAGGAAGGAAAGAAAGGAAGGAGGGAGGAGAGGGAAGGAGGGAAGGAAGGAATGGAGGAAGGAGGAAGGGAAGGAATGGAAGGAATGGAAATGGAATGGAAGGATGGAATGGATGGATAATGGAGTTTTGTTTGTTGTACTGCTTGAACAAAGATAGGATTTGGGCTAGGGCGAGATAAACATCCCGAGGGGGTATTTGGACGGATACTTAGGATGCTCGAAAATCAGAAATCGAAAGAAGAGATTGGAGAGTTATGTTTTTTGTTGTTCTTATTGATTCAGTACCATTACTTAAGCAATGATGACTTTGTTCGAGGAGTGTAGCGAGGAAAACGTTTTGAAAGGTAATATGAGATACTATTTTGGTCGAGTTTATCCTGAGAATAAAAGAAGTGTAGATGCTTTGCTCAAGATCCTTTGTTATTACATTCGGATTATATCATTTTAAACAGATTATAGACTCTGCAGATATAAACAAATTAGCCTTGCAATACTGAAGAATTGACTTTTGCATGATTAAGGCATAGAAGGAGTTGGGACAAGTTTCGCGTCTATAGATCGATCCACTTTGGTTACTATACCGAAATTAATCTTCAGTTAATCTAGGGCTTGGTACCCTCGAGCATTTTTAGTATTTCTTTTATCTGGTCATTTTGTTCGCGCTCCCAAGCCTAACAATGCAAGTGTTCCATAACAGCCTTCGTGGATGTCACAATAATTAACGTATTGCTCTACATCAACTCATCTGTGTCTTATCTTTCTTATGTAATAATGCGATGACCTAAGGTTCTCAATCACACTAAGATATTTGTGGTTGATTTCAAATATCTTTCAACCATTGGACAAAATCAAAAGTTTACAGATATGGAAATGGTGAAAGCCAGCATATAAATTCGGTTTCAGTTCAGGGGCTCTGATACTCAAGCGAGATAAGCCAAAACCCGCATTCCTCCTTTTACCCCGCATTTTCCCATGCAGTCGACGAAATATTGGAAGAAAAGCTCCCGACCAATCAAAAACATCAATTGAAAATCCATACGTCAACTTAACATAACTATTCAGAATTCACATCAACTCAATAATGTTGCACTACATTGATTTCTACTTCTACGTCACCTCTCAATGAACTATTTTGCCAATGAGAGTATTGCCATTAGAAATCCATACGTAACTAAACTTATTCGTGACAACCCTGACTTCGCATCTAACAACAATCCCAATACTTAAACCATTCGTTCTCTCCTGCTCATCCATCTCACTATCACGTACTAAGTACTTCTACCCAAATGACCATTCTCACAAGAGCAATTGGCTCTTCAGCACGTTCCAATCTAATATTCTCTTCAATCAAACGAAATACTATCGTAACACGCGCAACAATGACTACCATCACCGACGCAATTCTTTTAAGGATCATCAAGAGATCAGGGAATACGCTGATAAGGTCCGTCAGGCTCCCGATGATGATACTCGAGGACGCTGGCAAAACCAATTTATGGGAATTGGCCCGTCATTCTATCGGAGAGGAATTGGTAGTTTATCCTGCTTTTGCAAAGCATCTTGGTATGCAAGGTCAAAAGATGGCTGATAATGATCGTGCTGAACATCAAACCGTATGTTCAATCATTTCTTTCGAGCGATGCAATTGTGAAACAGAAAATTTAGTTAACTAACAGCAAAACCATAGGTCAAAGAAGCACTTTACAAATTCCAAAATCTCAAACCCTCCGACGCAGACTTAATCCCCACACTCGACGATTTATGAAGAACCTCAATGAACACATCAAAGGTGAAGAAGCCGATGATCTTAGGTACTTACAGTTCAACTATGCCACGAATTCATTACTTAAGTTTGAATCGAGGGGTATGCTTCTTCGCTACATCCAACAGAGCATGAGAGTGACAATCACCTGTTTTGGAATATATTGCTTTCCATAAACGAAGAGTATGGGCCTAGGTAAGTGATTGATCAAGTCCTAGCTGGCCAAGGCGTTTGTTACCTAAGGATATGGAAACTATGAAAACTGACCTCACAAATTGTAGTGAAAAATTGGCTAAATCAACAATGTCGTCAATTTTACCTCAGAATGATGGCGCAAGAAGAATTCTACTGTTCCTTCTAGTGGGTTTCTAATTCGGGATGCATACTAACCTTACATAAAGGAAATCAATGTTCCACTACCAACCCACGAGTGTGTGCACATAAAGTCAAAAAGCAAAGTTGCGATTGGGCACAACCAGATGAACTAAACTTCAGATTCATGATATTTCGTCTGTAATCCCTGAGTGCATGAAACTTGGCAGCATAGGTAACGGTATTGAAACGCACGGCGTTCATCTAGAAAGGTTGTTTCGCCAATATCGATCACGTGAATATAACCTAGAACGGATCCCTTCCTAATCGGGTTTCTATCGCGAAAGAAAAGGTTTGACAGAAACTCTTCTTGGCCTCATCTTTTCAATCTAATCATCCCCAGAATACGGGTGATCTACATCATCGTACTAGCACATCAGATAGATTAATGCTTATCATCAGCCACAATATGCATACGGACGTTTCTACTCGGCACGTCGCATCTCCATTCGTTGAGTTGCCCAAGAATGGAAATGTCAAAAAGCTAAAGATGATCTGTTGTAGCGTTTGACCCGAAGGATTGAAGAAAGTTTATAAGATGCCCATTTCCCATTGAATTCTCCATCACTCATCTGTCATTCAATCTTTAGTCTTTCATTCAATACCGACAATAGCTTCATTGTTTATCACTCTTTTACAATCAAAATGCATTCATCTTCTATTCTTTTAGGCCTATGCCTTTCAACCTCAGCATCAGCTCTGTTCGGTTCTAGTAGTGGCCTCGGCCGTGGCAGCGGTCTTGGCGCTGGTAGTGGTCTTGCTGGTCTTTTTGGTGGTGGTCTTCTCGGTGGTGGTCTCGGCGGAGGTGCCGGTGGTGGTCTAGACGCTAGTAGTGGTCTCGGTGCAGGTCTGAGTGGTGGTGCTGCTGCTAGTAGTGGTACAGGCGGCACCTGCGTTGGAGCCGGTGCGGTACACATGATAATCGCTCGAGCGAGTACTGAACCCGCAGGAGAGGGGATCATCGGCTCTGTGGCCACCAAGGTTAAAGCCGGACTCCCAGGTTCCGACTCGGAAGCAGTGGTATATCCAGCTACACTAGGTCAATATCAAACCTCACAAGCAGCTGGTGTAACCGCCATGAAGAAACTCGTGCAAGATTACGCTGCGAGATGTCCCGACTCTAAGATGGCCGTTATGGGATACTCTCAGGGAGCGCACGTTTCAGCTGATGTCATGTGTGGTTCTTCGGGAATGGGAATCATGGGATCTACTGGTGGTAGTCAAGCTTTGTCTGCGGATGTTGCTGGTAAAGGTATGTTATAATCCACCAGCGTTTCTCTTACCATTTCACTCTGGAGCATTTACTAATAGAAGTCTTAGTCGTTGCAATGGTTCTAATGGGCGATCCAACCCATGTACCCGAAGAAACCTTCAACGCAGGAACATCAAAGAAGAACGGACTGTTTCCCCGTAAAAATATAGCTAGTTGTCCTGCCGAAAAATCAATTTCTTACTGCGACACCGGCGACACGTAAGTTCCCTTTCCTCCCATATCTCTTCATCTTCCCCAAAATCTAACACACTTCCCATAGATTCTGTGACTCAGGCATGTCCGTCCAAGTACATCTCTCATATGTCACGAGATACGGTACCGCAGCTGCCAAATTCATCACGGATAAAGTTTCCAGTCAATCTACCACTACCACTTCCACAACCACTGCACCTTCCACTGGAGATAATAAAACAGAAAAAGCCGCCTCGCCATTCAGTGGTACGGGCTTCGGTTTCAAAGCCAAGCGCGATAGTATTAGTGGTGCTGCGAACTCGAAGAGTGGTGCTGGATGGAGCATTTTGATTGCTTTTGTTGGGTTGGGATTATTGTTGTAGTAGATGATTCGTGCAAGGAATGGAAAATGGAAAGGCGTTATTTGATATCCCAGTTTCTTTTGCGTATTAGTTTAGTTTACTTTGAGGGTTGCTGGGAAATTCAGACAGCTTACGGGGCAGGCTGAATATTGATTTATAGTTTCAGTATTATCAATTTTGTATATAACATATCATACCTATACCAACTTATAAAAAAAGCGCGCTCGCATCTAAATCACTCCATAATAAGAATATCATCCAATTAACAATACATCCATTCATACATAACCCACCCTGGACCCAACCCAGTAATCCATAGAACTAAGGCTACAACCTCAAAACCTCCCATCAAAAAAATTCAGAATTCAAATATCAAATACATCTCACCCATCACATCCAGTAATAAACATCTCAAGAATCTAATCTAAATTCTTATATCTATCTGTATTATTATTGAGTATAAATATTACAAGACTTATTTAAAGACTAAATCTAATTAATAAAAATACTATTTAATATAAGATATTATATTACTTCTACTATAATATAATTTATCTCATATTTTTATATTACTATATATATTAAAATATAAATCATTAAATTTCTTTAAATAAATATATCTCAATCTTTCAACATCATGATTTATAAACCCGTAAACAATACTTATTCCAGCTCAACTCCAAAATCAGTATATCCACCTGTAGATTGTATCGAGGATACATTTATCACACTCAAAAGTAAGTTTAATATACAATTGTACAAGTATCCAGCAAAAAGAAACAACATATTACAAGTACATTACACTATTCGCTCATTAACTAACCATCATCCTCTTGACGCACTCCTTTCATGACTATTTGTCTGCATGATCTACGAACTCTTCAATCGCATCTTTATCTTCATCCTCGTTTTTGCTTCTAGAGACATCGGAGCTTGGCTGGAGAAGACTTTACTTGCACTAGCACTTCCAATCCCGCTATTGTTGGGGATTATTTCACTTCCTACTTTCTTGTCACCAACATCATCGATAAAGACAATATGACGCTCTACCCCTTAATTTTCCTCATTGTCAATTTCCTCATCATTCTTTTGATCAGAAATCGAAGCACCTTGTAAATTTGTGCTATCCTCACCATCAATTGGCACAGAATTCCTTCTCAAGTCCGAACGTGGTGTTCTTGGTCCAGGATGTGGTGGATAATGCATATTGTGATGCGCCTCCCGATGAAGATGCTTCTTCTCTCCATCCTGTAACCTTTTCATCTCCTTTTGTTCTTGTCGGGAAGCCCTGCCTTGACGCCTAGTATATCTATTCAGACTCTCACACAGCCGATCCAATATCCACTCAGTCTCGCTAACATCTGCTAGCATCGGACTATCCTCGCCGATCCAATCCCACTCGACTAATCCCTCATCATCCTCTTCCCTTTCTACATCTTTTGCATTATGCGCACTAAATCTGATTAACCGCGTGAACTCTACCCACTCCTCATAACTATATTTCTTGGGTTTGTCTGCTCGCAAATCATTTGTAACGCGTTTGATAGATGTTGCTAATTTCCGGGCTAGATCATGTTCCGTGTGTTCAGAAGGTTCTTCGACGTCCTCAATGACCTGACCAAGAGAAGTAGATTCGGGGTCTGGCTCGGCTTCATTGCTTATGGATATTTGTCGATCATCTGGGTTTTGCACTTCAAATCCATGACGAATACGCTGTTTAGCTTCTCGTTCTTTAGTCCTCCTGGACAACCATTCGTGTAACTTTGGATGATTCATCAGAAAGTCATGCCAGACTCCTGCCTTGGGCATAATTGTCCAATCTGCAAGTGTAAATGTACCACGATTAATGGCTGCTATGACGGTAGAACTCATATCTGAGATAAGGATTGTCATTGTAGGTATTGCGATCAGAGACCAAACAACAAAGAAGGGCTTTCCAGCGTTCGATTTTGGTGCAAAATCGCCATACCCAATAGTTAGAAGCGACACGTAGCAGAAGTATAAGGCCTCGAAGTATGTCAAATTTTGTTCACGTTTCTCGACTTTCCAGAACACAGTCGCGCCGCCGCACCATAGGATAGAGAAGGCAAAGATGGACATGGACAATGCGTAGTATTGCTTGAATTTTCGGACATTACTCTGGATTTCACGCATAGCATCAAAACGGTCCTTTTCTTCTCGAAGTAAAATTAATTTCTCTCGACGCTTCACACGCGGAGACTTGTTATCCGCCCGTTTTTTGGAGCTTAGGGTCGTGACTTAGAGGAATAGATGAATTGCGTGATCGGCCAGCTCCCCCTCGACCGCCATATGAATGGACCCTTTTTTGATGAAAAGTAATTGTTTGACCTTGAACATCGAAATGACCATATTTCCCAAGCGAAGATCGACGGCCTAGACCTGATTGTGGAGCTTCGGAAGAGTTCTCAACCGTACTACGCCGACGTGTGGGGGATCTAGGGGGGTAATCCGAGACGGTCACGAATTTCCTTCTCATTTGTAACCGAACGACCGAAGGTTTCCTGTTGCTGACGCATTGCATGATGCTTGACAATCTTGTCCTGTGACATACCTGATGCGAACTTGCGCAAACTGTTAATCATAAGACCAAGGAATATGATACCAATGACAGCATATGGGAAAAGAAGGCCCCGGCCTAGATTGTTATTGGGTACGAAATCTCCGAAGCCAACTGTCAGAATTGTGACATCACAGAAGTAAAGAGCATCAGCGTATTTGAAACCACAGACTTTCTGGTAGATGCCAGCTCCACCAGCTAGCCATATGAAGAACATCATGGTTTGTAAGATGAGAGTCCTCTGGTCATCGTCGAGTTCAAAATGTTGTGGATAATGTCCAAGAAAGTAGCCGAGCATGTTTACCATTAGAACTATTGACCCAATCAGATATAATGAAGCTGCCATAACCGCGGACCAAAATCCTTGAGACCAAGTTTGACCTGGGCGAACAGGGGGGGCGTATACATCCATGGCGACTAAGATACCTATAAGCTGTGATACCTGTCAGAATTGAAGTAAATATGACAACAGCTTGAGGCTTACGATGCCAGTAGATATATACCAGAAGATTATCGATAGCGGCAATGCGACAATATACCTGACCCTGCGCATAAAATTTAAGAGCAAGAAGAGGTTCCCGGCGAACCCGCATCCAAGCGAAATAGCATTTAGAATAATTTCCTTAAAATTTTAAATCAGTAACATTCTTGAATTTGGCATATATCTCTCACCACTCTGGATCAGGTATGCCGACTCCATTTTCATCCGCACCGGATGGTAATTGACCATCATCAGGTAAATCAGCTCTCCATTTCGTGACCAGAGCGGAAATGGACAAAACGTTTGCCAAAGGTCCAATCGTCGCAGCAATGAGAGGAAAAGCCGTTGATGCAACCCACCAATCTCTATCGAATCAATGGTTAGTGTGTAAAATTTGGTGAAGAAGATCAAGTAACCGCACTGTGGTAGATCATCTGTCTTTGCTCTAAATTTGTATTTCCCAATTCTGAGTAGGCCAGGTCCCGAGAGTTCGTTATTCGGGGTAATAAAACTGCTATTATTATCGCCGTTGGTCAAAGAGTTGCTATTTTTCACAAGGCCGAGTCCAGAATTGTTGCCCGCCATCGTTATGGCTTAGTGCGCAAGGTCATGATGTACCCTAAGCTTGCTGGTATTGCTTCCCAAATACACTGCGATTGTTAATTTATACCGCGCGTTTTCTTATTGAAAGCCTCGGTATTACACAGCTTGATCGTATTTGTCTCCTTCACAGAAACATCAAAATTCCAGCACTTGACTTGATATGGAGAATGTCTTTGTTCCTCGGCAACTCACTACATGTAAGATCTTACGATGACCTGAATATATGAACCTCTCCGACTTTTAGATCCAATAAGCTCAAAGTAGTAATCGTGTACTATGATTAGTATTGTTAGATTAAAAAAGACGAAGACAAAGATGTAAAAATCGATTCCATTTGGGATGGGAAATTTAGGTTGGTCGCCATCAAGCTGCATGCGAATTGCCGTTTTACATGCAGGCAAGATTACGTAAGCATGGCCAGGATGTGATCTAGATCGTTTATTATATGGATTAGTAAATTAAGAAGACTACCCGGCAATTTGTGTATATATTTTCAACAATGGGAAAAGAGATGTAGATGTAAGAAACCTGTGTGAATAATTAATCTTGAAATACAAGGCTATGGAGTTACTCTTTTTTGGCTGTTCATTATGACCTAAAAATATTAGTCTCTAATACATATAGAACTTGTGCATGATACAAATACAGAGAGCTGTATGGGAAACACCTGCTTGTTCGACTAGATGAAGTGCATGAGGGGAATTGTTTCGATTTTTTTAGAGATATAGATATTATTAGATTTGTTTGAATACCTGGCCAAACTTTAATTAGATGAAATAATTGTATGTGAATAAAGTAGATGATAGGCGTTTGATGGCTTAAAACATCCTGATTGGCGTTTGGTATTTTCTTTTCATGTTCTGAATCTAGATCATGGTACAACAAAGGAAAAGGCGTTCTCATCTGCCCCTATTGCCAATGGCAATGGGATATTAGAGTTTGAAACGAGAGAAAGTAGGGTGAGCAAAGTTGCTTCAACCCCCATGTTCGCTGACATATGAACAGTTTCAGATGTACAAATTTTGCTTTTTTTTTTAATTTTCAACACGACTGACATGTACCCAACGCCTTGCCTTATATGGCCCCAGATTTACTAAAGGAAATAATATTGTCTGAGGAGTTAGAGGCTGAAGACACACTCATTCAGCCTCTTCTCGACCACCCACCCTTTCTACAAGTCTGAGATCATTAGCAACAAGTAAAAAAAGTCTTCGAGCAAGGCAACGTACCGGAATATGCTAACTGCAAAAGTCATTCCCCATGCAATCAATGCTATCATTATTATAGCACAGAGCGTCTTAGCTCTATGGCAAACCACGCCATTATACCCCGTGTTTCCGACTTTGCAGCTTCCGTTGCTGTCTGATATCGCATCAAATGCTAGGGTCAAATTAGAAGCCTCAAGAATAATGAAAAAAAGATCTAAAAGAACGAGTCGGATCTTGGCTTTCGGTGCCCGAAGGCCTAAAGGTTTGCCTGTATATTCATCCCAAGTCATGTAGAGAGTATACGGGATAGCAATTACATCTACAACAATTGCCATAGTTGTAGATGGACTTTGAGAATATGAATATTTATTCGAAAGATGATGAACTGAGGCTGCGATGCTCAAGGCGATGATAGAAGTTATAAGCACAATAAGTCGAAAAATAAGGGGAACATAAGGATTCATGAGAATAGTTTGCTAGGTAACGTCAGCTGATCATCCAAGACAAAGTTTTGGGCGTGGAACCTACCTGCACGCGTTTTACAAAAGTTTCCCGTTTCTTTTTTGTTGTATATGAGAGATGTGATATTATCGTCATCATCACCTTCTCCTTTCTCCAAATCCCCGCACCATGGTCTATCGTAGCCAGGGGTTAGATTGTTTAAAAAGTCATGGTCAACCAGCGTGTGTTCCTCTCCTTCCGATGCACCATACTCAGATGCTTTGACAAAATTTCGCCATACGGCAGCATTCGATTGTACCCCAGATCTTACAATAACAGGTTCCGCATCTCTAGCATGATCCCATTTCCTTCCTCTGACCGGTTCGCGCAAGCCACCAAAGAAACCTGTCTCTACTTTCTTATCGCTTATGGCATTGTATGTATCATCATCGGAATCAACATATCCATCGAGAGAAATTCTTCGTGTTGATTGAGTTGGAATAAAATCATGCTGTACTGGATGTATTCTTGAAGGGGTGGGAACCCTTTTCGGTGGTGACCGTGTTGGGTCATTGTCGTCTTCATACGAGCTTATCCAAGCTTTTGAAAGGTAAGTGCAGGTCGAGGATTTGACTGTGGACCAATAACTTACCAGGAAGTGAACGAGCTTCTCTTTGAGCTGCGCGATTTTGGGCTTGTGTGGCACTTGTCGAATGTGTGTTTTGCGTACTGTAGGTCTTATGAGACGAGGACGAGTGGGCTTTCGGTCGACTGGCATGCTGAGAACCAGCTCTTTTTTTGCCTTTCATGGCAGCATTCTCAGATGAACCGATGCTCGCAGAATCCGAGAATTGGCGTGGCACTGTAAGGGAATCATGTTGAAAATTATTGTATGCCTCCAGCGGTAGTCCCAGCCCAAGTGTGGTCCGTGGCAATCTGTCTGATGTTGCCATAATACTAGGATATCCCCCGATATCGTGTGTCGCGGTCGCAAGTCGCAGTTCCAGTCCCAGTCGCAGTCCCAATCGCAGAATAAGTTGTTAAATGTCTGACACTTCTTGTATTCTTCCAACACGCGATGGAGCAACCCTGAACGACGCTTCAATCGCGGTCGACCCCTCTCCTATTCCTGCATTGTACCCTTCCCTAAATAAAAGTAAGGAATAAAAAAAAGTAGTCGAGTTGGAGTTAGAGTTGGCGTTAGACTTAGTTATGAAACAAAAGATTATAAAGAAGGGAATTGATGTAAATGGAATTGGAAATGGATTGAAGTAACGAGTGTATGAATTGAAATTGAAGGATGAGAAAGAATTGGGGAAAGAGGATGATTTATTTTTGACATTTGTTTGTTTCGCGGTTGCGGGTTGCTTAAGATTAGGTACCTAGTAGCCTGGTAGTAGGCAGAGTTGAGTGGGTTTAGTTCTGAACCAAAAGATTAAATGATCTACGGAGGACCACTGAAGCAACATTAACCCCCATTAAACGACAAGACTACTACGGAGTATCGACGGGATTCATTATATTTATTACTATTACCATGAACACCAAAAGAAAAGAATGGGCCATGCACCGTGGACCATGGACATGGACCATGGCCGTGGACCATACCGTGGGCTCTGGCAACGGGCTTAGCAACGCGCACAAGACAAGGTTTATCATATGAACATGGGATTTCCTCTGCTCATTTATGGGATTTTTAAGGTCATTTTAAGGTCTAACCAGGATGATATCCAACTGCATATGTATGGGATCTTTTCATCCACCCAGAGATCCCAAATGCGACCTTGGTAGGTAGATACCCAGACAGTACATGTCGACCTAACCTATCGGAGAGTATCAATACCTGGGGGCAGTTGAATAGAATCTTCTCCCCCACCTAAAGTTTGTTCTTTGCTAACTCCAGGTTCAAGGTTATCTTCATGCGTCATTGTACCTGCGATTGGAAGTTAGGCCTCATGAATCCAGGCAAAAAGGCTCCGAAATTTGGGTTTTCTTCTAGCTCATCCATGTTGTCTATCTAATCAGTTAAAAATAAAGAAAGAAGTCCAGAGCAGAGCAGAACAGAACAGAACATCGCTTCACTTCACATCATACCCATTACACTCAAATACAATTGATGTAGAGTACGATTTTCACGAACAGACAGACCTATAACGAATGACCTTGCACGCATAACGCCTACCGAGTGTACGACGCAATATTTGCCGCGAATGGTATGATTGCATCGACTTTCCATCTAATTTTCTGTCCACGAAGGACGAATAATGCGCCTCTACCTACTTCCCATTTCGACGCGTCGGACCCTAATTTACTGCCAGCGTCTTAATGTTACAACTACAAATAAGGTTTCCTTACTAGATAAGACAACTACAAAGGCGAACAACCTCTGGAATAGTTGGGAGAAGAAAGATTCGGGATGGCAGAAAAAGGTAGTTGAGTTTGGTAACAAGGCTCTGAAGAGGATACCATATGAGGAATGGGGGTTGAAGTCGGTACCTCCCCTGTCTAAACGAAGACAAGAGGAAGGGCTGAGTGATAAAGAGAAGGTCGAGGTCTCATTTCCCTCGACTTTTCTTCCACGAGAGAGAGTTTTGGAAATTTTGGAAATTCTTGGCACAGAAAGAAAACAACTTCACAAGACGAGATTGTGGGGTTCAATCATTGGGATGCCTATAGTTGCTCCCCTTGCGCTTGTGCCTATGTAAGTGCAGCTGCAGCCTCCCCAATATTTTTCAAACGCTAATACCAGCCAGTATCCCGAATTTACCCTTCTTTTATCTATGCTTTCGTGCATACAGTCATTGGAAGGCACTGGCAGGATCTAAACATATTGAATTTCTTCTAAAGCAGAATCTTATTGCAGCGAAGCCATCTAAGATATTAGACGAGTTATATCTGAGGAACAAGGTCCCGTTTCCTGATCCGAGAGATACGACCCCTACAAAGTCATCCAGGTCGAACGTGTCGAATGTTGAGACTATGCTACTTCATGCTTCTGACGGAAAGGAAATTGCAAAGGCATTAGATATACCTGAATTACAAATGGAACTTGATCGAGCTGTATGGCAGGTAGAAAATGATCTTGAAGCTAAAAGAAAGCTGGGGGAGGAAAAAGAACAAATGGGTCGGACCGAGGAGGAGAGCAAGAAAAAGTAGACAAGCTATTGTACATCTGTATCACCGCTGATGTAACATGTCAGTATAAGGAAGGCAGTCTAGATTATAATGAGGCTATGCCATGCCACGAGAAATGACGCATTGTAATCATATAGCGAGCGTATCACGCGCCCCAACGATATATAACAATATAGAATACAAAACAACTATTCACTTCCCCTCATAAAAAGATCGTGTCATAGTACTACTAATCGCCGATCAAGGAAAATAGTTTCTTGGATTTGAACTTTGTAGTTAGATAGACCTTTACCTAATAGAGAAAGAACTAGAAGCTAATTCCGAACTAAAATATCTACCGACAAAGTAGATAAAATCCGCCCACAACTGTGCTTGTAGTCAGCTGCGAGTCGTTCAGCCATTACCCGACCCTTTTAGATTCATTAATATTGTCTACAAGAAAAAATTCTTCAACTTGATCTAATCTCACCTTGAAATATTGCAACAGTTTTCCAGCCTAGTGTGCCGTCCCGATAAGAGATAAAAGCGGCATATCGTTAGATCTAAATACAAGGGTCAGAGTAATCTAATTTCACCTTGGGGTTTTTTAAATATATCACGACAATACACTTCCCTCAACACGATTCTAAAACATGCCCCCACGACGAAGCCGAGAAGACGATACTATCATTGTTAAGGGGGACGACGACGAAGAGTGGGCAGCGCCATCTTCACCAGAATCAATAGGATCGGATATTGATTTCGAACCTAAAAACAAAATGGCCATCGATACACCTCAAGACCTGGAGTCGCCTGAGCCAGAGCAAGCTGATGGAGCTTCGGTCGCAAGTGTCAGTCCAGCAGCTAAACAAAGTAGTAAGACGAAGCCAAAGTACTTGAATCAAATATCGTTCAGAGATCCAGGTTCATCAACAATGGAGGAAAGATTACAAATGATGCCGGCGAAACGTCCTCTACCTTGGAGAGACGGAGTTGAAGCTGGCTCTGAACTCGAAACTGGCGGCGATTCACGCAGGAAGCAAATCAGATTTGGCTGTCTACTTGCGACTCGGGGAAATGAAGTTGAAACTCCTTGCCATTCATGTGCGAATGGTCGAGGCAAGTTCGAATTGTGTATCGCATTGCCAGGATTCTTCAAGGGAGCATGCGCTAGTTGCCAATTGAGTGGCAGACCAAACCGTTGTAGCATCAAGACTAATGAAGATAGTAAGTTTATCTTTGCAACAAACTATCAACAATGTACTAATAAAATGTCTATCTAGTCGAACCCGAAGAATTTCATCCAGAAGATGGACTCCGGTCGTCGCCAGTTGCCGAGGAATCAAGCTCAGATTCACGAAGAGCTTCTGGTTCGGGTTCACGAAAAAATACAGCAAAGGAGACACCGGATCGATCTACTTCAACAACCCGCGCTCAAGAAGACATGAATTCTGGTCCACCAGCAAAGCGAGCCCGAGTCGAAGAGCCAGAAAAGCTACCTCAAACAGGCTGGCAAGAACCTCCTGTAGTAGACACCGGTTTGGGATCTGCAAAGTCGCGCGGAGGACGCCCGCCTCGTTCATCTCTAAATAATGTTACAACCTCGTGGGCTCATGTTAACTCTCCGCATATGGCTACGCGCAACTCGTCTACACCAATTAATACTCGAAATGGCGGTTCCAGGAGGTCTGTTGGCCAAACTCCTTCGGCTGATAAGGAAACAATTGTTAAGGAAACATCTAGAAAACCAAGCAACACACCAAGTACCAATACTCCTCAATCAGCTCCAAGCAGGTCAGCATCCAACGGCTGGGCTTCTGTCAACCAAACTCAGCAAGGATCTCAACCTACTTTCCCCAACCTAGCCAAACCACAAATCCCAAAACCACAACATCAGCAATCCAAGCCGGAGCAGCCGCCGGCGAAGCCAGTGCAGCAGGTTAAACCATCACAAGAGCAATATCAAGCTCAACAGCAGCAGCAAGTTGGACCACCACAGGAGCAATACCAAGCTCAACAGAAGCAGCAAGTTGTACCACCACAGGAGCAATATCAAGCTCAACAGCATCAGCAGCATCAAGTTCAACAGCAGCAGCAGCCACAGCATCAAGTCCAGCAACAGCCACAGCCACAGCATCAAGTTCAACAACAACAACAACAACAACAGCAATACCAACTTCCTCCTCCCCCTCCACCTCCACAAGCCCAGCAACAGCACGGGCGACCTCAACCACAATTTCAAGTCCAACCTAACACTATTCCCCCTAATGCTTTTGGAGGCTTCGTTGATCAGCAAAATGGTAGGATGAGCAACGGATTGGCAACGTCCCAACCTCCGAAAAAAGTCAAACAGCTACCACCTTACCAACCAACCTTTGTTACAACTCCATCTGGACTCTCTTTTGCCTCGGCTCCACTCATCGAGACCTTGCCAAAGCGAAAGCAGCTTCAGCTAATGGGAATCATTAGTGGTCTCCAAGGAGGTATTGATAATATTCAGAGGGAGCTCAATCAGTTGAAGAAGACGCTTGGCGTAGAGGATGATGATAATTGATACGTTGATACGACGGCATTCTGAATTCAAAAGCATTGCGGCGTACAGGGTACATATGTAAAACAACTACCATACTATACCTTAATAGCAATAAAATGTGTGAATTTAGCAATAAGGGCTCTCGGTAAACCAAGCCGACACAAGTGATCTAAACGGGATCCTTAGCAATTAATCAGCTGTAAAGCTGCGGAATTCTTGGAGAGATTTCCAAGCTTTTCGTCTATAAGCTAATTTGGTGAAGGGTCTCTTCTCCTTAAGCGAAAACAGGCGGGATTTGTATAAGGAAACAAACAGTGCTAATACTACGCTTCCCTTTTAGTCAGGATAGAACATCAAATCACATCAGAACAGATTCAACAAAATGAGGTGAATAAATAGACTTGCTAGCTTCCAAATTCACTTTTCAAGATTTCGGAAATGATTGAGAAATTAATTGAGTAACGAACATCAATTTTAAAAAGTCTACCTCCCAATTTTGCCTATTATTTTGTTCATCAAAGACGAAAGTCTAATAATTAGATAACAATCGCGGTATTGAAGCCTAGGTACTAGGTAGGCATAGCGATAAGAGAAAAAATTAAGGTTATCAGTCAATGCCTAACCACCTCCAGCTAGGCATTTGATTTACTCTAGCCCTGCACCATCAACAAAATCTCTCGCCATCGATTCCGCCGCATAGCTAGACCACCTCTTCTAAAATGGAACTTCGCGACCGCGGTATTGCATCTATCAAAACACGATACTCAGCCGACGGACCGGGACTTTGGACGCGACGGGTCCCTGACAACGCGGCAGCTCCCGAAGCTCGCAATCGTTCTGAAACAAATTCGCAATCACCAGAGGGAAGAACAAAACGAAAACGTGAGGTAGATAATATGCGTCCCAGGAGGAATAGGACAGCGGCGTCGAAAATGAGCACGACAAACAGTGCGAGCAGCAACAACGAAGCACAAGTACGAACGAATCAGGATCAGGACAATGCGGAAATAAGGCCGGAAAGTATGAGCGAAGAAAGATCCAATGGAAGAGAACCCAGCCATGGAGATATATCTTCAGATGATGGGAATGATAGGCGCTACTCATTCAGCAACCATAGGAACGAGCCAACCTTCCTCGATCGCATCAAAGTTCTTCCCGAAATGCGCGACCTGCCATGGCGCGAGGGTCAGACATTACCACCGGAAAAATCTACCGAAAGTCAACGCGTCCAACAGAGAGGTGCATGTATGGTAGCCACTAGAGGGAGAATTATGGCAAAACCATGTACGCATTGTGAACAGGGCTACGGGCGATTTTCTCATTGTATTGTGTTGGACGAATGGTTTCAAGGAGCTTGCGCGACTTGTATTTTCACGAGTAAAGGGAATAAGTGCAGTTTGAGAATACAGTATTTGGGTATCTATATCTCTAACTTATCTCCTCCTTGAGAGAGGGCACTTTTACTAACAATCGGATTGCACAATTCTAGGGAATCAAGATGCCAGAGCTTTGAGATATTCGAATACAAGTGACAACTCATCGAAACGAAAAAGATCAGACCTCGAAAAGCCGTCAACTGAGGATGACAATAACATATTCAACAGATTCAATTCGCCCGGCCACTATGTCAGTCCCTATCCACCGCTTCCATCAATACCGAGGCCACCGTTAAGAACCCCAGGATTGAAGGAAGCTCAAGAGGCGGAATTGGATTCTTTGCTACAAGCTCAAATTGCCCGCGAAGAGTTCGATCAAGGCAATATAGATGAAGGAGAGGTAGTTGCAAATAAGCAGCAGGCGCGAGCAACTCCAATAGTAATGCATCGTCCACGATTCTATACCGGTGAACCACATTCAATGAGACAACTTATTCAGCAAGGAGGTCCACCTCCTCCAAACAGACAACTCGCCCAGCCGATAAATAACATCCCGATTGACCAGATAACCAGAAATCCTGCCTCAGCCATCGGTCCTCATATGATGGAGAGATCTCTCATTGGCGAATCTTCGAGGAGCACACAAAGACAATTGTTTACTGTCATAAGTGGAGTTCAAGGGGGACTTCAACAACTTCAAAAGGAATTGAATTCATTAAAGGCAGTTCTTGGGTGGGACATTGAGGATGAAGAACCAGAGGCCAGCCGTCGACAAAGCTCATCGTCACGAAGAAATACTCGATCAGGTCCATGAAACCCCATTAATACGAGAAGAGACATTATTTATTGATTGGTCATACAGGGTCACACATGTAGGGATATAACACGAAGAAACTGTCCACGTTGCTTGTCAAATTTTGCAGATTTGCAATCTACCAAAGTCCACAGTTCCACGATTTGTATTCCCCTCATCAACGGAATCTGGCAGTGGTTAGGCATGATGATTATATCACTAGTTTAGTCTTTTTAGCGAAAAGCACTTAATGCATTGCTTGAAGATAAGTGACCTGTTCTGTACTTATATATTACGAACGAGATACGACAAAAGGGAGGCGAAAAGTCCGAGACGCGTGGAGGTCATGTTAAAGACAACTAAATCCTTGGAAGGTTCTTTGGGAACACAACTGATGGTGCCACCGCACTTTCGGGAAGAAAAGCTGGTATGGAATTAGATGTATGAGCTTTAATAGGCCGTGATTGTGAAGATCTTCAACGGGTGTTATGGCGGAGCATGAGAGCACAGCACAGACTTTATGGGGCAGACAAGCCAGAAGATAAATGGAAAAAGATGCAATTTGCAAAAGAAAATGCGATATGAAAGTACAAAACGCATGTGTCCTATCACAATTTGATATCCATGGTTAAACTGATTGGTTCCTAGCCTAATGAAGTACAACGTTCGCTAGTGGCTTGTGAAGTACCAGGTACGATACATGAAGCCATCCGGCCCCTGGCATGAATGATCTCTGGTTCGGAAACATTACTTACTTTCCTAGTATTGTGTTGATTCTGTTTGCTTTCTTGTCTTATAGACAATATGTTCTCAGCAAAGAGCAATTTGTATGTGATAGTCAAATTGGACACGTTAGTACGTGTTCAAAATAGCCGCATTCGTCTTGATATACTAATCTAGAATATCAATACGCCACAACGCGCCCTGTCAACATTGCAGGTTTTCGGACGAAGAAAATATGATCCCGATGTTCTCATTCCATACACTGGCCTGATTCGCTGGGCAATTATATCGTATGCAGATGATGGCTTCCCACATGCATAACTCTACTCTGTTGAAGTAAGACATGATTGGTAGTCTCGGACTGGGATACGACGGGTATCATTGCATTCGAGTCCATCTTTGCATTTTGAAATGAGCTGTTGTACCACGAGTACTTCCTTTTCCCTAGCTATCTGAGTTTTTCATTTCATTTTAATCTTCTTCTCCTTTCATACTATCGTTTTTGCATCATCACGATCACCACTGTCGCTTTCTCTCCATTTCGTGTTGTCTATCTCACTAGTCATCAAACAAAACATTTAGCAAGCCTCAGTCGTTTACTAAAAATAAATTCGATTCTATCGTTGAAGTCCGATAAGCATCAAAGTCCGGGGAAGTCTTCCATTAATAGCTCTTATCAATCCTGTGGCGTGCATTTTCCACATTCCAGAGCTACTTCAACAAAAGATAGCAAAGCCCAGTCCGGACAGCTACGTAACCATCGAGGCTTCTTTGTCACTGCCGGAAAAAAAGTGTCGAATTCAGAACGTCACGCTCTTGGCTGGTGCTCTAGGTAGAGTGTTCTGTGTATCGCCGAATTCGCAATGCAAAATTTGGAGTTATAGGTTATCCACGTTCATTAGGTAGAATGTCATTCACTACTGATTTATGATCAATTTTCTTGGGGAAAATTCTACAGGAAAATTAATCTATTTGGTTTCGATGAGGAATATTGCATCTAGCTTGGTTTAGCTGGAAATAGCTATAGAGACATCCTGACGGTTGTTATACGGTTCAGAAAATCAAAGTGGGAGAAATTACAAACACAATGTCGCCATTACGAAAAGTATCACTACCTGGAAATGTTGGGATGCCCAATTCCCAACAACCTCTTATGGAAATGATACAAGCTGGCCGATCAGACATGTCATTAGCAGTGGAAGTTAGTACTGGTACATTGAATTCACCTACATCTGCAGCAGATGTTGTACAAACAGATTCGCGGAGGCTCTCGAGTGCTTCACAAATAGAAAAACGTCCATCGGCATTGAGTATGAACCGGAAATCATATTTACCTGTTGTACCCTCACCTCTTAATCCTTCTACTTCCTCGACATCGGTCAATAGCAGTGATGAAACGAAGAGCGGACCAATGGGCGGTACCATGTCACTTAGGGATTCCTCTTCATCAGGCGATTTACCTCTTCCTACTTCCACAACCTCAAGCACCAACACTCAACACAATGGAACAGCAAAAAAGAAAGGAAAAGGTTTAAGTTCTCCGCAACTATTTCTACGGCGGAAATCAGAATTAGCAGGAATGGGTCTACAAATAGGAGATACACGAGTGGGCACACCGAAAGGCTTAAAAGATCTAGGCCATGATTATTCACGATATCCCAGTTCACGCCCGAGTTCCACTTCCGGTCCGTCAGGACCCAACACACCACTGCCCATTTACATAAATCAAGCATCTAGCTCCTCTGATTCCCTTCCCTCGATACCGCGAAACCCCTTCCGCGATTCCACATCTGCGATCGTCGACCCCGAAAATTGGAATTATCCAGATGATCGCATGGGGGCATTCGATCCTTATTTTGGTGGTGAAAAAGGGTTTATACTATATGATGATGAGATTGAAAATGATGATGATTTACACATGCCTCATGAAAATGATGATCGGATTTTTAAACCTACCTGGCATGAATGGTTGGAGAGAAGAAGTTTGATTAATGCTATTGGAGGTGTGTTTATGGTTATTGGGTTGTTGTGTGTTTTTATTTTGTTGCCTGTGTTGACGTTTGCGACGAGGGTTTGGAGCACGGGGAGGGAGGGGAGTGGAAGTGGGTATGTGGATTATGGACCCGCTTGGGCGCATGTTAATAATGTGTGTATGATCTTTTGTCCCTTTGATTTCTCTCTTCCATTTCTACTATTTCTCCCTATCTTTCCTTCTCACACTCTATACCCCATCTCAGATCTTCTCACTGACATCTCTTCCCGCCCAGAATACCTACCCCCTCCTCAAGAACGTACGCACAACCTTAATCGATCCTGACACGCCCCAAACTGCAAGGACCAGACAAAGTACTTTTAATGGAGAGACGCTCAATCTGGTTTTTAGCGATGAATTTAATAAGAATAATCGTACATTTTATCCTGGGGATGATCCTTTTTGGACCGCGCCAAATATTTGGTATGGAGCTACGCAGGATATGGAGTGGTATGGTGAGTTTGAAGATTTCCTCTTTTTTTTTGGTTTGGGAAGCTCAGGATTGAGGGGAGGGCAAGCAGAGATGGAAGTGGAGGAGAGGTTATATGGAGGTGAAATTTGTGGCGGTGGGGTTATTGCGTGCATGAGGGCATGCTTCTCCTAGCTTTTCTCCATGCAAACGCATCCCGCTCTTCTATACTTCCGGTGCCAAAAGCTCATTCCTCCTACACCATACTAATAACTCCATAGATCCCGTCGCCGTCACAACCGGCGGTGGAACCCTCCAACTCCGCATGGACGCCTTCCCAAACCACAACCTCGGCTACCAATCCGGCATGCTAAACTCCTGGAACCAACTTTGTTTCAAAGGTGGCATATTCGAAGTATCCATTTCCCTTCCCGGACCCTCCGGTGTTCCCGGTCTCTGGCCCGGCGTCTGGAGTATGGGGAATCTCGGCCGACCAGGCTACAAAGCAACCACCGAAGGCGTATGGCCTTACACCTATAATTCCTGCGACTATGGAATAACACCCAACCAGAGCTCCCCAGATGGACTTTCCAAGCTTCCCGGCCAAAAATTAAATAGTTGCACATGTAAAGGACAAGATCATCCCACACCAGGAACCGGACGCGGAGCCCCCGAAATCGATGTTTTGGAGGGAAGTGTCGATCCCAATAATCGGATTGGCGTCGTCACACAATCATTCCAAGTGGCGCCTTTTGATATTTGGTATCGACCCAACTATGTCTTTTTACAAATCCCGGAGTACAATACCACGAGTATGAATAGCTATTGCGGGGGACCCTTTCAACAGGCTATTAGTGGAACGACCCTCTTGAACAATGATTGGTACGATGGAAACGCTTATCAGAAATACGCATTCGAATATATACCGGGGACATCTAGCACGGGAAAAATCGCCTGGTTTGTAGGGAATCAGCAAACTTTTATGATGGATGGGAGAGCCATTGGTCAGAATGGTAATGTGGCGGCGAGACAGGTGAGCGAGGAACCCATGAGTATGGTGTTGAATTTGGGGATTAGTGGAGCGTGGAGCGAGATTTTGATGGGGGAGTTGCGGTTTCCAACGACGATGTTTGTGGATTATGTGAGGATTTATCAGAGGGAGGGCGAGGAGAGTGTTACGTGTGATCCAGAGGGGTATGAGACGACGGAGTATATTAGGGAACACCCGGTTGCTTATATGAATCCGAATTTGACGGTATGTTTTTCTCTTTTTTTTGGTTTGGTTGGAGTTTGGCTTTTGTTTTAGCGGGTTAAGGAGGGTGATTTCACATGATTGATGATTTATGTATATATGGACTAACTTCTAACCTTTTCAATAGGCATGGAACGAAACGGGATATGATTGGCCAACCAATAAACTCATGAATGAGTGCTAAGAAGAAATTATTCCCTTCAACCACAAATACAGCTACTTTCATCAAATCCTACATCAACGACCAGACTAACCTCAACCTTCAACTCGCAAGCCATCGAAATCTCAATCCAAAATACTAAATACCAATTATGTAGATATATATCAGACGCTAGCCTAGCCTAGCCAAGCCACATCTACTCATTCATCCACGCATCCTCCCATTCATTCATTCACACCTATCTAGACTCCATCTCTTCCACTCACCCTCTACCAACCATCTCTTCACCATCACCTCACCTCACCAAACATAGCCTCCAACATACATCATACATCATACATCATATCACAAATCACACATACATACACACCACACCCCATAAAACAAGCCCACACACACCACGACACGACACGACATACATACATAGAAACCCCCTATTTTAAAACTATCCCCAGCACATTTCCATCACTATTCCAGCCCCTCTACCGCGCCATACGATACGACGATATGAAAGATCACACACTACCGCTAAATAACCAAAGAATTGCATCGTCATACTGTCACATCACATCACAATACATCCCCTCCCATCCCATGCCTGACATCCCAAGATATCATCACGAGCAAAATATATATCTATCTCTATATATATATCATAAAATCACAAACACAAACACAAACACAAAACCAAGAAAAAAAAAATCCAGAATCACAATATATCCTTCTTCCTGATTTTGAAGTCTAGGTTTAGGTCTAGATATCTGTGTATTGTCGCCTAACAGTCCTAGGTCAAGGTCTAGGTTTGTGGCTTTAGCTTCGGGTCCAAGTCTAGATATCATGGTATTGGGGTTCTGCGGTTCCGGAATACTGATCTAGAGTTAGGTTTAGGTCTGTCTAGAGTCTAGGTTGTATATACGATTGGATGAATGATTTGATGAATGAATAAGTGGATGATGGGATGGCATAGGGAAAGGAGGAGATTAGTTGCACATACATAAACGAATAAGTTGATGAGTTAATACTCTAATGAATGAACCATAGATTCTACACATGCAAATGAATCATTCAACGTAAATTTTTTCATGCATTTGATCAAAAATATCTAGATATACCCTCCACCATTTCATCTCCAAACAGATTCCAGTAATGCTCTCTAGATATCATAACACATAATATCACCCATTATTTTCCCCCATCCCATCCCGTTCATGGCAAAAATCACCATTTTTCTTCGGCTGTCTTTCCTTTTCTCATTCACTTCACACGTCGTTCTTCATGTCAAACTGACAATCCATATAAAAGTAAAAGAAATATCGGAAATCCACCACTATGAAACCCTATGCGCAACATTAGGATATGTATGTAATCGCTCCCAGCAAAAAGACGAGCTCTGGAAATTTAAACTCCGTAAATAAGCAGTAAAAAGCAGAAAAACCAGGTCCTCCCTTGAACCATCCCAAGAAAATTTACCAATCAAGAGGTTCCTTGATCTCCTCACCACGATTTGTTTTTGGTACTGGTGCTGGCTTGACGGCCAATTTTCCATTCTTGCCTCGCTTCAAGTATCCACTTCCATCTAACCATGGTGTTTCTTTTGTCATCTTCTTTTCGAAAGCGGAAATCTTATCTTCCATTTGAAGAGTTAATCCGATATCATCAAGCCCATTGATTAGGCAATGTTTTCTAAATTCCTCAACTTCAAAGCTGCAAATCTTCTTTCCTGATGCATCGTTGATGACTTGATTTGGAAGATCGATTTCAATTTCTTTACCTGCATATGCTTCTGCTGCAATGGCATCTAGATCGGCTTGGTTGGTGATAGGAATCGGAAGCATACCATTCTTGAAAGTGTTGTTGAAGAAGATATCGGCGAATGAAGGAGCGATAATGCACTTGATACCGAAATCAAGAAGTGCCCATGGAGCGTGTTCGCGAGAACTTCCACATCCGAAATTAGGGCCAGTAACAACAAGAACCTTAGCAGCTCTGTATGGCTCTTGGTTAAGAACAAATTCAGGCTTTTCGGTTCCATCTTCATTGAAGCGAAGAGCGTAAAAGAGAGCTGATCCAAGACCAGTTCGTTTAATGGTCTTTAAAAATTGCTTAGGAATGATGGCGTCGGTGTCGGCATTAGCTCTGTCTAATGGTGCTGCAATTCCCTTGTAGATTTGGAATTTTGGAAGACCGGCACTAGAGCGTGCAGCAATTGTGTTGGTGTGTGGGGATTTATCTTCTGGTTGGTCACCAATAATCTCTCGCTCACCATCATCCGTCTCAACACGCTCATCAACATGTGCCTTGCCTTGATAGCTAGTCGGCGATACCTTCTTTGGCTCTGGATTGCTTCCCTCGGTAAACTTTCTCACATCTGTAAGCTTACCAACAATAGCAGAAGCTGCGGCTGAAGCAGGTGAGACCAAATGAGTACGACTTCCAGCACCTTGACGACCCTCGAAATTTCTGTTACTGGTACTGGCGCATCGTTCTTTTGGTGCCAAAATATCAGGATTCATACCGAGGCACATACTGCAACCAGCTTCTCTCCACTCAAAACCAGCATCAATGAAGATCTTGTCAAGACCTTCATCTTCTGCCATACTCTTGACAAGACCTGAACCAGGAACAACCATTGCTCGCTTAATATTGGCAGCAATCTTTTTACCCTTGACGACACCAGCTGCAGCTCGGAGATCCTCAATTCTTGCGTTTGTGCAAGAACCAATGAAAACCTTGTCCAAAACAATCTCTTCCATTGGTGTTCCGGCGGTAAGTCCCATATAATTCAACATCTTGATAGCATTCTCCCTCTTTCCTTTGTCGGTGTAAGATTCTGGATCTGGTACGGAACCAGTGATTGGAACGACATCCTCCGGACTAGTACCCCAAGTAACTGTTGGAGCAACGTCCTTCGCGTCGATAAAGACGTCAATATCGTAATTGGCGTCTTCGTCGGATTGTAAACTCTTCCAGTATGTTGTGGCTCTATTCCATTCCTCAGAACCATACTTTGGTGCAAGTGGTCTATCCTTGAGATATTCGAATGTGATCTCATCTGGTGCAATCATACCCGCTCTAGCACCACCCTCGATAGACATATTACAAATGGACATTCTACCTTCCATACTCAAACTTCGAATAACCGAACCACAAAATTCAATAACTGCGCCGGTACCACCAGCTGTACCAATTCTTCCAATCGCATGTAAGACGACATCCTTTGCGGTAACACCTGGTGCAAGCTCACCGTCTATCTGAATTCTCATATTCTTGCTTCGTTTGGTGATCAAAGTCTGTGTAGCAAGTACATGCTCAACTTCACTCGTACCAATTCCGAAAGCCAAAGAACCGAAAGCACCATGTGTAGAAGTGTGACTGTCACCACAGACAACAGTGGTACCCGGAAGAGTGAAACCCTGTTCAGGACCAATGATATGCACAATTCCTTGACGCTTATCACCAAGACCGAAGTATGTAATTCCGAAATCCTTGACGTTATCTTCGAGAGTCATACATTGGAGCCTTGAATCTTCTTCCTCGACGAAAGTTTCGATATTTTTAAGGAATTTCCGGGAGCTGGTTGGGACGTTCTAGAAATGGTATCAGGTCACAATCTATTGAAATTGAAAAACAGAACTTACGTGATCGGTGGTTGCGAGAGTACAATCTGGTCTTCGCACTTTTCTACCCGCATTCTTCAACCCCTCGAAAGCTTGCTATAAAGGTCGATTAGGAAGTTAACTCGATAATAGTGCAAGAGAAACATACCGGTGAAGTAACTTCATGTACTAAATGTCTGTCTGTATCAAGAATTAGTAGTTATCCCCATTGACTATTCTGAATTCAACATACCGATATAAAGTAAGATGGTACCATCCATTCTCTCATCTACAATATGGTCCTGAAGAACCTTATCGTAGAGAGTCTGTGGTCTACCTTCAGCAGTAGGCATATTGAATGAATGAATAAGTGACAAGTTCCTTTCCGTATAACTGATTCCAATGGTATGGATTCTGCTTGATCTTGCTGTCGACTTGCTGCTATTGACCACGGAAAGTACAAACTCAACGAAAAACGAAACACTTCAGAAAATTTTGAAAAGGGATAAAAAAGAGGTTGAAAAGGTTTACAATAGTAAAAGAATATCTTCCTGAGAAGTGCGGGGTGATATCTATTTTATGATGCTCAATTCAAAGACAATTTAAGCCGATATCGGGAAAATGATCTCTGGTGGTGCAGATCCGGTGGCCAATTAAAAGGAAGGTATTACCTTTCTGCCATTTCTTTGCCTTGTTCGGTGTTTTGTGTTTTGTCATCCCCACCAGGAGATCGTAGATGTCATGCACAACAGCCTGAACAGATCCACTTGAATCAGAAATGCAAGCTTTCGGATTGTGTAAGAGTCATATTGACCAATGAGATCGGAGATATAATTGACTAATACGTTGTTCCTGTTGGACCCATTTGAATCTCATCGTCGCTCATTGTCAAAGGCGGTGAGTTCACTTATGGCCTAACACGTGATATAACTCGATTCCATATCGATACTTCTACCCAACAACACCTCATATCCAAGAACCAGCAATACTATCAAATAAAATACCGCCCGATATAAATATCAATATCATACCAACAATCTAAATCTTTTATGATGCCCCCAAAAACCAATCCAGCCCAATTCAATCCAAATCCAGACTAGCTCAGCCTCCTCACCATCTACCTACCTATCTCACCTATCTCATCCATCCTCCCGTAAACCCCTAGCTCACGGGAGGGAGCTCCCCACAGGCTACACCCGAAGCCCGCACACGATCCGTTCATTACTTACCTAGTACAGTAATAACCTAGCAACAACCTATATCTACTAACAACCTACTAAACCCCCCTCCTTCCCCTTCCCCTCCCAGTAAAACATAAGCCGGACACTAGTAATGTAACCTCACCATACTATCTGCCATACTACCTACCTAGTATTTTCAGGGTCCTTCCCTATATCGGTTCCCAATACATCCCCATCTGCATCTCCATCTCCATCCCACACATAAACTGGAGTTCCACCAGTTTCATCCGTTCACCAGTTCCAGAATTCCAACTGCGATATCGCAGCATCTTACTACCATTAATGTTCCTCGTACATCCTACCTCGTACTTCATACCTCATTCACCTTCTAAATTTTTATTTATTTATTATTTATTATTTATTATATTATTTATTTATTTATTTATTATTTTTATTTATTTATTTTTATTTATTTATTTATTTTTATTTATTTTTATTTATTTATTTATTTTTATTTATTATTTATTATTTATTATTTATTATTTATTTATTATTTATTTATTATTATTTTATTATTATTTATTATTTATTATTTATTATTTATTATTTCATTTACCATCCATTATTCACTATTCACTACCCACTCACCCACTCCCCCTACTCTTTCCTCCATTCTCTACCAACAATCCACAATATTCCTTTCCCTATCATTCCCTTCTTTATCATACTCTCTGTATATACTCCTACAGTGCAAACCCTCACATCCCCTTCTCCTTCCCCTTCCATCCCATCATCCTATCATCCACTCCCTCCCATAAAATCCAAATATGAAGAAAGAGTCGAAGCTGGTAATCTTAGTATAAGATCTTACATCCCCATGCAATCATTGAATTAATTTACCAACCAATTAACTTCATTCTCGTTTGATATCTAGGTGATATATATACATACGTACATACATACACACAATACGAGTATATAGACATTTATTTTCCGTCTCCCAACTCCCCTCCCCATATCTATCAAAATGGTCTACTCTCAAATATGATATCCCATAACAACAAAACACGTTGCGCTGAACTCCCAAAAGATCCTTCCTTCCTTTCCTTTCCTTCCCCTCCCATCCCATAACACCATACGATAAAATACCAACCAAATAAAACAACCAACTCCAATCCACCCACTATCTACACCCCACCCCTCTTCCTCCCAACATAGCCACACCAATCCGTCTCCCCACTCAAATCCCCCTTCCATCCCTCCCCCTCCCCATCCCACAAACTCAATCCACAAAGATGTCTCATAGTTGGTCTTCCATGCGGACAATTCCACGGCTGTTCAATTTCGCCCATATGTCTCACCACCTTCTCCATTTGACCGCTCGTCAAGGACTTCCCAATCATAATACTACTCCTACAAGCTCTCATCGCAAACATTTTCCTTACTTTGCTCGGTCTTACCACATCTCCTCTCCCTCCACTTTCCGCCAATAGAGCAATTAGCTCCTCTAGATCATTTATTGAAAAAGTCGTTTCCCGTGAGACAGGAAGAGATACTAGTTGGCATCTTCCTCCAACATTTTGCGATGAGGGATCGATCGTTAAGATGAATCCGTTTTGTTCCAATATGTCGAGGTTCTCAGCTACGATTTCTTCTTCTAATGCTGTTAGAGAAAGAGTTTTGGGGTAAACTAATCGTTGCGATTGTACAATAGTTGTAGCTTGTAGACGTTCAAAATTATATTTCTCATCTGATGAGTGTTGATCAATAATAAAGACATTATCTGCTGTTTGTATTCGACCATTTTCGCTTGTTGACTCAGGGGTTTTAGACGCGAGGATGAAGCCGAGATTGAATTGACCAATGACTTTCATCTTAGCAAAATCACTTTTCGAAATTGTTAGGGAGAGTCGCTCTTCTGCCCCGGCAGAATCGAGAGCTTCGTCTTGAGAATTAGAGGTAGGCTGATTTGTGTACTGGGAAAGTACATCATTCAGAGATTGAAATTGTTGGTTAATATCGAGGACAGTAGTCTCAATTGTCTGTGTCAGGTTGAATGTTGATTCCTTCCTCTTCGCGCCACCTTTCAGGAGTAATTTTGCACGAGAAGTATTTTCTTGGGATGGTAGCTCAGCCATTCTTTCAGCCTCTTCAATCATCTCTTGAACTTTCGCTTCTTCCCGAATCTTCTTCTCCTTTTCATCTATGTAATCCCCGTCTCCGTCATCACCATCGGTATCATTGACTGGAGGAGCTACTGATGATGCAAATGCTTCCTCATTTGCCAAAGAAGCCACCTGCGAATCTTCATCGACTACTGTATCTTGGAGATTAGTCAATGAATTAGCATCAAAAGCATCCGGTGAATCAGGTCCAGCTGTTTCCAACGTAGATTCTGGTTCCTCTATGTCTACCATATCTGTATCATCATTGGCTCCCGAGGCTTGAGTTCCAGGCGCACCGAACCGTTTAATAAGCCGGCGTCCAAAAGAGGGCCTAATGGCAGTTCGCTGCGGCTCTATACCTTTACGTAAGGTAGCAGGAGTGCCATCAACCTTCAATCTCTTCGGAGCGGGTGTTCCAATAGAACTAGTCACAGTATGATCACCAATCGTGATTGTGGCCATTTCCTGTTGAGATCGTCGTGGTCTACTACTTTCAAGCGAGCTCAGTACTCCCGGGGTGGACATTGGAGATGGTGATAGAAGCTGGGGAACGGGTTGTTCTGATTCAGATAGACTAAGCGTATCTCCTGGAGCTTCTACTCTTTTGGATGCTCCCCTGGAGATACTAGCCTCTGCCATGCGGTCATTGAAATTAGCAATGTGTGGAGGAGGTCTCGTCGATCCGGGCTGACATTCTTGAGTAGTTGCAATCGAACTTTCGGGGCTTACAAGATCACCTTCAACCCCCTCAACCTGGGCACCCTCCTTGCCAAAGTTGGAGATCAGTCTTTGCTTTTCCCTTGATAAACCTTGACGAACATTTTGCTCAGGCTTGGGAGCTGCAGGTCGTTGGTCCCTCCGTTCCTCTGATTTACGGCCGACCCAATGCGAGATTAAACTAATGGCATCACCATCTCGGGTCAATGACTCTCGGGATATGCCAGCACGTTTTGCCTTTGAATTAGATTGCACATTAGATCCTTCAATATCTGTATTTTGAGCTTTACTGGGTCGCCTAAATTTCGAAACGGCTTGCGAAGCTTGTTCTTCCTCCTCATCTTCCTCCTCGACAGACGGATCAGGTACGTGAGAGCGCTGTTGCGAAGTTTCAGATACACTCGCAGCTTCTCGATCAATGGTCAATTGCTTATACTGTGGTTGTTTCTGTGCTGATAATTGAGATACCGGTATTGTATGATCCTGGCTTTCAAAGAGTTCAGCGAGAGCCGTCTTCAGATTTTCCAACATACGACTCTGATCATGAAGTAAGATGGTACGTTTATCAGGACTGACATTGACATCATACAGATGAGTGTCTAATTCGATATTAGCGAATATGAATGGGGATTGAGTGCTTCCCCATCCATTGTATGACCTGTACACTTCGTTGAAAGCCTTTGTCACTTGGGGTAGTCCACAAGGCCTTGAATTCACGAAGAACATCTGCCTATCAGGGGTCTGACGTCCTTCCCCTGAAGCCGGACGAGAGATATGGCCAATTATTCGGATATCTTTAGTTCCACCATCATTTTCTGTACTCCACCTTGAACTAGGGCCGCTCGTAGGCTCCAATTCTAGACGTAAATCCATTGAAATTAACTGCGTGAGAGTTTTCGCGCCGAAAACATTAACAATGTTCTCTCTAGTAGTGGGATTACCTTTTGTGGAGAAAATCGTAGTCTTTTTGCCCTTGGCCGCCTGCTGAGAAACAGTAAACTTGATACCCGTTTGTATACAAGCATATTGCCCTAAAACACCTGTAACCTTCCCCCATTCTCGTTTGATGTTCTTTTCAAGCTCGCGTCGTCTCACTGGCAGATTGTTGAATAAATTCTCTACGATTACTGTAGTTCCTCTCTGCGCAGCCACGACGGATGTGCCCTTTAACTTCCCTGATATCTCGAATTCGAGCTTCGTACCCTTCGGCGCATTTTCTGGCAAACATGTAATGACGGAAAAATTTGATAGAGCGCAGAGCGAGGAGAGGGCTTCACCACGAAAGCCAAACGTTTGAAGGGTCGTCAGGTCGTTATATGTGGACAGTTTCGAGGTATGATGTTTGAGTGCTAAGGTATCGTAGTTGTGCGGTGAAATGCCGCCACCATTATCTTGAACTTCTATTGCTTCAAGCCCTTGATTCTTAAAACGGACATCTATTTGGTCCTTAGCACATTGGTTTCCCAGGTAATGCAAGTATGGATTTGTTCTTACCAATGCTCGTTGCTCTAGCATCCAGGCTGTTCTCCACCAGTTCTTTCACCACCGAACATAAATCAACAATCACTTGGCCAGATTGGATTTGGTGGATCTGTGAATACAGAGATGATTAGTACTGTATATCAAAATTGATTCTAATAGTATTCTCACCGTCCGGCCTTCAATAGGTTTTATGGTAGCCATGGCATTTTTTCTTGGTAGAGAGACGCGGTTGATATTGGGAAGACGCGCCCGAAGGTACACTGCTTTAAAGTGGTTCTCTCTCGCGTCAGAAACGTCACTTTTATTTAAGCTTCATAAATGTCAATATTATCATTTACACACATATTTACATGTATAATAATAAAACTTGAAAAGCAAAAATGCTAAATTATATATATAGAGAGAGACCAATAAGACAATAAACTCATCAAAGGAGACTCAATAAGTAAGCCATGTCTAATATAAGTTTTGTAGGGTCACCGGGAACACACCAAATTCTATCAGGTCTTATTAGTATTGTCTGCTAAATGGAAGTACCGTTACGGTGCCCAACTCTTCCATTTATTACATTTCCATTGACCAATGAAATTTTAGAGCTTACCCCATTAGATCATATGACAGTGCTTAACTAATCATCTCTTGGGAAAACTTCACCGCTTTTGGTCGATCTTATGGGGCCGTCCCGTTTTTTACCGGGTGAAAAAGGAGATAGATAGCATGATAAGATAGAGATACAAAAGATAAGAGATTTTTTCCCTTCTGCATGATGTATCACCACATCATGATTACTGCACAGCAACATCACATCACATCATTTCATGAGAAAAGCAAAAAGAAATATATTATTTTTAAGAATCATGAACTTTTTATTCCGCTCTCCAAAATTTCATCTCACCAGCAAGAGCTAAATTATGCTGCCATCCGCGCCCTATATAGATATCTGACCGATAGTGGGTGGGTAAAAGAGAAGCGATAATGCATGAACATGCATGGCAAACGCCAGCTTCTAAATTGGCTCTTGCATGAGCAGAGGGGAAAACCTGGCGTGAAAGAATCTAGCTTTCATTATCTACTCCAAACACTCCGTTGAAATTCATGCCTTAGAATTTCCCGCCTTTCCATGAGCATGTTGTCATTCGTGAAATAGAAGTCAAGCTTCGTGTGTTTGCTTGTCCGGGTCTAAAATTGATATTCTCAATTGAAGTAGCTGGAGGAGCGGAAAGCGGAACGTGGGTTTATTATTTTGACATTAATGTGGCGACGCGACCATCCATGCGTCTAGCCGAATATTTTTTTGGTGATATTTTGAGGATCCTGGACGTGAAAAGAAATGCAAGAAAGGAAGCGCATGTTTTCGTGGTAGTACAATCCATCAATAGAGGTGGATATTGGAATATCAGTAGCAGTCTGATGCGAGAGAATGCCAACAAATTTTCATTGAGATCAACGTGCTGCACTAGGGGTAGAGGAAAGATTTCGTTAGGTTGGTATTATCGACAAGAGGCAAAAAGAGACACCACACGCCAATCTTGACATTCCATGATTCGCATAAGATCAAGGAGAGGTTATGATGATTTTGCTGAACTATGAAGTGACTGATTGTGGAGTTGATGATTCACTGTCCCCAACCATATCTGCGACACGCATTTTCTTAGCGCGGGGTGCCCCGTCACGCAATTCATTGAGTTCACGTTCAACATCATCCAAGCGACGTTTTAATTGGTTTTCTCGGCGTTGCGACTCCTCGAGTCGATTCATAAGGTTGTGTTCTGATTCTCGGAGCATCGCAACTCCTTGATTCGCATTGGCTTCATCTTGTTCAAGTTGGGTGACTCGACCTCGAAAGAGTTCATTTATAACTTCGAGCTCATTGACACGAGTTTTCAAAGATGAATTCTGGGCGATAAGTTGTTCGTATGTCTGGGGTACTTCAAGACCATGCGGTCCATTCATAGATGGTGACGCGGATCTTATATCCCCAGGGGAAGGTTGTCTAATGTGCATGGGTGGAAGAGACGGGGAGTGATTGTATTGATGTTCTTCCAGGCCATTTCCGTTGAACGGGGCTAAATGGTTACCATACATCGAGGGAGTCGCAGTTCTTGAAATAGGAGAATTCGATCCATCTGAGTGACCATTGGCAGACTTTCCTGATGTTCTTCTATGTCCTAGAGAACCCGGTGGTGGTGTCCCAGCTTGCGATCGCGCTTGATCAAGACCATTAGCTTCATAGAGAGTCTGCGACAAAACGCGTTAGCAAAGATAATATTTCTGCAGATTAATTACAATATGAATAAATACCTTTTTCTTCGCACTCTGGGCAGTCCCAGAACTCTTGACGCGATTTCGACTCTTGATAACATCTGTCTTGAGGCTTATCGGCCGAGGTCTTCCGTGCAGCTTCAAAAAGAGACCACAGGCATTGCATAATACGGATCCTATTTCATCTCTGCGCCATAATGGAGTGGTTGAAGTCTGGCAATTCTGACAGGTAGGCTGTTGGGTTTCGCGATCATTGTTAGCCATTGTAGCCATTATTATGGTAGTGATAATATGAGATGTGCAAAATCGCTATCGTTATCGCAGATTGGAATGGACGAAAATTCAGATTGTTGCTCTGCTGATATCGCTTGGGGCTTAATTGATTAAACTCAAGTAGTGGGATGGATAGTGGAAGGGACGGGAAATACCGAGTACGGTTGACCATAAAGACTAATGACCAGCCAAAACTGACTGATAAAGAAAGGGTGACCGTATTTATCGGAACACTTATCCCAAAAGATAGGAGGAGATTAATTGATTGAATGATCGAGTGATTGATTAGAAAATGAAAATTCAATGGACATCAGAAACACAGAGAGACATTTTTTGCATGCTCCAGTTATTTTCTGGTTTCTCGACAATGACCAAGAAATGAATGCGACGGGAATGAATTATGCATATAAAAAAACAGCTCTACTAGAAAAGAAAGAAAATATAACATACCGGTGTATTGTTCTGACCTCCTCCAGAGGTAGCAGATGGTGATGATGTTGCATACCCCATATTCACACTTTGTCCGACATTGAATGCCCTATGATGATCCGAATTAGCCTTTGGACCATGCATTATGTTGTACATCAAGATTCAAATATATTCAAAAATATGCTCTTCTCGTCCTTGAAAGTTTCCAAAAATTCCAATGGCGAGCTCAAGCCGACTATTTCAACAATGGTCATTGTTCTTTCCTCCAGCAGATAAAGAATTGTTCATTCAATTTATGCTTGAGGATGAAACTTCCACATCGTCCGAGACAATAGTAATTTTAAAATTGTATTTTTCCTTTCACATCCCGAACGTACCTCAATTGTGGTGAACTTGTACCGGAAGCTATTGAAGCAAGTGCTGATAGACCAGGAAGCTGCGGCAGAGATGCACTATGGTGTAAGGAGTTCACAGTTGAGGTCGAAGATGGTCGAGAAATAGGATCCATGGGTGGCATGATTGGCAATGATTGCCTTCCATCGCTCAACGAAGGTGACATGCGAAAAGGCGGCAGATCTCGACTTTGGTCTCTCGAGGAGGGCCGAAGGTGATCGAGGGGCGATGCCCTGTAAATGGGTGCGAGTGTGGAAGCCGTGGTTGCGGTTTGAGGGGGGTAGTTATTAAATCGCGTCCGAAGTAGAACGCGAGAGATATGGTGATATGAGGGCTGGAAGCGATTGTCCCTTGGGTACTATATAACTTCAAATGTCTATGTCGAAATAGCAGAGATCTTTCGGATTATGGCTGGAAGGAGGGCGAGTATGCTGACACTGGTAGCTGGGTTGGAATTATTATTCGAAAGTTGCAGGTAGTGGTGGTGAAAGAAGCATAAGACTTTTCGGTTCGCTCAAACGATTGACAGATGGAAGCTTGAACTTTTAAAGGGATTGATTGAATTTTGGGTATATAAGAACGATGAATGAAGAGACAGTGAATGATGTTACAATACAAAGAATCAAATCAGAGTTGCGAAGATTGGGAAAGAAGTTCTTGAGAGGAAACGAATTGCAGCTGGATCCTGGCTGCCCCTTATCCATTCGCGCTACCTTGCAATCAAAACGATCTATAAAAAGGATACTCCCGGACGCAAGGTACCTGATAATGACAAGCTCCAAAAATGTACAATTTTTACTACGAGGAATGAGTTATCTACCTATGTACCATTACTTTGAAGTCAAAGAATGTAATTGAAATTGGTAGTACAGTATGAAGGAGTTTCAGATTATTATGATCGAAGTACTTCATCTCCTCGGGATTCCCTTAACAACTTCTAGCTACAGCATCAGCATCGAGTTACGCATATCGATTGCAATTGATGCATGCACGATCGGAACATGTAGTTAAGCTATGGTAACGTGAGTTTCAAGATCCATTTCATACAGACGGATAAAAAGCAATCTTCTAGAAGCAGAAGCAGAAGCAGTACGCGGGAAGGGAAACGACTTGAAGCAGCGGAGTAAGCTTATCTTACACTTGCAACACATAAACTCTCAAAATCCTCATTCATGCGATCGATGCAAGCCCCAATTGCCATATTTATACATAACAGTAAGTTCTTTAGGTCTAGTTCGTTTGATTTGATCAAAGATATACGATACGATATGATATGATATGTAATGAGTGATATGTATCCGGGCGGAGGAAGATGATGCACGCATTGGCGCTAAGGCGGCACAAGGGTCTGAAAGTTCCTGACGAACTGAGAGAATTGAGTGGATCAGATTAATCGGCAATTGATAAACAATCTCAACAGAAGCAGAGGAATTATTAAGGCTGACCATTAAGAATCCTTGAAACGAGACATCGAGAACATTTTTAGTTTACCCCTGAGATGGAAATTTAAGATTGCGGTCGTTCCGTGGGTTGAAGGAAGCTCGAGGAAGGAAAGGATGGAAATAAAATGTGTCACGAGCCACTGGGAAACAATAGATTAAGTCCTTTTCCTTTCCTTTCCTTTCCTTTCCTTTCCTTTCCTGGCCTATCTTGATCATGTGTGCATGTAGGAGTAGACTGTATCTACTCGATAAGCACTTGTAAGTTGTAGGTTGGACATGAGACGAGAGGTGCATACATACACATCTCATTACCCCGATAAGCTGGTCAGCGTATTCCGATCAATGATACGCATGAATGATACGAACTGGCATGAACGGCATAATGGGGAGGTACCCATACCCATCGAGTGGAATCCTACATAAGATGGGGTTCTTCAGCTGATAAAAGGAGGGCCGAGTTATACGGAGTATGGGTACGGAGTAGAAACGTTTATGAATGACGAATTCGTGGGACACCATTCGATAACGTTAATTCTAATCACTCCTCCGGACCGTCTGTCAGTCTGTCAATCAGTCAATCCTCGGCTTTCATTTTCAGGGGTAAACATGTAAGAGTCTTACTCCGATCCAGCCGATCCCAGAATTTGGAATTTGGAATTTGGGCTCATGATTACAGATCACGTGTCGCTTCTACACTAGTTAGGGTTCTCGATGGCCCTAGTCTTGGACTAGGAAGCTATTACGGCAGCCTAGATCACAATTGCACAGATGTCTCAAAAATATTCTGCCATCACTTTTTTTCGACCAAGGAAATTTAATTTAACCTTGAAGCTTCATCAAACACCGCTCACCATCAACCATCAAAATGCCTTCAGTATACAATAAGGAGAAGCCATGGGATACTGGTGATATTGATAAATGGAAGGTATATCTTCAAAACTTTGCAACCTTTTCAATTACCTGGATTCAGCGCAATACTCACACATACCAACTAGATTGAAGCATTCACGCCTGCTGACAATGTCGGTGGTACTTTCGCAGAAGAATCCTCCTTCGTGACCCTTTTCCCAAAATATCGCGAAGTATACCTTAAAACCGTCTGGCCACTTATAATGAAATCGCTCGAGAAATTTGGGATCGCTGCGACTCTTGATTTGCGCGAAGGTTCTATGACGGTCAAAACCACTCGAAAGACGTACGACCCAGCTGCCATTCTTAACGCCCGAGACCTTATCAAGTTACTTGCACGGAGTGTACCTGCACCGCAAGCGATCAAAATCCTTGAGGATGGTGTAGCATGCGACGTCATCAAAATTCGAAACCTAGTTCGAAATAAGGAACGATTCGTGAAAAGAAGACAGAGAATCTTGGGTCCAAACGGGAGCACTCTGAAGGCACTAGAACTCCTCACAGAATGCTATCTACTCGTTCAGGGCAATACTGTATCAGCAATGGGTCCTTACAAAGGTTTAAAAGAGATCCGACGAATCATTGAAGATTGCATGGCCAACATTCACCCTATCTATCACATTAAAGAATTGATGATCAAGCGAGAGTTGGCTAAGGATCCTGAGTTAGCGGGGGAGAGCTGGGACAGATTCTTGCCGCAGTTCAAGAAGAGGAATTTGAGCAAGAGAAGAGTGCCTAGAAACGTTACAGACAAGGCCAAGAAAGTTTACACGCCATTCCCACCATTACAGGAGAAGAGCAAGGTGGATCTGCAGATTGAGAGTGGAGAGTACTTTTTGGGCAAGCAGGCAAAGGAGAGAAAGGCTCAAGAGGAGAGGATAGAAAAGCAAAAGGAAGAGAAGGGAGAGAAGATGAGGAAGCGAGCCGAGGAATTTGAGGCGCCAGTTGAGGACGGGGAGAAGAAGGAGAAGAAGAGAAAGAGAGACAAGGATAGTGGGGAGAAGAAGGAAAAGAAGAAGTCGAAAAAGAGGAAGAGCAGTGATGCGGATGGTGATATCGATATGGCCGAGGATTAAAGATAATTATTCATGGAACTTAAGGATTGTATACTTAGGCGCAATCGGGAGTTTTCTGTGGGAAAAGCATTCAATATAGTTTTGTATGTGGGAGATGGATGATGTATCTGTCAAAATAGGGTCTGTAAACTCATACCAAACCCAGTTATTTTTTACATACTCGGTTCAAGGGAATGGCCTTTTCATTGTAGGTAGTCTTTGTGCCGATAATTGAATGAATCGTGAAGAAAGATTGACACAGATAATATCTTGAGCTATATAAACTTGGACATACTCCGTACACGAGCTCATCGGCATTGATAGAAAGATGGATCTGCTGACAAAGACCAGACCAGACTTCTCCAAATTTAGCAGATTCCCCGAAATACAGAAACTCAAAAAACAACCTTAATACGCAAACAATCTAATACCTAGCACCTTTTGACTACGACATGATTTCTTCAACTCATATCATCAAGCACACATGCAAGGATAATTGGTTATCTTTTTATCTTATCCATCTCTGATTCTCTGACCTGCATACATGCGGAGAAGACGGGAGGGACCAACGTTTTCCTTTTCATTCCGAACATATAAATTCAGTTATAGTTTCCAGTGATAATCGGAAACGTGCACAAGTTGGGAAGGTGATTGTGTTTGTGGCTGTAGTGCATAAGTAGATTTTGTTAGAACGAGAGCTTTGTTGTACTGGCGAGTGCTTGGCATCCCACTCGCGACCATCGCTGATACCAACTTCTTGGAATCCCTTGTGTATTTTGAAGAACCGGATTCTTGGCGGACAACGGCAGTTTCCGATTCATGTTATCAGTGATTCTGTGTGAGTTGTAGTTCTCCGCGAGTTGAGGTCGTGTCGTATCGTTGATGTGTTATTCGTGGACTTTGAAGATCTTATGGAGGGTGGGTGGTAATGGGTGGAATTGGAAGTCAAAATAGATGTTACCTGCCTCTTTCATCACCACTATCACGGAGTGAAAACGCGATGTGGATAGCTTCACATCTAGAGCTTCACGATCCATTTCGGAGTCACCTCTCGAGCAGTGCTCGAGGGCGATGCATTATCTGAAGTATAAAGAGACATGTATCTCCAAGCTTTGAGTCAACCAGCTTTCCATTCAACAGCAGATCAATCCTCACGGCCTCTCTTTCCATCTTTCTTGGCATCTAAACTTCATCATGAAGGTTCAAACCAGTGCAGCGCTTCTCCTCTCCTCCTGGGTTCCAGCTACCTACGCTTGGGGTACCTTGGGACATGAAACTGTTGCATATATTGCTACCAACTTCGGTAACTTAACAATCTTGCCATGATATTACACACATATCCCTAACATCATATTCCACAGTCTCTGCTTCTACCAAATCCTATTTTCAAGGCGTTTTGGGTGATAGCACTACAGACTACTTAGCAAGTGTTGCCACCTGGGTTAGTCTTCCACTTCTTATCGATATCACACACGATTTTAATTCCTCTGCAGTCTGATTCGTACCGCTACACTACTGCTGGTAAATTCTCAGCACCGTTCCATTTCATCGATGCAGAAGATAACCCACCTGATTGTGAGTAGACGGAATTTTCTTGACTATTACCTCAATCAAAATTACTTATTTGCTCGCCTAAACTGCCTACTTTGTCAATGAAACTAATTTCATACCTATTCAGCGTGCGGCGTTGACTACGACAGAGACTGCGGATCTGCAGGATGCGTCGTTAGTGCCATTCAAAACTACGTGAGCCTGCCACAACTACCATTTGCCCACAAACAATGCTAAGCAACCGCAGACAACCATTTTACAAAAGGGCACTGCTAGTGCTGCCAATTTGGACATCGCAGCTAAGGTAAGCACCAATTTCACCTCCAAAAGCAGTTACTGATATTCAGCAGATGATCGTTCACGTATGTCCTGATTTCCTCTCCCAACTCTGGAAGTCATCATATCTCCATTCCCCATATTCCACATATCATGTCCAAGGCACATGGGTATCCCATGCAAAAAAGATACTCGGCACCGTGTTTCTCCCTTCATGGGCGAAGCGCCACTCTAGGAACCCTTTACTCACGTACCCTAGTTCGTCGGCGATATTCACCAACCGCTGCACGACGAAGAGCTCGACGTAGGAGGAAACACCATCTCCGTCACGTATGCCGGCAAAAAGACAAATCTGCACGCTATCTGGGATACGCAAATCCCCGAACAATACGTTGGCGGATACGCGCTCACCGATGCGAAAACTTGGGCAGCTACCCTCACCACCGCTATCAAGACCGGAACATATTCTTCTCTCGCCTCGGGCTGGACAAAGGGTATTGATATCGATGACCCAGTCTCCAGTTCTATGTCCTGGGCTCAGGATAGCAATACGTTTGTTTGCAGCACGGTTTTCGCAGATGGTATTACGGCGGTGGAGTCGGGTGATTTGAGTACGAATGGTTACTATGATGCTGCTATTCCGATCGTCAAGTTGCAGATTGCCAAGGCGGGGTATAGGTTAGTAATTTTATTGATTTACTTTGTTCTTTGCTGGTGGTATTGGTATCTTGGGAGTTGATGTGCTAACGAGTTTATATCTAGACTTGCCGCTTGGTTGGATTTGATCGCTACTGGTACTACTAAGCTCTAAGTCATTTTGGAAACTGGAACCTGGAAACTGGGAGCTCGGAATTGGGATATGATGAATGAATGAATGAATGAATGACTGGATGGAAGAGGGGAAGGGGAAAAAAGGAAAGAAAAGTTGTATTAGAGAGAGACTCGTGTCAAAAAATATCAATACTCCAACATTCTACACTTCTACACCATTGCATTGTTGCATTGTTGCAAGTCCGTATTCTCCTAATATCTGATAGAAGTAATTCATAAACCTAGGTACGTACATACAGGTGAATCCTTCACAATTTTAAAGTAGAAATAAAAAATTAACTTATAAATAAACAAAACAATATCTTTCATACTATCCCTTATACTATACACATCCCCAGTTAACATTCTACTTTTATATCATTCTTATAAACTATTCAAATCAACATTCAATATCCAGCATCCGGCACCCAGCATCCAGCATCTAGCATCTAGCATCTAGTTAATAATTCTCCATTCCCGCAATAAATAAAACAGAAATCAAAAAATAGATATCTAAATAATAATATAAGTTATACATATAAGAATTTCTAAAAATGAAGAAACGAGCTCAAAGCCTCTATCTTTATTTAATCATTCATTATCTTTATTAGCTACAGTAGTAGTATTTCAAAAGGAGCAATTCTATAGGCTTTTTAATCCTGTAAGGTTCATTCACTAAATCTAGAAATCATTTCCGATCTTTCCAGTAATTATCCCTTGTTCGTTGTAAATAGAGCCTTTTGAATAAGAGCGTGTTGACGGTTTTTTTTTCAAAGCTTTTAATTTCAATAGGTTCAGAGTTTGTCTTAATTTTTATCCGAATGGCTTTCGGATGGGAATAGGGTAATTATTTGAATGCTTAGTGAAATGAGTGATACAGAAATATATATATATATATATATATACTAGAGGGACTCATCGGAATATTGCTCTCAAAAGAGTGACGGAGCGATTGGTGGATAATGAAGCAAAGGAATACTGTATTTGCTATATACTTCCTTCCTTTCTTTCTTACTTGGTCCATTGCCATTGTATAGGGAGAGACAATGGCATGAACACGAAATATACAAACACACACCGCATACAATGAGAATTGCCCTCCCACCACCCAACATTCCAAGTCACTGGAACCTAAAAATCTACACATAATCCTCCTGCCACTCATCCTCCTCATCCTCCACCTCCTTAACCACCTCCTTGACCTCCTCCTCACCAATCCCCAACCTCTCCACTGATCCATAATCCGTCGTAAACCTCTTCTCAATCAACTTCATATGGGTAACTCTCCTAAACTCCTTCTCCAACTGTTCACTCGCGGCCTGATCCTCCTCTGCCCTCTTATCGTTCTTGCCCCTGCGCCTTATCCGATCTTGATCCGTCTTGGCTTCTAGATCCTCAAGATCCATAATCATATCAATTAGGTGTTTGCCCTTGATCAAATTAGCCCGGTCGTGTTTTTTCCAACTTTGTCCGGGTCTTGTACCTGGCGCGTTGCGGATACGTGTCAGTGCTAGCGCGCGCTGGGAAATATCCGACACTTTGTTTAGAACTGTTTCGCCCGAGGGAAAGCCCATCCTTGTCGAAAAACCTTCTGGACCTTCTTTGCGTGCTTGAAGTTGGTCATTGATGAGGTCATTATGCCTGTTTATTTTCCTAATACGTTCTTCGCGACTGATCTTAACTGGTTGTCTGGGAGTTGCCGTGCGCATCGCGCGGAGAACAAGACGTTTCCAATCGATTTTGGGGCTTTGTTTATCCAAAGGGCCCGGTTTGAGAATTTCGTTTGTGTTGACCCAGAGGTCGAGTTCGGTGTCTGAGGGAAAGTTGCCATGGATGAAGAGGGAACTTTTGAGGGCGTCGAGGGAGCTGTGTCGAAGAACCGCGCTAAAGCGGTAGATTTCTGTGCCTGTGCGATTAGTTCTGCCGGAAGGAGGTTTAGTTCGACCGGCTATGCCGACTTTGACGTTCTCTTCTTCTTCTCTGAAACGATTGACGCGGGTAATTAGACCGGAAATGGAGCCCCACTGTGGAATTCCCTTTTGCCGACACCACGACCTTAAATCATCTTCTGACCATTGGGCTGGTTCTGGAGCTAGAGCATGTAAAGGTTGCAACTGTTCCTTCAAGGTGACGTTCCCTTGAGGTGCTTTTAAGTGCTCACCGTCAATCATCTGTTGCAGGTGACTTTTCAATAATTCTTTGGACCTCTCCCTCTTGCGAGGAGTATCTAGATCGTATATGTGCATCTTTTCAGCAAGTACGTCAATATCTTCATCCAGAAAGAAATCAACCAGATGAAGGATGTATCTTGCTATAAGAACAGACTCGGGATTTCCGCCATCGTCGTAGGTTTCATCCCAAAGTTTCTGTAGGAGATGGTACTGTATTTTCCGCATGATTTTATAATTAGTTTCCGTGCCGTTGTCAAGTTTTGCTTGCTGTGCTGCAGCAGTTTTAGGTAATTCGGCCACAGCAAGCCCATGTTCCAAGCAATAATACCATGCCTGGATTCTTGTCCAATGGCCTACCTCATTTGCCGATGATTGGTCAAGCGCCCTGACAACCTTTTCCAGAAGTGTTGCGTCCTCCCTTGTCTTATCTGCTTCCACCACTGTTCTCAGACGTTTGCTAGGCCCGTGTATGGAAAGATAATCGTTCAAATTTTCGCGCTTTCCCGGCCTTGGACCCGATCCTGTTAACATTCCGGAAGCTGCTGCTTTTTCTTCGGCGGTTAGTTCATCCAATACGTCCTTTCGAGCTTGCTCTACCAGTTTATTTGGGGCAATAAGTTCTGTCGACCTGGGCTGAAATTCTGTTGTCGGCCGATATCGAACTTCGATTTGCGTGACAACTTCGGAATCATCGTCTTCGATGTACCCTATATCCTCATCAAGCATTCCATCATCGTGCGTCTCCACACTATAAGCGATCATCGTTCTGTTGTCGCGCCCTGAGAAAGACTTGTTTTGCGTTGCACCGGGAGTATGTTCTCTTGCCAACTGTTCCATCTCATCATCAAGATCGTCGTCGTCGTCATTCAAACCGAATGAAAATTTTTGCCTATCGAGTCTCATTTGTGCTGCGATTTGATCTTTTGTAAGTCCTTCGACAGGCTCGCCTGTAGAGTACTTCCCAACTCTATAGTGACCTCTCCATCTAGGGCGTCTTGCCAATGGATCCATCCACCAGTTGGCCTTCACAGCTGTAGCGGCCCCCAGTTCATCTCTATAGGCCAAGTTCAAACTCCCTCTGAGAACCCCAGCAAGCTTATGGGCCGGAACACCCCGCCGGTTAGCTTCCCACCAACCCTGTCGAAACATATTTGACAAATAACCGACAGGAATGGCATAGAGCTTTTCATAAAGAGGTCTCCTGTGTTCTTTGTCATTTCCAAACAATTGAGTAATCCTATATAGTGGCTGCCAATACAATGACCATCCTAGACTACCAAATTGGGCATCTTTTTCATGTGACTCACAAAACTGAGGATGGTAGCCTTTGAAAATCCAGCTGATGAAGGATCTCCCTAATTCACTATCAACATTTCTGTCAACGTAGGGCTCATCACCAGTAGGCGGGTTGAACGACCGGTAATCCTGGAGGAATACTGCATGCCCGATTTCATGGGTCATAGTGATCGCCGCCATAAATTGTGCTTTGAGGCGGATTTCAGAATCACGCGGGTGAGTGCGCATCGGGACCAGTAATAAGTCCATGATTGCTATGACAAGTGGTCGTCGTACCTGGCCCGCTTGACCAGCTTGCAAATCTGACTCTGCAATCTCATTCTCATCTAGTTCGTGGAAGTCGGCTTCCCCGTGGTCTACAATCCTTGTAATGCCATTCCAACCTTTGTCTGCATGCATTCTTTCATTCAATCTCCACTTGATACATCTTGAAATGGCCTCGAGTTCCAATTCTGCTACTTGAAGATCTTTGACCAAGATTTGCTTTTTTGTCTGGATTACCTTGGGAGCGACAATTTTACGATGCTCAGAGTGAGATACATCTTGCGGCGTGCCAAAGATCTTGCTGGTCGGTAAAAAACTTGCTAAGTATGGCGTTCCAATCTCTAACAGCCGGGTCGCAAGTCGCATGCTTGGAAGCAAGAGCTGATAGTCTTCATCGGCTACTTCCCACCTGTCGCGCGCGAAAAATGGATGGACCGGACCAGTCAAGTCTGGAGGCTGTACTCGAGTAGCCACTATATTTATCAGTTTGATTGAACGATACTTGAGTCAAGAACAAAGCTTACGCATAGCGCCCCCAATTGCTAGAGTTGTAGTATCCCATGGCTTTGACACCATATCACTGGGATGTTCAATTGCTTCCATAATGTCGATGACGAAATATAGATTTCAAGGTTAGTTTCTACAACACTAGAATTGTGATAATAGTTGTTGGTTCGAGGTTAGAATATTAGACAGAGGATAATGTTAGCATTCTCGAATAGGTGCATATAATAGTAAAAAAGTAAATGCGATTGAGGACAAAAGAATACTTGGTTTTCATTGTTCTTCAAGGAATCACAATATTCTTTCATTTTCAAATCCCTTTTAACATTCGCCAAGCTTGGGAAAGACTTTCTTTGATGATGCTGAGTATGACAATCGTTTTCGGCCATTTTAACGAGTACCTTTTTCGTGTGAAAAGAAAATCAGTTCGAGGGAAGACGGAGAGTGCAGGATTCAATGATACTCATATATTGTATCTAGTGATACCACATGAGAGGATTCCTGTAGTTTTTCAGGTGATGATAGCAATACAAACGAGGATATTAATTGTATCTCTCACTCTTCTTCTTGAGATTGGATATGAGCACACTTGATGCTATCTCGACGCCTGTCATCTCAACTGATGAGCAAGTTAAATTTCTTGATTGAATTGCGTCAAAGAACGAAGCATTCGACCATCGCAATGCAATGCAATGGCAATATCGGGCGCGGACATGTATACTAGAGACAAGGCAACCAATCGGCTCTTTATTGTGTGTCAATGATACTGAGATGAAGTTGATAGTCGATAGAGTTGATAGTCAATAGTCAATATGTATGTATGGAGAAGAGTTTTAAGCTTCGAGTCTGTGGTGTTTATGTAATGTAATGGGCGTGCTCAGGCGATTTGATGCGGAGAAGCTTCCTAGATAGTAATTAACTGCTGACAAGGCCGGTGCTTACCCCACCGTCACGGTCGGTAGTAGTTCGTAGTCGAAGGACACATTGTTTATTTATTTACCTATCTGTGGTTTCTACATAATTTATGCGTAACCATTCATAATTTCTTCATAAATATATGCATTTACTCACCAAGTCACCACGACTCACTCTCTCTCTCTCACACACTCACTCCATGGAACATGCTACAATATGATTCGATTTCTTATTTCGTAACTTGGTACTTATAGACTTCAATCTAGTCCCTCTCTCTGCAGCTCTGCAGGGCTCTACCTTCTTTACCTTCTCTACCTTCTTACCCACCCTATCCGGGTATGACTTATCCAGCTTCCATTTCATCCTTTCGAACCGGTCTATGGCCTAGTTTACCCCATACGGTCCATTCCCATACGGCCCACTCCCATACGGTCCACTCCCATACAGTATCCGCAAATCCCCTTGAAGAAATAAGACAGACCTTTCCTTCATTCAGCCACAACCCAAGCTCTAAAATTCTGGGTACCCGACCACAACCCAACAATCATATCTAGGCACACGCACACGCAAACGCACACGCACATGCACACGGAAAGAAAGAAAGAAAGAAAGAAAGAAACACGGCCAGATACTGTAACTCTCGTCCACAAAGGAGGAGAAGCATGTTATTCTCGTACCATACACCATACCGGGTACCATAAAATTCATCAACTTTGCTCATTCGGTTCCGTCGAGGTAGGATTGCGTATATGCCCTGCATACCAAAACTATTTCTTATCCGCAATTTTTTCATGCCAGTCCGTCTTGTTTGCATCTTGCATTGGAGTCCACCCGTACTCTCTCCTTATTATATTTAATTCTTTTATTTCCTTATTCTCTCCATTGGACGGAGCCTTCACCGACCATCAGTTTCCCCATTTCAATCCCATATTTGTGTCTCATACCACTAATACCACCGATCGATTTTGTCGTTTTCCATCCATTCGTATTTGTACATAATACACCAGATGCATAATTGTTGATGATAATCATTTCCCAGCCCCCGCAGAGTCTTTACTACAAGCTCTTCAATTGATCCGAACTTGCAAATCTCATCTGCGCAACCTTTTTAGAGGCCAATAATGAGTTCACGTCGAGATCTTGAGAAAGGAATAATTGAAGAGGAGGAACAGGAACAAGAAGCAGAACCAGAACAAGATACCGGAACCACCACAGAATCCATCGCATCCCAATCCGATAATTCTAGAAATCCTTCACATAAAAATGATGCGGCTTCAAATGCCTCAATCAAGTACCCCGACTCGAATCATGAAGAAGCCGAAGCAATGGATCAAGGTCAGACTGATCTCGCAAGACAAAAGGTTCGAAACCGCCACCCTCCTTTGCGCATCATCAAACTACTTACTAAAAGCTCTTTTCCATCCAGACACATACAGAACCTAGAAGAGTTAAATCATCTACTCGTCGCGCGCGTACAAATTCGCAACCAAACGATATAACCAGCACAGCCTCGATATCCTCTGGTGCTCCTAGAATCTCCCGCATAACTCATCGAACGACCACTCCTCGCGCCAAACTTCCACCTAGACCTCTCCCCGTCTCGAATCTCGCGATTGGTATTGTTGGATGGGATAGTCAGGCAGACCCTGAGATGCCTTTGAACTTTCCAGAATCGAAAAAATGGGTGCTGACAGGATTACTGGCTAGTATCACATTCATATCCCCGCTCGCTTCCAGTATGTTTGCGCCCGGTGTAACATTCGCGGATCGGGACTTCCACAATACAAGCTTGATATTAAGTTCCTTCACGGTGAGTATCTTCGTGCTGGGATATGTCGTCGGGCCATTGATACTTGCACCATTATCGGAAATATATGGGAGGAGATATGTTCTTACTGGTGGTAATATAATATTTTGTGCATGGCAGATAGGCTGTGCATTGGCGCCTAGCTTGGGGACATTGATAGGATTTCGATTTATGGCTGGATTAGGTGGTTCTGGTTGTTTAACTATCGGTGCTGGTATGATTGCGGATCTATTTCATGCGGATAGGAGAGGATTGGCCACTTCACTTTTCAGCCTTGGACCTCTGTTTGGTCCTGTTATTGGTCCAATCGCGGGAGGTATTTCTCCCATATTTTCCGAGCAATCAAATCTAAGATATCTAACATTACCCCAGGTTTCGTAGCCCAAAGAATTGGCTGGCGTTGGGTGTTCTGGATCCTTTTTATAGCCGGCACTCTCATAACCATCGGCATTGAATGCTTGAATGTGGAGACTAACCCACGACTTCTGATAAAACGCAAAGTTGCGCGACTCTCCAAAGAGCTCAATCGATCAGATCTACGCAGCGTTTATGACCCCAGAAACTCAGCACATCATTCGAAATCTTCGGTTCTAGCAAATGCTATGATTCGACCCCTCAAAATGTTAATGTTTAGTCCTATAGTGTTAATCTTGAGTCTGTACATGGCGCTTGTTTATGGACTTTTGTATTTACTATTCACTACTATTACAACGGTTTTCACTACCAGGTATCATTGGGCGCCAGAGTTCTGTGGATTAGCCGTATGTTTTTATTCTACTCTACTCATTTCCTTATTTCCACCTTCCAAACCTCCTGCTACCATCTTTTCATATCTAACCTTGATTAGTACATCGGTTTGGGACTAGGTTTCTTCCTCGGTCTCGTAGTAGTCGCTCGCATATCAGATGTCACCGTGGTCAGCATGACTAAAGCAAATAATGGGATTTTCGAACCTGAGATGAGGTTGCCTGCTTGTATATTTTTTGCTTGCTTTATACCTATTAGTCTCTTCTGGTATGGTTGGAGTATTCATGCCGGTGTTCACGTACGTATTACATCACATAACATTATTCAATCCTATTTCTATTCATGCCGGCTCAAAAGAACCAACAATTAACACTGTCCAGTGGATCATTCCTATAATCGGCCTCATCCCGTTCGGTTTTGGCATGATGGGTATCTTTATCCCCATCCAAACATACGTCATCGACTCTTTTCCCTCTTACGCAGCATCAGGTATAGCAGCTCTTACAGTATGCCGAAGTCTTTTTGGTGCGTTCTTACCATTAGCTGGTCCCGCCATGTATGAGGCGCTAGGCTATGGATGGGGAAATAGTGTGCTGGGATTTATTGCACTAGCACTTATTCCGGCGCCAATGTTCATTTATAAGTTTGGTGGAAGAGTGAGGAAGAGATTTCCTGTTAAACTTTAAGGGAGAGGATGCAAAAGAAGAGTAATATGAAAGAGATGGAATTGCAGGAAATGATGAATAGTAGGGGGCTTGAAGTTCTGGAAGCGTCATATCGATATATTGAGGTACACGAAAAACATGAGAGGACACTAATTTCTCATGGTCGAAATTAATGAGATGGAACGAAGAAGCAATAAAGTTGCGAGAAAAAAAATATATATTTCGAAAATTAGCGAGCATGAGCGATGGAGTTATGATTCATTGGTTAGGTATTGGATATTAGTAACCAATTGCTCAGTTGAGCATTGGCTTTGGTTGGATAGGTTCATTTTGGTGCGATTGGAAACTCGTTAGAGATATGAATTTAATGGTTAAGATTAAGTGCTTAAGGGATATATTTATGATTGGGATGGAGGGTATATTGTTGAGAATAGAGTTTGAAATTTGGATCTCCCATGGGATTCTGAAGAAATTGTACATAGATTTATCGATTCATTTGATCGATTCATTTGATTGATTCATTGATTCGTTGGATGGATGGATGAGCGAATGAATGAATGAATGAATGAATGAATGATCTGATAGGTATATATTATTATTATTATTATTATAAGATATATGATAGCATCACTGTTATTAAAACTTAAGTATTGTTTAAGAGATTTGATAATAATAAATAATAAATAATTATATAAGTTTTTTTAATTAATATTAATAAAATAATATATTTTTAAAACAAAAAATTATTTATTTAGTAATCTTATTTAAAGAAATTTGAATAATAATATTTCATATTTATATAAGAATTTATTATTAATTGTTTTATTTTGATATTATATAATAGTTATTTATTTATTTTTATAAAGTTATAAATTATTAATTATTAATTAAGATTATATTAATAATTTTTGGTATATTTGAGATTAGATATTTATTTTATATTATATTATTTCAAATGATAGTATCTCTAGTATCTCTAGTATCTCTAGTATCTCTAGTATCTCTAGCATCTCTAGTATCTGTAGTAAATACATGTAAAGAATTCGCCCCCCTCCTCCCTTAGCGAATCCGAAAATTAAAGTCAAACCAAGAGTCAAAACATCAGATGACCTTGGCGAAAAATTGAACCAGATCACTAATTATGACACTTATTACGCTGTGTACCTACGTAGGTATCACAACATGATACTTGATATTTACAGAATTATAGGATCATAGAGTAATAATAAATATCGAGATCTCCAATGCATCATTGCATATAACCTTAACCTTAACCTGAACCAGATACAAAACCATGGTGTGGTGAGATGTGAGATGTGCGGTTGTGGAACTGGAGGTTTGTGATTATGAGTGTGTGTGTGTGTGTGTATGTGTATGTTGGAAAAGCTTAGGGTATGGTATGGTATGGTATGGTATGGTGCTGTTTATTTGAGATGGAGATTCTTGAGGGAGATCGAGTTTGTGTGTGATGATGAAGGAGATTTGTGGGTGGAGTGGGTAGGTTCTGTGACCTCTTGGAGTCTGTCTTTGCTTTGCTTTGCTATATTAGGAAATGGAACACGAGAGATGGATGGATTAACATGTTTTGAATTCGTGGAGCTTTTGGTTCACAAACATAAAGATGAGAATAGATAGACGATTCTTTGGATTGAGACAGATCAACTTGTATAGAATTTGAATGACTGCAAGCAGAATACAGTTTTCCATGTACTTTCAATAGATTATAAACTTGGTAATGACTTCCAGAGACGTTGTAAATTATCGTGAGAAATTGAGTTTAGAGCTTCCGAGGATTCCAGCCTGCCAAGAACGGCTAAAATGGAGGCCCATGGTAAAATCTCCAAGCGTAATATGTCATGCAGCCATACTTGCATTAGGATCGTTTCGACTAATTCTTAGTCAAGAGCTGAAATTCATGATTTCGGAGTCCAATCATAGTATTCGAATACGAATTGGCATCGACACCATATTAAGATTTCCGACCATGGAACTATCCAAAGTCCAGTGACGTTACTCGACCCAAGGTTGAGATGAGTTAGTAGCAGTGACAGTGACAGTGACGGTGACGGTGACGGTGACGGTGACGGTGACACTTCCACTTCCACTTCCACTTCCACAGTCCAATAACCAACATTGATGATTGAGTAATATGCAAGTAGATGGAAGGGAAAGTGATAAGATCACAAGAAAGTTTATATAAATTTTGAAGACAACATGATAGAAATAGAGTTAGAACTTAGTTGGTGCACGGCATATGAAATATTTAAAGTGTCCATCGATATGCGAGTATGACCTGTCATATCTCAGTCCACTTCCCCAATTCTTCACGATTCTCGATTAATACTTTTGAGAGAAAGGTTTCTCGGTATAGATATCTTCCGAAGCAGGTCAAAAGAAATGTTCCCGACTATTCTAGTGAAGCCGAGCATCATCACCCTCAAAGTAGTGGATGAAAACTTATCTTCGTGTCATGGCATGATACATTGAATGGGCTATGTATGCGGTGAGTATTTATTTCAATATGTGCATCGGACACTATACGGGTCAATCTCGAATAATCTTTGATCTATCGGATGAGAATCCACTGGCAATAGGAGGAATTTGGGATGGAAGGAGGAAGGTAGTACGAAGGCATTCATCTCTCATTTGCATGGGAGCATCCTAAAGAATTTGAATGCATTCGTTACGATGCGGTATCGTATCACCGAGTGTCACTACCTCATCAATCAAGCTGTATTTGCCATGCTTTTGCTTTAGCCATCAGCTGAACTGAACAAACGTAGAAATTCATACAGTAACCAGGAAACACAAGACAAAAGTTTACAAGGTAAGATTTGCCGTATGACTGGAGAAATATGTTAGTCAAAGAAACTGCAATGATAAGTGATTTGTGACTATGAAGATTTTTCTTTTCACTTGGAAGTCGATCATAAGAGTCGCGGTGAAAGAATGATGTTCGGGGAAATGTAGTAAATTTTCGGGTAAGAATATCTAGATGATTCGATGCTATCACCAAAGAAGGTAAAATATTATATAAATGGAAGTTTCTAGTCGAGTGAGAGGGGTGTCTGAATAATAAATTGGAGAAACTACCATTTGTCGATCTGTGCGTAGATCAACTGCGCTAGTTGATGCAGTCGGTTCCTGTAAAAGCGGTTTCGGATGGGTCTTTTAGTTTTTGCCCCATCAAACTTTATTACTGGACTGGGTACACCGTTCTCGGTAGTCCTGCCCACCTTGGGAGAAACGGTGGAACGAAGGGTATTTTCGTATCTTCACTCCAAACAAAGCTTAAGGTCTTAGACCTCATATGAAAACATGCTCATGAGTGAGTTAGTTATAAAGACATATGTGTTATATATTTGCTATGAGGGCGGAACTCAGTCAATGGATGATGGACGATGTAGATGTTGAGAAGTGTGATAAGGAATACCTCCGTGATGAAGCAGACGATGATCAATACCTAAGCTATGCCAGTGTTACATTTCAGTATTACAGCTAATCGTAACACTCTCATTCGACAATCACCTCCGTATACACCTTTGGCGTCGTAATGGCAATTGGAAGCCATCTTCCAGTCTTTCCCCATGCTTGAAGGTCGAATGAATGCTCGTGTTCCGGATACCCCTTCATTGTCTCACAGGGACATGGTCAAGGTTGCATATATTCCGGTGCGGCAGTATCGTAGGGAAATTGAAAGAATGATAGGGAATTGATAACACTAGTTACCTACATATATTTGATTAACAGTCCAGTCCTTCAAGTGAAATGCTTACCTCCTGCGTACGTATGCAACGAATGCTTCTGATATCACAAGGTCATGGTCGTCGCTGTGTGCTCCAGCCACTTCTTTTGTACCAGAATTGATAAAAAAATACCTATCTGTGTGAATCATTTTGATAGTGTTGTTTACCATGTACCTACTATGAGTATCAAGTATCTCATAAATAACTTACAGCTGGGAAGTATTGACTTTCGGAAGAGTAATAATGATAACAAGTGTTGGGGCAAACGATCAATTCATTTATTTTCTATTTTCACTCACCTTGATCCATTCACATCCAATAAATGAGATGAACTAAAGTCGAGATGGGAGTCTGAAATCCCATGAATCCTTGCCCCTGCATGATATGAGTGGGTGCACAGTGCGGAGCAGAGCAGACTATAAAATTTCTATAATTCTCTTAAAAGTGGCCCCCACAATAGCCAATATTGGCTTAGTGACTGGTTGTTATGCATTAGCGGTATATTTTACATTGATATTTCGTGGTTTTATCGATCCTTCAAGTGGGTACTCGAGTAACCTTAATCAGCCAAATTGCAGAGCCGCGGAATAAACATCCGAAAAGGTTTGGCTACAACAACAAAAGAAACCAATTATATTTATTACTCATTTCCTCTTCCACAAAATCCAAGGAACTACGCTCCCAGAAATTGAAGGGTAAGGATAAACGAGGTACATTATCTCTGCATGCATGCCGGTAAGGTACCAGGTCAATTGTTAGGTAGGGAAAAAGATTTTTCTGCATGTGCTTCTAGAAATGCTCAGTGCGGATGGAAGCTTGAGCGCAAGCAGAGAGGAGGTTGTCAGACATATAGAGTGAATGCTTCCTTCCTCCCTTCCATCTTCACTTGGCTTTTCAACATTTATTTATCTCGGAATCATCTACTCTTCCGTTTCCGCAAATTCAACAAATTTCACGTCACCTAGAATCCTAACACCATCATCTTCACCTATTTGCGTCTTACTTTCTATTTTCCCTCAGTCTTCTCACTTTTTTCCTATCCGTCTTCTAGGACGTCGATAGGAAACTCTTCACAATTCTCAGATTGAACCATTTTCTATATATATCTGTCAACTGATCTTTCAATCTTTACTCATCGCCGAGAGCCAGAAGAGTCATATCTGGCTCACGAGCAATGCCCCGAGGAATTCGGAAATCTCATCAGGATCCCGATAAATTTCCCACCGCCCAACTCTTCTTACTTGGTAAGTTTTATTCCACATTCCATTTCTGCGCCACGCAGACGATCATCGCCAACAATATTAACTTCATTTTAGCTATTGTACGTCTTGCGGAACCTATCGCCCTCACCTCTATCTTCCCCTATGCGTGGCCACTCGTCAAGAAATTCCATGTCGGTAGCGAAGATGATGCATCTTTCTATGCTGGACTTCTCATCTCGGCCTTTGCCCTGGCAGAGTCTATGACTGGCATGTATTGGGGAGGTTTATCTGATAGAATTGGACGAAAACCCGTATTACTAGCAGGATGTTGTGGTACAATGTTGAGTATGATCATGGTCGGATTTGCATCAAACATATGGGTGGCCCTCCTTGGAAGAGCACTTGGAGGCTTCTTAAATGGAAACATAGGTGTTATTCAAACCATGGTTGGTGAAATGGTCACCAAGAAAGAGCATGAGCGTAAGTTAATTTCAGCTGGTCTTGTAGTCTTTTGCGCGGTGGCAAATTTTCTGGAGACATTTGACTAATTTTCTTTTTTATAGCTCGAGCATACTCAGTTATGCCATTCGTTTGGAGTATAGGTACTATCATCGGTCCGGCGATTGGTGGCACATTCGCAGATCCTACATTGACCTTTCCCACTATCTTCTCGCCGGATGGTATTTTCAACACATTCCCATATTTACTTCCAAATCTGATGTGCGCCGGTTTACTTTTTATGAGTATACTAGCCGGGTATTTCCTACTCGAAGAGACACATCCGGATATGCAACCTCGAGTTTCTCTACCTGATGATACATACCATTCCGAGGAAACCCCATTGATGGCTACGGCAGATGCCATTAAAACTCCTGCCGTCGACTTACGCGCTGAAACCTATGGAACTTTCGAGGGTAGTGACGACAGTGAGTGGCGGAATGCATCCACCAAAATTGCATCCACCAAAATTGCATCCACCAAAATTGCACCTCCCAAAATTTTCACCAAAAATGTTGTGGCTTTGATTATCGCATTGGGAATATTTACATACCATTCAATGACATATGATCATTTACTTCCCATTTTCCTCGAGGATACGAAGGGTCTTGGGGAGAGCATATCCGCCATATCTGGTGATTTCAATACTTCTGTGATGGGTGGTGGTCTTGGTCTATCTGTTCAACAAGTCGGCGTAATTATGTCTATAAATGGCGTTCTTGCATTGTTTGTTCAAGCCGTGATATTTCCTTGGGCCGCTGAATTTTTCGGTACCTATAGACTCTTTATTTTAGTCACCGTTTTACATCCCATCGCTTACCTCATGGTACCTTTTCTCGTCTACATTCCGTCTTCGTCCTTATACATCGGCCTCTATACCGCTCTTTTTGTCCGAAATCTCCTTTCGATACTTTTATACCCTGTTCTTCTTATTCTCATCAAGGAAGCTACACCATCTCCAAATGTTCTTGGAAAAGTCAATGGACTAGCCGCGTCAGCAGGAGCTGCTTGTAGAACAATAGCTCCACCAGTCTCAGGATATCTGTATTCGTTTGGTAGCAAAACAAATTTCACAGCTTTGGCTTGGATTGGAAGCGCACTTGTGGCATCTATAGGTGCAGCTCAATCTTTTACGGTTAAGAGGACGAGAAGAGATGGGAGTGAAGAGCGAGAGGAAGAGGAGCAAATTCTTGGTGTCAATAAGCGGGATAGTAAAAACATGTTTCCAGCAATTACAGTTGTTGAGGTTGATTCCAATTCGGAAACTAGTTCGGTTACAGGACAAAGACAGGACGAGTGAGTAATGGGAAAAGAAAATATAAAAAGAATGAGTGTATGAAAAGAATGGACGGGAAAAACAAACGGAAAAATGAATGCATGAGCGGCGTTTTCTTTTCAAACTTTGGCATTCAGTAAGGAAATATTGGAGTTGCAATGGGAGCGATGGAGTTTGTAAATGATAGCGTTTAGCGGGCACTGGGATGGAGTTTTTGGACGCATTAACGTGAACATAAGATTAAAGTATATAAGTGAGTTTTGGGGATTTTAAACGGTGGAGGAGGAATACTATTGTCAGATGGACAGAGAGAGAAAGAGTCGAGCTGGTTGACGAATTGATTGGATAAGAAAAGATAATGAATAAATTATGAAATTAAATAAATAAAAACTTCAAATAAACTTTTTGAGTTATCACTTTATGCGTTTCTTGCTTTGTCTATTGTGATTAGATGATGGAATGGAAAACCTTGAAATGGGAATCGAAGTCGAAATCGGAATTCACGGTAATTGTAATTGGTAAGAGGTAAAGTAAGTGTAAGGGGGTGATGGGTCATTTAAGCGATAGCTATTAGCTATACGGAGTAAGGTTGACCTTAAACTTATGTAGGTATACTATATAAGTACTTAGATAGGTTTCTCGTATAAATTTAAAGACGAATATGTATAGTATTGTGTGGTTTATTTAAACTTTGAGGATGTGAGGATGTGAGAGGTAGAAGGTGGTGGAGAGAAGAAGATGGATGGTGGATGGTGGAGTGTTATGTTATTTGGTTAGATTGTAGGCGTTAGGGGCTAGGGGTTGTGGGATTGTGGGATTGTAGGATGTTGTATGTTGTATGTTGTATGTTGTATGTGATTATTTGCTTTAGCTTTTGGAGGGGGGGATGGGGAATGGTGGGAAGGGAGTGGAATGAGGAAGGGAGGGAGGAGAGGACTGGGATAAGGTATAAGGAGGGTGAGAGAATATATATCTCTCTCTGAGCTTTCTTCCTCCCTCTCTCTCTCTCTCTCTCTCTTTCTTTTTAAAAATATATTTAGCTAGTTAATACTTGATATAATATTATTATTTAGTTCCAGACAAATCTGACGTAGAACTTTTTTCAACGCAACTCAATTGAAACCATTCAACTCTGAAATCATTTAACTTTATTGAAATCATTCAAATCATTCAATTTAACTTATTATTATTATTATTATTATTATAATAATAATAATAATAAGTTGAATGAAATGAATTGAATGAGATAAATTGAATGAATAGAGTTAAATGATTTCAATAAAATTGAAAAAAGTTCCAAGTCAGATTTGCCTGAGGTTGTAAGACTTATGCCAAACTCTTTGTTAGATTATTTACTGGGGTATTTTAGATTATCAGGATCGCGATTCACTTCAACGAGTTTCTCATTTTCTATTATCTACACCAGGTAAACCTCGCATACAGCAAGGTTTTGATGTCGGCAAGCCGACAATAATATTAAACCTTCAAATTCTAAACTTCCTGATATCGAATATTACACGAGATAAAATTCAAAGATTTGAGAACATATTATAAATATGTATATCTCTGTCTTGCTAAGTCAAGATACATACAACTTTAAGGTTTCCTTGTCCCGCTCTCTATAAATCGCTTTCTATACCTTTCTTCTTTTCACTCTGTACTCCTTTTCCTTCCCGAGAAAAATAAAGCCGCCACGAATACAATCATCCGAAACAATACTTTTGAGCACCCTCAAATATTGACAAAGAACAAAAAGACAATCCTATCCAGCAACCCTATCCACCAGACCAACCCACCAGATCAAAACACCAGCCTTCAAACGGGGTGTACTCGGCCTACCCTGTCTTATGGAGCAGTATCCGTTTTGGTTACCCTAGATCATTAAAATATCACCGCCTTGTCACAGGAGCGCTGACCTCAACTAATGATCCTCTCCAATAATTCGACAAAATCCGGATCCAAAAGGTCGTTCAAACTTCACTATAGCAACAACGGAAATGTTGTGTTGACAGTAACAACGCAAAACAACGACACCCCACGGACACCTCCCCACCCCGAACTCCCAGCCCAGCGAACAGCGAATCCCTCTTCCATTTCGCTAGCCCTTTTGCTACGTATCAGCGCAGCGCAATATGACAAATTGTACCTTGTATGTAGTGTAGTATACATATGGTTTGTGTATTTGATATCAAAAATGACGCGAAATGCTTTTTAGCTATCGGTATGAAACCCTCAGGATTCTCACCTGGATAGAAAATAAAAGTAGCAAAATGACCCAAACCCACAGATATGTATGGTATGGTTGAAAGCTAGGTCGTGAGATATTGTGTGCCCTTTCCTCTTTTCTCTTGACGCGTCCAAAGAATGCTTCAAGGTACGCAAGAGTGAAGTACGTAAGCTTTCGGGTGGTTGCTAATCGAGATATGTCAAGAATTACGGAATTCAAGGTGTAAGCAAGCTTTCCATCGAACGTTCAATCTTATCTCAATCAATAACCCCATGCCATCCAACTTCCCTATTAACATACCAAAGCCCACCAGCCTCCAACTCGGCCAAATCTCCTCTAACAACAAATTTCGTCAATGACTTTCCATGGGCTTCCTCCACATCATTAAACAATTTTCGAAAAGTCCCATCCAATAAATGTACCCCCCCATTAGAAAGTTGATTTGGGAAACGGCGTCCTTCCCCTCCAATCTCTAATACTTGGAGAGTAGGTGCCAATGATATAAGAAATTTTTGAAGAGGAGCGAATTTACATGCTCCACCTTCTATATGGAGTCTTTGAAGATGGGTAAAAGTAGATTTTGATCCATCAGAGTTTGGTAGGAGGTGCTCAAGAAGTGGTGTAACATCAGTCTTCCGCTTGGACTGAATGCATAGGTCCAAATTTTTCAAATTCGTAGCAGCCTTGAAACATGTGGCAATGTTCGCAAATGCTTGCAGGGTATCTAAGTCACTGGGCATATCGGTATAATCTAGAACTAAGTGTAGATCTGTAAGATTGTGAAAAATTGGTGCCATAGATACGAAAAGTGCCTTGTTCTGCGCGAAAAACTCGAATGGTAAGAAGTCATGAGACAGGTTTCTGAATTTCAGATCCCCAATATTACGGAGCAGTGAGAAGAGAATGATGGTAAAACGCTCCTTGGTTAATTCTCGACGGAGCAATCTCGTAGAAGGAATCTTCCAGATTGATGCTAGTAGAGCAAGCTCCGGTTCATCAGGTAGGGGAAAAGTTGCCATGGATATGGACAGGGCAGATAAATTAGGCAGGGAACGAAAGACTTCAGACAATATATCTGGATCACACATCCAGGGGGTATATTCCTCTCTCAAGGGTTTGAGACTAGAATATCGAAGCCAAGCTTCTTCGGCCGCTTCAACACGAGTTTCTTGATCGCGAGTATATTGTAAGAAGTATGTATTGTGCCTTGCGTGATATTCATTGATCTCGCCAAGGTTGAGTTCGATAGATCGGATGCATGGTGCGAAGGTCGGATGCCGGCAAAGTTGGAGGAGACGATTGAAATCAGGACGATGTGCGAAACCGTAGAATTTGGGAAGGATGAGGTAAGGTGTACTGAGGGAGCAGAGCAATCGGCAAGTCAAGCGGGCGGACTTGATAGAGGACAAGTCCATATAAAGGATCACAAATCGTATAAGCTCGATTGGTAGTGAGGAGAAACCTGAGCGGGAAGGTGGAGGGAGGTCGATATCTGCCATTGCGACGGGATGGTGTGGTAACAAGTTGATGAGAAGCTATGACGGCAGCTTTTTGAGTGTAACTGGATTGATCAATCGCACAATCGCACAATCTAGTTCATATTAGCTGAAGCTCCTCTTACAGTCTCGCGACGAGACTCCAATAGCAAACAATACCAATATTGAGTAATGCTAATCAACGTGCAAAGTTTAAGTATAAGAGAAGAATTACAAATATTCCCAGAATTCACAGTCGTGGCAGAATGTAGAATGAAACCCCGGTATATATATGGACCTGCGCGGTGCAGGTGCAAGTGCCCTTACTATTGGATCTACCGTATTAATTTGAAGAATACCTTGACGCTAAGCCAGGATCCAAAAAAATGCCCATGAGTCAGGTGTTGATTTCGCGATCAGGATATCTATTTTTAATCACGGGTCCTCAATTAAATAAGCTTTAATTTAAATCGGTTGAAAATAAGAAAGCAAGATATTTACTATCTGATCTAAATTTATATATTTTAATGAATTTGAAATCTTTTTAATTATAATCAATTTAATAAACCTTTTTCAAAATTTAAATTTATATTAAACTTTTTTAAAAAAATTAAAGATTTTGAAGATATAAACTTTTGATATTTATTTTAATTCAAATAGTTTTATAATCAAATTAATAAATAACATATAAAAGATTTTTAAAATATAATAATATACTTTATTATTATTTATTTAATAAAATTTTTAATTATATTATTTTAATAAAGAATTCAAGTTTGAAATAAAAACTATTATTAAATTATATTAAAAATAAATATTTTTATTTTTATTTTTATTTTTATTTTTATTTTTATTTTTATTTTTATTTTTATTTTTATTTTTATTTTTATTTTATACAATAATATAAAAGCTTTTTAATTCAATATTAATTTAATATTAATAATTTCAATTTCAATTTATATTCTTATATTTTTTAGATTTAAATATATATAAAAAAATATTTATATTGATTTTCATTTAAATTTAAATTTACTTATCCTTACAATAGGATTAATAATTAAACGAAATACTTTCTTAAAGTATTTCTTGCTTTCTTAAATATAATAATTCACACTCTTCAAAATATTACAATTGCAAATAGTTTTTAGGGATCTATTTGTCACGAAATCATTTTATAGAGTGTCACGAGGTAACAGTCAACCTGTCTCTATGAGCTTTGACCTTGTTGAAAAGCAAAGCAACTTGTATACAAATTTGTATGGCAACCGCTTCGTATGGTCTCCCACCTTCAGCAAGCTCGGACATATGGTCTGATCCTAGTCACGTGATGGAGCCTCCAGGAGCGTGGGCTCCTGTAGGCTCCTTGGAGCCCTTAGGAGCGTAGGCTCCTGGAGGCTCCCAAAATGGATTAGTATATAGTCAGAATAGTTTCATAGTTTAGGAGCTTCGTGCTCAACTTAGTTATCAATTAGTTTACCTACATTCCAATTGATCTAGTAACGTATTCACCTTCGAGTGGATAACCAGTGATTATTAGCCTTAACCTACAACTACCAACCATACGAAAACCTGAGGCAGCCGCTGCCTCGACCAGATCGTTACACTATTCTACCTTCATCACTATGGGAATTTTTACGGTACGACCAGGCTCACCAGTTAATCTTGATGTACTCACCGCTACGGCTAGTGACTTGAGGAGGCAACTTCAGGATGGCAAGGTGAATTCGGTCCAGCTTGTGGATTTATACCTGAGCCAAATCGAGAGACACAATCATCGAGGCCTGAAATTGAATCAAATGATAAGCACAGCACCCAAAAGAATCCTACTCGAAATCGCAAAATCTCTTGATGACGAGTGTGCTGCTGGGAATATCAGGGGCCCTCTCCATGGCATTCCAATTACCGTGAAGGTAAGCTACCGAACTATGGTAAAGGAATTCATCTAAGCCATATTTAGGACAATATTTGCACTGATAAGTCTCTCGGAATGGAGACTACTTGTGGCTCATATGCTTTGGTTGGTTCTTTTCCCTAGCGTAATGCTCCTACCGTCGATCACGTAGGTGAAGTCCTAGCTTCAAGCGCTGAACGACGTGCTAAAATGTCGTCTAGCTTTTGAAAGCAGGTATGATCGTTATAGGAAAGGAAAAATTATCGGTAGGCGATTTACCATTCTCTATTCGTGTGGCTACTAATCACTGCGGTCATAGGAAATGAGTGGTTGGAAAGGATTTGCAATAACGACAGGATGGTCGGCGGTAGGAGGACAAACACAGTCACCGTATATCGTTGGAGGACTTGCTAAGGGAGAGGAACTACTCGGGCAGACTTTTAGTATCAGAAAAATACTTCTCACTCAAATAGTGGCATGAACTATTCCTCCGAAGGCTCCAGCCGGCTTTGCACCACTAGCAATCGCAACCGAGACAGACGGATCAATCACGCAGCCTGCAAACCGTGCAGCACTATTCGGCATAAAGGTAACCGTGGGTCGTGCATCAACCGAAGGTACAGTCCCTTGGTCTGCCTTAACAGACAGTGTGGGTGGTATGGCGAAGTCGGCACAAGACTTGGCAGACCAGGTAGATGTCATCCTTGGCACAAATATCACTTCAACTTTGAGCACAAGTTGGCAAGGTCAAACTGTTGGCTTTGTGGATGATACACTCTGGGGATTCTCCGACTTTATTTGCGCCCCAGATCCTGTCCTCATTACTCAACAACGCGAAGCTTACATGGATACGAAGAAGAAGCTCATTGAACACGGAGCGATCTTGCACGAAAACGTTCCTCTGACTTCCATGGATGAGCTTCAACTCGATGGTGGTGATGCTCTCGATCAACTATGGAGTAGGTTGTAGCCTTTCTCCGTGCCAATAATTATATTTTAATCTCATACAGACCATGATTATGCGAAAGCGTGGGAGGAGTTCTTGGAAAACTTTCCTACAGCTCAATGAAAAGCATTGCGGACATCGTAAAATTCAACAAACTCAATGCAAAGGTTGCCCTGCCTGCGGGTAAGTGAACGTGTGATCCATTCTGTTTGAGTATAACTGATTGTTGTGAAGAGCATTCAGGCCAGCAACTGCTGGCACGTGCCTTGGAAGACAAAATGTCTGAGGAAAAGTACGCTGAAGGAGTATCATTAGTACGTGAAGCAGCCAAGACGAATAGAATTGACAAGACAATACATCAATTTGGTCTTGATGTGATTGTTGGACCCATGGATGGCCGCATACCTACCATTGCCGCCGCAGCAGGATACCCTGTAGGCACTGTTCCCTTGGGCTACTCTCAGACAAATGGGCGTCCATTTGGACTTGCTGTTGTTGCTCTGGCTAACGAGGAGTACAAGATGTTGCAATTCATGACTGCATGGGATGAACTCATGCCATTACGTTTACCCCCTCCGCAACTAATGAATTGGAATGCTCCCTGAGCAATCTAAACATCTTGGCTCAGCTTTCAAGCCAGGAAACAAATACTTTGGAGGCAACCCTCGAAAGTTGTGATGGCTAAGAGAGGGTAGCTTTGGTATGGTTGATGTATGTTGGGGATGACTTTAGCAACACAAAATTGTCTCGTTTATGGTACAGACTAATCATAGTAGAAGACTTGAATAACCCCATGAAACCGAATTTGTTATTCAAGTACTTTTCAACCATCTATTTTAAAAATACCTTGCTGCAAAATAATGTGCATCAGAACCTGTTTGCGTGGTTAATACGTTCTATGCCACCATAGCTCTTCTGCTTGTTGGACATTCACGGCAATATCACGAGCATCCAGTGATCTTGTTGATGAAAGGGTTTCATTGAGAGGACTGCGCAAACACTATCAAAAAATAGGTACTGTAGAACGTGCAAATAGCCCCCAAGGCTTCTTATACGGTTACATGCTACATTGATCTCCCGGTTCTAAATCACAAGAATAAGTTCCGTTATTTCGACAGCCGAATTATATATTCATACCATTTGTGCCTGTGCTTTTGGATTAGATCTCCCCAAAGATGATGGGGAAATGAACCATTTTTCGGTTGCCAGCACCCCTATTCTTACATCTCTCCAGTGTTTAGACAACGAGGTAGTGAAACCTCCAACCGTAGTATTTTTGCGCCCTGGATCGATGATAATATCCAGCATATCGGCTACGTCTTTTACACATTTAGCCATAGGACCAATGGTATTGAACCTTCGTAAAAACGGAATGACCCCGTCCATGTCAATGTCGCCAGTTGTTACGCGGATACTGTAGAGAGCAGCCGGTATGGCTGAGATCACGATAGATCTAGTAGTATCTGTACCTAGAGCAACTGAAGCATAGATAGCGCTTACTCCGGCCGCTGAGCCAGTGGATGAGCCCCCGGGACACTGATGGTAGGATGTTAGTGGATGCCAGCATAGAATTTGTAGAGCTTAATTATTAGAGCTTTACAGTCGTATAGGCAGACTGAGTTTACCCTTTGATGGCAGACCAGCCTGGAGGTAATCCAGCACCCCTAAGCTCTGTTAGAATTGATCTGTTTAGACTCATTAATCTGAAGCTGTAATGTCAATAAATATTCACACACACACACATATATATATAGCATACTTGTAGTTAGCGAACTCCTGAAGATTCTAATCAACATAGAAGAATAGGGTAATTAGTGAATGCTTACAGAAAGTTGAGATTTAGCTAGGATAATAGGGCCAGCATTTGTCAACTGAAATTTTTATTAGAGCAAGCAAGCAAGCGATTAATTAACACTCGAATCTTGCCTTGCTATCACATCTACATCTTCACTTGGACGAAAGCCCTCAGGAGCATAGCTCCCAACAATAGTGTCCATCCCTAGAATATGGCTAGTAGCAATACTGTCCTATAATAATTAGCACGCAAGAAATGTATAAGAAGAAGATCTGTTAACACCTTGATGAATACTGGAATACCATATAATGGGCTCCGAATACAACCTTGACGGCGTTCTTCATCTAGTTGCAATACAATAACCATAACAATCAAAAAGGTGGATATAATGGCTTTTAGATAAGCATCATAATGTTTGATCTGGGACAAAATTCGTTTCAACTCAACACTTGTAAGCTTCCCGGAAGACAGCAGCGACTGAAGTTCCAAAGCTATGGCGCCGAGAAGGATCGAATTCGTAAATAGCGCACTCTACATTCGCGAATGACTTTATTTCGGCGTCAAGAATAAATGATGGCCGCCTACCACACAAAAGGATTGATGAGAACAGGCAAGATCCGACATCTAATAGCGAACGGCAGTCTGGTTCTTAGACGCCACTGAAAATGAGTGAGAGATGAACATAGAACTTCCTAATGAGAAATTTTATTGCAGCTTCGACTCAATCATGTGATTTCAGGTCGTAACGTTAATTCGAGCCAGCCAGAGCTCTGAATGTGAGATAATACAACTATAACTTCCAAACGACCACCGTCGTAAACAATCTCATGATCTCATAGAAATGTCACTATTATCGTATGCTCTTTTCTAAATCTCTCATGATTTTCGCACCCTCAAATTTATAACCCTTGCTAACTAATATCGTTCTCAAAAACTAGATCCTTCCGCGCACTCCCTCCTCGCACGCGCGCAATGATAGGCGCAGGCTTCATTGCTTGGGGTACAATCGGTCTCTACCTATCCGAGACAGCAGAAAGAAAGCTGGGCTTTGAACCTACTGAGCAAGATAAGGCTAAGATGCCCAAATTCACGGTGGTTGAGAAGGAGAAGTGAAATTAGTTCTTCAGAAATTGGATGTTTGGCAGATAAAATCAATGCAACAGGGCAGAGCAACAAGAGGCGATGTAATATTGAAACAACTTCTGGGATTTCAAGAATATTGAGGCGAATATTGGACGGATACTGGACCGGCTATGCTATATCTGGGGAGGAAGGAGAATATCTGCATACACAGAGATATAGTTGAGGAGGTTAGGCTGGGTTGAAGCTGAAACAAAGGATACGAGAAAGAAACGCAGTGAATGGTGCACATCAGTATTGATACGCTGCTCGTGGCAGGTAGTGAATACGCGTTTGGGAGGAAACATCAATACATAAGATATATCCGCAATGTCTCTCGTTTGAAAAATCTCTTTCGATCAGCTTTGTGCGACGACTTCTCCTTTACTTTACATCATCTACGCGTAGATCACTTTTACGGATGAGTTGAACTTCGAAGAGGAAAGATCTTTATGGGATTTCATAAGGTTTCCGCTTACCTTCGCGCCCCGCGAAGTGAGTGCCGTTGAGATTTCCCTACCACGGCACTCAGGTTTCAGCGCATAATTATATTTTACATGGCTCACCAAGTTATCCCGGGTCCGATTCATAGTGTGTCTACGCGGGACATATGGTCGAGGCCAATTGCACATCCATATGATTGAGGGCATATTCAAACTTTGGATAGATAGGTACCTGAATGCATTCGCACCTGAACATCAATCCTTGCAAATGGAGTTCGCGCGCCTGCCCACCAGCTCTTCCAGATTATGTTTAGCCTACATAATGGACTGGTGTACAGTATACGCAAATTCTCTTTCTAGTATATTCATTGAAAGTTGTACACTTAGGGCCCTAAGCCAATATGATGTGGAACCATGGAAAATGATAGAATTAGATATCTAGTGCGTCTTTTGGGGATTCATATCCAAGGTATCTGCTATAGCAACACTATCCATTGTCCTCAAGTCAGGGCAATGAAATACGTCCGCCTCTATGGACACATGATTGTCATTGCTTCAATTTGCAGTAGGGCGCGGATTCATAAAACTACTTTAGAGACGATGAACATCATGATATTCTCTTACCCTTATTTTTTTTATATCTGCCAACCCCGATCCATTTCTCGATACAGAGCACAAAATAAGTCCTCAATGGGAACAGAACTGGTTAAAAATTATCACCAACTTCCGTCGTATCTATGGAGTGCTGTTCGTACACCACCTAGAGCAGACACATCTAGAAATGCGATAATAGCAACCTAGCATCATGATCCATCGGTACTAAGTATTTAAATACCGAAAATCACTTGCTGTAAAGATACATACCACATACCATAGGTACTCTTGGTTCCTTCTTCTCACATCTACATCACAATTGAAGAATCTCTCAATTAGCTGTGGGAAAGATAGAGAATGGGGAGGTAAATGCTGCCGGGAGGGTTAAAATCGAGTGGAGGATTTGTACACGAGATATGAAGGAGAGAGCTGTGCTGGTTTTTGTTGAATTATTATATTGCATATGCCATATATAGGTTTTTCATCGTCTTCGAAGCTGGCAATGTTGTTTCGATATATTGTGACGTAGTAAGGAGATATTCAATTTCCAGGAATACTCGAGTAAAGATAATCTCTCCTTTTCATCAAATCAAACTCCTGTACATTCGTGGACTGTCCTCAATAACCCATGTTATTACCTACCTGTGCATAAGACTTCCGTCCACTTTGTAAGTCTACACTGTCTTTCCTTACTTTACAAAATAGAATGTAGGTATCTAGCTAGCTCCTTCATCCACCCCAAGAACAACACACAAACCCAACGCCTAAGTATCCCCAAACACCAAAATAGTAATATTAATTTCCATCCTCATCACTAAACCCCAGCCCTACATACATACATACATACATACATACATACATACATACATACATGCAAAAGCTTATCCACCGGTGATCCCAGCCTCCAAATTCCCTGCAGTCTAGCAATATCCTACACAGGAAGGAATTAATTTAGCATTCTCATATTCTCATATTAATTATCTATCTACCTTTTGCTTTACGTTTTATGGATAGACAAAAACCAGATAAAAACCAGAATCAGAATCAGATCAGGAGCTACGGTTTTGAGCTTTCTTTTTATACAACTTATGTGCTTAAAAGTTTAATTATATATTTCATGTTTGATGTTTGTGTCTTTTATATTCGATGTTTGATGGTTCTGGGATAGATATTCTACTAATTAGTCAGATATACAATCGAGGATATTTATCCAATTCAACGTCATATCCAGATATAAATTGGATGCCTCAGAGGCGAAAAGAGGAAGCAGAACTAAGGAGCAATTTTGTGCATAGTAGAGAGGTTTAGAAGTATCCTATTTGTAGATTTCTCTCTTGGTTAAGCAATCTTCCGCAAGTATACAGAGTCGAATTCTGGTGTCCGCTATGGGATCATTTGGAGGTGATTAGTATTTAAAATTCTGCGAAGAAGTGGGCAGAAAACATTGTAATGTTTTCCTAGTTTCTCAGTTATAGACTCGTCGTACCGATCCAACTATGAGATTTATAACTTTCGCCTAATCAAAGTTTGATTTCAGGTTGTACAACCTTACTATTAACGGCATTTCGTTCAATCCTCATCTCAAATCTTAACCCATCTATCCATATCTATCCATCTATCCATCTATCCATCTATCCATCTATCCATCTATCCATCTATCCATCTATCCATCTATCCATCTACTACCCACAACCCAATCCCCTCAGACTCCTCACCTAGAACCCTCACTCCTCCTCCACAACCCTCCAAACCAATCTCTCATCACTATTTTCCTTCCTCCTCAAAGCATCCAAAGCCCACTGAGCTCTCTCCAACAACGTCTCGTCCTCTACAATCTTAATCCTATTCAGTTGGACTACCCCTTGCGCTAACAAACCCAGCATGATTTCCGTCCACTCAACCATCACTCTCACCTCATCACTTTCTGGTTTGACAGTCGGGACTTGTAGGGTCTGTAATGGAGCTCCGATTGAGACAGTGACTAGTGCTGTATGTGTCAACATTTTCATAATATTTATTTTTCTGTAACGAGTTTTGAGCTAGACGATAGCAATCAAGAATAGATGGGATGAGATGAATAAAACGAGGATATTTTACAACTTATCCGAAAATCTCTTTCCATTTTTCATTTTCTTTATTGATATTTATACTTATAATATATCGTGAGCTTCAGCCAGCAACTTGCTTACTTACATCTTGGTATTAGTGATCCCTTTCATTATATTTTCAATCATCTTAGTCCTAACTCCGTGGGGTTGAATCAAATGTGCGAAATATGGCACTTCACCCTGATCAACGGTAATCGATTCAGAAATGTACTGCGGATTTTGGCAAACTCAAGATTGGTCCTACACGTAACGTCTCGGCCGAATTGAAAATAGAAATGAAACTACAATAATTCTCTGTTCGGCCCGTACACATCCCCCCTCTTAAAAACCGAAGCCAGCTCGACAATGTCAGACCATGCATGCATGCAGAAGTTATTCGAGCCATCACCATTCTGTAGTCTTAGCTAATAATAACACACCAGACATAATCGGTAACTAATTGTATATAGCAAATCAAGTCAACACCACAAACATCAAATTTATTAAAGTAAAGCAGGCAAAAGGTACCATGTACCATTCCAATGCATAAAAACTCTCTGACCACTCTCAAGGCGAGGACCTCCTATCCATCCTTCAATCCCGTTCATCTGCCCTATGTACGTACGATCTGAATTATCTAGCCTCAAATCTCCGTCGTCAAAATTTACTGCTGCTCACCAACCAAATTAGTACCCTCTCTCAAACCCTCGACCACCAATTCGTGTCCTTCAGCCCGGCGGTAGATGTCTCTAACATCGTCCGTAGTAGTCTCGAAATGGGATGTAGCGTCGTATGATTTAGAGATGAAGATACGGTCTTTCTCGCCGCTTTCGATAGGTTCGTAGAGAGGAATTGGTGGACCCTGTTTGGTTGATTTATGTTAGCATCGAATTATTTTAATCATAGCAAGGGTGATAGTGGTAAAAGGAGAGAAGCTTACCATGAACTTCTCTTCAATCTTTCCGAGACGCTCAAGACCAGGTGCAAGTTCCAAATGATGGTTAGAGTCGGTCTCGGCAATGGTAGAGACGATAGCGATATAGTAACCCTTTGGACAAACACTGTGGACGTTGGAAACGACAGCAATGTAAATATCTATAAATATGTTAGTTATATATATCTGAATACTTGAGATTCACAAGAACGTACCGTTCTTGCGTCCAACCTGAGATTGAGGAATAATAAGTTGAGCGGAATCAGCATTTTCTGTTCCAGCAAGTGGATGGTTCAAGATGCAAATAGCCTTTAAGAGTTGACCGACCACGCGAACCTTGTCTGGGAAGTATGAAGGGTCTGCAATAATCTTCTTTGTCTTTGTCTCGAAAGTCATGGTGGAGTCATTGCCCTGAACATCCTTCTCATGCATCGTCGCCTTGATACCGCAGACCTTATCTCCATCATATTTGATCTCGTCAATGCTTGCATTAAGCATATAGGTACCACCGTAGATAGCAGACAAACGAGCGAAACCTTGAGGAAGTTCACCGAGACCGTATGCTGGGTAGATGTATGGGGACTTTCCGTAACGGGCGACCGAGTTTCCATACAGACGAATGCGATCGAGGGTTGCTGGAGCTGAGCCCTTCTCGTTGATATAGTCATCGGTTTGGTATAAAGCCATGGCATGACCAAGGAAGTCTCGAGTACCGGTCTCGAGTCCAAATTTATCGTAAACGTCCTTCATGGTGCAGGTACTCATGTTAAGTCCTTCTTTCTGTCAGCGGATTCCAGAAAGGGAGGTATTTCAACCCTCTTACCCTTGTGAGTTTCAGGATCGGCAACATTGAATGTACCAAGCCACTCAAGGAAACTCTTCATCCTTCGCTTCTCAAAGATGCCCATCAAAGATGATCTCAGAGCCTCACCAGCATCCGATGGAACCTTCGCAACCATAGCCTTTGGACCAGCGCCTTGTTGTACATAGCTTCCAGCTACGGATCTGAACTCAAGATATCTCGTAACATCAGTTGAGACGAGAATATTTGTGAGTTCACCCGAAGACATCAAAAGCTTAGGCACCAAATCGATGTTCCAATCATTCGCACGTCCGTACTTCTTCCATGGCTCCTCCCCCTGATTATAGTTTCCATATTTCTTGAAGAGCTATCGTGATTGTCAGAACAAAGCTTTGCAGGCCCTACAATCGTACTCACGGCTTCGATATTGACGGATGCAGCTTCGCTATTGAAAAAATTAGTTATTGTTGACTTATTTCCTTTCTGCCAGCTCGAAATACATACCCTCCGTAATGATCATTTCGATCAATGTGCAAGACCTTCTGTCCCTTAACACTCAAAACTCTATACGCAAAACCATCAGTATAGAATCCTACCATCTCACAAATCCACATACCCAGAAAGAACACATTCCGTCAAACCTAGAAACCAGCGTTAGCCATTTCCCCAACAAAAAGCATAATGCTCCCTCCCATCCATGCCCCTCCAGCCAATGCGGGGTTAAGCAAGCTTACCAGTGCCCAAAACGACAACATCATACTCTGGGGCGATTTCATCCATCTTGAAATTAGAATCTTTGTATTGATTAGGTAGGTTGATTTGTAAAGAAGAAGAGAATATGGAGAGCTTGCTGGTGAGAAAAATCGCAAATGTGGTTTATACTGAAAATTGCAAGGGCAATTCCGTAAATGGTCGGTGAGACGTACAACGTCGTTCTGCTTCACTAATTCCCTTGATTGGCCTCGCTAACGAGGAAACTGGAGTTACCGCTTTGTTGTTGCTGCTGGTAGATTTTGTCTTGGTGTAATAATGCTCAGGGGCAAATTTGTGGAGTTCATTGTAAATTGTTGCTATTGGTTTTGGGTCTTTGACAAATTGATATATGTATTTGGTATGGAGTATCTGAATCTTGACTGGTATTCTACTGGGTGTCATTTCTATTGAACCATTTTGATATCTTCCTATAAGTACCAACTAACGAAAGACTTGGCTTTTACCAAAACACTCTTCATTTGTTCTAGACAGAAGATGATCATTTTTTCAGAGTCACATAAACGCATAGTGCGGCCATAACCGTGTTGCCCCATATGCGTTTCTACTTATACAGATGATGATGGTTGTAGCAACCTAAATAGTTCATGCCAAATTGGGAGACATCTATCACTCCCCGAGACTCATTATTCTTGACCTAGGGATATGATTTTGTATCATACGTCCTCCATGACCTAAGCTGTGATTTGAGCAGGCTTTTGCTCTGCCTCCCCTTCGCCTTCAGCTAAAACTTCTTCCTCAATATCTTCCTCGAAATCTCTAGGGGTATATATTGGCCCTTGACCTGAAAGATCGATTTCTGGATCATCCTTTGCAACAACCTGGGCTTCTTGCCAAGAATAGTACCTCTCGGTCAAAACCTGTTTGATAGCTCTTTGTGTTCTTCGAACCTTTAAATCCTCCATGTTAGTTTCCGTATAATTATTGAATTGCGCGGCACATGAGCCAAACAAGATGTAAACCGAAATCAAAACTCACAGTCATATCCCTCTTCTCCGAATCCTCCTCACCATAGCCCGCCTCCAACCTGTCCCTCTCGTAACTTTCCGTAGCAATGCGATTCCTCTCCTTGCAGCAAATCCACCAAAGTGAATGTAAATCCTCCCAACTCTTTCCCCTCAACTCCTCCGCACTCCATGGCCTCCCATGGTTTCCCTCCTCAGCTGGCGTACTGAGTGCCTTATCCTTATGTCTGAAAAATTCGTATAATCCGTGATCCTCATCAACCTTAACTTTGTTCCGTTTCGATTCATCTAAGACGGGTTTAGGCAATTTCGCATTGGATACTGAGAGGGGTTGGCGCGGCCCTGTTCGTCGTTGTGTAGATACTCCACGCAAACGGTTCATATCCCGTGGGTATAAGTATGTGCTGCTGGTAGAGAAGGAGGTGGATTGAGTGCATGATGAAGTTGTGGAGGAGCTTTGTAGACATGGAAGGAGGAATGCTGGGGGTGTGCTTCCTGCTTTTCGCAGTTGTAGTAGAGTGCGGACTGCAGGCCTAATAACTGTAGATGTCGACATCTTATGTTGAGGCTGTCAATGGCGATGCAATTGCCGCCTTCACACTACCTACTTCCTCAGTTGAGAATCTCGAAAAATCAATAAATTAATTCGGCTACCGTATAAATCTGAGGTGGGGTAAGCAGCAAGACCTAAAGCGCAAATCTATGTTTATGTCCCAAAATTTATCACAACCACATGACTGAACAACCATCAGTTACACAACACTCTCCAAACGGCCTTGTGATTGTGGTACAAAAAGTTTTGTTGCATATCGGAATTTGCGCCCGATGCTCTAATTGAAATGCCCAACTAAAGTTCCCAACCTACCATCCCGAGCCCGAGAACCAACCTCAAGATATTCTAGGCCCGTCGGCTTCCCCCCTTTCTCCTTTTGTCTAGCATTGCATATCATGACCTCTACATACCCATGATTGGGTTACTATGACTTGTGCTACATCTGTTTGAACATATAAAACGGCACATGCAGTATACCGATGCCGAAAACGCGGCCTTCGTTTCTTCGGGATGGAGTGATTCATGTGAGGCTGCTTGGAATACCTATCAGCTTGGAGTCTTGCAGTGTGGTAGTACAGACGAAGAGCTCTACCTGTGACTCGTACAAACAAATGCATAGATCCGTCTAGAGTATCCTAATACATGCATGAAATTATAGTCACAGGAGCTGGATCTAGATTCGTTTGCATGGCTAGCTGTTTTAGTGCAATGTTCTACAGTGGTGTTTAGTGTTTGGTTTCCGGGGAGCTGGGGATGGAGGTTTCTGTAAGACGTATTGTGTACTGCAATTTATGATAGTAGGCATCGCGTTCGATGTCTTATTTTTCTGAAGTTCCAAAATTAGATATATGTAGCGACGCATAAAGATTAATCGTTTAAAGCCAGTCAGAAACGTCTAGCATTTGAAAACAAGATATCACGGCATGAGATGTTATGTTCAGCATGGTCTTTTGAAGAGGGTATGTTTGAATTGAAGCTAGCATGAATCAATGCCAGGAAAGGTATAATATCTCCACGTCCGAATGTAGGCCTCCGTCTAAATGATCGTCTTGTGTCCTCCACCGTCCCGAAGCTCTTCCAATGCACGCCTGATCTCATCTGGAAGAGTACCCTAAGCGATACCATGCATGCCAAAAAAAAGTAATCAAAAGGGTGACATTCTCGCATGCAGAAACCCGGGTATCACAATTTGAAAGCCAACGCCCGATGGAAAGATTACAAGAGGTAAACCATGCCGGCAGCGGCAGCGGCAAGAGCACCTGCTGGAACGAAGTTGGCAGGAGCAGCAGCCTTGCTAGTAGAAGAAGCGCCGGTGGCAGTTGGGGAAACGAAGCTGCCGTTGGTTGCGGTTCCGTTGCTGAAGGTGCCGGTGGTGACCGGGGCGACGGCGCTGGTAGCAGCTGAGGCGTCAGAAGCGGTGGCTGCTGCAGCAGCTGCGAAAGCAACGAGGAAGATGGAAGGCTGCATTTTGCACGTGATTATGTGTATTGATAATTTGGAAAGGCGATAAATATTATTTCGAAGTTGAGGATGCTTTTGAGATTGGGAAGCTTGAGCCTGAAGAACTGAATGAAATAAAACGAATGTGGTTTGTTTACTTGCTTGGAGAAGGTAGAGAAGAGAATCGGACGGTTCAAATACCAAGCTCATTTATTTGTGGCAACAGGAAATTACACAGCCTTGTAAGGGGCACCACTTCTTGTCTCGGTAAGATTTATTTATAGAACGATCAACAGTCTAGAATTCTGGAAGCAGCATGAATCATGTGATATGAACTACGAGGGTCATAACGTGAAATTCAAATCAGACACGGTGAAGCGAAGATCTTTTGCATTTCAATTAATGGTTTGAAACTTCTCCATCCGCCTCATCTTACATACGAAGAAGACTTAGCAAATGAGAGAGAACAGACCTCTTTGACCTATCGGTAACGATGATCTGGTACTGAATCTAGCCCCCGAAAATCAAATTTCATTGATCATGGCGGTCATAACACCTTTAATAAAGTAAAGAAACGAGATTGGGAGGAGGTAATAGCATAAATGAAAGACTCGGTAGACCCATGATATTACTTCACTTGAAGTTGGGGAGGTCAGGAGAATGTACATCTCATTTTAAATTAGGTATATCAAGACCGTGTGATCCTCATCTCAATCGAATTACTTCGAGCGTATATTAGGGATAATTGAAAATAAGTTTGAGGCATCATGCCGCGACACGAGGCGGTGGAATGTCGAGGATTGATATACACAACTTTTGTCGTACAGAACCACATCAACAACGCTTATTATTCGGAATAATACCACAGCATCCCACTTTTGATGCATTGAAACACGGACCTTTCCATGCATGACTCGCAAGAACGTAGGAACGTGGCACTTATTCTTATATTCTTATAACAGCAAGACATGGAAAAAGTCACAATAGCGGATACGGCGCGCCTGAAGAATAAAAAAATGGGCATGGAAGCACAAAGTAACTTCTTCGTCCCCTGCAGGCTGCTTGACAGGTTGACTTGCCTCCCAACTTCCAAGATCAAGCATAAATCCTTGTAGATCTCGTTTTGAATGTAACCTGCCAGCCTCTTCTGTCAAATAATGAGTTGTCTGGCAATTTAGCAAGCCAAATATGTGTTAGTGAGACTTTTTAGTTGAATCCTCTGCAACACGAAGCTCACGATGCAATTTGTTCAGATCCGACCCTTGAGTTTCGGTCAGATCAAGATTAACGAATCATGTGCTGGAGGGATCGAATGTTGCTGATTTTCTGTACAGGGAAAAAGCTCCTGTTCCACTGCATAATGGCTCGATGCTCGTACGCGGGTCTTCCATTGCATCAAACCCTTCAAATCTTCAACAATGCTCCAATTAGGCGAATGATACATCTACCCAAAGTACTTTACACAAATCCTTTTGAATCACCTGGTGTTGTTGATGATATCATACATCATGATACATGAGGACATCTTCAAGTCAGCATGTGGAGGCGAGCGGTGTAAAATTCCTTCGGCGCCATTATTAACGTGTCGTTTGTCGGTGGTCAAAAAAGGCGCTTGTTAATGGATGTTTTGCCGGATAGCATGGGCCCGCATGTCCCAACGCTCACGATAATAATGAAGCTAGAGTAGATATTCGATCGCTGGCCGCCACGCACGCGTACGGGGATGTCTGATTTTGGACTTCTTTGAATTGCCTAGGAAGAAGCAGTTCGTTGCCTGAACCTCGGTAAACAGATGCCGTACAATGTTGTAGAGTACATAGCATCGCTTGGAGAAGTTGTGAGGCGTTTCCAATAGCATTACAATCAAATTGCACGAGTCGCGAGTCGTGAATCGTGCCATAGTTACATAGTTTCGACAAGCTAAGACTAACAGTGTATTTTAGCCTTCAGGTGCTAGCATTGCTGCTATGATTGGTGCGCGTCCGGAAATCTGTCAGTGAGAAATGTTCAAATACACGGCTCCCCTCTCAAGCATCGGTTTGATGTTTCACTTTTCTGAGCAAAATATTATTCACACATTGCAGTGCAGGAGGCACCTTCTGAGCAGTGCACTGTATCATTGTCATTATCATTATCATTATCATTATCATTATCATTATCATTATTTTATCATTATTGACAAGTCAAGGTACGGTTAATCTGTGTACACTTTACTCCGTAGAGGTTGAAATGGGAATGGATTTATCATGATAATGCTATGTATACATGTATGTATGTACGTACCTAGTAGGGACTGAGTGGATGGAACGAAATTATGCATGGATGAGAAGCGGATGGTCGCACCAAATGCATAAAAGCAACGAAGCAAGCATAGAGCCAAGGTTTTATCCAGCCTGTAACCGATTTGGAAGCCAGTACCTTGAATCCTTACGGTAACATGGTAGGTTCGCTTTGAATGTCGATAACGCAGGCGTAGCGCCACATAGAAAAGACTGCCTGAATTGGAAATCATATCACGAGCCTCACTTGATTGGATGATGCATTGGCACATAGCCGCTGTCGTGCTTGATCGCAGAACGACGGTTACTTTAATCAATGGCTTCATTCAAACCTATCCGAACAGTTCATGATGATGATGATGATTGCGATGATGATGCTGATGCAACAGCAATAGCAACAGTAGTAATAATAGACTTTCAGTCTCGGGATAACGAACAAAGATTGATAGTTTAAACTTAATATCAGGATCAAATCAAATCAAATCAATCCAATTCAAGACTGATTGCTGATCGATCAGCGATAACTCGAATTGATAGGCGGAACTCTTCATCGTAGACCAAAAAAAAAAAGACTGGTACCGCCACACCGTTTGTGCGTCCTTCTCTGGTGCTTGATGACGCAGCACGCAGAACAACATGCTTACCAAAATCCATGTCATACGTACAATCGGCAAGTATGCCGGGACTTTTTCATGAAAAGCAGCAAGCAGAAACACTCTATCGGCTGCTTTGAGAACCCTGCTGTTAACAAAAAAGTAATCTTCCTAAAAATCCAACCTTCCCAGCGTCCGAAAGTAGAAAACAAGGGATCGTCGACTTCTACTACCTTTCAATTTGTTGCCATCGTTGAAGCCCTTGGAAACTTTGGATTTTCGCGGCAGTTCGGAAGTTCGGAATTCCTGCTTTGATTGGGGAGATCATCTAAACTTCTAAAGATTCTAAACGCATTTGATTAAACTCTACCCAGAAAAGAAAATCGAGCAGTAAAGGAGTAAGGTGCCTGTATCCGGAAGATGGCCTGTTACCAGCCGGAGGTGCGGCTTTGGTTGAGTTTCATTGCTTTTCGAGATCATACTTGGCCGCATAGAATTCGTGGACGAGTGTGCGAAGGCAGCGTGGCCGTTTCTGAAAGTGATGAAATGCATCAGGGCCTGAGCTGGCGATAGCGTGTGAGTTGATAGACAAAGTAGGACTTAGTAGGACAGTGTTTTGAATGTGTTGTACACAGCACAGATACTGCATCTGGCTTGCAAGGTGTCTAAGCTGTTTGAAGTAAATGATAACACGGAGTAAACCGTTTCTTGTGTTATCAGATGGTGCGTTGGTGACATGTTATTGAGGAGTGGTAGGTAGCGTAGCATAGCGAGTTTGACATGCAAAGAAACTAACGGTATTATTCACAATGGATGGGAGGCTTCGTTGGATGGCTGGATGGCTGGATGCGTTAACGAATGCGTGGGAAAGAGTTTTGGGAAGGTTAAACTTTCCAACCCTCAAATCGATCCTATTACCTATTTAGCTCCTGTACAGTGAAGCTGCTGCTATACAAAGATTACGGAGGAGACAAAGAATCGTCATGAAGGACAGCGAGTATAACCTTGCTCATATGCCGGGCCGGTAGATGTAGACCTCCTCCCGAGTCCCTAGTAAGTTTGTCGATTTGAGATGAATCAGGAGATGATGCCATTTTCATCAATTTCATCGCCTACGCAGGAAATTCGGTGAAACTTTGAGCATAGAAATTCACTCAGCTTCTTTGCTCAAACGGTAAAGCGAAGGGACAGGGGTGAATGTCATTGTATGGTAATGCTAAACCTCTATGCTCTAGCTAAGTCTAGTTAGAAATCTATGAATTTTCTACATGGCATAAACCCCTTTACGAGAAAGTATGGTAACCAAGCAATTCGTCTATTTTACCATGTCATGTACACACATACACATCGGTAGGTAGCATTGAAGTCCAGGATCAAAAGCATTACGACTCAAGCCTCTCTGCCAATGGCCAAAAGAGTTCGATTAGAGGCCGACTTTGGCACAGTAACTTTGGGAGAGTCATTGGAAGGTATCGAACTGGAGGCTCAGTGACCTATGGGATAATTACCAAGCTACCAAGTATAATCAACATCCCTTGGCATTCATTAGGTTTTCTACATTGTAACAGATAATGACGCTAGCAGTTATCCGAAGTAGAGGCCGGTCCCTCAAAATAATATTCTAAAAGATATCAATACGTCGAGTTAGCAATGACATGATCCGAGGCATAGGACATGTATCCTACGCTCTCTTTGTGAGGAACCGTTGATATCAGTAGGATACCGGCAGTAGACGATAGGAATTGGAGACTCGACACCATCGAGCATCTAAACTGTACACATCTAATTCGTAGAGCATCATCATGAAAACCTTTTTGTCTATTGCAATTTGATATGCTTCATTCGGCGACTAAATCAACTTGGGAAGTTTCTGCTTCCTCTACCTTGTCTGTCTACTTCGTTCCTGCTTGCCATGTCAATGCTTTGTTGAAGCTAAGGATTGTTTTGCTCTCAACCATCATCCCATATCCCATCCTCGGATTCCTCACCGTTGGAAAAAAAGTCGAGCTATTCTATTTCAATCCATGAACGCGAGAAATATTTTCATTCAAATCCATCCGTCCGTTCACTTCGAATCATTCTATCACCAAAAAGGGAACACATACCTCTCTTAAAGCAGCATTATCTGTTGATTCAGGGAAGAAAATCCTTACTCGTTCACCGCACTAAATACCGACATTACCTAGTACTATTCAAATTTTCCCTTTTCCTTTTTCCCTCAAGAGTCTCAAGAGTCAAGAGTAGTCTAATAAGATCTAAGAGTGAGAGGATTTCTTGTGACGCCTCCACTCAAAACAGACGTCCGACGTTTTTCTTTCTCCATCATACTACCTTCTAAGTTCTTACTCTCCCTTCCAAGTTGCAACCCACCCACCAGGCCTATCCACTCTTCTATCATCTAACATTTCCATCCGCCCTGGAAGATTCGAGGAAAGGTAGAAAGGCAACAAGCATAACTTCCTTCCCGCAACCCCCCCTCAATCTCCAATTTAATAGACGCCGTGCTACGGAAATACTGCTTCGCAAAATTCGTGGGCGGATTAATATTATTTTCCTGGATTCCTAAAAAGCGTTGAAGGGTCCCTGTTGATCGACCGCATCCTCACACTTGCGAAAAAAAAAATATCAAGTTCCCCACCACCGCGTTTATTTGCGCCCATCTTTGGATCATTGGAACGGATAAAGTCTTCTTCGGATCCACTTATTGCTTCGAACACGAACATTTCACAGTAAACATCTTGAGCCTCGTAGGAAAGCTTCGTCGCGCTTCGTTCAAGCTACCCCCAAAGAGTTATCCATTCTCCATAAACGGCCTCAATATCATACTGCTTACGGCGCGCATCACCGTTGTTGTTGTTGACGCAGGGTCCATTCAAACTGTCCACCGTCTTATCTGCTTCACAAAACCTCGAATACGCACATCCGTTGGCGAAAAAGAAGACTCGACAACTTAAACTTTGAGTATTTGGACGCGACAAGACCAATTGGTTTTTTAAAGTCCATTACATTTCAACCTCAAGAACTACGGATCAATAATTTCGGTCACAAGTGATATAACAGTGAAAAGTTCTTATGATTGAGTAGTCGATCATTCCATCAAGAAAGTCCGAATCAAAAACTCCATACTCGTTATGGACAACGCCCAATATCATTCAAACGCGATGAGCAACGGAAACTCACCATACTCTCCACTTCCTGGAATTTCTCCTCACCAGCTCCAACACAACGCGAATTTGCCTCCCCATACTTTACCACCTCTGCAACCACAGCAGCACGCGGCAATGCAACAGCAGCAGCAGCAGCAGCAACAGCAGCAGCAACAGCAGCAGCAACAGTCATGGAGCGCGCCTCACACTCCACGTACTCCCGGCACACCAAACACACCGGGGTCTGCTAGTTTAGGTTATTCGCAGGTTGGGGCACAATCAAGGCCTGCACAGATGATGTATGGAAACTCTTACCAGCAGCAACCCCCGCAACATCAATACCGCACCTCAGCCTCGATGATGCCCCAATCGTCAACCGCTTTATCGCATAACCAGCCTATTGCTCCGGCTCCTGCAGCCAGTCGAGGTCCCCCTTTGAGACCTATGCCTGCGAGTAATGTCCCACAACACCTCTCGATGCATGGAGGTTATCCTCAAAACAATATGCTTCAGCAAGTGCTTACAGAAGAGCCTCCTACCCATGTAGTGGGTTCTCAGGGTCGAAGAGGAATATTGCCCAGTGCACCGGGTCGCCCACAGGTCACTGCTACTGGCCCTGGATCCACAAAAAATGCCATGATCCCCGCAAAGGATGCTGATGGAAAATTCCCATGTCCTCATTGTACTAAAACATACCTTCATGCCAAGCATCTCAAGCGTCATTTATTGAGACGTAAGTATTCTCCCCATATTTCACCAGTCACTTGCGGGATAAAACCTTGACACATTTCAGATACTGGAGATCGCCCGTACATGTGCGTACTTTGCCGTGACACCTTTTCCCGCAGTGATATCTTGAAGCGTCACTTTCAGAAATGTTCAATTCGTCGTGGAAACCCTACAGGAGCAAGTCACTTGTCCCATGCGCAAGCGCATTTAAAGAAGTCACATCCGGGACCGAAAGCACATCAGCCAATGGGCCCCGAATCTGATCTTATGGGTATGAATGGTATGAATGGTATGCCAAATGATGGCTCAATGCACCCATTTGGTGTGGTTCCCGATGGAAGTATTGCCGATGCTGGTTCTAACTTAACAGATGATCAAGCTTCGAAAGCTCCGAACGATCTTCAGCGACTCGGCAATCCCGATAACAGAGACCGAAGGATTAATGGACCTGCAGCAGGCGGTTCGAGTCGATCGAGTTTTGATCAAGGCTATGGAGGAGGAATGCCGAGTACTATGTCTTCCGCTATGAACCCTGCCATGGCATTCAGTATGCCAAATGGTCAGAATGGTCATTCTTACAGTCAGAGCTACGATTTTGCTTCTCAAGGCAACACTGCTAACTTGCATGCGCAGTCGATGGAGGGAATGTCAACTGTTTCTAACGGACGACCTCCGATGCCTGTCTATGCAGGAGCGAACGCCAGCCAACATCCGATACTCGACTGGCCTCACATGCAATCGAACGGTCAAAACAACTTCATGACTCCCTACAACAACTCGAACCTCACGAACCAACAAATGCAGATTAAACAAGAACCTTACAACTCGAATCTCGCGAACTCACAAATACAAATAAAACAAGAACCTTCTAACCACGGGTTATTCACTGGTGTTGTCTACCCAGGTGCTTCCGATATCCCAAGCTCTGATTTCTCCAATTGGAACATCCCAGCTCCAAACGACCCACTCCAGCAAATTTCAAGCCAATTGCTAAATTTTTGCCTTAACGCACATTCACAACTCAATGCTCGCAGTCAAGAGATTAGGAAATTTCTTTCCGCAGATAACATTAAGCACTTCCTTGAACAGTTCAGCAATTTCCAAGGGCACTTCCCCATTATTCACATGCCAACGTTCCGTATCACAGATTCCTATGAAGGCCTTCTACTAGGTATGATCTGCGTTGGCGCGGTTTATTCTGATCGCATGAACCCAGCTCAGGTCCGCGAGATGATGGAAGTTATGAAGATGGTAATAGAATCCAATTCTCAAGTCTATTCGATCATTTCCCGCGGACCAAGTGGTGATTATCCCAACGAGTCAATTGGCTCTTCCAAGTTTGAAATTGAGCAAATCGCAGCTATATTTATGATGCAAGTTCTTTTCACATGGCATGGTACACCACTTCAGCGCGAGAAAGCCCGGCGTGACTTCCCAATGGTTGTCTCTCTGGCCAGAAGGGCTGGTCTCACACAACCAATGACCACGAGCCCTTTTAGCGTTCTGCACCAAGCCCATGTAAATGTTGATGCTTTCGTTGCCGCAAACTTCGATTGGAATGCTTGGGTTGAGCAGGAAAAAAAATCTAGGCTACTGTACATGATCTTTTTATTGGATTCTGCTTTGGTCATATTCTTCAACATTGCGCCTTCTTTTGATGCACTTGAGATTCGACTTCCTCTTCCTGCTGACGACGCTGCGTGGGAGGCTCGCTCTTCTGCGGAGTGCGCGGATGCTCTCGGTCTCAATGGTGCCGCGGTCTCAGCCCAAAAGAACCCTGAAGGCAACCGACGACGCAAGCAGCCTGAGATGCACACCGTACTGAAGACTCTGATGCATCATACTTATGACATGCAGCCCGGAACCACGAACTTGTTCTCCAAGTTCGTTCTGGTTCATGCTCTTCATGTGCAATTGTGGACTGCTCAGAAACAGGTGTCACAAGAATCTGGGCAAATCGCTGCATCCTTGAACAGTGGAACAAATACACCACTAAGTCAAAATGACTGGGTTATCAGGAGTGGGGACCAAAACGGTAGTGGAGCGCCAAGCGCAAATAACAGTGGGCGGGCAACTCCTGTCGATGGCCAATCTCTACTTTCTCACCAGCTTCTCAAATCTGTCACGACAGCCTTCGAAAAGTGGAAGAAAGCGTGGGATGAGGATATCAGCGTCCAATACCCCCCAGGAGCTTCCTATTCCCGCCGCTTCGGGTTCTGTCGTGATGGCGCACATTTTTACTGGCTTCAGAAGTGTATGCTATCTCAAAAGCTCGACTGGCAAATGCCTTCGGATCAAAGATTCACACATGTGATTCAATTGCTCAAATTTTCTAAGCGATGGGCCTCCACCGATACATCAAAGCGAGGAGAGGAGCCTGGATCGGTCAGTGACATTGACAAAGACTTTGGAGTATCGAACTTGACACTAGACATGGCGCAATTGTTTAGACCAGTAAACGCAAAGATTGATTCCCCTGTACAGGGCGTACATACCAACATCTAGCGGAATCATATGAATTATACGTTTGGGTGGGGATAGCTTATAGATGGTTTTCATTGCATTGCACGGGCGTTGTTGCATTTTCCTTTAATTCATTTTGCTCTATCTGACAGCGTCGAGACCTACAGAGTATATTCGGTTTAAGAAAAGTTTGCGTGGGTTTTTTATACATTAGCATTGCATTTGGCGGCGAAGGGATGAGTTGTGATTAGAGGCCTCAGCACCTAACGTGTGCTTGGGATTTCATTTTGTTCGCATTCGTTGTCCCCGCTCACCAGGACGATGTCACATTTCCTTCTGAGTTCGGAAGCGGGGAAGTAAAGGAAAAAAAACTTATAGAGGGATACCAGCTTTTTTAAGCGTTGCATTAGATGGCTTTGCTTTTTTCGATTGGTACCTTGTTTATAGAGGCGTCGTTGCGATGGGTTGTTGGGGAGGAAGATGGAATGTCCTTTGACCGGGATTATGAAAAGCATTGAGGCGACTTAGGTGGAGGAAAGAGGATCGGCATTTGCTCACGCAAAAACACAAAAGCATGAAAATTACTTAAAAATCTACACACCAAAATCTTACATTTGGTAGTGCAATCTCTTGCAGCTTAATGTTGGACGAGGTAGTTAGCCGGGCAGGAAAGGAAGCGTAAATAGAGGGTCTGTACTTTTACATACTTCTCTGTTTCTCTTAACTTTCTTTTCCGAGGGGGGGTTGCTTTGCTCTTTTCAGGTGTTCATTCTTTTCACGTTGCGTTACATAGCTCAGGTCGAAATTTGGGGCGGGGTGGGATACATGGGATAAAATGATTGATTGGTACTCGACATGACTTTCGTTGCTAAAGTCGTTGGTATTATATTATATTATAGATAGAAATCAAAAAAAGAATCAAAATTTTATAAAAGGGATATTCTGTGTGTGCGCTTGTGTTGAGTAGTGTTGTTTCCGTGAGATGTGATGGATATTTACTAGATATCATAGATTGATATATAGAGATGGGTATCTTGGAATCAATGGCTAGGTGCATTGTATTGTGAGAGATGAATGGATGAATGAAAGACAGGTGAGATATTTAGTTAGGTAAGATTTAGATGATACTACTTCCTTTCGAGTGGGACTTTCTTCTTTCTTTTTTACTCAAATCCCGTAGGTGGAGGGAGGGAGACATAGATGAAGTAGATATCTGGGTGAAATAGACACCTAAGTGAAAAAGATTCCTAGGCGCACAATAACCTTACATCAAACACAAACCCTTAAGAATACAAATTAACAACTACCAGCAGTATTATTACCATACGGCCACAAATTCACTCCCACACCATGAATATAGACCACCTCAAATCATTCTAAAAACGAAAAATCTTTATTTAATCGATATATCATATATGATGTAACAATCGACTGAAAAGGACTATAAACATTCGCCCATCTATAAAAGGCCGTTGAAGGCAGTGAGTGATATCACAAGTCCGTATACCATTAAAAATATCGGCTGTCACTTTTTAAACCCCCACCCATACCATTTTGGATCGTTGAGATCCTTTTTGAACGCCAAACTTGTTGAAGTTTGCCCTTCCTAAACACCAGCGCTAAATGCAATGTTAAATGCCATAAAACCAAAGTGACCCATCCTCATACATGTTGAATCGTAAAATCGTGTTGAAAGTATTAATGACCGTTGGCCTGCCCGTTTGTTAGTGGGACGGACTGGGGTTCGATAAATCGTACACCATCAACGTCACCATTCTCGGAAGTTTCGAAAGGTTCTTCGAGATTTTTAACAGTGAGCCCATCGAAAAGTGGGAAGAGCCCATGTGACTTGTGGAAGTCGTTATGAACTAAAATTAATGTTAGATCAGTGGCCATCTAAGGATTGAACAGAAAGAATAGCTTACCAATATTGACAAGGTACCATGAATCCATAATGGATTCAATGAGTCCACGACTTGGGCTAAGTGCAGAATGACAGTGAGCCCAATCTGTTCCCAGACGGAATGCCTCATCTTTCCAAGCTAAGAAACTGATGGTCTCGACGATGGTAGGTTGCACAATTTCTTTACCGGGAAATACTCCCCAGGTGACAGCGTTTGGTCCATCACTCTGTGCGTTAGTTTGCAAATCTCCAGTCTTCTTAACAGCATAGTATGTTAGGTCAGGGTCGTGTTGAATACGACGCACTAACTCTGGCATCATATCTGGAGCGACCAAGAGTTCCAAATAAGCTTTCTGGTAAACATAACCATTTGTAGGTCCCCAACCATACACGGGATCAGATGATTTGACACCATCAACAGCAGGTTGAGAGTTAATGGTAAGGAATCCACGTCGATTGAGCTCAATCAAATCAGATTTAATGATATCTGCTTCGCTTGAGATTGGAGCTTCACTCCAAGGAAGGCTTTCTATGCCGTTCCCAAGATAACTGACGAAGAGTTCGGCGATATCCTTGATAGACTTTGGTTGACCCCACAGTTTAATGTTTTGTTCATTGCTGCCCTTTAACCCAATTCCATAAGCATCCAACTCGCCAAAAGCAGGAGATCTCGAGTCTCCCCATCTACCGTTAGGAAACTCATCCCAATCCTGAGTTCTAGCCACATAAGACTTGTTTCGGTTCTTCCAGAAAATTGGGCGAACATCTTCCTCTCTACGACCAAGGCCAAGCGACTGTCTCCAAGGAAGTGCGTGTTTCAAAGGACGTTGCGTCGATGGAGTCAGATTAAGTTCTTCAAGCACCATGCGAGTCGCCTGAGCTAGGTTCATAGTGTAAAAATGTAGATGATGTACTCCAGCTTGAATAATGCGACGACACATTTCAGCCACCAGATCCTTTCCAATGTTACGCACGGCAGCATCGTCATTCTTGACCGCTTCGAGAGCCACACTCCATTTAGGTGGTATCTTACACCCCATGTGGTTGCATCTTCGAAGAAAGCTTGCATATGTGTTGATGGGCATGATACCTGGAATAACAGGAATGGTAACCCCTCTTGCTTTAACTTTTCCCAGCCAATCAATGAAGTTATCGACATCGTAGAACATTTGTGTAACAATGAAAGTAGCACCTGCATCGACCTTTTCCTTTAAGTGGTCTAGTAATAGATCTTCATCGTCCTGGTCATCGCAACCCTCGGGATACCCGGCAACTCCTATATCGAAATGATTGCCGTACGTCTGACGAATATAGTGAACAAGGTCTTTCGCATATTGAAATCCTCCTTCGGTCGCCTCCCACTTCTCCTTTTCACGCGGAGGGTCTCCTCGTAAAGCAAGAATGTTTGTGCATCCAGCTTTGTAGGCATTTCTGAGAGCTTCGTCGACCTTTTCTTTTCCCATATCGGTACAAGTCAAATGCATGCAAGTTTCCAAACCATATTGCGATTGAGCCACTCCCACCATCTCGCAGGTCAATTGGGCGAGTCGACCACCTGCGCCCCAAGTGATATCAATGAAGCTAGGACCTAGTCCATGCATGCGGTCCATTCGATCGTAAAGATTTTGCACACCTTGAGCAGTTTTCGGTGGGAAGAATTCGAAAGAAAAAGAGGGGTTGCCCGACCTCTCGGCCTCTGCGAGCATGTCTTTGATGTGCATCTTGAGACTTCTGGATTTTTAAGTAGTAGTGCAGTCGTATGGATATAAACTGAAAGCAATGATGTTAGCAAATTTCATTGTAAGCTCTGAGATATCTAGGCGGTGAGCGTCGATTGTCAAATTTGACATCAACCCCGCAACGCCTTTAACAATGGCAAAATCAACGCCCTGAGTGACGGCTACATAGATTTGCAGGTTAATGTAAGGGAGGGTAGTGAAGTATGGTACCTTGTTGTTGCCTTTTGTGAGGATATACCCTTTTCTAGCAGGCTAGAGCAGATCCTTGAAATGATAATAAAGAATGAAGAGGACTAGAAGGTTACTAGCCAAAATACCTTTTACGCGCCCAACGATCTGCTACTTCCCGCAGCATGTACTTCAATTGTTTTGTTGGCTGTGCTACGGAGGTTTGCAGGAAAAGGTTGATGGTGGAGTACAAAGGTGCGGTGGTGAGTAGGAGCGATGCAAAAAGGCTAGAAAATTGAGTATATATGATCAGGACTAATAAATTCGACCCAATGATTGATCATACATTAACTCCACATTTCACAATGAACAATGGAACAATGAATTCTTCATTCTGGAGATACTCTCTGGCTACAAGCACGCAAGCAGATTGATAAGGAAAATACATGGTCTATATATCTTATCAAGAACAATTACCTAAGTAAGTACTTTGACTACCTCTTTCCCGGCGTTTGTTTTGTTTGTATTACCCAACAAGTCCGGATTTGCCTGCTGCTAATAAATTGGTCTCAAAAATCATCGGGAGCCGACGAAATTGCCCCTCGCTACGGCATGGTACACTCGCCACAATTGACTAAAATGCTCCGGCTGTATGGAGACGAAATACCTAGTATCCATAAGTTTGTGGATTGGATGAGATCAGAATCAACTAACAATGTTTTCCTCCAAAATCAAGCAATCATTCATACCTAGTAGTCTTGTTAATTGTGTTGTACTATGTAGTTAGTATCTCCCTTTATCTCTACATACAAGCAAACCGCCACAAAGGATTTGCTTTCATTATCTCAATAATTCAATAATGCCGCCCATAAAATAGGGAAGTGTTAACTAACGCCCGTGCTCCATATTGCCCCTCCGTGGATATCATCACAACATACCATACCAAATTCTAAACGGACGACGATGCCAACCAAATGAAAACATCAATGTTGTCCCGCACCATCCTCATCAGTCCGTAAGCCATTAAACTGAGTGCCTTGATTGGCAGTGCTCAACCTTGCACACAACCCCAATAATACTACTGTTTCTGTAGCAGCATAGTGGTTGAGAGCATCTAGCAAAATCTGCAAATGCTTGCTAAAGTTGAACTCGTATTTTTTGATGATCTCATACATCTTTTCGAGTCGGGTTTCATCAAAGCCCCCTTCCGGGGGTTGGTTCACATTGTTTGATTCGCCGTTTCTAGCGCTTCGATCACGCTGGTAGCGAGTCCATTGTTGTGCGTTCATGGTACTGGGCCTTTCTGTACCTAGTAAATCCGTGTCGATCTTCTCCAATTCTCTCGAGAGCCAGGAAGTGAACGTTGCGAACATAGTGCAGGTTGACATCAATTTAGAGTGGATCTGTCAAAGTGATTAGCAGAGCTTAACTTGAGAATCATAATAAACATACCCTCAGAAGTCTGCTATTCGTAAGCATGCACTCCTTCATACAAGTATCAAGGAAGTCAACGTGATCTTGCATCAGTTCGTCGACAGTTCTCACAGCTGGTGTTTTCCCAATTTTATCGTCTTCCTTCGCGTTGAGCCTAGCCATCAATCCCTGCCAGTTTGGTTCAATGACTTCGGATGTGCAAAAGTAAAGAAGTTGTTGTACAAATACCAACATACGTGCTCGCAATGTAAATACTCTTCGCTTCCACAACTCAAGGTTCCGATTTGAGCTTTTGTGAGACCAAGTAGCGGCTCGGTTATGCGTTTGCCAACAGGAAACAAGCTGTTGCTCAAGATAGCGCAAGGATAGCAGATACCGAAAGAGTGCTTGATATCTCCAGACTGTCTTCCTACTAATGACTAAAGACACTGGGAAGGGGACGGAATAATCTAATTGAAGGGAGGTAAAGCCCACAGCAGCCTTGTCGTTCTCCGTGACTGGTTGAGCAGGAGTTTGTAGTGACTCTCCCTGTTCAATACCGGATATATTGACTACCCTAGTCAACATATTTGTCAAGCTGATATCATTCATCTCAACTTTGATGTCTTCCTTGAAGGGATCTTGCGCTGCGACACTTCCAGGTTGTCGAAGAACAAGATCGAGTAAAGACTGAAGCTTGCTCGTGTTAACAGCCTTGACAGGTTTTCGCAACTCGGAATTGCCGAGCTCCAGGAAATAAGAGAAGAAGTCCGAGCGGTCTAAGAAGAAATAGTGCTTCAGGGACCTCAATCGTGCAGGTAAAGCATGGGCAGTCAGTAATAACTTAAGCAAAGACTCGTTGGCATGCGCGTAGGCACTATTGACGTTTTCCAAGAATCGATTGTCATCAAATGATCGAGGGACATCTTTCACCTCTTTGCTTACATCAACACCTCCACATTCACGTACGACGTTCAGATACTTGCCCGCCAAGAGGACTTTATCTTTGACACCTTCCAATTGAGGAGGTACATCAGTATCCCTGATCGTGTATCGTCTTTCCCAATACTCATCGGTATAATCCTCCTCCAGCCTTTCTCTCTTGATACTTTTCTGTTCTCTCACAAGGAACTCTGCATGAGGATCTTTGATGCTTCCATGATGTAACCACTCATTCAGCATCACCATATAAGGGCGGCTAGCATCTCGTAACAATGAGGTTAGGAGAGACCTAGCAGCTGGATCACCAGACATTGTCTCCAATCGTTTGGTGATGAGACCTAGTACACTTCCACCTTTGCAGATCTTTTTACCTGGAATATTTCCAAGCCCAAGGTCTCCACCTTCCCGGAGACTTTCTAGAATATTTTCGAAATCATCCATTCCATCCCCATCTTCCTCATCTTCCTCAAGCATGGAATTTCTCTTCAATATTTCATGGGCAAGTGAAGATAGTTGAAGCATCATGTGACTCGTAGGGAGAGTATGGAGGTTCAGTACATGTAAAGTAAAAGATGGATTAGTGAGAAATTGGGTTTCGAGCTGAGCGATCAAAATGAGGTAATCATGTAGAAGTTTCCTCATGGCAGCGCACAATGCATGGTTCACAGCCCCAAACTCTTCCCGGCTCTGCACTTCAACGAAAGCCTCAGTTGCTCCGTAATTTGTAGCCATTTTAAGCATAGTCGTGGTGAGGTCCTGTAAACTAGGATCCAAGCCAGGTAATATCTTAAAGCTGGGCCCAGCGAGACGATCCTTTTCAACGAGGGGGTCATAATTCTTCCCGAACCTAATATATTGTCCCTCATATCCCATGAAAACAAATAGAAGGTCCTCCAATATAGCTGCTTCTTGTGCCTCCAAAGACAATTCGTGGAGGGGCTGCGGCTGTAGGGCTTGGGGAGCTTGAGAAGCAAGTGGTGGAATAGAAATTCTAGATGCTAACGGCGCGGTCGTATGGGGCACCAAAGACACCTGAGGATCCCATGACAATACTAGAACCGCGATGTTTAGAATAATTTTGTGCATTTTCCCTAGAAAGGATCTTACCAGGTGGGGTTTCGACTTTCGACGTTCTGGGTGGAAGCTCCTCCCCGCGAGATCTAGAAGTATCGCTAGTCCTAGAACGCTCTGTAGGTGCACGACGATCAGGACTTCTTGTTCTCGACGTCACTGTGTCCCGAGTTCCGACATGAACCCGTTCAGTCCTTCTGTCTTCAACTACCCCTCTATTATTCCTCTGCGAGCTCGATTGTGCTCTTCGGTGATTTGATTCTGCAGCTGCCGGTGTTGGTGAAGGACGCCGGCGTGCATCTGGTCTCTCAGTTCTTGTGCCAGCCAGTGCAGAAGGTGGGCGGGATCTGGAGCTGCCACTACCATTATCATTGTTCGACCTCCGCTCAGGTTGTGAAGAAACTCTAGCTTGCGAAGACATAATTATCACATCTGGATTTGAAAATTATGAGCACGAAGAAGCCGAAAATATCTTGAATTGAGATTGGCAACTAATTGTACCTATGCGAAAGTAAACCGTATATCTCCATTGCCGTTACTATGAATTAATTCTCTCCAAGACCTATTCCATTTGTTCACGCGTTTTGATATAATTGAGTTCCCAAAAAGACGTGTAGATGAAGCTAAACCTATTTAGCTCTAGTCATTTAGAGCCCAACCTCAGGAACGGGCCTTTTCGATACCTACATAGCTTCGCATGCCTGTGCTTGCCTAAAGTAGCTCCGAAATCTGATAGCTACCAACCCTCTTGTTTGTTTGTTCATATCGTCAACTTTCTGACTTTACCTCCCCGCGAATACCCTCACTTTACTTATTTGAACCTAATCGACGCTTTCTAGAAACTATCTCTTCATCGACCAGGACATACCTTCTCTTACTTTTACCAGCGGCTGTTTCCCAAGATGTTTATTGCAAGATCTGAATATGGTAAGTTAGTTGAAGCATGTCTGAAGCGCCCATGTCCTCGTTGTATCGACTAACAACTGTGCAGATCGGGGTATCAAGTATGTCGAAGCCCAGCTACAGCAAATATCTCACAATTCAGATCAATATTAATATAACATCAGTACCTTTTCCCCAGAGGGTCGTTTGTTCCAAGTCGAATACTCTCTAGAGGCCATCAAGTTAGGATCAACGGCAATAGGAGTTGCAACTGGTGGTGGAGTAGTTCTCGGTGTCGAAAAGCGCGTAACTTCCACCTTACTCGAAACATCGTCTGTCGAGAAGATTGTTGAGATCGACCGTCACATTGGATGTGCCATGTCAGGGCTTCAAGCAGATGCACGATCAATGGTAGAACACGCTCGAGTCGAATCTCAAAATCACAGCTTCCACTACAACGAACCTTTAAGAGTCGAGAGTTGCACCCAGGCTATTTGCGATTTGGCATTGAGATTTGGTGAAGGTGCAGATGGCGAGGAGAGTATTATGAGTAGACCATTCGGTGTTGCTCTTTTGATTGCTGGATACGATGAGGACGGACCACAATTATACCACGCTGAGCCAAGTGGAACATTTTATAGATATGATGCAAAGGCTATTGGTTCAGGTTCAGAAGGAGCCCAAGCTGAATTACAGAACGAGTTTCACAAGGTATAATAACATGACACCCACCTACACATGATGTCACTAACCCTAAAATTTAGTCACTCACAATTGAAGAGGCAGAAACTTTGGTATTGAAGACATTGAAGCAGGTCATGGAAGAGAAGTTAGATTCGAAGAATGTGCAATTGGCTAGTGTCACCAAGGAGAAGGGCTTCAGAATCTATACAGATGAGGAAATGGCAGCTGTTGTGGAGCGCTTACCTGCGAATTAAGATTCCAAATAACGAGAAAAGTCTTGAATCAATCTCGCATGGAATAGTCAATTAGACATCTTAATTGACATGAATGAACGATATTAATGCATGATATCTCTTATCCATTGAGGATTGCTTGACTCTCTACTTGTTCTTCTTCCCGTGCTTTCTACCGAATTTCACGAATCATCAAAGTTGCGATGTATCTGGAATCTCAAGGTATACTCAACCTCCAAGCGTAGGGAGAGTATTTTACTTTAAGCTCAGTAGATTGAATAACTTTAGTACAACGATTTGAAACCTCTTTTACGAGCTGGTTACATTCCAGAATTGTGTCTTCACTTTGCAGTTAACTTCTCACATAGGATGTTTTTGAGAGCAATGTTCAATTATGCAAAATTCACAGATAGCGTAAAAGAATATGACGTTTAAACAATCTAAAATATAAGCTACTACTCAATCCCTCCAGATCCACTTCAAGCCTCAATGCCATGATCATTATCAGTCAATCCGCCGCCTTCTTAGTTATCGCATACGCAGTAGTCTGACAATATCCCCTTGGACAAAGAAAATACTCGCATCTATTCTTAACTCCCTCGTCCCATACATAACCAATTTTTTGTCACCATTCCACCTTTCTTGAAAGGCAACATGGCGTATGTAGGTCGTAATTGTGGAATGCCATGCATTCAATGCGCCTTTCTTTACATGTTCTTGATGGTATCTAGATGGTTTATATTCTCTGGAACCGCGGGGTTTTTCTTCCACTGGGTTTCAGAAGTGAGGAGAGGAGCCGAAGATACAATTTTGGAAATGTATCGGATGTGATGAGAGAGTATCTCGAGATCGAGAGGATGCGGTAGATTTTCAAGGCTGATTTTGGGAGGGGAGGTTAGGGAGGGATTGCTTTGTGTGTGTTCCCCCGGGATAAAGGATGTACAGTACTGTAGTGGCATACAAGCCAGCAAGGGTAAGATAATTACCAGGCGAAACAATCATCATCTTTCTCACCCAAACTCGTTCTCGTACTCGTACTTTTCTTTCCGGTAATATCATCACCGCCAGTTTCTGGAATCAAATTCCCAAGCGCAGCGTAAGAGAAGATTCCTCCAGATCCCTCCGTTGCCGCCTTAAGAAGCGGGTGAACAAACCTCACATGAGATTTCATGAATGTTCCTCTCATCATCCGCATCCCCGTCCACATCTTCCTTCCCAAATTTCTTCAACGATCCCTCGAGTTTCCTCCCTTCCCTCCTCAAGGAATTCCACCACGGGCAAAATGCCCTCTAGCCAAAAAATTTCCCCGTGACAAAAGCTCCGCTCTACGCACCCATCGCTGTCTCAATCGTATCACCATCCCATCTAGTCAAACTATGCATCATCTCCGCTCCATCTGCCACTTCAAGCTAAACACGCAGTTGAGAAGATCCTGAAAATTTTCGCCTACATCCGCATTCTCATTATAATCGGAATGTCTAATTCTTAGAGTAAGACAGCCGAACCAAATTCCAAATAATTCAAGGACTTAGTGGGTTCGTGCAGCTTCTACGACGAGAATAACTTCTTCTATTACCCTGGCAGTATAGGGTGCGAATCCAAAATGTAGAAAAGGCTTATTGCAGTCAGATATCCACTCTCGTGTTAATTTCCCCTCGGAGAAATGCATCATGGGTACAGTACAGGAGTGGATGTTATGACGACCTGATTCTCCCGCGTCTGGATGGGTTTGTAGGACGCGGATAGTGCGTGATTTCTTTGTTTTTTCCGCGCATTAACACTCTTCGCGTTGATGTACTCCCTTTCCCACCTTCAATACCTACCGGGAAAAAAGATCGCGCTTTTAAACCCCATACCCCCGCCACCCCATAGTATGTAGTCCGTCTACGTATCAACTCAGGTTTAGGGTAAGATCGGATATTTCCTCAGAGGATACGTGAATAGCACTTGTAAGTTTCTTCTAAATCTCCGGACGCACATATGCGAGTGCGAGATGATCGAGGGCTGCAGGGGAGGGCGACAGAAATGTGAAGGATTTTTGATGCTAGGGGGAGAGGGTATCCCATTACCAACTTGAATTCCCGAGTGGAGCACACGCATCAATACTGACTTTCGAGTTGGTGATATATGCACCGCCATTGATAGCTGTTGAGTCCTCACTGATGTCCTTTGGTAGACGGGATACGATTTTCTCTGTCTATTCTGTGATATCTGATTTTTGTTAGCTTAATTCTTCATTTTTCATATACAGTACAGTACATATATACCATTTTCATCCCTCTTCGCGAGAAAAACATTTCAGAAGATAAATACATACATATATACATACCTGAAACCTACTCAAAAAACGCCATTCATTCTCACTTTCCCAAATCCGCAGGCTAGAAAACGTCCCAGTGGGGTGATTGTGTGAGTGGCCGAATGATCATTCCCTGCTTCGAGAACGAGTATGCGGATGGAATCTTGCGGATCTTGGGTGAGGTGGTTAAGCGATGATGAAGCGTGATGTAAAGTCGTTGATTATTATGAAATTGTAGGTATTTGGATTGGGGTTAGAGCAGATGAGGTGATGAGCTTGCAGAGAAGAGGAAAAGGAAGTTAAACAAACATGACAGATGAGACAGCGATGCCGATTTACCTACTAGATAGTTGCGTGAAAAATAGAACCAAGCTCCTCACAAACCGACCAACATACTACCTACTATCTATATATAATACATCAAAACTAACAAGCATAAACTATGAACATAAACATATTTATCCCGCCAGCCCCAGCGCGCCAAAATGAATGACAATCAATCGTTTGGGTATATTTGTCATTTAACATTTGGACGCGAGGTCAAGGTATCCAGAATTAAGATTGATTATAGGATCACCAGGATAACATAAATCTAATAGATATTTAATGTATCCTAATCCCTATTGGTTTTATTCCTGCGAAAATATCTTATGATATTCCATCTAATGAAGAAGGATTGAAACTGCCACTGCCAGGCTGTCTCTATAAATCTATTTAGTATACAAAGCTTTTCCTATATCCAATTTTTGCCTGCCATTAAAACGGAAATGGCCCTGTCCCATTCGCCGGTGTATTCACATTCAAGGCGTTCCAATCCATAGCCGACCAGTCCAACTGACTAATATTGCCATCAATTAATCCCAGTTCTGGGGTATTATTGTAAGTTCCTGTTCCTATGGATCCAGTTCCAGTATATCCATATTCATCCTCCGCCATCCCATAAAATCCCATCGGCGCCACCATAGAAAAATTATTAACGTCCATATCCGTGCCCGTTCTTCTATACTCCTCTTCACTCTCCTTTGTATTCCCTCCCACTTTCATAATTTCTCGTCGAATATTAACCACGATTTTCGGCTCCGCAATCACCTGCCCCATCTGTTTGAAAGCCTGTTCGCGCACCTCCCACGCCAGTAGAATGATCTTTGCGAAAATCTTAAAGAAAGGTTCCGGGATTTGATCATCAATTATGGTAGGAAATCGAACATCGTAGTTAGCGGTCATGATTTTCCAAGCTTGTTCTGCTTGTTGACTAAGGGGCCGTTGTTTGAGATTTTGCACGATTTGGAAGTAGGCGGGGAATGGGAAATACATGTTGGTCATCCACGTGAAACCTTTTGCGAGGGGAGAGGACATCAGTCCGGTGTCACATTCGAGTATGTTGAGGGCGTAGGCGACGGTGGCTTCGCGTACTAAACCTACTTTCGACAAGCGGTTCTTTCCGGAGAAGTGCCAGTGTTCTACTAAGTGCCATTTGGCAAGGCTCATTCGTGTCATCCAGATTGTCATGAAGTGTACTGGGTTATCTGGATCACAAAATTTAAGATATTTTTCCTCGACCAGTTTCTCTAGGTCAGTGATCTCGCTTTCTCCTGTAGTAGGATCATACTGCTTATCTTTGGCAGTAGGCTTTAACGCCACATCATTAAAACCAAGATAGAACTTCGTGTTTCGAATATAATTTCCCACTTCACTGCGCAGAACAGTGAAAATTGCCTCGGTTGGCTTTTCTTGGACTTTTGGCGGATCCTTCATCACTAAATGAAAGTCGGAATCACTCACATTAAGTAGAATTTTGCAGTCCCAAGTAGGATTCAGAATTGTGGTTTTTGAGTCAGCGAGCTCGCCTATCCGAGAATCGTAAAGCACGAGTGACCACCAAAGTCTCCGACGCAATTCAGCCTCTAGAGGATTAATTTGAGATAATATCAATTCGTTATGACAACCTAAGCGTTGAGCGATGCGAATGGCAACGGCGAGCATGGAAGACAGAGATTGAGGAACTGAGTTGGATCTAATAGAGAGCTGGAAGAGTTAGAAATTGCATACACTATGGCTTAGTAGATCTGATGTAGACAGAAATAAGTATCCTTAGAATAGACAGACCAAAACGTGATACCTGCTTTACTAAAAGTATAGATGTGTTTCGTATCAAGTGACTTACCAAGTAGAAGAATAATGCAGTCAGGGAGTTCCGATCGTCCCTGTTCCGTAAGAAACCACTGTTCAGTAGACCCTGCTGACAACCGAAGTGATACCTCGTTAAAAGATCCTTCTTTGATGAATTAAACATAAGCTGACAATCCTCTGACGACAAACTCGAAATTGACATGCAATAAATGCCAAACATTAATGCCTCTAGTCTGGGCTTAATATTCCGGAAATTGCTAGCGGCTTCAATGATGAGTCCCTGTAGACTAGGAGTGTGCGTGACCTTAAGCAGTGGATCCACGTTATCCAGGTAAATTTGCCAAAGTCTAAATATTTCGACGGGTGCTGGATGGAAGGTAGAGATATCGACAGTTGTCGCACGCGAGCCGAATAGGAAGTTATCATTTTCCGACATATGATCCCACACTGATTTCACGTCCACTTCACGCACGTCGTCATCCTCAGAATCACCACGGCTATGAGGTTCTCGAAACTAATTCATCTGTCAGTCAAAGAAGCTCAAATCATAAATGTAGTCGGCAGTACTTCCTGACTCATGGCGTGCCAGATGTTCCTAACAAATTTAGTAAGAATCAAATGATTTCTTGGGGGTTGCATACTGAGTCCCATATGCCTTTTCAAAGTTGATAGCTGATGAAGCTGATGAAGCATTTGCCCCTGCAATTTCTGGTTGTTCATCATTGGGATCATTATGATCTTTCACTTGAAAAGGTTCATTCCCTGCAGTTGGGTCTTTATGAAGTGGCTCAAACTTAATATTGTTCTGTCTCAAAAGATCCTCATATTCACGAAGACGATCTAGCAGTACTCGCTCTGGAAATCTGCGTCTTCGTTGGCGTGGAAGTAGTGTCGCCGGTTTGCATTCTACTCGTGACTTGACGCAATGAGAACAAGGGTGATTGCGATCACACTTTATCTTTCTGTGTTGACAAAGCATGCAAGCAAGCACACGTCGTGGTTTTGAGGATGAGGTGGCGTTCGACGTCGCCAGTGACATATCTGAGATGTTCCCATCTGGTGGAGTAGGTGACGCTTCTGACATTATTTTTAGGAATGTAATATCAACCAACAATTATATTTACTTTTTTGAGGCAAATATATGTACAATTGTAGAAGTTTGATATTGATGGCCAAAGCAATAGGCAGCAACCAGGGAAGAGAAAGTCTCATCAGATGATAGCCGTGATGCTATGTGATGATATTAGAAGCGCGGGTGTATAGCTAGACTTTGAAATATAGTCCAATGGCTTCACGACCTCAACAACACTGTAAATGTCTAAAATGATGCGGTAAGCACCTTGAGGTTGTAAGTGCAATGAAGGAAGTTGCCGAGGTGGATCTGTCTGCTGACTCATCCAAGACTGAAGATCTTGGCCAATCGGAAATTTGCAGTACCCGTTGATGCTTAATGCGACATCACTATTTCAAATTCAAATTCAAATTCCATAATATACAGAGTAATGCTACGGCATTGATAATAGATGCTCCGGGTAATGTTAATTAATCCCCAGCTCGTGAATCTCTCAGAAGCCGAAGAGCAACCTTCGTTTGATGAAACAGAATTACCCACTGGCAAGTAAACCACATCCAAGATCTAGTATGGAGATTATAAGGATGCTTCGTTTCCAGCTCTTCTGAGGATATTATCATTGATCTCTTACTTCGTGAGTCCTAACTGATCTAGCTGTTACAACACCCGTCTACTCGCTATCGATAGACTGACTTTGCCGCTACAAACCCGGAAAAATTGGACGATGGGACAAGCGATTGGTGAGAACTTATTGCGTATAAGTATTATACAGTACAACGAAAGCTTTGAAGATATGATCGCCACTCGCGATCATGCCGCGAGCGAACTTGACGAAACCTATCGAGAGCAATCTTCCAGCCAGATTATTCCTCTGCTAGTCTCAATCTTTGTGACAATGTTTCCAGTGGCTCTAGACCGTACCATTATCTCCACCAGCTTTGCACTAATCCACGCCCTCGCACTTCTGTCGACTTCAGGAGGTCAATGGTACGTCCTCAGCCCGTCAGTGGCAGCTATGGGGCTATCGACCACAGTCACAGTCAGTTTAAACTCCCGAGCAGGGATTATTTGGTCATGACATAGAATTCTAAGAATTCATGCATTCTTAGCTAGTCTTCAGAATGTCATTCTGAATTGAAAAATATGAACATTCCGGTGCTGAAATGATCGTGATATGTTGCACTATGTATGTATGTTACAGGCAAGTGCGGGAGCACAAATTGGCACCCATGATGCAGGGCGAGTCTTCTCCTTTAGCGCTTCAGAACTTTAAATCAATATACCTGCTCTTTTTGTTCTCTGTAACAAACGAGAAGCAAAGTGGCGGATTCCTGGACAGGAATATGTCTTCATTCAAAGTTTCCGCACGTACGAACTTACCGGTAACCAACAAGGCGAATTTAAATTTCTTGTTCGTACGACAATCAATTCCGAGTGTGAACCAAGATCTCGGAAGCTGCTCAGGTAAGATCTTATAAGTATGAGTAACATGCTATTCACAAAAACCCAACCGCTTCGCAAAGTTTGACACCTCATAACAGCCCTAACTTGCTCAGCTGAAATAGACACTTCACAAAATGAGGTCAACCGTCATCGCCTTATGCTTTGCATCGGCCGCAGCTAATCCTCTTGGCCTCATTTCGCCTACGGCGGATACTCTCGTTCCCCTTCCATCTCCTGTCATCCCGAGTTACGCGGTTCTCAACCGTTATTGTGAGGATGCCGGTTCCGATGCTGTAAGTTTGTCGACTATTCTTCGTGTCTCGTTCGCATCTTTCTATAGCATTGGCGGCTATACCTTACCAGTAGCTCCTTTGATATTACATATGATATTGCTCTAGATGGCTGAACTCAAGTTGCATCTACTAATACTCTTTTAGTATGTCGGAGTCCAATACGCTAATGGTGTGATAACCTCCTACAATTTCGGCGAATGTTATCCTTACACCGTGAACGGCAGTGCCGCATTGGCCGCCGTCTTTTGCAAAAGTGTAACTTGCAAAAACTGCGCGTATGTCTCAACTCTATCTCTAATGGCTACTACTTTGACATGCTGACATGTGGTGAGCAGGGGTGATAATTGCACCGATCCAAATCTTACGCTCACGGTCCCCAGAAGTTCGGTTTTGGTCAATCCATGGGGACTCCTGACAACGGTACTAGGAAAAGGAGCAATATGTCAAAAACCGTCGCTGTCCTTACCGGTCAGATCCTCTGATGGACCTGGACTTTCCCTTGGGGACAATTGAGGACATATGAAACAGAAAGACTGTTGGACGATGATAGTGGTAGCTGGTATGGAGAACAAATATTTCCAAGTCAGCCGAGGAAAAATTTACAGAGTTTAGGGAATTCTAGTATCTTCATTGGTTTTAGAGTTCCATGTTTGCACAAGTCCTGCACATTTTTTTAAAGCCTTCAAAGAAAGCAAGTTCCTATGCATCGAGTGTTCCTGCAACTGCTTAGTCTAATTCGACATCAATTTCTGCACAAGATTTCTCAATCTATTATTGATCTGCCAAAAAAAGGCCGGCCAGGAAACTGTTCACATGCTATGCCATGGTGGTATTCAGTACCTGCAGCTGAAATGTCTTGCTGATCTCGCGAAAGATGTCGTTTTGGCACTGTTTATAGGTCCATTCATCATCACTAGAAATAATTCGAGGTGCGTGCTAGTCAATCTATGTGCCATTTCTATCCTCGAGCTGAGTGCATGGTGGGTGACATTTACCGGCCTGGCCGATATATGACCAAGCCGAACTATTACCAGTTCCTATGTTTATAGCTCAGGAGTCATTGATTAGATCGAACTTCGGTTCCGAGATCGAGATCAAGATGCTCAATAATTGTGTCTGCATCGTTTTCTGGTTTAACTACGTAACACCACATCAAATCATCGTTACAAAATTGTGTTTCAAAAGCTGTCATACACATTATTATTATTATACAGTCGCGTGAAATTAAATTCTCCATTTGGAAGTAATTATAAATTTTCAAGAACATTTACAGATGTTTTAGGCTTCACTTGCACGTTTTTCTATCATCACTTTAACTCCGTCATATATCATCTAGATAGATCAACTATCGTTTCGCCGTTAGCTCAACCAATATTTTGATCTCACACCAAGTGCCAAGTATGAAGATATGGCTTAGATCCTTTACAACGATTGTGTAACCTCCATTTCCATTCCAGGATGAGAATTCTTGCTTCAATTGAGATACACAACTCTAATTCTTGCTTAACGAGATGAAATGAGTATGGAGGCATAAATACTTAATATTACCCGCCTTTGAGTAAGCCATCAATCATTCAATTTACGTAAAACGGCTCATACACTTTATTTGTCTTAAATTCTCATCCATCAAGCTCTAGGTGAAAAAATTCACAAAACAAAACATGAAGGTCACTACCGTCCACCTCGCAACTCTACTTTTCGGATTTACGAATTACACCACGGTTAATGCTCAAACGAAAGCCCAGATTGTTAGCTCATGCCAGTCCCAAAATCCAAATAATGTAAGCGAATATAACCCATTAGCTCTTCTCATCCCGGCCTTTTCCCATTCTCATATCTGATATATCTGTCTCTTGTCATATCTATTTAACTAAGAAACACGATTCAAATTACAAAAATCTAATCATCCCAAAGTTCATAGCCGCAACATACGCCGGCGATTCAGCAGTAAATTACCCCTATTCTATGTGTTTCCCCTTCGAATTTCTCGGAAATAATATCAATTCCGCGCTCTTTTGTCGGGATGCACATTGCTATTTCTACAGGCACGTACTGTCTCTTTCATCTCCGTCTTTTGCATTTATCACTGTACTCCATCCAGGCGAATCTAATACTAACTATACGCCGCTTCAACTAGCGACGACGCATGTACCACACTTGCGGCTTTTTCGATCATGCCTATACCTTTTATTCAAGGCCAATCACTCCCTCCCAAGCTGGTTTCGAGCTTGGGTTGGAAGAGTGCGAAATGTGGGAGTGCGTTGCTGGGATTTACTGTGGGTCAGTAAGTTATGTGTTCTTGGGGGTTGGATGAAGTTGTTGGAGATTTGATCCGGAATTTTGGGGGTTAACAGAGAGGTTTTTTTGGTTTTCTGCTTGCGATTCGTAATTTTTACTATTGACTTGAAATATTTGGTTCCTGTATTAGCTGGTTGGATTGAAATAGGAGCGAGAACGAGAGCAAATGCGGTTGCGGAGATAGACTTGTTTTACTGCCTAGATGATAAGTCAACTATTTTTATATTCTAATGTTGAGCATACTGTGGATATTTCTTTCCTTTCCTCTTTGATCATAATCAACAAAATATCTGTATGATCCTTGTAATGAGACAGACTGCAGAGAGTTTCTCGTCTAAAGGTGATGATAACACTTCAAATAGCGCAAAGAAAGCTGATCAGCACGAGTAGTATGTGATAACCGTTCAAATACCAACGTAAAATTACCGTTGTGACTTAGAATACATGAGCCTAACGGCAACATAGGGATCATTCCCGCTCATTCAAACCTCATTCTCTCTTTCCATGAGCAAAGCTATGCGGGATCCTCGAATCACCCTAAACAGTTCGCAGCTTTCTCCATCCTCTACACATCAAATTACCTGCATCTCCAGCACTACACACAATTTGATCAGGTTCACCCCTGACGACAAGACATTTATTTTCTAATAATTCAGCTCGCCCCAACTATAGAAGAAATTTCGATGTAATTGACATAGTCATTCCCTTCCTGATCTTCTGATCTCGCACTTTCATAGTCCCAACATTTACGTCACCGAGGACTCTCAATATGTATGCATCAATGATGTCTATAGCAGAGACTCTACTATTATATCTCCACTAGACGATGATTCGAAGATTAAAAACGACATTCCTCCTTTCTTGATTTTCTTAATTGTTACTGAATGTTGTTGTTGACTCCCAGCCCAAAAATCTGTACCATTTCGTGCATCTTATGACGATGTTCCGCTTCTGATGGGCGCTTTATAGTTGGAGTCAATGCAGCGATGAGAATTAAATAGGATTCGATGCAAACTTAGCCGATTGGCGATGGGTTAAACAGTTGTTTAAGGGATCTCGCAAGATGCCACTTTTGAAATGTACACTGCCATGAGTCGGTTCAAAATATGTAATGAGATAATTCAGCGGTACCTATTTAAAGATACCCGTGGTATCATAATCTTATCCCTCATTACCATGCTAAACCCTTGTATGTCTTCCAAAAGATCTATGCCATGGACAACTCCACCATCATTCATCGGAATGAGTACAACGAAAAACACGCCGCAAATGATTATAGAATCACGCAAATAATTGCAACAGGAGGCCGCCAAAATGTCCTCAACCTGATATCCCACCGCAGGAGAATGCAAAGAGAAAACACCTTTACACCACCCATAATGCCACGCTAAACGAATAATCCAACCACTTTGTGCGTGTATAATGCCCTATAATACGCAACACGTGAAGTTGACGTGCATATTCATGCTTAATGCCATGCTTAAACTCAAAACCCATATACATACCAATATTGATCCTCTTCCCATTGCATGTCAAATCGCCACCATACCTATACTCATAAATCGTGGTTCTCTCTTTGAAATTGTATTCGCCTTAATAGGTCTCATAGTCGGTCCAAAATATCATCCCAGTCGGAGACCTCTCCATCCCCATAATCGGTACTGGCAAGACTAGCCCTCCTTACAAATTTTCTCGTCGAATTCGTAACAGTACTTTCTCTCGTCGTCTGCTTATCCATGATTCGTGATGGCGTCTGATTTTCTTTCTCCTCGATATTCATCCCCATATCCCCTTTCTCGCCAGTCTTCCTAGGTGTAGGCGTGGGAACGACTGCCTTGTACACCTCATCCCACTCTTTGCTTTCCGCAAGGGCAGCTATTAGCAGTCCATCCACATCAGGGTCGAGATCGTCATCAAAGTTATGTCTGTTGGATGAAGTTGCCTCTTTAATTTCATCCCACGCTTTCCTACTCTCTGCCAGAGCGGCAGCCTCCAAATCCTCGGGTTTTTCGGTAAAGAACCTCTTTTTTGTATGCCTGTCCTCCGGTTTCTCTTTGAACCAAGGCGACCTCCTTGGTTTTGGAGTAAGCTCTATTTCAGGGTCGATATTAGGAGTGCTCATACAAAGTGGCTCAGCAAGTTGTTCTTGTAGCTTTGTTGTTGAATTTTGATGCTGGTAGGAGTTAGGTATTTGAGCTTGCGATACCTGCAAGGTACTTGTTATTGGTGACTTGACTTTTGACAAAGACTCCAGCCCAGCGGGTTCTTGGCTCAAAGATAATGAATCCTGACTGCAGATCAAGTCTTTAATATCCTCGCGTGCTGCTGGTATCTCTTTGAAAGATTCGATCCGACTCTCCTTTCCCCATCCTTGCCGGGACGGTGAACTAGCAACTTTCCGATCCTCCGAAAACATTTTGAGTTCTTGAGTAGACAGCATGCCTCCGAAATCATCATCAGAAATCTTAGAAACATCATCATGCACATCTTCCTGCTTTTCGCGATGATTTTGGTGCCTACAGTCTGTTTTCGAACTGGTGGAAGTCCGAGGTATAACGGGTTCCTCACACAGTTCTCTAGCTTCCTGAGTTGGACTGGGAAAGAATTCGTCATAATGAGACTCAAGAAATGCTTGAGTGGAAGACGGTGGAAGATCAAAACTGCTGGCTGTTCTCACGTTGTTGTGTGGAGCAGCAAGAGTCGTGCCGATCTTGCTTTTTGCTGGAAGAGCCGAGGGCCCCATGTTGATAGATCTCCCCCGCAGGGCGGGGCGAGTACCAGATACTGATCTGGAGGCTTGCACGGGGAGCTTTTGGGGAGGTGTTCGTTGGAAAGAATGAGACTTTGACATAGGAGGTTGAACTGGCTCCTCGCGAAAAATTCGCTTTCCCAAACCAGTCATTCGAGACGATGCCCTAAGAAGTAGAGGAGTTTCCTTGTTGGATGTGGCCTGTTCAATGGAAAGTGACTTTTTCGTCCGAGGCAAACTGACATCTAATGCCCTGGAATTTTGCCGCAAGTTCATTCCTGGTGTTGTGGTTTCATTGAAATTTATCCTAGAAGGATGGTCAAACTGATGTCTAGTAACTGATAGATTTGGGTTTGAAGACTTCTGCTTGACAATTGGCACCTTATGGGGAGATGGTGGTTTTGTATTGATGAATTTTATTGATGCGCCGTGTCTGCCATTAATGGGCGCATGCCACAGAAGCTCTCGTTTCGATGCCAGATCTTCTACAAGACGATTCGAAGCGGCAGTCATAGATAGTGTGTCTTCTCTGCTGGTCTGCTCTTTTTTAAATGATACTACTTGTTTACAGTCAGGGTTATAAGCTGCGTCTGCTGCTTCGGAACGAATTTGGCAATCAAGCATGTTTTCTAACTGAAATGGGTCGTCAGGCGACATTTGCTCCCTTTCGAAATTCTTCATCCTTGGCAGCTCCTGTTCATTATCGAATGATGCGATGGATTTTTGAATCGAAGGTCCTGTCACTCCTGTAGATCTAGGCCTAGGAGTAGAATGCATGGAACTATTGTCCAACAATGAAATATCTCTATCTGACAAGGGAGGAAAGTCCCCAAACTCGTCCTCGGAATCTTCTGGTACAACTACTTTTTTGGAAATAGCCTCTTTAACATCAAGGATATTCTTCGCAAGTTGTTCCATTCGGCAGCACTCCTCATGCTCGAAATCGTGAAGCACATTTGATTTCGAGACAGCTTCCTCCTCGCTCTCGTCCTCGGAATTGTCATGTGCAGTCCGTTTTGCGGGTGGCCCTTCATCCAATTCGTCGCACATAGTACCTTCAGAGTCTTCCGCCTTGTTTTCAGTTGCACGCAATCTCTTGTTTCCCCGCCCAATAAACATAGAGATCCTCGATTGACTTGCTCTGACATGTCTGCTAGGTTCCGGTACACCCAATCTCTTTCTCTCTTCCTTCTGCTCCAATGCTTTTGCAGCTTTCTTGTCCCTCGCCGCTTTGGCCTTTGCAGCTGCTTGTTCTTTTTCATACGCTTTCCTGTGCTTCGCCAATTCCTCGGCATCTTGTCGCTTTTGCTCGGCTTTCGTTATTCGTGGCGTTCTATTTGCTTTTTGGTATGCTTTTTTTGCCTGTTTGCTAGTCATTGGCCGGTGGACTTTTGGCGCATCCACCAATTCGAAGGTGCGCTGTTTACTTGGCATCGCGATTAATGTAGTTGTGTTACATGCCGCGAGTTGCGAAAAGAAATTATTGACGATGATTATGGTTCAATCCCGAGGTTGGACGTTGAAAGCAAGGTGTTAGCGAGCTGATGATGGATCGATTACACGACGCGTTGACGCGGGGTCAACATACGCGCTGTTGCTAAGGCAAATGGCACCAAGTCACGAGACTTTAATTTTAGTCAATTTTCTTGCATCACGTGCCATACTTCAACCGGTCACTCAAAAGATGACATTTTCTCCTCACCCACCTACAGATTTCGAAATATGGTAACACTTCCTTCATGATATGTGTTTTGCATGTACAATCATTAACGGGTGTTACTGTTTTCCCCACGCAGGCAGGGGGATGCATACAAATCACACCATCAAAACCCCATGATGAAACTAACGGAGTTCGGGAGACTCGATTCTTCCCTCAGCATTTCCAATTACGCAATCATGTTGAGCATGGGAAATGCCTATGCACCGCGTTCTCCGCATCTGCCCAATTCGGCCCCGAGACGATGCAGCAAAAGCAACAGTCCTTGTAAAGGGGTGTGTATTAATGTGTACCCTGCATTTAATGCTTTTGAATGCAAATTACAGTAGCGGAAATGGTGCTATTGGAACATAACGCATAACGTCTAGAACTAATAAGTTGGTGTAAAAGAGATCGAACCACACCTAGCTCGTTTAAGCTTTCGGGCTGTCCGTTGTCCTGATGGGATAGGGTAACCTAATCTTATCATGGGGCGCGTTACTGTTGCCCCTGGTGGCGCTTGCTACCAACCGTTGGAGCTTTTCAAGACTTGTAGTCGATGTGATTTTCCTTGTTATTCGGGCAGCAGAAGAGGTAATTGCTAACATAACGGCCTCATGTATTTTAGAATGAGACTGATCATAGCCGGTGAAAAAGTTGGATACAATCACCAACCCACGTTTTGTCCCGATAGTTCGGTTCCTATCAACGCGCCTTTCGCGTTAGTGTGCCCACATATTTTTATCGTTCAAGACCAATTAACATCAGACAAGCATTTGACGATCCGTCGCGTCACTATATGTCTTGGAAACTATAGCATACGCTTGGCATCATGGAGTGTGAGCCAAGTCTCGGCATGCGGAAAATGAGACTACCATGATTGTCCGTTGACACTCGAGTCTCTACACGAAACACATCTTAGTGGTTAGACAAAGGTCGAATCACAATCCGCCATTTTTATGGGGTACTTAAATTTCGAGTCTTCTAGCATAACTGCCGAGAATCAAATTTCCACTGAATGTACGAACTCTAAAACCTTCCTCTCACTATTCACGATCCAGTAAATTTTGTGGTTCTCGGAGACCGGAGAGGGTGACTCGAGATTCGGTGCGGGGGTGAAGCAGCAATCTAGTCCCAGTTTAAGCCCTTTCCGCCTGCTAACACGTAGACTTCGCTCTCCGCTTCCAATTCTCCTATGATGTAGTCCAGTTTTTGTGCTTAGGTAATCACTGCTACATTCAAGAGTCCCAGACTTGCCTTTTGCCATTGCCGGATCGATATCCCAGTATATCTCTATCACTGTGGTGATGATTCTGTTCATCAATGCTCATGGATGTTGCCATCAAAGTGGTATTGTTCTTGCAGCGTCTCTTTTGGGCTTGCGGTGGTAAAAAGAAAATCCTTCTTCTAGATTTTCAAGGCGATATCCTTAGCCCAACTCCCGGCGACTACCGGATAATGAGTTTCTTATGGTTTCGCTAGTTCGGTGGATGCCCACAATATCAAGCCTATGATTTCTTAAAGATAGGGCGAGTGAGCACACTCACAAGAATAATCTGATCTCTATGAGAACCCGTCGAGTTTGACTGTTCTGATCACACCACAGACCATAGCACTAGTTGACTAGTAGCTTGTGTACACGACTTATGCCATCGAAAACGAGGCATCTTAGAGGATTCCAAAACTCGTTTACGTCATGATCAGAACATTTTCCTCTTCATATTCAAGTTCCAAGGTGTGATCCATGGCAGCGGTACCTGCAGGACATCAGCAGATGTTTCGTGGTGAAAGTTAAATCATTGACAACGAGTGAAATCGCAGGTAATCCGCCTCATAGGTTACTTATCAAAATTCTCCTCCCCTCCTCAGATTATTATTAGGATTTAATAATCTGTTTTGGGTTATTGACAGATTATTTGCAAATTATTCGTAAATTACCCGCCCACGGATTACCTAGTCAAAATTTCCAATTATCCGCTCTGTAAACGATTATTCGCGGATTATTCATCGGAGCAACAATCCGCTCGGCAAACGGACTATTCGCGGATTATCCACCAGAGCAATAATCCGCCCGCGCACCCTTGCGCAGCCTACAAGCGGGCACTATGGCACATGGTTATGTAGCGGTCACTCCTTTAATCCCTCAAGTGCAATAAGTGGAGTTGCATCGCATTATATCCCCCTGCCACATCCTAGCCTTGCATTTGAAAACTTATATCTACCGAGAAGGTTGCAACGAGAGATACAAAGATCTCCTCTTCATCTCCTCCAAGTCTTGCTTTTGCGAGAAACTTTTCCTTCTCTTTTCCAACCAAAGAAAACTCACCCATTTCAAATTTCAAAGTCGACCGATTACAATATGGCTTTTGCTGTGGATATTTCGCAGATAGTTTTGTCGGCTTCGATAGTCAGTGTATCCTATTTACTCTGGGTCTACTTCAATTCTCCTTTGAGAAACGTCCCGGGACCATTTTTGGCGAAATTTACGAATATCTGGCGCTTGCTAGATGTCTATGGTGGCCGAGCAGAACTTACACACCAACTTCTCCATAAGAAGTATGGCGAGGCGGTGCGGATCGGGCCAAATACTGTCAGTTTGAGTAACCCAAAGCTCATTCCAACGTTATACAATCTCAAAGGAGATTTTCCCAAGGTTGGTTGTCTTGATACCCCAGTTATTGTCGTCCAAGTTATAACACATCGAATGTACAGACCGATTTTTACAGCGTCAGCGACGTCAAGGTTGGAAAAAACATAATGCAAAATGTCTTTAGCGTTAAAAGCAACAAGGGTCATGCTCAAATTCTTAAGCCAATCCAAAAGTTCTACAACATGGGCGGTGTTATGACCCTGGAGGGACGTATAGATGACGCCATCACAGCTTTTGTAAAACGGGTGGACGAACTTTTTGTTGATGGGTCAAACGCTGGAACTGTATGCAAAATGGATGATTGGATGGGTTATTTCGCTTGGGATGTGATCGCTCAGTTAACTTTCAGTAAGCCGATGGGCTTTGTGGAAAATGCCTCTGATCACTCTGGTTTTATTCGTATTTCCGAGCGATCTATGGATTACTTTGGCGTTATCGGCCAAATCCCCGCCTTGGATCACTGGTTAGGGAAAAATCCAATGGGACCCATCGGGCCCCCAACCTTTAGGGAAGCAGGAATGTGGTGTGCAGAGCAATCAAAGGCACGTCAAGAAGGTACAGATGGAAAAACTACCGATCAAAAAGATATGCTAGACAGCTTCCTCGAAGTCAAAAGGAACAACCCGGAATTGATGAACGAATCTGACGTTGTGGGCTCTCTTCTTATCAACATACTCGCTGGTGCTGACACGACCGCAATCGTCCTAAGGTCGATCATCTACTATACACTCAAAACACCCCGTGTGTACAAGAAACTTGTCGAAGAACTTGATTCTGCAAATTTGTCCACTCCAGTGGTCTACAAAGAAGCCATCAAGCTTCCATATCTCGAGGCTGTCATCAAAGAGGCCAGTCGAGTGCATCCCGGAGTCGGACTTTTGCTAGAGCGGACCGTCCCCGCGCGTGGTCTCGCTCTCCCCGATGGAACTTTCTTGCCTGCCGGAACAACCGTCGGTATAAATCCCTGGATAGCCGGTCACAGTAAAATGGTATACGGAGAAGATGCCACTTCCTTCGTCCCAGAGCGTTGGCTCCGCTATACCGATCTAGAAACCGAAGAGGAATACCAGACTCGTCTCTCCATGATGAAACAAACCGATCTGACTTTCGGTGCCGGAAATCGTATCTGTCTTGGGAAAAACATCAGCAGTCTGAATATTAACAAGCTTATAGCTACCCTGTTCACAAGATATGATGTGAGTAATCATTTATTCCATTTCTTCCATTTATTCCATTCCTTGAAAACCGCCAAAATGCTTACAGATAGTTAGATGCAACTCGTAGACCCGAAAAAGGAATGGGGGATCCAAAACTCTTGGTTTGTGAGACAAACAGACATAGAAGTAACGATAAAAAGAAGACAATCTAGGTCTACCTAGGTACCCTATGTAGATTAGAAGATAAGCAGTGCAATTGTAAGATTAGAGTATCAATTTCATCCGATTCCTATGATTCTGCGTGTTTGATACTTCTGGGAGGTGAGTGCACGTGGGGGTCTTGTAAATATGCAATGCGTGTTCCTTCAAGTGCATTTACGGTGTACTTGTTCGGGATTTTCTAACTTACTCAGTACAAACACAGACAGATCTGATACTCACATGGTAATAAGAAAGAGAAAGAGAGGGCTCGGATGGTTTTCGTATAGAATCATACAACCTAGCATACCTAGGTAGTGCAGTATCATGTACGGACGTATGGGTTGTGGAATGAACTAACTAATTGATCGATATCCGTCTGTAAATACGATATAGTAAGATTAAGATTAGGATTACTTTGAATATCGCTTACTTAACGGTCAAACCAAACTACTGATACACTGTACCACTGTACCACTCGAAGACATTCTATATAAGTTGCCCGCGAGGGCGAGGGGCGGGGGCGGGGTTATCAGTCGTCGAAAAGGTCCAGAGATATCTTAACTTCATAGAGTTAGAGGATATCATCTCCATCGACTGGGTGCTTATATATATACATACATATTTCTATCTAAAAAACTTCAAACTATTTAGGATAATATATTTTTAAATTGTATTTTTTTAGTCTAAACGGAATATAAAAGAGGATATTCAAAATTCGAATGGCTAATGTTTATGTACCTCTGGAGAGTATAATGGTAGTCACTTTTAGTCTTACTTTTTTGTTAGAAATGTTTATCTCCACTTGATTAAAAGAGAGTGTTCACGGCTGTTGATCAAGTTCCGTTTCCATGGTACCAAGTCTGTTAAACAGGACTCGCTCCTTTTTGACACCTCTCGTGGTATCCTTACATTCCATGGATGCTATAGATGGACTAGAAAATGAGTTGGGCCACTGCTGGTTTATCAAAAGGAAAAGTTTTTAGAGATTAAAGACCATTCATCTACTCACCAATTACTCAATCTGGCGTCCTCTAGCCAATGCCTCACCAGTCTCAAAATCAATAACCTCCCCACGCTCAATCTCCCTCCTAGCCCATTCCATTCTTTTCTTCCACAACTCATCCCTCTCAAATGCATGTTTCATCCCCACCCAATCATTTTCCACCGCCCCCGTCATCCACCATAACTTCTTCTCAATATCTGCCCTCTTCATCAGCATCAGAAAATATCCCACGATTCCCATCACCCTCATATCTCTTTCCTTCAACAATTCCACAAATCGCAGCGGCACCAATGCTGGGAATTTTAGGATAAATTTCGCGATTTTGCCTCCTCCGATAATATTTAGATAATTTGCGCAGAGAGCGTATATTTTGTAGTCCGGAGCATCAAATGAGAGATCATCAAAGAGAAAGTTGAAAATTGTCGGATGGTCGTTTTCGGGGTCAGGAGACGTTTCGTTTTGTAGGATTACACGGAAACTGGCTTCTTCCCACTCGATTTGTGCTCTCATGCCCTCGTCTCGGACATATGTACCCGCTAGGTTCATCATATTTTTCAGGCTTTTCATTGGGACAAACCAATGGAGTGGGACTCTAAAATTTTGTGCGTCTATATTTTCGTTGAGTGAGACTGTCGAGGGATGAGCATGACCTAGAAATTTTTGACTGCCAGCAGCATGATACATGATGAATAGACAAGACCCCAACACCGCATCGCCTGTTCTCTCTGTAACGCCCTCCTCGACAACTAATCTCCGATGGGCAGCAATAGCTCGTCCCATATAATGATGACTAGCTCTGACTACATCTCTTTCAAACTTGCTTTCCGGGATAGTACTGGTAGGAAATGGAGAAGAGGCTGATGAGAATGAACTTCGGAGATGGAATGCAGAGACGCCCAATAAAGCATCCATAATTGAACGATGACGACATGCAAGCTGAATGACCCATAGTGATATTTTGCACACCGAGACGACTTGGGAAACATCGGTGACATTTACGAAGTGCTGGAAAAGGCGGAATTCCAGGAGTTTGTCGGAATCTGATAGAGACGAGGTGACAGAAGTCGGAAAAGAGAAGGAAATGGGGTCACGGGAAACAGGGCGCGAGAAGTGAGCATTTCGTCGCGTGACTGTCGCTGTAGTGGGAAGAGGCAATTTCTTCGCCGCAGGGCCGGAAAGTGCGGGCTTACTGAAAGACAGAAACAAATACTCACATGCAATGTCATTCTTAGTGCAATTTACACATGTGGGCTTCGTTTCATCGCACTAGGAAATTGTCAGCATCAGAACTTTTACCATGTTATTACTTAAGAATGGGGTCGAGACCTTCAATCGTCTCGTCTTGCAGCTTTTACAGCCATATCTAGATTTCTTATGAGGTCGCCTTGTTGTCTCTTTCGTATTCAAAGATGCCATGTCGATAATTGACTCAAGACACAAACGAAAGATCTGGAAACTTGAACTTGTTGAAAGACAAGACAGCCAACGAAGGAGAGATGATGGATACGAACACCAGCCACATTATACTCGAGTACGTGATTTCTGATTGGTGAACAACCGGGGTGGAGATATAATGTTGTGGGCCCGATTGATAGAAAAATAACAGGGCCAAATTTGGCTTCCTATAATCAAATTGAATTGAAAACGCAATTGATTGATGCAGGAAAGCTAAAAATGCGAATGATGAAGGGAAACATTGCAAAATTAACAACAGCATTCTGTCAACGTATGATTCTAGAAGATTTGGCGGTTCATATCCGTTCAGAAAGAATGAACACGAAGATTCTTCAAGGATCTGGAACGGGACGTCAAAGTAAGCATTCCTCATCTTCTCGTTCTCCGCGACAAGAAAAGCCTTAACAAACTAACGCAGCAAATAAAATGTGCCATCAAATGCACCCAAGGACCTCCTAGACCTTTCGCGCCTTTTCCAAACCCTTCTCCTCCTAAGATTCTGCCCGTAGCTCTTAGTGCAGGAGCGATATGATACAATGATAATGCACCGGCGACATTGCGACTTGTTCGATCAACCGGTCGCCGGGTGAATATGAGTGAGATGAGACAGGAAACGAAGAGAAGAATCGCATACTGTTGAATGACGGCGTGGGCTTGTGGTGCTGGGAGAGAAAGTTGGGACGAGGGATTGAAGAAGAAATTCAAGGAGGCGGGGATTTCGATGAGGGAATGGAGGAGGAAGGGAAGACGTTGAATGAGAGACATGGTTGGTTGGTTGGTTGCTTGGTTGGTTGCTTGGTTGGTTGGCTGAAGGTGTGAATTGAGGAGTGGATGTTATGAAAAGTAGGTAGGTAGAGTAATGATACCGTTATCGATTTGTTTACATTTAAAAGATAAGAATCTTTTGATGGATGCCAAGCAAAGCTCTACTCCAGGCGGGGCTGAGCAGGATGAATGCCGAAGGAAGAGAAGCGGGAGGGGTTGTCGATCGAACTCCAAAACGATGAATGAATACACAATTGGACCTTTCCTATACACAATGCCGCTTTTGTCTATCTCTATCTATGACGCTTTTATTTCTCATCTCATTTATCCAGCTTATTATCTATCTGTTTGATGTGATTAGATGATTAGATGATTAGATGTGTCTATTTAACCTCAAGGCTTATGATGCTAGCTCCCTTGCGGAAACTAAAGCGGCCCGCGATCTCTTCCCTTTTTGTGAGAAGCTAAACCTTGTCCAAACAGTTGGGGTGACATAGCGTTGCAGTAGATGATTTTACACGGGTTGGGTTAGATGATAAATGGGTTAGACGATAATCGAGATGGGAATTTTCCAACGTTCGGTTGGATGATTGAAAATGCAATTATTCTTATTGGCATGTGAAACTTTGTCTTTTCTTTCCAAGCTTTTCTTTTATCTTTTTCCTTAACTCTAATTTTCACTATCTGTGCAGGAGCAGCTGAATTCAAAGTTAAGTTCCCGTCTCAACAATTCCTAGAGCTGTCGTTAAATTCTAGCTCCTTCACCTCCATTCTTTTCTTCTTAGTATCAAGGGAGCTAGTCCTAGTCGTCACATCACATCACATCACTTCTACTTACTATCCTACCCGCATAAGGCTGTCTTGCTGTCTTGATAATTTTTGATTTTCAGCTCCAAGTCTACTCCACACTCGTTAAATGACTTCTATATCTTGTCTAATATCATTCTACCACTCACTCACTTAACAACAAACACCAATTCTTCATTTTGGTGTACAAATCTACGGCATCATTCAAGCAGTTCTACAACTACACTTCGCAGCCATGTCAGGATTTACAGAAGCGCAAGATGCCCAGCAATCCGCCAACAAAAGCGAATTCGGCCATCTCAACCTTTCAATCGTTGGATTGGGAGTTGAATACCCTCCATTCTTACTGGAACCATCAGCATTAGATATCTTAACCAAACGTCACTATCCTGACTCCCCAGCGCAAGTCTTCTCTGTCCTCCAACCTAGATTCCATGATCCCGAATACCGCATACTAACACACAGTCTCTTTAGAATGAAGAAAGTATGCACAATCAACAACTTCACCGGCATTGAAACCCGCTCCGCAATCGGTACGGTCGACCACCCCATGGCCAACATGGACCGCGCTCCCACAATCACCGAACTCTGCTCCATATTCCTAAAAGATGGTGTTGCCCTCGCCGTAACCGCATGTCGCAAAGCTCTCCATGAAGCGCATCTCCAACCTTCAGACATTACCCACGTAGTGAGTACAACTTGTACCAATAGTGCCAATCCAGGGTACGACCATTTCGTCTGCAAAGCCTTGGGAATAACTCAACCTGTTGAAAAAGTTCTACTTCATGGCATTGGATGTAGCGGTGGTCTAGCGAGTTTGAGAACTGCAGCGAATTTGGCATTGGGACATAGTTTTCGAGGGAAGAAGGCAAGAGTTTTAGTTATGGCGTTGGAAATTAGTTCATTGCTAGTGAGGAGTGAGTTGGATAGTGTGCATGAGTTACAGGAGACGAGAATTGGTGTTACGCTTTTTAGCGATTGTGCGAGTGCGTGTGTACTTAGTAATGGTATTGGTGGGACGGGAGAGGAGGAGAGTGTTTATGATTTGTTGGGTTGGGAACACAAGATGATTCCGGATACGGAACATGATTTGGGATTTGATGTTGATCCACTTGGTACGTTTATTTTTCCATGCTCCTCTTCCAGCCATTAATCCAATCTTTGTGTCAACTTTCTCAAACAAGAAAGCTAATTTAACTTTTTCGTCGCAAAAGGCTGGAAAGTAATCCTCTCCCCACGCGTTCCCAAAATCGCCGCCGAAGCCGTCTCTCCCATCTACCGTTCCCTGATCTCCAACCTTCCCTACCTCCCCGAGTCATACCGTACCCCAGCCGATTTCGATTGGGCGCTTCATCCAGGGGGTGCAACAATCCTAACCGGCGTTGAAAAAGCTATGAATATCTCACCAGAACACATGAGAGCTTCATACGATACATACATGAAACATGGAAATTCCTCCAGCGCGACAATATTCAGCGTAATGGATAGATTACGCTGTAAAGATATGGATGGCATTACACCTGGAGGAAGAGGTCCTAAAGAAATGGTCGTGGGATGTGCCTTTGGACCCGGTATCGCAGTTGAAATGTGTCTAATGAAGCGGAATTTAAATCATGTTAAAGGAGAGTGGGATGGCGGGGTACAGAATATCGTAGGTGGGGAAGTTACCCCGCCATTGACAGAAAGTGAAGGGACTAGAAGCGTAAGTGAAGGAGAGATAGAACCGGAAGACTTGGCAAAAGTAAAAGAGTCGGGGGATGAGTTGGGTGCAAAATTACAGAAAGTGGAACCGGCGATTCTAGAACAAAATGCGCAGCTTGTATCGCAGGGAAAGGAAAATACTCAGCCGGATAGTTTGGAGGAAGCACTTAATGGTGTTCAACTTGACTAGATATAGACTTAAAAAAAAGAAAAAAAAGGAAAAAGCCAGAGACGAAGAGTTAAAATAGCGATGGTATGTTTATAAAAAATATACAATTTCGACGATCCGGGAACGAGCGATGACAGAAATAAAGATAAATGGATAATTAATTATTAATTTTCTATAAGCAGGCGTTTGCAATATGTCAGATAGATATCTTGAAAAAGTTTTCTTAACAGCGCGCGAGTATTATGTAGCGTTATAGATGAGATGAAATAAGAGGGGATGAGATGCACTGATATATTGAAAATAAATCACGTGTTTCGTCATGATAACTATCTTTGATATTTTCAATATTTTCAAGACATCCTCATTTACTTATGACTAGTATATGGGGATATATCGTAATATTGTAATATTTTAATTTTGTAACATTACCCGTCCGCTTGATTCCTTGCCATCAATGCAACACAACGCAACGCGAAATACTAGGTAACTTAACTCAGCGCAACGAGAATGAATTCCCCCTCGGCTGACAGGAAGTCCTTTGGTTAGAGTTCCTAATCAAAAACAACCTTCTTCCCACTAAACGTCGCCTTAGCCTTCTCATCCTTTGCCTTCTTCGCCGCTTCCCAACTGGGATGTAAAACGCCAACATCATCTCTCGTCTTGACCCTATCTCTGGGTTTCACCTCCACCGTATTAGCATTCCTCTGATCATTTCTAAAATCGCCTTTGCGTCCTTTATTCACATCTCTTAGTCTAACTTGCTTGCCCATCTTTTCGGCTCGTTTCATTTCTCGCTCTTGTTCAATGGATAGTCCGCCCGCGGCGATGTGTTTGGCTCCTTTGCCGAATTTTTTTTCCCAGAGCGCTTGCCGGGCTTTTTGGCCCATGCGGTTTTTGCGGACGGTGGGTTTCATGTCGGTGTCTGAGAGGGAGGAGGCGGAGGATTCGGAGCCAGACCAGTAGCCTCCCATGAGGGTGGGGAGGAAGGTACTGTTTTTTGTTGGGTCGGGGGTGGTGGCGGTTGATTTCTTGAGTTTTTTGGCTTTGGGTTGGGGTTGCAGTTCGGGTGAGGGAGACAGTGAGGGCTTGCGACGGGAAATTGATGATTTGTTGTCTTCCGAATTGTCGGATAGGGAGATTGAAGGTGCAGGTGAGGGCGATCGGGATGGTGTGGGTGAAAGAGAGAGTGACAATCGTGTATTTGACTTTGACGTTGAGGGATTTTTCTTCAGGTATTCTTCCTCGTCGAATGATTCTTCGTCGGAGGATGCACCTAATAGAGCATCGTATCGTGAAAGAGTTTCTTCATCCAATGAATTATTTCCTTCGTTTTCCTCATCATCCTCAGAATCATCCTCGTCTTCATCATCACCTGGTGAATCAAAACCTTCCCATGATTCCTCCTTGTCCTGTTTCTTCGAAACCTTTTGTGTCGTATTTTCCATATCAACATCACCGTCATCATCCTCACTCTGCGCTTCCATCTTCCTCGAGCTCTTCTTCGCATCCTCTCCCTTGGCTTTCTCCTTCAATTTATCTTTCCCTTTCTTCCCCTTTTCCATAACCGGCGCCGGAATCCCCATACTCATATAACTTCCCCTGATTACTCCCTCCCAAACACTCTTCACAACCTTAAAATTCCACATCCCACTCACAACATTATTCCACACCTTTATATCCTCTTCTTCCTTCTCCCCCTCCCACCCCTTCACACCCTCTCCAATTTCCCCCCATCCTGCAGGGAAAAACCCACTCTCAGCCATAACCTTTATCTTACCCAAACCCCTCGCCAATCGCTGTTCAACCACTTTATCCAAATCCATCGTTTTCAAAGCTTCAATCTCTTTCCGTATCCTCGACATTTGCGCCGCATCCGCAGCTTTCGTCGCATTCGTCAATCTCTTTCCGAGCCTTTGCCTCTCGAATCCTTTTGCGGTTTTGAGCGCGCTGCGAAGTTGTTTTCGAGTAGAGATGAGATGAATATTGAAATCATTTTGACGGGAATTGCGCACGCGGTCGTGAGAGGAAATTGAAACATCCTGATCGTTGGAGGAGCGCTTTCGCTTCGGCATTGTTTCTAGGTATGTATTGTATTATGCCTGGAAGTTTGGGGTTGCGGTTATCGAAGAATTGAGTGGAAGATAAATTGGAGGAAATAATTAAATTCAATCGCAAAAAATACTGCAGGTGAAGAGCTCAAAATGACAAGGATCGTTTTCACAGCTTTCGTTTTTGATTTTAAAGGCGGTGAGATGTGGCAGAATCTAAATAAAGAATGAGGGGAAAATGGCTCAGAAAGTGGAGGACAGTGGAGTGTCATTGGGTTGATTCGTGTCACTGATCGGAAGAATGGAGAATAACTGAAAGACCGACGGCTTTGTATATACGTTTCTTCTTCAACTGTCCTCTGTTTCTTCTTTATTTCGTCAATTGGTTTCAAATCGCTCATATATATCACATCACATCAACTAACAACATGGCAACCTCAACGCTCCACGCAGCGAACCTCTTCAATGTTAACGGGCTCGTTGCCGTTATCACGGGTGGTGGAACAGGTAAGTCTAATTCTTCCTCCCGTTCTGTACTTTGCTAATACCAAAAATCCTAGGTATCGGCTTGATGATGACCCGAGCGCTCGCTCTCAATGGTGCCGCTAAGGTGTACATTATCGGCCGCCGAAAGGAAGCTCTTGAAGCTGCTGCCTCTTCCGTAGAAACAGGCAATGTCATTCCGATAGTCGGTGATGTGACCGATAAAGAAGCTCTAGCTTCGATCGTCTCGAGGATCGAGTCCGAAGTAGGATACATCAATCTTCTAGTAGCCAATTCCGGCATGGCTGGTCCTCAAGTCACAAGCCCCCCCACTGCATCTTCCTCCCTCTCTGAGTTCACTTCCGCATATGGTAGTCCTAGTGTGTCGGACGTGATTAAAACCTTTGAGTTGAATACAGTTGCCGTTTATTTCTCTGTCATGGCTTTCTTGGATTTGTTGGACAAGGGTAATAAGAAAGGGAATGTCGAGCAGACGAGTCAGGTTATTACTACTGGCTCTATTGCTGGGTTTAACAAAAATATACCTGGAACGTTTATCTACGGGCAAACCAAAGCTGCTACGACACATATGATGAAGCAATTGAGTACACAATTAGTGCCGTACGATATTAGATGCAATACTATCGCACCTGGTTGTACGTTGCATATCACAGCTTTTAACTTTGTTCTAAGAAAAACATGCTAACCGAATTTAGTATTCCCTTCTGAGATGGCTGCTGGAATGATCGGTAATGGGGTTTTTCCCAGAGAGAGAATTCCATTGCAAAGAGTAGGCACGGAGGAAGATATGGCCGGCTGTATTCTCTTTTTGGCATCGAAGGCAGGGGCTTATTGTACTCACGCTCTTATTGTGGTTGACGGAGGCCGGTTGGCTATCCAGCCTAGTACTTATTAGGTTCATGAACAAATGACTAAGGCTGTGTAGAAAGTTACAGGAGATAGAGTAGACACATGGAGCTTGTTGGTTTATACTAAAAATTACTATGGTCATGTTGTTGGCGTTACCTACGCACATATGAATATGAGGTTGGTGGAATTATATAAGTTGTTACACTCGAGATGGCGTAGTTACATTGAGCAATCTAAGAAAAACGGGTACATGCACTAAAATGTCGCTACATGGTTCGACATCAAGATAGCTATAGCTTACCAACAACCTATCCCCAACTATTTCAACAATCGACGTCAGGAAAGTAATCCTCATTCTGCCACGAGGATTATCAAGAATGAGAATCGCACCCTGAGACGAGGCACATTCCAAGTCGAGAGTTATAGCCAACCATGGAGGTTGAAATACTATACACCAACCCTCTCATGCCTCTACTGCCTGACCTTTCTAGGAATCTGATTCTCGAGCCACCTAAGGTGCACCGCATAAATCGGATCAAAGTGTGTTTCTTTCCCCCCTCTTCAGCTAATCTTCGATCCTTATTTTAGCATCAATTGTTTTGAAGCAAAACTCAGCATTGTCTGCTCATTTCATCGAATGAGAACTGGCTGGATAGAGGATTTGGAAAAGAACTTTTCCCCAGACCTGGCAGATGTGCAAGAGAACAAGGTAGGCTAATCGATTGTGTCGAAATATTGTCGAAATATGTAGATTTGCGCTAAAACAAGAGTAAATCGAGTGGTCTATTGAGAATATTATCTGCTATTGTAAATATACAACCAAAAGTAAGAAAAATCTGCGGATTGTTTGCTGAGGATAAGGATGTGGATGAGTTGAGTAGGTGGTGCAGAGTGTTGTTAATAGAAAAACACTGAATGATGAAAAATATCAACTGATAGTAATTGCGATGTATAATCAAAAATTCGAGAATAAAAGGGATTGGTGGCATAACGAATTTTCTGGCAGTATAAGCACGGAGAATGAAAGTTATGATTGAAAGATGGGTAAGTATACTAGGTAGAATGGCAAAGAGTGAGACTTTCAGCAAAGTTGCTTTGCAGTGGTACAGGACTTTCCGTTCGGCGTGCGCAGGGTAAGATACATGCCTTTGCGGCGATCAATACATTTATGATTATATCAATGTCGTTGAATAGTTAGGTAGCTTTCTCTCCCTGCTAAAAGAGATAGTATGAGTCTTCTTCTGATAACATTGTCAGGCGCTAAAATTTAGTTTATTCCATCCAAAAAATTGCTCACCAAGCAAATGAAGGAATTAGCAAGAAAATCATGAGATACCTTCTGAGAATAAGGACTGATGAGGTAGACGGCGAAAGAGGATGAGGAGAAGAGGTGGCAAAAGAAGGACGAAGGAATATCAAATATCACATCTGTTCAAGGGCACGCAAAGGAAGATCGCGGACCACAACAATATCCGGCTGAGGCGAAGCACCTCGCCCAGAAAGAATAAGCCCAGATCCTCGACTCGTGCCTGACATGATATTCACATGTGGCTCGATATTAAACACTTAGCATTGTGGGATCACTGGTGGATCTGCGGGTTTAACCCACCGGCTCAACGTATCGGCTGCTGCTGCCGGGGAGCATGTTATACCCAAAGGATTGCCACTAGATTAAATCCCTAGCTTTAATTTGTATGATCCAGTCTTGGCGCTTATAAAAGACAATTTCGCAGGAGTGAGTAATGACCCTTCAATCATTAAAGATAGGAAAGCGGGTATGCCGAGCCGAGCCTGGCCACTGGCAAGAAATTCTCAGGCTATGAATAGCAGAAGCAAAGATAAAAGTGGCAGGGTCTGATTTTTTCGGAGCCCCGGAAGATGAGAAATTCCCAGAAATTTTATATTGTATATTGTATAGTGAGTAGAGAATGTATCGTCTTAGCATGCATCTCTCTATTTCTGCCAGATGAGAATTAGACTTGTATTTTGTCAGCAAGTTGTAAGTTGTAATGCCCTTGTGTTGAAGATATTTCGCTCGTCACGAGAACAGCAAAGACCCGACAACTAACTCTGTACAAGATCCTTCTGCATTTGCCTCGGCTAATATATCTGCACTGTGGGTTAGATCTGGGGTATGATAGGTAACGAGGTTTTACCAGTATTTAACGGGGTATAATGTGGATACTTGCTTTGATTTCTATTTACCTACGAAACACAGTTTTCGGAAAAACCTAACAACCATCCACTTTTCAATGTACCTTTGCAGTAGATTGACGGAATAAATTAGCTGTAATTTACCGCCAAGGATTTCGCCTCCAAACTTTGGTAGATTGATATTTTGCCCAGGTGTATTGCGGTACCTCCGAAGCGGCTCGCCGGTCCGTTGCTAGGTTGCTAGGCGCTTAACTAAATGAATCTCTTCAATTAGCCTCGTAATAACACTTAACTCGAGGCAGTGCAGAAATTATCATGAAAATATTGCCTGCCACCACATGGGTCGATATTGATAGGTGCATCATCCACGTACAAAGGGCAGTGGAACTTCAGATGAACATAACAAGGATTAGGACAATCATTATTGATGATCTTTAAAACAGCTATTTTTCCATATGGTAAGAAGATGGATGGTAGCTGTATCGGACGGATGGCGGTGCAGAGTTGTGGTGTTGTGGCACTTCGGATGTTCTGTTCTTCCTATTTAGCCTGTTTGGCGACTTCCAAGATCCGCATCTCCCTTTTTGAAACATAAGTGGTGCTAGGTCTATTTGTAACTTGAGTACGGTAGATGTAATTAGGGTTTGTCCCCGCATTTCTTGGTTTGACGCCCAATAATTGACAGATTATTCATTATACGGGGACCCCACAATATGCAATGCTGAAGAAAATATTGGAGAGGCTCCATGCGGAATTTGAGGTGTCACTCACTTTGAGAGGTTGTGAGCTTGGCACCTTGCATATTCATCCCGGATATTTGATTAAGCTTATTGGAGTCCCCGGATTATCCTGATCATTTGCAATGAATTCTCGACAATTATCCATACAATTCGATCCATCTTATGCACAAAAGTATACTATATTGTAGAATCCCTGCTCATCACCCGACGATGTTTGTGATAACTCTATCGGACGGATAATCTCAATTAATCCTAGTGTTGTCGCTGTGATAACACGAAAGTGGAGCGAAGGACGATATTTTAATACTGATGAACGTATCATACTGCTAATGCCGACCTGAATCAATTGTGAAAGCGGCAACAGTGAGATGTTAGTCAAATCACATCCCATGGATCCTCGCTCCGTATGGAGCAACTTCGCCATTACTTTATTCCATGCGGCGTCTTTTCCTCCGCTCCGAATGTGATTTTTGGTCCTGCATCAGAGCCCGCTCTCAATATAGGGGGCCTACCATATTTGGCTGCCACTGATCAACCGGATGGCTGCCCGCATTTCCATATTTATCAATCCCCTTGAAATTGCATTCAGCGTTAGGCGATAATGAAGTTGTAGCGAGGTACGTGCGAGATGATAATGGGAATATCTTGGCGTGAATGAAGACTATATAATGCGTTTGATCTCGCCGTAAAGGAATCTCCATCCAACACAATCATTACTATCCTTTCAAAATGATCTCAAGAGTACTTGCCATTTCTTCTCTTCTGGCTGCGGCCCGCGCCCAACAGATTGGTACAAACACCGCAGAGGTGCATCCTGCCCTCACGGTCAGTCAATGTACTGCCAGTGGCTGTACTACTTCCAGTCAGTCTATTGTCGTCGACGCCAACTGGAGATGGCTCCACACGACCAGTGGTTACACCAATTGCTACACAGGCAACTCTTGGGACGCCACTCTTTGCCCTGATGCAGTAACATGCGCTGCAAACTGTGCTTTGGATGGTGCCGATTATTCTGGAACTTATGGAATTACCACGAGTGGCAATTCGGTTAAGCTCAACTTCGTCACCAAGGGTACAAACACCAACGTCGGTTCTCGTACCTATTTGATGGCTGCTGGATCAAAAACACAATATCAATTGCTTAAGCTTTTGGGACAAGAGTTCACATTCGATGTGGACGTTTCGAACCTCCCATGTGGTCTCAACGGCGCCTTGTACTTTGCTGAAATGGACGCCGATGGAGGAGTGTCTCGCTTCCCAACCAACAAGGTAACCAATAACTCCAAGTCTGTTTGCGTAACAAATGCTGATTGTTTTCTTTTAGGCTGGTGCCCAATATGGTACAGGTTACTGTGATGCCCAATGTCCACAAGACATCAAGTTCATCAACGGTCAAGTAAGTAGCCTGTGATATCTTTCAAATTTTTCATCATGTCCTGACTATACCACAGGCAAACTCCGTTGGCTGGACTCCTTCCACCAATGACGTGAACACTGGCACAGGACAATATGGTTCATGCTGTTCAGAGATGGATATTTGGGAGGCAAACAAGATTTCTGCCGCTTATACTCCTCATCCATGTTCAGTCGACGGACAAACTCGTTGCACCGGAACAGATTGCGGCATTGGAGCCAGATACTCCTCCCTATGCGATGCTGACGGATGTGACTTCAACTCTTACCGCATGGGCAACACGGGATTCTATGGTGCAGGTCTTACTGTAGACACCGGCAAAGTCTTCACCGTCGTCACTCAATTTATCACCAACGATGGAACAACATCTGGCACTTTGAGCGAAATCCGCAGATTCTACGTTCAGAACGGCAAAGTTATCCCCAACTCCCAATCTAAGGTTACTGGAGTTTCTGGCAATTCTATCACCGACTCTTTCTGTGCCGCACAAAAGACTGCTTTCGGCGACACCAACGAGTTCGCCACCAAGGGAGGTCTTGCTACCATGAGCAAAGCCTTGGCAAAGGGAATGGTACTTGTTATGTCCATCTGGGACGACCATTCCGCCAACATGTTGTGGCTCGATGCCCCATACCCAGCAAGCAAATCTCCAAGTGCTGCCGGTGTCAGCCGAGGAACTTGCAGCGCCAGTTCAGGTACTCCCGCAGACGTCGAGGCCAACTCTCCAGGCGCCTCTGTCACCTACTCCAACATCAAATGGGGCCCCATCAACTCCACCTACTCAGCTGGCACTGGCTCTGGCTCTGGCACTGGCACTGGCTCTACAACCACATTGGTTAGCTCCGTACCAAGCTCCACTCCAACTTCTACTACTGGTGTTCCCAAATACGGCCAGTGTGGAGGTAGCGGATACACCGGATCAACCAACTGCATCGCAAGCACCTGTGTTTCCATGGGTCAATACTACTCCCAATGCCAGTAAATTCTCTCTTTTTGGAAACAATTTAGTTTTCGATCGAGAGCAGAGATCTCAACGAGTCTGTACATAGGGTCGGCTAGATGTTGATCACATTCTTTCATGTATTTAGTTATTAACAATTTGAAATCGCGATTCCAAGACGGGAAAAGAGAAGCAGGACACATGGGCACATAATGAAGTCAATCGTTTATATAAAAAGCTCCTTTCAAGTACTGTGATATATGATGTTGATAAGTGACCCTTCGTGAAATAAAAAATTGGGTTTGAAGAATGTGATCTGCAATTGCTTGGAAATTCAGAATGTCATGTCTACCCTGTAATGCCTGCTTAGCTAATCCAATGGGTCTGTCGTTGGCCAATTCATAAACCCTAACCCAGCAAATTGATCCAACATTCGATGAAGAGACAAATTTCTCTTTCCGATTGAACGACAATATCTTAAAGTAAGTAGAAAGAACAATTGCGGTACTTATATCATATAGCAATGCTCATGCTCTCAATACTCCACCACAACTGAAATTTGATATCCGCAAAACCCTCAGAATATATCGCGATACGCACGACGATGATTACGATTGCCTGCAGAATGGCACAATTCACACGATCAAATTCTTACACGACCAAACGAAATGTAATTATAGGTCCTCAAGACTACGTCTACAATAAGCGCCTACAGTATGGAAAGGCAACCCGAAAATCGTGTGGTGGAATCTGACAACGAAAATTGTACCAATCTCGCGGGATCTATACTGGTTACTGCAAGGTCAATTCTAAATGAATAGTTCATAATACGGCCTCGAACGACTGAACGAATTCTGCTCAAGGAAGACACTGTGGAAATACTTTGCGCGACTCGAACGAATATCGAACCGTCCGTTGGTGAGATTGTAACGCAGTTTAGGAGTGTGCTAATAGTGGAAGCTCCCGCAAGAATCCTCAAAACATGAACAAGAAGATTGACGCAAAATTGGATGGTGGAATAGGCTTGTCGAATTGGTGTAAACCAGTACAAAAACGATAACATTCAACTGTATCTTTCGGTGTATTCATAAGTCGCGACAACTACAAATGCGTTTTCATCGCGGCTTCAGAGCTATGAACACCTTTCCGCAACCTCATTACCAGATTGCTTCAAGCTTTTTATTGCATATGAATTTCGATAGAACCAATGTTAACTTTTCCCTGCTTCCATCGCCAGTCCATAAAAAAGTTACTGCGATATACCGCCATCCAACATTCGACACTTAAATTCGACTTGAGTGCCTCTTAAAAGAACATCTACACGACTCATTTTCACTGGTCACCCACGAGTCTTCATTGCTCAATTTTATTCTAGACTGATATCCACAAGATTCGTTGTTCAAACTACATTTGAACGACCCCTTATGTTCGACCAATGGGTCGTCTGAACCCGGCCTGTCTTCACCGTTTAGCTTGCATCGGAAAAATGAAGATGTTCTCGAAATTGCTTCCAATGCATTCCTAGTACCTAGCTACCTTGAACCTCTCATATCAACGGTATTCGATGGCCACAGGGATGACTTTTCGATACAGCTTCGTAAAGCGTATTGCGTACTTGCGTTCTCACCAAAATCTCTGTCTGATCTAGACCCCCTTATCCTGAATTCAGGGTCCAAATCCATACACTGAGCAACCCAGCTACCCTATTAATAAGTAGTTACTATTTATCCCAGTAGTACGACTTCGTTTCAGGGTCTTCTAGCCCACACCGCTGTAAAGGCCCATTGTTAACTGTTTCATCCCCATCGGGATCCATATATAGCCTAGCCCTAGCCTAGACACAGCCCGCTGATCCAATATCGCCAACCAATATCCAGTGTGGGTTGAAATCGAAATTCGGCTTGGACCTCCATCCTCGAATTTGGCATGAATTTGAAGAATCACCAAGAATGTTTATTTTCACCAAAAATCCACATATCAAGCCTTCCCCGTCCGTGTCTCCATGTTCCCGAGATGCTCAGACAGTAGCCTACCATATTCACGAATCACAGCTCCCCGAAGTCACATACAATTGATGATCTCTTCGATCGAACCTCGTAACGATAATAGTGCAGAAATAACTCAAGATCAGAGGATTAATATCCTCAATACTGAGACGTTACGTAAACATGGTAAATTAAAGCACCAACTTCCGACATCAACTCCGCCGTGCATGGTTCACTTGGCGGACACGATTTTAGCTGGATCAGGGGTAATGAGATTCTCTCCTTTCCTTGAATAATGCTATTAGAACGACCTCCTTACACGGTAGATTTGATGCGAATATATCTTTGAGCATTTTAGTGGATGCCATTGTTCTTAAATAGTTTTAAAGTTCTACCTTACTTCATCTTTAATCCATTCTCTTTGATTGGCACTCGTATTGATATCCGTTCAAATATTTGGAGGCGTCGTACACGTGGAAGTCCCAGCTCAAAAGCAAACATCATAGCAACATCCCAATTCCACTCTCAAGATATCATTCTTAAACACTTGAGTTACGACTATTTCTCTTCATTCATACTTGACCCGAATCAAAAAGCCAAAATGTTCTTCTCACCCTTCATCACTGGTCTTCTTCCAATCTTAGCAGCCACTTCTACACAAATCGAAACGCCTCAGCATCCCAGCATATTCATTCTCAGCGACCATGCATCCAGCACCTCAGCACTAGGAAACGCCCTACAAACTTTGGGCTACACACACATCTCATCAGAAACGTTGAATAGTTCGTTACCACAACTCAGCACCCATACATTCACCGAACTCACCACAAATGCTGCGTCAGCTGAACTTTTACTCCAATACCCGAATACCAAATTCATCGTTCCCGTTTCATCGGCGTCGAAAGAGGATCGTGGAACTGGTGTGGAAAGAAGACCATGCGCCAACAGCTGGCTAACTCATTTGGCTGCTTGGAGTAAACTACTAGCCGAACCCGCCTCAGAAATTGACGCAAAGGAAGAAGCTGAAAGTGCTCAGTACGAAAAATTAGATTCCGTCAGAAATTCATTAGAAAGAGAAGGAAGACTATTAGAAATTATTCTGGATGAGCGAGAGAGCCACAGAGGCGAGAAGTGGTTGAGGTTATGCAAGTTTTTGGATTTGGGATATAGTGTAGTGGAGCGATTGAATTTGAAGGAATTCCCTTCTTCGACGGGACAAGAGAGGAAAGTTTCGGGGATGTGGAGGTTGGTCATGCAGGGAAGTGGTGTTTGAAGAGATGCATGACTCTGGGATTATTTCTAGAGATTCAAGAGCGGGATGTGGTGGCATTTATGGGAAGACTATGAAATGGTCGCCTGGGATATATATGCCTCGGTGCATCTCATTGCTTAGCGTGGTATGCGTTAATAAGGAGATAAAAACCATGTGATAGCTTGCTGTAGATGCACTAGAGTACTTCCTCTTCACCAATCCGCAGCTGCTATCCTATTGAGCATCTCTTTCTAGTGGTAAAAAATGCTCGAGAAAAGGGCCCTACGCGATAGATCTTGGTATAGGGTGAATGGGAGCAGAGAGCCTCACACTTAGAATGAGTACTGCCTAAAACCCTGGCACAAAACAAAATAGATAGATATAGAGATAGATAGAGAGATATTAGACTACATTATCCACCATCAACTATCATCTTCACAAACATTATTACAAAATTGATATCAGTAATAGCTGGGCTGGATTTTGAGATTTAGAGAGCCTATATCGAAACTAGTGAGGATGCTATCGATCACTATTGAGCCAGAAAAGCGAGTAGTTTTAGAGGGTAAGGGTGTAGATTGAAGAATAGAACTGACAGGGTATTTATACCCGGATCAGCACTAGATCTAAACTAAACTAGCGTACATGTGACCTGATAAAATTACTCTCGTTACAGAGCCCGTCAAAGTAGAGAAAGGTCCTAATAATTTCATAACTAGATCTGCATTGTTTAAAAATTATTCACGGTCCAAAATTCAAATGTAAAAATTGCATATCATAATCGTTCATATTTATTTTGAGTGAATCCATAAGCACACTCCAAACAATATTTTTTTTTTAGCTGCATCTCATCCTATAGAGAGTAAATAAACACCAACCAACATATACAACCTAACATCTCGTGGCGACGAAAACTCGAGTTTCCAATTGGTGAATATACTGCTCCACACTAACATTTTCCGGCGATTCGCTCAGATACGAGTTCTGAATATAATTGCTCGCTACACACAAGACAACATTAATAATCATCCCTATATCTAAAAACAAAAAAAACAAATGAAACACAAAAAAAAACATACCGAAATCTCTCAACTCATTCCATTCATTAACAATCTTCTGCAACTGTGGTTTTGCAAGTATCATTGGAGGAATATTGTCAGTATCATTATTGATCAATTGTTTAATGGTTTCGAGATCCGTAACCATGGATATCCATGCTCCTTGGAGTAATTCCAAAGTGCGCATTGCTGGTCTGATTTCTCCGGTGAGATTGTTGACTTGGCTCTAGAAATATTTTATTAATATTATAAATATACTGGGCTCGTTAGGATCTGATCACTTACATTAACAAACATAATGTTGAGTTGTAAGCGAGATGCGGTTTTATGCTTAGCTTCATACTCGTCCATCACAGCTTGAACCTTTTCCATGGCCTCTCTCATACCCTTGATTTCGTTCTTCGCATTTTGAACGAGCCCTACTCCGATGAAAGTTCCGATCGGCCAACTAGTTAGGGTTAGCTGAGATGAAAATAAATGATTGTTCCTAGATAACTTACACCCACATATATTTGGGAGCGTCAGTCAGCACTTTATTTTCTACATTCCATCGAGGTAATGTCAGCAAGTTCATTTTAATAACTTGTGAACAAGGAAGTTTTCATACTGTCATCAATCCTTGCCTGGTATTCCTCCAATTCTGCCCGAGCGGCATCAATCTTCTTCTGCATACTCGCGATATCGTTACCCTCTCTGATCAATTGAGCGTCAAGTGAAGTTGCATTAATACTAATGTGAGATTCGTGTTGCTCGCACTGGCCATGAAAATTTTCAAGCCCGGCCAATGCTTCTTGTGCGCCAGCCTGCAATTGTTTGATTATCCTGAGTTCCTCGTCGACCACGAATTGAATGCCTTCTTTCAGTTCCTTCAATCTTGCTTGGTCTGGCTTAGGTTTGTTATTTTCGTCGTGAAAATCACCAATCCATTTTAGCATGAGAACTGTGTACGATGTCTCCTCAGTTCCACCTGCCATGGTAGCATAGATCCTGATCTGCGCTGCCATGTCGACGATGTTACGCCATGTATGTTCTCTGAAGTATACACAATCTGCCTTAATCTAATAGATGAATTAGTATCCCCATAAACCAGCTTTCTCACGGAATGTTATTCCTCATCATGCAAATCATTGAATCAATGTGCCTTAAATGACTTTGCCACTTGATTGCAAACATACCTTGGTGTAAGTCGTGACAAGACTATCTACTTCTTTACCAAGGTCCAGACTCAATGGATCAGTAGTCAAGATACCCAATGATCGTAGATAATCATTGCGTGTAGTTGGGAGCAACCTGCCTGTCCCGAGGAACCGATTCAGAGCCTTCATATCAGAGGAGTTGAATATGAAAGCTCTGTCATCGTCTTCGGGGTCAGAAGCAAACCTGGAATTGGTGCGGTTATCAACAAACATTCCCTTTGGGAACCATACCTTCTCGTCGTCAATCGGTCTTGAGGGGTCGAACGACATGATTAATGATGTAATGTAAGAAAGGTTGGAAAAAGTTGAAGTTTTCGGTTGGGTGATGAGAATGAAGATATGAGTGATGCGAGTGATGCAGATGAATGGACTCAGAAAAGACAGCAAGATCTTTCCCCTTTTAAGATGCTTTAATTCAGGTAGACCGTACCGATGTACCTTCGTCATACGAATGTGATCGAGATTGAGTTCTCACTTAATGTGGCTGCCTGTCATTTTCCGTGGTCTCAAGTATCCCCACGTTCTGAAGACACGCTTATGCCCACTGATATATGCAAGTGGTGAAACCACGCCCTGCTCTTGTTTAATGGTAATGGGGTGACTCTTGCAGGAAAAGTCCGAGAATAATCGATTGGTTGAAACATTTCATAAAACGTACGATGTGATTTCAGCCATCGATATCTAAAGGAAGCTGGATGATTGATTAATTATGCAGCAAACACTTGTCCATCTACATGGCTGAGCTGAGACTTGAGGTATAGCATAGCATTTTGTGAGAGAATGAGGCATAATTCACATAGCTAAAACGGTGGAAGATCAGCCTGATTGATCATAATTTCCTCTTGCGATATGCGATTGGATTATGTCATATTGGGCTGCAGCAGCCGTTGCAGAAAGGTAGCTGAGAAATTTTAATCATCAGTGCGCAATAACAGTATATGCATGTACGATTATACGAGGGACAGCATGAAGCATAAGTTGCGGGGTAATTTCGAGAGCGAGTAAGCGAGATCGGGATGTAACACAACTGAAAGGCTAGAAGGCATTACCCCGCCCTCAATACGCTTCAGAGGGGATTTGTGTAAAGGACAGACGCACCCTGATTATTACATTGTTGGAAATCCAATTGTGCTTTCACAGCGCTTATTCTTGCACTATGAGGCTATCAAAGTCAGCCCACAATCAAATTTGCATGATTGCACCTCAAAATAAAACAAACACGGGAATGCCGAAGATTGTAATGAAGAGCGCTCGAGGTGGATGTTGCCAAATCAATCTCCCACATATCCGCAGCCACAATTAGCTCGTCAAATAGACGCGATAGACGCAGTAGATTTTAATCGGCTCCCACATGTGGGAAAATCAGTTTCTGCTTGAGCCCAATTAAACCTCAAGCATCTCGTCTAAGATTTTGAGTCTATGAAATTCCGTTACGCTCTTTGAGTAACTTGGTGGAACTTGATAGATTCTCAATTCGTCTAGGCGCATGTAAAAGGTATGTAGAATATAGGACGACGGGACAACCCCTCATTTTAGATTAATGATCGTTGTCATATCATGAGAGGAGGCGGCTAGGTTTGATTTGCCCCCACGTCAATGTCTCTATCTAATTGAATGAGATTTCTTTGCAATTAGCCATGAGGAAGCAAACATTTGAGCTAGTCAGTCTTCTTGAGCTCAAGATTAGCAAATCAAACCTTTATCGTATGTTTGTTGGTCATAAAAACTAAGTAAGTGGTTAGATGAACCTTGTAATGGCGCATTAAATCTTCCAGACCTAGATTAAAAAAATCCTCAGGTAGCCACCAAATAGTGATCCGTGACCTTTTCTAGATTACTTCACAATCGAGTTCATGGCAGGCAGGGCTACTTGTGAAATCCACTAGTCTGGCCGGTTCCCTTACGTTTGAACATTTCACCTTGACCCCTAATTTCCACTCAGTTGTCTCGCCTTTTTGCACATGACGCGAGATTGAGGCGCGCTGTCTAGGCTATTCTCCTCTCAACTCTTTTGCTTTATACAATAAAGAAAGAGCTCTCCCTTATCTCCTACTACAGTTGAGTCGAAGGGGATAGATAGTATACCTTAAAAGAGAAATTACCAATTTTCGGTTTTTGAACCTTCAAAAGAGACATCATGAAAAACATCATCATCCCACAACCAAACTCCCCAGCTGGATGGCAGGCTTATGCGAACTCGGAAGCCGTAGCCAGTATCCCTCTACAAGCAGCTCAAGATGTAAACCAGACTTCGGTGAGTAAACTTGCCTGTTGCCCTTATTGTGCAAAGGTTGATTTAATTTACCCTTCTCAGAGAATCGCGACTTTTCGCGGGGTTTTTCTCAATGCAACCACGGTTCTCCCACACTCCATGAGCAGGGTAAATGTCTATGCCGATGTTCTTGCCTTCGCGGATCAGACTACTATTGTTGCGCCTAACGATAACGGGACAATCCTTATTGTATCCAGAGTTCTTACCGCTACTGGGCCAGTGACCCTCACAGTTCCAAGGGGTCTGGCAACAACATGTGTTGTCTCAATTTATGCATCTGTCCTCAACCAACCAATTACGGTAGCCACTGGTGATGGTTCCAGGCGAATTAATCTTGACCAAATAGGAACAGGCAAAGTCTATTCTGGGGTCATTGTAGTCTTTAACCCAAGTGGCTTGCAAGTTGAGTATCAGAGATATTACCCTTCTACCGCCAGTAAGGACCTTCAGGCGAGCTTGAACACGCAGCTACGCATTGGTCTTGTCCAATTTTGGCGTAATAGCTCCATTGCAATCTCACTATGCTCCCATGTTGCACAAATTAGCACGGGGCAACAAGCCTATGCCCTTCTAAATACACAGGCAAGGGCTCTTGGGCAGCAACTCGCTGGCCAAGCCATGGCTGGACAAAATATGAGTTATGCACCGGTGTTAGTCCTCAGCCGATATAAGGAGACAACGCAAAGCGCATTGAATGCTGCCTTTGCATTCGAACACCAATTTGAACGTTTCCAAGACAAAGCAGAGTCCTTGGATACTCAGATTCAAGCATGGAATGCCATGTTGTCTCAAGCTATCAATGAGTACAACATGCGTATTAATATACGCAACTTAGCGCTCGAGAAGTACGAGTACTCGGTGAAAACAGCTACTGGCTGTCATCAGCAATTTGAGAATGACGTGTTTGCCTTGGAGCTTTTGCGGATTGCATTTCAAGCGGGATTAAATCGATGGGTTTTCGAGCAAAAGTTAAAAGCTGTGTTTGAGATTCTTCAAGCAACGATCAGTAAGTCACTCTACGCCAAAATCAGAATGTTTTTAGGATGATAATGAACTATCGCCTAGCTTTTGCGGTTGCGGTTGGTCAGCTGTGTCTCGGCAGTCCTGGTGGAGTTGGACAAGGAGCTGCAGCCGGAAGACAGGCAATCGGGGCTGTTGTGGCAGCAGAAAAACTCATTGGTCAGGTGAACAAAGTGTTGTCCTCTGGTACATTACAGACGCTTCTAGACTGCATTGAAGCCCTTGGCACTCTATATCCGTCAGTGGATACAATAGTCCGGACAATAATGCAATTCGAGAAAAATCCAAATATTAACATCCCTTCCACCGGAGATATCTCAGGCACTAGCCGAGGGGACGCTGACGCTGCTGCCATCGTAACCATGGCTGCATGGGACAAATGGCTTTTAGAAGCCGACGATCAGATGGCGTTTGCCGTTGGGCAGAGTATTGATGGTGCTAGTGCCTATCAGCTGGGCCTGCGGAAGCATGCTATTAATGGCAAGCAACTAGCACAGGCACAAGCAGAAGCAGTCAAGTCCGGGTATGAGTATGTTCAGGCTCAAATGGAAGTAATTCGGAGTTCGCAGAACATTGCTGATCTTCAAGCACTAAAGGCTGGCTTTCACGGTCAAGAAGCTGTTTATCTTGAAGCCAAATCAATGTTCTATGACCGGGCCATGGCCTTGCGAACCAATGTCGTTCTCTCACTTCGAAATATGGCTTGGGCATATCGCTACTGGGCACTCGCCGATAGTTCGATCAATCTCGACGCTCGAAAATCTTTAGCCGAGTACCAGCAGGATCTCTCCACCGTCATCATGGAGTTGGAACGTGCCGACTCAAGATGGGCCAGTGATCATCAACGTGAGTCCACGAATTCCGTAAATTTTTTCACAACGGTAACTAAAAGTATCGTTAGCTTTTAATTACGATATTGCATCAAACACGGTGAGATTGCTCTTTTGGTAACTCTGCTTACCATGCATAAACACAAATTGACATGAGCTTGTAGCTTCCCTCTAACCAAGGCCAATCCATGATTAATGGTATCAAAAGCGATAATCACACGGCCAGCTTTACTCTCCTCACTGACAAGCGTTTTGCAAGTCAATTTGTTGAGGGGTCTCATTATCGACTGAATGGTATGGATCCCACGCTCAATGGGATTCTCCCCAGGCCCGAAGCAATGCAAGGTGGTGTAGTTGTAGTGAGGCTGCAGATCACTACCTCGGGTATCTATTCGGATATTTACAAAAATCAAGTATTCCATTTTGCCAGTCTTCCTCAGGTAAGACGATGCTCATATGATCTTTATTCGAACGGCGAGAGAGGAGCGACACGTGATGAGCCTATCTTCGAAACCGTAGACCATGCGGAGCCTACCCCCTTTACTCAATGGAAGATAAAGCTGCTGAATCCCGAGCAGGTTATTTTGAATGGATTGACAGGAATCAATTTGAAATGGAAGGGGCGTGTTCGGTTTGATGAGAGACGTCGTTTGATGCATGGGATTGAAGAGCTGTAGGAAGAACTGATGAACGATAGTATTTTAGGGTTCACGGGATAATCATCAAACTTATTTATCTTTCCAATACTCTGCATAGCACAACAATCAATTTGAGAAATCGCACGACTTGTCGTAATTAATTGCGGTGAACACGTTGTGTGTACATATATATGGTTTTTAAGACATCGGTTGCTGTTTGTTTCACTTGTGCTTATTAGTCAAATATTAGTCATCTAGATTAAGGTGGTTCTCCAATTACTTCATCAAAAATTATCATTGGAGCTTTCAGCAAGGTTTCAGCGCCTTTCTTCGGTTTTCCTTAGGGGCAGATGCTCCGAATTTTAAAGCTCAGTGACTAAAGTGGCGTCTGTTACAGGGGTTTCAGGTTAGTCCACGCATCCATCTCGAGTATTTTTATGATAAGAGAATAAATACTTCGAGAGATTCCATTCACACTTATTTTGTCATTTTAACGATTCTGATCATGCGATTTTGATTCGGATTTCAATTTCTATGAACATGAACATGAACATGAACATGAACATGAACATATGCTCGAACTCTTCGACTGACTATTAAACCATTCGAATTCTCTATGAGAAATATTCTGCATTAACATACTGCAGGTTTGCTCTTCAATCAAAACCATATTGACGTCAGTTCAATACCACACAGTTATCTCTGAATCACCACATCAACACCCACCGCTCCTTCCCAACCTCCATCTTTGCCCTGAACGTCAGCTAGGTTGCCACTGCTCAAAATGGCAGACCATGCATTCGCACTCAGGAGGGAGCATATTAAAGGACTTCCCAAGATCTCTTCATCTTCATCCATCGCAGATATGAGAATCACCGAATCTCAAAAGTTAAAAGTCCTCGTGGCCGCAAATGGAAGTAAAGATGTCGCACAAGCTCTTGCACTTGTCGTCAGGCTATCTAAGAATCCAAAAATTGAAACACGAGCGATAATCGACGAGGAAATATGGCCATCATATAGATTATCTCAGGAGACACTGGCATACCAAAATAAAAGGTTCCTGACCAGGGAGACAGATGAGGCAAGGAAAGGTATAAAACGAGATCAAATCGAATATTTCCAACAAGAAGCCTTCGAATTGTGTGACTGGGCAGATATACTTGTACTAGCACCTATTGATGCCGACACGTTTGCGAAAATGTTGCACGGCATTACCGATTGTCTGTTGCTTGAAATTCTCCGCGGCTGGGACGTTTCCAAGAAGATATTACTCGTTCCGGGAATGACGACATCAATGTGGGAGAATCCTATTACAAAGAAACAATTGAACAAAGTGCGGAGAAAGTGGCAATGGGTTCGAGTTATGCAACCGATACTGTGGCATTATGATGCGAAGGGTCCAGGGAAATGTTTCGTGGGATGGGATGGATTTAACGAACTTGTCGATGTTATCAAGAATCAAGCGGAACTTTTGACAATTGGCCATGATGTGGATATCGCTGCTTCCGGTGCTGCCAGTCTCGCAAGATACAATATGAAGACAGATGCGCTCCTTCCACCAGAGATATGGTCCCTCATTTTCGAATACGTGGGGGATTGGGAGGTGTCGAGAGCGCTTAACGTGTATGCCAAAATTCCAAGACCAATTGAATGGCAGCCAAAGCCTGATGATGCGAACGACGAATTACAAACCTATATGCGGTCACTCGAACGGATTATTCTTACATCTCCCGTCTACAAGATCATAGACAAACTTAATACGGCGCCCGAAAACATGCGAGAGCTTTCCCCGTTATGTGTCAAGCTCATAATCAAATTCTGTCTTACAGAAGTCCTCTCATATTTAGAAGCGAAATTAAAGGATGTATTCTGGGCTACGTTTGGACAAAAGCTCTTACCCACCAAGGCTTCTGCGGTATATGGACGCACCGAGATTCTAGAATGGTGGCGCACATCTCCTTCTTTCCTCTCTAAGGACTACACCGCAGAAGCAATCGATGGAGCTTCCAAATCTGGATACGTACATGTTCTCGATTGGTGGAGAAAGTCGGGACTTCCGTTAAAATACACAGAACTGGCGCTCGAGCAAGCATCCTCCAAAGGACATATGCTAGTTCTCGAATGGTGGAAACAAGCAAGCCTTCCCCACAATGAGGCCGAAAGACGAACTCGGCATGCAGAAGCTGCATCAAGCAACTCCGATGTCCTCCCAGCTCTACAACTCAAGCCTGGTAAAGCACTACTAGCCGCTGCGCAAAACAATAAACCTCTCGTGCTCCGCTGGTGGGATAATTCTGGTATTCCCATTGCCCATTCTGAATCCGTAGCCAAAGTCGCGTCGACCCATGGGCATGTTGCATGTTTAGATACATGGCGCGAACTGAAGGGCGAGAAACTCACATTTGACAGCCAGGTGTTGGTAGGTCCTACGAAAAATGGACATGTAGAGGTATTGGAATGGTGGGCAAATTTCAGTCATGGATCTAACGGAAGGCCTGGTGGAAGAGTCGAATATAAAACCTGTGATATTGAAGAAGCACTTGAAGATAGCGTGAGTAAAGAGGGTGAGGAGTTGGAGGTTAGAAGATGGTGGGCAAATATGGGGTTGAATTTAGGCGGCTCGGTTAGTGAGTGGACGAGAGTCAAGGTCTTGTAGATGGATTTCATATGAAATGAACGTAACATTATGTTAGCAATGCACGAATATGTGGAGTTGGGTGGGCTGGCTGGCTGACTGGCTGGAATGAACAAGGATGGACGAAAAGCATGGATGGATAACATGAACATGAGCATGAGCATGAGCATTTACGAGGAGTTACATAGCGAGCTTGATATTTGAAACATTTTTACTAAGAGTCGGTACCCCAGATTGTCTGATATGATTTTGCGCATAATTATAAATTTACAAGTCCAGAGGATCAGCCAGCCAAGCGGGTAATACAAACAATACATACAATACAATACAACAATTTCCCCAGCGTGGGAGATGGATATCGCCGTTGTAAGTACTGCGGAGAGCGGAGACTGGGGTAGTTCCTTTGAATTATATAGTATTGGTCAAGAGAGCATCATGGAGTGAGGAAATAAATAGTATAAAGTCTTGCCGAAAAAAAAACACTTTTCCTTGATCCAGGACCTGGCTGTGGAGTTTAGTGAGGTGGAAAATTGGATACTGGATATTGGAGACGGAGGGTGGTGGGGATTCGAATGTCGTCTTGAGAGAATGTGTGTCCTGGTACTGGCTAGTTGCTTGGTGGAGGTTGGGATGTGTTGATAGGTTCTGTCGTTTCTCGTTCAGATTGAGGTTTGTGGATCCTTAGTGTTGTTTGCTTTTGTGAGAGTTGTCATTTCTTGTTCATTACTATCCGCTATGTTTTCTTTTTCTTTTTCTTTTTCTTTTTGTTTTTGTTTTTTTTTGTTTTTCAAGGAAGAAAGGTCCAGTCTGGATATTCTCACCAGTGCGTAGAAGGTCACAGGAGCTTTCGATACATGTTTTGGATGTATTGAATAACATTTGTGTCAAAATGCGCAGTATCGTTCTTGCTAGCGCGTTTCAAATTCGGCACCGAGTAATGGAGACTCTGTCTTGGGTTGGGTTTGGACTTTGGGCCTTGTGTGGGGACTTACCATTAGAACCGTGGTGGGGAGCGATAATGATGCTCATATAGTTCAAATGATTATACTTCACTCCACTATATGTACCTGTGGGGTAGACTATTTCCTCCCAACTGACGTGACAGGAGTTTATCCAGGACGCCCTGCAAGTGAACTACTCAGCTTTCAGGTAACAGAAGCGAGGTATCGGTCAATCAGAGCTTAGGCTTTCTTTGCCTTGGGTTTTGTAGATACCAGTTAGTCGGTTCCATTCGCCACCACCCAAACAAAGAAAACTCACCATCCACACCCCTCGCCTCTACCTCCATCGCCATCAAAGCCGCTTTCGAAAACTGTCTATCCCTCTCATCGAAGTTTCCGAAATCAATCTTCAATACCCACCTCAGATCCTCCAGCAGCAATGCTCCCAAATCCCCCCCAATCCCCAGCATCCGTAGATCAGCACCATATTTCAACAATTCCAACTCCACATTAGGAAGATTCTCATGTCGACGCATGAAATAGAAGTGCGTCGTATAGGTAGCATAATGGAGTTGTCGCCCCCATACTTTATCCCGCACGTGGTGCGTGATGTACTTCATTGGGGTCCAAACCAAATTTTATGGCGAGAAAAGAATGTTATGGAGTTTTCAGGTCATGGAGTGATCGGATACTATCTCCCAAAGCAGGAAAAGATTTTCAATGTATATGAAGGTCTCTGTGAAACCATCCAGTTAGTCATTCTGACGTCTTTTGGGAGTTTGCGGAGTTTAGTTTCGCTTGTTTTGATTGGGTGGTGAGTTGAAAGAGATCGGAGTGAATTGCGACTGCAAGGTTTGTGGTTTCAGAATAATTATCAAACTTAGCTAGGTACTTACCGTAGTTCCACCATGCTCACCGAGTTTTGTATGTACAGTACATGCATGGTATTGTACATGGTACTCCGTAAACTGCATCGATGTATTGATTTGGTAAATTTTGACCAAACTAAGCAGGGATCCTTATTTTAGCGTCAGTTGAATCGTTTTTAAGCGGGGAAACAGTTGAGGCTCTGTGGGAAGTTTTTACCTTAAAACCAAACTTTCACTGAGCTGAGACAACAAATCCCACTGTTGGGTCAAGCGACACTTTGACAAGCTTCGGTAGACCAACGGTCAAACTAGCGTTCCTTCCTCTTTGGGATTTGAAGAGTGTGGGGTCGGAACTGATATGGCTTGGTGCATGAGTGGGGGGAGGGTAATTCAGAATTCTGCATGTACGGAGAAACTATGTACCTAGTAAGTCTTAGTAGGTACTTTTCCAGCAGTTGCTTCTATCATTATCATCTTAGACCATTTTAGACCATTTTAGATCATTTTAGATCATTTTAGATCATTTTAGATCATTTTAGATCATTTTAGATCACCTTATCGCCATCGAATTGTCTCATATTCGAATCTATCTATTCCATTTATAGGTAGATAAGACCATAACTTGACATTCAGCCAAAATGCATCCATCCAGTATTCAATTCCGCCCTTGAGAGAAGTAAAAAGAAGCTCACTAGGATCCTTCAGAGAATCAGAGAATCAGAAACGCTTGTTGAGGGGTCAATTGTTGTCAATTGTTCTCATGACATCCGAAAAAGCAGTAACATTTAACCCTCTCGGCGAATAGGAGGAAGTTTTGCTATTCGGACACGGCTTCGTCGGATTATGAGGCTCTGAATTACAGCGAAATCCATCCCACTCTTTTGCATTCAATTAATCTATTCAAGTGTCCTCCGTACACGTATGTGTTTTTGGGCGCGAAGACTGCACTTTTCTGCGTTGCATTCTCTCCATTTCGTTCGCATGTTGAGCCTTACTACATCATAACATCAGCTGAAAAAAATTGGGAGTTTTTTATCTGCATATCTCAAGGACTTAATGTAGTGCTACATCAAGTCCCCTGTTTACTGGTCCGCTGTGGTACCAAAAGGATGCATTTTTACGGGATGCCCGTAGGTGCTGTACTTCAATGTAACCTCGCATTCGTGGCACCGCACAAAATCTATTGGTCGTCATGCACCATGCATGTTACCTGCCTTATTACATCACGGGAGGCTGAAAATTATTATACAATTTAAACGTGAAAAATATCCTCTGTTTTTATCGTTTCGTGTATCAAATTATTTTCCCATTGTGCTTGTCGACATAAAATGGCTTCCATCAAAGATCAACCAAGGTCGAGTGCTAATCAAAAGCAAGGCAAACGGGAACCTGTGTCGATTGAACAACTCTGCGTCGGATGCATCGTATGGATGCCAGAACAAGATAGTGCTAAAAGTGCCAGGTGCATTATGCCTCTATGTCCCTGCAACCATTCGGAATTGGATGAGAATGGGTCTGAGCATCATCTTGTAATTTTGGATATCTTCAAAACGGATAAAGATGTCAGATGTCATGTTGGAAAGGTTAAATTCCCCTAAAAGAACAACAGCAAGCCCTTCCTCCAGCTAACAATTACCTCCAGGTAACTTCAAAAGTAAGCAAAGCGAAACACTTTACCGCCCGTATCAAAATCCACCAAGAGTCTTTAGCTTCATCAACAGAACAAGGTGACTTGGACAATGGATTATACCTCGAAACAGGAGAACTGCGCAAACAATCTCACGTCTCTTTGGGGCACGTTTATGAGGTCTCAGCTTCACTATTCAGCACAAAGAAAGGTGTACCTGCGTACGATAGAAGGCTTTCAGAACAGAGCTATTACCATTTGTTGAAACTTATGGGGTTGGAGGCAGCTACATATGAGCGTACAAAAGACGTGGAGGAAAAAGGGGCAACGACGCGTTCTTGGATCGCTGAAACTCATGCAAAAATTTCCCACAGCGAGACCCTGGAAGCACGAGTTATTGATTTACCTAATGTTTCCTCAACCATCGGAACTGCCCAGCGCATGGCAGCCTTTAACTCTCCTGTCAGACCCCTTCCCCTTAATTCCCAAAATCGTCCAAGTTCCCCACCTCAGGATTCACCAACTAGCCAATCAAGCGTCTCTACAGCATCACTCCAGAGTCCAATCTATGAGACTCCAAGCTATGAGAGTCCAATCTATGAGCAGCACAGCCCTCATCGTAGACCAATATCCTCGCGTCGGGGATCAGTACACTCACAGATGGCACACTTGTCCCATTCCGCATCAACAACAACGTTGCGCTCCTCACTGATATCACCAGGCCATGACACTAGATTCGCAATGGCTGACGCCGACGCCCGCAGGCAGGAGGCTTTGAGGCAAAGAGCTAGGGAGGAAGATGATGCCGACACCCGCAGGCAGGATGCTTTAAGGCAAAGAGCTAGGGAGGAGGATGATGCCGACACCCGCAGGCAGGATGCTTTGAGGCAAAGAGCTAGGGAGGAAGAAGATGCAGCCGAAAGAGATTTCATAGAAAAAGAACGTCAACGTGTACGGGAGGAGGTTGCAGAAAGAGAACGTCAACGTCAACAGCGGGAAATTGCAGAAATGGAGTATCAACGTCAACAAGAGGAAGCTATAGAAAGAGAACGTCAACGTATACGGGAGGAAGTTTTAGAAAGAGAACATCAACGTCAACAGCAGGAAGAAGCAAAGAGAGAACGGATACGTCGAAACTTGGAAGCTCTAGAACAAGAACATCAGCGTGTAGAGAAAGAAGCTCAAGAACAAGAACGTCAACGTTTACACGCGGAATATCTAGAGAAAGAACGTCAACATAAAAGCAGAGCTTCTCTGGAAGCAGAACATCGAATTCAAAAAGAACACCGACGTCGAAGCAGAGATTCCGTCTCCACAGAATGTGAAGTTCGAAGGGAAGCTGCTATGGCAACACGGCACTATCTTGAAAAGATGGCTACTATGGAACAGGAACATCCACCTCGAAAGGAAGGGGTTCCTCCACATCTACGTCCAGGCGGAGCTACCGTGGAAAGAGACTATTCTCGTCAAACCGAATCTACCCTACAAAGCGAACATGGAAGAACACAAACACAGCGTATGGGAAGCGGTAGTAGTACCACTTCCGGCACTTGGTCATCCGATTATTCTAGGTATTCTAAGTATACCCGAATTAGTGAGTATACCAATACTCGCATCACGGAGTACACTCGATATACTTCCGAGGTGGTTATGCACGGGGTTGAAAATGCTCCTTGGAGAGCGATGTCTGTGGGTTCGGTCGTTGTGGTATGTTGCTATAGCTATTATTCGGGTAGCTACGAGGTTGGGTTTGAGGCTGCTAAAGGTTTGGCGGGGAGTTTGAGAGCGGTGGCTGGAATGGCTAGTCGTGTGTTGGTTAAAGCTGGAAAGTCTCTTACGAGATTGAGGCGCTGATTGGTTTTTTTTTTCTTTTTCTTTTTCTTTTTATTACGCCTCTTCCTCCTTCTTTTGGATTGGGATGCTGGGTTCGGAGTAAGACTGGGGTTTTCGTTTCCATTTACAGCACAAGTTCCATGCTTGTCCTGATGATTTTCTGTTTTGAGGATCGAATCAAATTCGTCTGGCAATTGGTTTTATTACTGCTTGGTTTGGACCTTTGGAGTTAAATCTCACGGCGCGATATTACATACTTGGTCTTATTATCTTATCTAATTTCTTATAATATCACATGTATGGTTATTGGAGTTGTAATTAAGTATTTGAATTCTTATCATTCATTTGGACATTTGGACAAATTATAAACCATGTACTCGAGTAACCTGTGTGAACTGACTACGACTACCTCACCCACCTAGTATGTAATAATAATGTGATGAATTGACTAATAATAAGTACGCACCAGCCGGCACCTGTTCTGTAAACTAAACTAAACTTCACTCGAGTAGCTCTGCATCTTCCTCCGTTTTCACTAATGTAGGTCTTACTAGATTGAGCTGATTAATCCTTGGTGTTTCATGTTGGGGTGGTTCTAGTGATTTTATACTCCGTAGTTTTACCGTACTCGTATGATTATAGACCTGCAGATGTTCTTCATCATATAAGCCGCAGGGTCAAATCGCGAATGTTGTTTGGCTGCTATATTTATTTACTATCAGACGGTGATTAAACTAGCATATGTCGGTCGCATTAATGCATATCGTACAACAAACAGATCAGGACCTTGTTCGCATCTCGATGAAAGATGGCTGTCAAAGCTTGAATACCTTCCAATTGCCAACACCCATACGGCCAAGGATACCTCCAAGTTCTCCTTGTTCTTGTCTGCCATTCCACCACTTTTTTGGTCCGGCGAAGTGGTTTATGAAACCTTCAGGTCCTGATACGAAAAGTAACTTTGAGTTACTTTCCGCTGTGACTGATCCATACATTTTCTCAGAACTGGGATGTATAGCTTGTGATATCATCCTTTGATCAATGAATGTTCCCTCGTCATCCACAACATAATTCACTTGAAGGTTTTCTGGATATTTTTGCTGAATCCTTTGCAATTGCTGCACTATCAGACCAGTACCGTCTAATTTGAGTGTATCCGATCCCGAAACCGGTTTATGCATCTCGCCCCCGACGCATTCTTCCCTTCTCCTGTTTGCCCATATGATACGAACCCGCGGTCGTTTGCCATCCAATTTCCGCGCTTCCAGTAGGGTATGAACAACCTGCATAGCAGGAGCAATTCCCGTTCCGCCCGCCAAAACCACCTCTTCCACATCCTGTGGCAAGTCAAATTCAACATGAGGACCTCGAAGCTCAACCTCGGAATTGGCTTGCAATCCAAACAGATAATTCGACATTTCACCATTTGGTTCTTTTCGAATAAAAAAACGAAGATCTCCCTTCGTGTTGTTTTCATCAGGTGGCAATGGCGTATACGATCGTGCAATTTGCAACAATGGTTGCTTGAATTCCACTGACCAGAGACCATTTTTCCAATATCCCGCATAAGGATCCGACTTTACAGTTATCCTGGGTCTGATCGTCAAAAGCTTACTTGTCGATGAGACATTTTCCTCGGAAACTATAGTAAACTTTGTGAACCGAGGAGAGTCAAATGGGCTCGAAGAAAGTTTCTGACTTGATTCTCTACCTGTCAACTGCTCCAAATTATACAAAATGGTTCCTATAGTTCCTAAGAAAACAATTTCAAATATTAATATTTCCGCTCTGGACGACCTTTGTTTTTCTGCACTATCCAGCCACAAGAGTACTTCTGTCCTCGGAATAGGAATAGCGAAGAGATAATATGCGGCGAAATATTGGGGCTTCCCAGGTGGCGGTGCTGTTCCGATCGTCCTGAATGGATTCTTTGGAGGGGTTGAACCAAGATATATGAAATTGCGTTGAAATACGCGTGCGGGAGGACATTTTGCGGTATGTGATGGAGTTCCGTAACCAGGCCAATGCTTTGGCAATAATCGTGCCGCAGCAGGAAAGAAATTTTGCCGTCGCATTGGAAGAGGTTTGAGGATGTGAAAAGAAGAGGTTTGTCATAGAAGTAAGCTGTCGATGGCCCCGGGCCTAAGCCTAGTTAGGCAACATTGTGCCCCAGACTGTCCTAAGGCGGTGGCCTAACTAGGTTAGACAGACTTTTAATGCCGAAAGCGATGAAGAAAAAAACTTTCCCTTGAAAATTGGAAGCGTTGTGAGTTGAAAATCAATTCCCCATACCCTATATCAATTCTGCGTGTGGTCTATTCATTCCATTAGCAAAGCTCTAGCTCCATGTCCTACGGTCTTGTTTGATCGCGATGCAATCTTATTAGGTCAGCCCATTTGCAAAGCAATTACCATCGATATCAGGCTTCAACACAACACTCCTCACGTGGAGTCTTAGCTTTATCCCATTTCTTGACAAATTGAAGTGTCGTCTTGGCAACTTTCATTGTCTCTATCTTTCTATCATTAAAACCAAATCCCGTGGTATATATATACATTGAAATAATTGAACATCCCCTGACCGATCAGGGATATTACCCCCAAGTCTGACCAGCTGGGAATCTCTCTGCCGCGAGGAATCTCAAGTATCAGACGTTTCTGGTTTCTGACTGCCCGAAGGCACATCAAATCACACAATTCATATTATCAATCAATCTGAATTCTCCTATTCCCGCTCTCCTATCTATTTCACTGCCGTCGAACTCCCCAACAACTCATAGGACATATCGTTTCCATGCAATTCCCCTCCCTGCTGATACAGCGTTGTAGAGGGAGCTTCTGAAATATACGAAGGGTCGTTGTATCGTCGGCCATCATTATACTTCTCATAATATTCCGTCGGTGCTTCATTTCCCGCTATAGGAAGAGGTTGTGACATTTGAGGGCGTTTTTGTAGCCGTCTAAAGAAAAGAAAAGCGAACGCACTAATGAGGAGGACACCAAGGGCAACTCCTACTCCTACCCCAGCCTTGGCGCCCGTGCTTAAACCCGTGCTCGATGGTGTTGAAGGGGTCGACGTTGATTGTTGCGCGGATGATGTGCTGCTTGAAGATGAAGTTGCGGAGACGAGAGTGATAGATCCACTTGCAATTGGTGATGCAGTTGAGGAGGATGTAGAAGATGAAGTTGTGCTTGACTCCCATGTAGGATCGTCCGAAGCTCTTTCTATGATTATACCATACGCCGCCACATTGTTAATTCCTGATGTGACAGTTATTTTCGTGCTGGCGTATATCACAGGATAGGATGTTGTGCTCGCCGCAGTGACAGTATCAAATAGGACGCTATTAATAGATAGTGTTGCATCTTCCGTAAAATACGATGTACAACCATAAATTTGATCTGAAGGCCTATTTGCAAAACATGTATAACCTCTATGATTTTTGTCAGCCTCTAATGATCCATTGCGTTTTGAAGCCCACTACATACGTGGGACAACAGGTGGCTACGGTTTTCGTAGCACTCGAATCTGTGGAAAATGACGAGCACGCGGCGCTGTATCCTGTAGGGCAAATCCCCGGGGAATAATAGTCTAATATATGTTAGCATGCCTGATTCATCAATACAAAGTCATAGATATTTTCTAATGAGGTTATCCATAAAATGTCCAAATAAGCCTTAAAATCTGAGCAAGAGATTTCAAGAAATATTGTTCATTTTTTGTGAATGACGATCAAGGAGAAAAAGAACGAGAATCGAAATAGGCTCATGTTCTTACATGCTGTTTCACGGTTGAACCCGCTCGGCATGCAGGTCGTGCTTCCAGTACCAATACCACCAAAAGCCAGCCAATGATTGATTGGATTTTGGGCCCAGAAAATCTGACTACAGTCTGAGCCCGAAGGTGTATATGTCGTAGTCAGTGGACCCACCAGATGACTCGAAGCTGGAGTTATAGATGCAGTTGGGGCACTCGTAGTTGTCGGCATCTTGCTCAGAAATGTGATATCGGATCGCCACGAAGTAAATTCGCAAGTTTGAAATCTTCAAAAGTAATTGTTGGAAACCATCTTAAAAACCACAGCGGCAGTGCCGTCCGTTTTGTTGTCCAATTAATATACCATGAATTACTAGCTCTCACCCCTCCACTCTTGAACCTGTCAGCAACGGCTGTCACAGATCCACCGCCTCCACTTTACTAGGCTCAGGGCGAGCGCGTCAACAGGGGATAGCGATTATATTGGCGCTCTGGCACATGGAAGGCCAGGGGTTGTTAATCACACCTTGCCATAATTTGTACATTGGAGAGAGTAGCGAAAGCAAATGGGCGTGCGGCTCTTATGTGGTTAATCCCACGGTAAATGTGTGTAAAAATTCCCGGTCAAACTGTTGATCGTTCAAGAAATGCCGTCAGCAGCAACTTTAGTTTAGCTCATAAGGAAGAATCCTGATGCAGCGGGTATTCAGAGGCCCATGTGAATAGACCCAGGCAGATGCATGTCAGCACTAGCTGATCAATTGACTTTTTACTCAAAAAGCCTGAACTGGTTACATATACTTGCATCGGATATAGAATAAGGTTAATCGTGATGGAAGAACGGCAACCAATAATTTTATGTGTATGCGATTTCGAAAAATAGAATCATTACGCGTTTCCAGACCTCTCGCTTTAACGTATCTGCCACAAGAGCACTGCCTATCTACAAGCCTTATGGGTCGGGTTTGGTAAGTGATCGGTGTTTTCGCAAGGAGAATCGGACACCCCACCGGTATATGAAGGCATGCATTGAGCTCGAGGCAGTAAAGCGTTGTCCAGCTTTCCATTTATCGGCTTGTTTTATCGAAGAAGTTTGAAAGCAAGTGTGAAGGCGATGAAAAATTAATGAGTTCATATAGGAGGATTTCAACTGATTGTGGTAATTATAAAAGTAACATCGAGAAGCCAGTCGGTAGTACAAGAACCTTGCCAGCCTTTTCTCTGATCTAATCATTTAGGTTAGTAAGAGGATTGTCATCCATCTATGCGCAACATATACGTGCAATTGGGACCAATTCCGGGCTTTTCCTTGCCAAACTAGAAATTGCTACCAGATGCTTTTTCTTCTAGGGTTTCGAAGCTCGATCCAAGGATAGGGGCAAGAGACACTGGGATAGTGGCTGGGAATTCGAAGGAGGTTACTCTCTAGAACACACCATGAATTCATTACGTTTTGGATATACTCGAGTATATATAATATGATTATATCGGTGTGTATGTACAACAAGACGTTACACAAAAGTCTAGTGCCATGAGCCCGCTGGTTTCTCCTCCTTCCAAGTATTTAAAATACATTGATGGTTCTTTCGTCAAGTAGAGGCTATCTTTGGATCCCCATCATTTCTTCACGTATGTTCCTTCCATCATGCCATATTACTGCTTCTGACACTAATTCTTTCTAAATTGATCAGCTGAACCGTCCCGTGTTTGGGTATGCGTAGTTCTTGCAGGCTTCTCGGTCTCAGAGCCTCCGGTCCACTGGCATTCGAGCGAGAAATACACCAGTGTTGATACGCTACTTTTTCCATGTAACTTGGAGCGGACTCTTGAGGAACTTCCATGTACAGCTCTGGAATACCCTATCAATGTCACAGAAATCTATTGTCCAAGGATCCATAGAGTTATCTCTAAAACATATTTGTTCTTGGATATTCTAGAAGCAACAGCAACGGCTAGGCTTGAATCTCACACACTACTGCAAATTGGGTTTCTGCTATATCTATGATAAATCATTCATGTTGCTAGGCTAGCTGGGTTCAATACTTGTTTTTTGGTATTTCTTTGACCACCAAAAATCTGCAGTTTAGGCTAGACAAGATCGAAGCAATTCAGATTTAGTCTTTCAACCCATCTTTCATACTTCTCAAACACAATATAGTACAAGCCACGCTCAAACACAAAACGGCCAGTTTAGGTGTAGATACTTAAGTGTAGCTATTTAACCATTGACCTCAACTAACCATTTAACCCCAGCCATCCACTGAATCAGAAAAGTTTTGTTGCATATCGACATCTCACGATACATGGATATATCTCCCTTCCCCTTCTCCTAAAATCTGTGTAACGCCTTCATAGCCTTATCATAACATAAATCATCCCTACAAAGTCAACCAGTACAAACCAACAGAAAGTTAAAACCCTGATTCACGTACCAAGTCCTACAATCCAAGTAAGTTGATAACCCTCCCACCAACCACAACCATTCTCTCTTCCCCAAAGAAGCAATGTTGCACATCGTACCAGGATCCATCACTCAAGCTCTCTCTACCAGATCTACTCATATAAATCTTACTTACTTAGTGCACATATCAAATGAATTTAACGATCCTATCACCAATTTAAACTTTCCACCTTCCCTAAATCATAATAATGTAAATACTAGATAGAATATGACACTTTTCCCTCTCTAATCAAATGATTTGTATTCATTTGGACTATAATATCCACCCTAAATTACATTTCTACTAATCTAGTACTTATCAAATACAGTTTAAGCTATCAACGACCTCACATCCCCACCTCCTTCCATCTCTTAACCCACCTATCAAAATGCCCCTTTCTCTTTTGTTGCAAATCTTGATAAAGACAGCGAGAGATTACTTTAGTAGCCAGTCTATTGCCATACATAGTATAGTCTACATAAGATTCCATTATCTTAGATCTAGAAAGCTATTATTATTATAGTCTTATAATGACGTCTTGTTTTTTCTTTTTGGGAAATGTTGCATGTCTGTACAAGGGATTTCGGTACTTCTTTCTCTTTTATTCAAGAAAATAACTTGAATCTTGGTTCTTTCTTGTATCTGATCTACTGGCAAGAATAGAGTGATTAAATTAGTAGAGCGGAGGATGGATATTGTGAGTTGCGCATTTAGATCCATAATTTCATGCCTCTAACTGGACACAAATCCTTAGCCTTAAAGCTCACCAAGTCAAAGGTACGGCAGCGGATATGCACATGCTTTAATACATATGACAGCCCAATGCTCGTTTATTATAATATGGCCTAAATAGTGATTAATGATAAATAGACGATGATATTTCCCAAAAGAAGGCAAGAGAAAATATATAGCCATTCGCGCCCCGGACTGCAACGCCCCGCCCCATTCCTGGATATCACACTCATGAACTATGTTCCCAAATCAAAAGACAGACTGTAAGATAACCTTACGCCCTCGTATTACCCTTTCATTCCACTGCGCACCTCTTATGTGCTACATCACATATCATCATTGCCATCAATCCTCCCCTATCTCTTCCCTACCAAAAATTTCCTCATCTCAATCCAATTGTTGAAGGCTCTGAATATGTCGATTAAACTTCTTCCTCGCAGCAATCCTCCCATCACCATGTTTCTCCCTGATCCTCTCATACTCTGGCCCCCTGTTCTTCAGTAGCGCATCATCATCCCTTTTAGTCCAAGCTCCTTCCATATTGTCCGGTATATCGTGGCCCATTTTCAATTGTTCCATAATGACGCTTGCAACGTCATATACGTAAGTCGATGCAATGAGAGCTTCCGCTATGACTTCACGGGAATAGCCAAGCTCCAGATATTTGGCGAACTCGGCGTTAATCGAGTCTTCCGAATCTGATTCCGAATCTGGTTCTGGTTCTGGTTCCGACTCTGTAGACGAATCTTTACTTAAATCAATGATATTATTTGCGGCTCTTTTTTTCGGAGCCGGAGTCGGAGATACTATTGAGGCTTCTTTATCAATGTCTGGATAATGGAAATCTTGCGTCTCCGGCTCGATTAAAGGTTTTCTGGCTGAAGGTTCTCCACATGACCCTCCCGGTTTCTTTTTCTGAATACGACGAATTCTTTCTCGGACTTCATGATCGCTACTATCATCTTCGCTATTTTTATCAAATGGATACTTAAGCGGCGCTGTGTGATGACTTATAGGTGGTTGTGTAGCATTGAAAATATGTTCTGGAGTGGATGGAATTTCCACTTCTTTACCTTTGCCCTTCTGGACCTTACGACGCTTGATTTCGTGCTTAGTTGCAGAAGAACCGGTAAGGTTGGACAAGCCGTCGGAGTCAATTGTGCGTTTATTGGTTGACGTGGTCAACTGTTGCTTAGATTTAGTCCTCGGCGGTGGTAGCTTTGGAACTTCATCGTTGTCCTCTATTTCCTCGTCATGACCGGAGGATTTCTGAACACTGTGTGAAACCGTATCTTTGAGCTGGGATGCTATCATAACTTCTTCTTCTTGAGAGGCTGTAAATTCAGGATTCTCTGTGTCGTTTTGGGCCTCTTTAACTGCTGTTTCCAATTCAGACAATATTTCTTCATAACAACTTTTCAAATCTTTAGCTGCCTTGGCACGGTTGGCAATGGGAAAGCTTAGTCTATCAGCTACCTCTTGCCATCGACTGTCAGCGTTTGTCTTTGCAAACCCACCAAATAACATAACGATCTGCCAGAGCTTGAAAATGGAAATCTCTTTTCCGCAAACTACAGGATGAAAGTTCAAGTCATCAGGTTCAAACCCCAAGACTTCCGAGAATTCTTTTAGGGTGTGCGTAAAATATGCCTCTTCCTTCAGAAGTGAGTTCGTATAAGGCCTTTGTTCCATATCAATTTTTCCTAAAATAACCTGTGTTGTCGTCTTTGGCTCATGGTGGGCTCTTGATCTAGCATTTTGAGGAGTAACTGGGCTTTTGACAGAGGCCTCTACTGAAGCTTTCTCGGGATTATTGGTAGAATGCTTCGTTCGTGTGGATGCTTTGTTAACTTCATCTTGTAAGGGACTAGAAACATGCCGACTACTCGTCGATGACGCAGGCTTAATTTTTGTCTGCTTTTTCATTGCCCTTTCTTTCATTTCTCGAGGGTAAAAGTCTTCATGGAAATAGTTTCGCCATTCTTGGGCTGTATGATCAGGATGCTGCGTGCCTTAACATCAGTGTTACATATGGATTTTTAATATTCAACTTACTGCTCTAGTCCACGCCTCCCAGGCCGCAATCTCTTTATTGGGATCAATATTGCAAATTGCCACAAACTCCTTCTGAAGAAAACTATCGTCCTCTTTTGTAAAAGGTCGCCCATCTACAGGCTTTCGTGTATCCACCTCGGAGGATGAGGCTTTTGAAAATGCCGGCCGCGATGACCGGGAGCCTGAATGCCTTGGAAGGGATGAAGAGTCAGGAACCGGGACTCTTTCTTTTGAAGCACCTGTTTGTACTTGTTCATGAGGAATTCGTGTTGGAGGAGGCTTGGCGGGCTCCTTTTTAGCAGGTTTTGGTTGCCTTTCGGGAGATGGTGAGTCGCCATCCTCTGTATCGTAATGTAATTTTCCTGCCTCATGGCGAGGTAGAAGGTACCGCTTCCAATGGTCTAGCCAAGATTGATATGTATGCTGAGGATACTGTAACAAATTATCAACCTAAATTCCGCAAAAATGCTTTAATCTAATGTAATACACTTACCCGCGCCGCCAATTCCATGTATATTTGATTACCCTTCGTGGGCCGCCCCATTCGCTCTGCCTTCAAGACCCATTTGGTCAAAATGCGATCATCCTCAGCTGTATAAAGTGTGCGCGTGGTTCTTGGGAGCTGTGCAGTTGCTCGTTCACTAATCGTCCCTGCTTGTGCACCGCATCGATGTGCTTCCATGTCTACCAATTTCCCAGCTTTCGCAGATTCTTCAATAAACTTCCATGAAACAGATTCCGGCGGCGCATCTTTTCGGGCACCATCTGCGATTATAATTTGAGCCTTCTTTTCGAACTTTGTTACTTCACCCCCATTTGACTGTCGCAAAAATTAGCATGTTTCTTCCCCTCCATTCTAACGACGCCCTTACTTGAACTAACTCTATCCACCTTGAGCGCATAGGCACTCGCTGAAGAATGAAGAACTTCATGCCTTCAAAAAGTGCACCTCCACCACCAACGCCATCATATACAATCGATGCCATAGTTTCAGCCTTTACGACTTGAGAGAGTTGCCTGTCGCAGGACGTCGCTTGAGGGCTTAATGTTAATTGTCAAGGGACCAAGTCAGCGAAAACTTTCAAAAGTGGTTGTTGCGTCCAAGGTCATCCGCTGGCAATTTGAAAAGAACCCATAGAAGTAAATTGTGGTGTAGGTGGTATAAAGATTTATTGTTCGCAAAGTATGCGGTATCGAATATATATGTTATTACGTAGTCGAACATTTGACGCGCTCAGAAGCTTCTACTTACGGTCGCGAAATCAGCTGACGACCTTGACCAGCACCGGGCTTGGCAAAGATGAAGTACCGACATAAAACACGCCTCAAATCTCATGCTCGCATAAACCTGAATATTCGTATCATGGTTTTCTAGACTGTAATTATTGACTTCTTATTTTGATGACATTCATTATTATTTTCGTTTCAATATAGAATTATCGAAATTCACCAAACATGGGGACTATTCGAAATGTGGCCATAGCCATTCTAGTTCTCTCTTTTTTCACATTCGTTGCGTTCTTTGGAAGGCTTCCAGCATTAAGGTATTCCGTCTTATCGAATTTCATAAAACATATGCTTACGGTTTGAAAGGAATACACCGATAGGAAGTTTACATCGAGTGATATGGGTCCATATTCCTCGTGGATTTAGGGCTGCTGATAAGAAGTTAACCAATGGTCGCCTCAGTGCTTCGATTGGAAGACTGGCTCACACATTATGGAATGACCGTCATCCTGTTGTCATGGTAAGATTGCTCTTATTTTTGTTTAAATTGAGCACCAAGTCAAGTGGCTCGTGTGTTTTATTCTATATCGTTTTGCCGAGTCGTGTGTGCCTTCGAGTGATATGCCTCGAACAAGTACAGCTTGTACTATCGCATTGACGGTACATAAGATCCTTGTGGTATGCGGCCGGTCTTCAAATTGTGGGAGTATCAAGTCCCTGATCATGCTAACAAACCTCAAGATATTTTTCATTCTCCTATTTGCCATATCCGAGGTTTTGTTCTTACCTCCAGCATGGCCACTAATGAGCACATCTCGGAAAATAAAGGCAGTTATTGCCTTGACATTACCATATGGCTTCCTCTATCTAGCAGCTTCTCGTGATCCAGGCTATATCACACCTTCAAATCACGTCCATCAAATGAGTATTTATCCTTACGACTACACCATTTTTCATCCCGGTAACCCTTGTCGAACATGTCATTTACTGAAACCTGCCCGATCCAAGCATTGTCATGTTTGCAAACGCTGCATCGCAAAATGTGATCACCATTGTGTGTTCATAAATAACTGCGTCGGTTACAACAATCATCATTGGTTTCTACTTCTACTTCTGACGACTGGTAATCTCACCAGCTATGCTGTGTACGTTGGTAATTCAATCCTCTCCACTTTCATTACTGCAGAATACCCCGAATGGTCTGCTGTAGGATTCGGTTTTACATGGCCTCGTTACTTCTCAATCTGGGGATGGGCTCTTCAAGAACATACCCAGATTGGCTCTATAACTCTCTTGTGTTTCCTCTTTACCCCATTGGTCTACGGTCTCTTCTCATATCATATCTACCTAATATGGTGTGGTACGACCACCAATGAAAGTATGAAATGGTCCGACTGGGGTATCGAGATGTCCGAAGGTTACGTCTTCAAACGCGCTCTCTCCGAAAATAGGGAGAAGAACTTACGAATAGAACCAGCATGGACACATTGGCCAGCGGAAAGTCAACAGATAGTTTTGCGTACAGCAGATGGACAGGATCCTGTTGGGGCTATTGGAGATGGAGAATGGGAACGAGTGTGGAGCTTGAAGGATGTTGAAAACTTATATGATATCGGATTTGTAGATAATCTGAAAGATGTTTTGGTTGGGAGGCAGGGTGTGTATCAGAGATTGGATAGAGATGATAATGTGCCATTGGAAGGAACGAGAGTAACACCTTCGGAAGAGACGGATACATAGTATTAGTGTAGATTGAGATGTGCCATCGATTATCAATTCAGAACTGCGGCACGAAGATAAAATTTTATCGATTTTTGAATGTCATTTACATATTAAGTTCATTTAATACGTCAAATCTAGATAGCCTTGTTCGTTTCAAGTTTTATATACTCCATTTCTTCATCGTCTTTCATTCCCGCAGCTAGTACTTCTTTCCACATTTGCCGAGCTCCTGCCTCACATACTACTTTATACCTCCTCCAAATATCTCGCGCATTTCCACTTCACTAGGTAGGTATCTTTCTCCTTCTCCTACGATGTTCCGACTGCAGAGTTATTTACTTTCAATACCTATCCTGATATTTTATCTCACAGATGCATTCACCAACTTTACCTTTCCATTCCTATATTGCTTGTTGTAATGCGTGTATTTTACTTCATCACTTTATCCGGTTCTTTTATCGTCTCTTTGTATTTACTCCATTACTTCTTTTTTGCTTATGTCTATCGAAATAAGAGCCCGAACTTCCACAGCGACACTCTTCAAATTCTTCATACTCCTCATCCAGCACTCAATTATCCACTCATCAATAACTGAATGTCCCATCCTTTAAAGTACATTTACATCTATATTTCCCACAATCGCATATGCGCGCAATTCGTCCTTACCCGAGAACAAATATACCGCTATGTCAACCATACGATCTGCTTAATCGTCTGCCAGTTCTCCAGGAAGATTACTTTGAGAAGGTTGCCAGAGCAAGAATTTGAAATTTTTGATCGCTCGAGCCTTGAGTTTCAATGCTGATTCAGGGACTGGGTTCGAAGTTACTGCCACTGCTGAATCAGAGGGCGTGTGGAAATCGCTGCATCGCGAGTTTGTGTTTGGGCTTTGACTGAGGAGCAATGAGTTGGTGATATTATTAGACTGACGTGTTGAAATAAGTTCGTCACGTCTAATTTTATCCTGAAATTTGGTCTTTGAAATCCTTTTTGGCTCACTCATTCGGGTAACCTTCCTTGCGCGCCCATAACGTTGCAAATATTCTGTACACCTTCATTCATTGTTTTGCCGGTGTTCCTTCAGTAAATTTCAACATTTCTTCTTGTAAGAATTCCTCCAGGTTATATTCGGCCTCCCTCATTTTCTCCGTTCTTTGTAAATATCTGTTCTTTCATTACAGGATGGCCAGTGACAGTGGCCCTTAGCTGGGCATCCAAGTTTACCTAAGCCGGCACCTTTGAATTGCGTTCTACACTTCCAATAAAACTGGTCTTTTGAATGAATTTCAATTCGTCTGGCTTCATAGCTGCCACGTCGAATATTTACTGATCATGACAGATCAGCGAGAAGAGGCCAAAATTAATAATTCGTGATCCAAAGCCGAAAACTTGGTCTTTTGTGCTTGAATCGCGCTTAATCCTATTCCCAACTTCATCTCCTAGGGCAAGTGAGGTCGAGAGAAAGGGTTGCTGGTCATTTTAGAGACTACTAAAAACCAATTTCATCTCATCCTCACCTCTCTTACTCCGAGTTTGGATCATTGTGAAATTTGACACTTGTGGTCCGCAAAAAACTTTGAATAATTTGGCAAAGATGCTGAAACTTTCAACTTCAGACATCGAACTGACACTTTTGCCATTTGGCCAGACCATTATCTCAAATTCAACAATGACTTCATGTTCTCTGATGGTAGGTATGTACTTTATTAGTGTGATTTAGCCGCATGCTTCAGCTTCAATCTGCTACCAAATGATATAACTTGGCTAGGTCATTCTTTCCTTCTGGTCAAATTTCCTTCCAACAGGGTACACTGGACGCTCGAGGTAGACGCAAAGCCCCAAAATCTCCAGAAACAATATCGTCATTCTCAAGCTCAGACGGGGTCCAGGAGATTCTGAAAGACCCAGAGCTCCTTAGACGCCTTTCAGGAATTTATCTGTATTGACGGCCATTTGCTGTGATCAGTGATCACTATCAGAAAATCGGTTGTGAAAGTGTTTTTGATATCCAAGTAGTTGTGCATACCTCGCACCAATGCATGGTTACAACGTTTTAGGACCACTCTGAAGATGGATATCAGGGAATGCCTAGCATACTCGAGAAATCTTGAATGGATTGCTTGTACCGCCGGAAAGAATTTGAGTTCGGGTATCTGCTACGAATACCTCCCATATATGCTATTAAGATGGAGGTATATATGTATGTTGGAATCGGAATATATCTATCAAGGGCAAATGAAATTCGTTAGACAGGCAACCAAGTCAATCGAGTCGTTAGCTTCAAAACAAAACCACAGCTTTCCCACAGTTCCGCCACCACCAACCATTAATGTATGTCTTTCATCCATCAACAGCACCTTCGCCAACTACCTCCATCCACAATTCCCACCTTTTCCTCACTTCTTCGGACACTTCATAATCCTTTTCACAGACCTACCTCTATCAAACATCAACCAATCCGAATTAGTGTAGGGGTTAACATAACTCGCTTTCAAGATGCCTTCTGTATAACAGATTCAACATCATGGACCGAGTAGCCCCGGGTTCGATTCCCGGATTCGGAAACTCACACTGTAAGCTTTATCGCTTGCGCTACATTTTCAATTTTGTTCTGAATTCTTTTGGTGGGTTTTTGGCTCGATTGCGCAGGCTCATTTTGCACATGTGGGGTAAGCGAAGATTTCAAATTACTTCTAGAGTAAAGCGAAGAAACTGTGGCTGGAGATTATTATTTATTGTCTTTATGGTATTTGCCTACTACACACTACGGTTTCAAAAAGGTATTTGCTTATTTGATCTCCAAAGCTGATGACGGAGTATCAGTTAGGTGTTGAAGCAAACTTGATTGATTAGATCGCATCTAATGCATAAGGGGACCAAGCGATCTACGAGTACCAAGCTCATTATTCATCTCAAGCCTACCGGTATTGAATAGGCGGATTATCGGACACATTGTGTAGTAATGCACCGCTTTTTAGTAACATGCTTGGACTCTTCCTCTTCAGCTGTATCTGCATAGTCTAACCATTGGTGACGTATTGTCGTCTTCGCTGAAGCTTAATGTTCCTTCAAATTGCTCTAAAACCTCCCATAACTTATCCTGATGCTCCTTAAGGTTGCTTCGTACAAGCAAACTGTTTATGGTGAAAATGTACAAGTGTCACATTTTCTCGTTGACTACCAAGGTATGGACACATCCTGCTCCGAAGCGTTTGTGGAGATCACTCTTGGGAAATACTCAGTGAGATTCTCAGCTGTGAGAGGCTTTTCGGCAAGAGGAAACTGTCAGTAGTTATGGCTTATCTTCTCTTCCAATTCAGACATCAACAAGCCGACTCTTCGTGTCGTTACCCTTCTTCATCTTGGCCCATTCTTTTATTATTTCCCTCATTATCTTCTCCATCTTCTCTTCTATTCTTTACATCATCTTCATCTTTTCCATCTTCTCTATCTTCTTTATCATTATCATCATTATCATCATCATCTCCTTCCCACCCTTCCCATCCTTCCCAATCTTCCTATCTTTCTCCCCCTCCTCTCCTACCCAACTGTCGGTGATCTTTATCCTCAGCCTTTGACTCAGCCATATCTTACCACACAAATTAACAACCTTTCAATCCTCAACACCCCAAGAAATCATAAGTCTTAACCTACCTTCGTCGAAATTAGTCCCCTCAAACAGATCACAAAATTCAATATGATAAGGATTATCTACAACATCCGACATTTTGACCAGACGATGGCAAGAACGAGGAATTTTGGGATTTTAGCTTTGGGTTTTGTGTTAGTTCGGCTATATGTGTATGTGTGTGTCTTTTAAAAAGTAAAAGTAAAAAAAGAAGAAGAGTCTTGATCTTAAGAGACCTATTCATCCCCATTTCTCGCTTAATCTCTTAATATGAGACCTACTTAAGTATTCAAAAATAATGATATATTCACTTCTCTACTCATTCTTTCAACTTCAACTTCAAATGAAAGCTCACTGGAGCTTCCTAAAAATACACCCAAAGAAGATAACCATAATAAATCGAACTTTCCACCCCATCTGTAAACATTACTCAAACACCAAAAACAAATAACAATCTCCTCAACCACAAAGCCCCCATCTAAAACTATCTCTCTTCTTCCGATCATCCAATCAATTCACTTCCCAATTCAATACATAAATAATTCAGAATAATTTCAATCATACCATCCAATTTAACTAATCTTAGAACTTCATACTCCAAAGACAAAGACAACAACCAAAAAAATCCTCAAACCAAACCAATCCAATACGATGCAATGCAATGCGATGCAATTTCAATCATAATCTCAAATTCTCTTCCCTTTCCCTTCAATTCCCTCTGTAGAACATCTCCCGACCTACTTCCCCAACGCTTCCCCCAACATCCCAGTAATAGCAATAATCTTTTCCTCCTGAAACCTCCTCCCAACAATTTGCACCGAAACATGCGCACCATCGTAAATTTCCGGATCATCTGATTCTTGTTAGCTTTTCTTTTCTTTTCTTCATACAGTCAAGTCATGGCAAGATAATAGAAATTGAAAACCCAAAAAAAATGAGTCATAACATACAACATTTCCAAACCTTTTTATCCTCGTCATTCAAAGGTTTATACGCATGATCGAAAAGATCGATATTTTTATCCACCGTCGTAACTGGTAATATCGCCGCGCTGTAATCGAGAAGATTGACGAATGTAGAATATGCTGAGTAATTACAAGTCAGTCTTCTATGTAAGATTACAAAATCAAAATCAATGAAACAAGTACCTACCTATATAATCAAACGTCATGGAGATATTCGCAGGCATAGGAGCCAAAGGTGTGATAACAGCATCGACTGGCCGCCCGGTACCAGTAAGTTCTGCGGTGCTGTTCCAATATTCCATGTATTCTTTCTGGAATTCTCGTTTTTCGACATTGACGGCTGCGATGTCGAAACCGGTCATTTGGGGTTTAAGGACACTGTAGTGACCTTGGATTTGAGGAATCATGGGTTCGCCGGAAAGTGCTAGGGCTTCGTGGACTGTGAATTGTTAACTTCAGGAACGGAGAGCTAGAACATTGGAAGGTGACAAACCATCTTTTCCTCCATCAAAAGACCATGCTTTACTCTGATGAATTGTTAAAAATATAGCCATGTAGATAGAGGTAGAGGATACTCACTCCTATAGCACATCCTCGTTGATGAGAAGGTGGTTCCCACTAAATTCTCGTAATTAGCGACCGTTTTTAAAAATACGAAGGATGTTTGATCATGATTCATATCTTTTTACTTACTTCAATAACCTTATGTCCAAGTCTCTTGACCGTATTAACCACAATATCAATGGCTCTAGCAACAGGAGGTTGAGGAGCAACACCTCCATCGCATTTGAAGACTCCAAAAGCCAATTGACCACCTTCATTAGATTTGATAGCATCAAGAACCATTTGTTCTTGTTCATCACGCCATGGTATTTCACACACTAATGGATCATGAAGCCAAGGTTGAGCACTAAGGATGCTCTTCATGACCAATTTTAAAGATCGAGCTGTAGTGGCAATTGGCCCCACAACAGATAAAATAGTATTTTGTCCAGCCAAACTGTTGGCCATGCCTTCGTATGGCATTCTACCTGCCGAAGGACGGATACCATAAAGACCATTAAAAGCCGCTGGAATACGAATGCTTCCTCCTATATCAGTTCCAAATCCTACCGGGCTTCCCCTCAATCCTATCAATGCCCCTTCGCCTCCTGAACTTCCACCTGGTCCTAATAATCTGTTCTTAGGATTCTCTGTGGTGCCCATAATATTGTTGACAGTCTCGCCTGCCATAAGGGTTTGAGGAACGGTAGTTTTACAAAACATGATTGCGCCAAGATTACGTAACTCTTTGACCATTTCGCTCTCGAACACTCGCTCTTTTCCCGTACCTTTCTTCCCTTCGAAGGTTCCGATCCAACCTACATAGCCCATAGTGGTTTCGACACCTTTGACATGAAACCTAGAGACTTGTGAGAAACTTAATCCACACATAAGGACTGAACTTACTGGTCTTTCAAGCTTACTGGTAACCCATGTAGTGGACCAAGTGGCTTTTTGTGCTCGGCAAAATAATCGTCAAGTTTTTGTGCTTCTGAAATGGCATCATCAAAGAATATTTCATGTAAACAATTGACCTACACCAAAAAAATTAATATCCTTATCGAAATTGAAATCTCAAGTACTAACCAATTGATGCGCTAAAGCTGCGCGGTGACAAAAAGCTTCACAAACTTCCCGCGATTTCCATTCGCCACTTGTCGTTTTATTCACTATTCCTACAGCGTCCGTTTCAGTAATTTCAATTTCTCGAATAGAGAGAAACTGCTGAATGTAATCGCCTGTTACATCTTTTTGTTCCATGACGGAGGGTATCGAGTCTAACCGCCAATTTTCAGGGATCAATCCATTGACTAAGTCACGCTTGTTCTTTGCGATAATTTGCCAATCCGACTTGCTTACTCTAGGGCGAAGCTGTGGATTTTTCTCGAGGAACTTTTCGTACCAGTACATCTTAATGTGAGAGAGGGTAATGACGACCGAATGCATAATGTGTTTGTTCTGGGCATGCCACAGTATATCCGACTTTTTTGGTTGAGCTGCGCCTGCCGCCCAAGAGGCCATGATGGGCAACGGTGATTCGGAAGATCCATCTGTGTTGCCAATCATAATAATTTCTCCGTTCGCTGTGAAGTCCTTAGAAGAGTGAAAGTGGGAGTTGATGCTGCAAAACAGCCGGATAGAACTCTCTTATATGAAATTTCCGCTCAAAGAGATAAGTGAATTTAGTGTGTGGGATGTTATCAATGCATCGGGTAGGCCACATGTTAGTCGGAAACTATCGCATGTTAACGTAAGGGGCTAAAATAGATCGAAATTGGCGAATCAACTGTCCGACTTCCGCTCTCGCACTTGTCGCACATTCAAATTGATTCTTTTATCCACCATAAACTGTGGAAATTCTTTTATATCTAACTTGAGTTGTTCGAGGTACTTTGGGCATGTGCGAGGAATTATCTTTGGAACTCCATGCCAAGCAAAGCGTGACTCTTCCTTCATGTATAGTACATCGCCAGATCTCAGACGAATGGCAAGATGGTCTTTTCCGGCTTTCGGGTTGTCCAAGGCGATCATAAAGATACAATCACAACCAAGACTGATGCTGACCAGGCCACGATCGACACTTTCTGCACCATCCCGGTGTAATTGTAGGGTATCTTTCGGAGAATAGAAATTGACAATAGCTGCTTGAGGTTCCATATCAGGGAAAAGACCTTCAATAAGATTCGCAATGTCACTGGGAAATTTGGGAGGCTCCCCTTCTGGGTATACTTTATTTGTCCAATCATATTGCCCTCCAAGAGTAATCCAGCGCAACTTTTTTGTCATGACTTCCAAGTAATTTAATGCTTTGGGATGTATCATGGGATCTTTAGGCTTAGCGACAATGGATTCTCCTGAAGCAGTTCCTGATGGAGGGAATTCGACTTCGTAATGGGCATGTAGGTTGGTCATATGTTTTGGGTCCAAAAGATCACGGTGTACTATTCGCCGAATCAACTCTTTTTGAACCTCTGGGGGGATGAGAGATGGAAAGACCATGAGCCCTAGATCATAATTAGAAGTTGCTTGACGAGGGCTATTAGGAAATTGCGGAAGAATAATATAGAAAGAAAGACGATGTACTTTGATAGATACTACAAGAATTAGGTATAAAACAATATAATGACTTGGCCTTTCCCAAAAAAAAAAGGATTCTTTTAAATGGGTTGATTTTCTCTCATGATTTAAAGTTGTGCTAGAAGAAAGGAAAAGTATTATTTCCTACCAGGTATGACCTCAGACCCATACGATGAACCTTCCAGTTGCGATTTAGGTAGGGACGGCTCATGGTCTGGCGAGCCAAATGAATTCTGGCTGTGGGAGGGTTTGGGTAATGATGACTCGGAAGGAGGAGCTCCTTTCATAAAACATTTAAAGGCTATGTTTCGTACCTCTTCAGGTAGGCTTTCTAGGTTGATAACACCAGCAATAGAAGGAGAATCTTCGGTTGGAGTATAAGTAGTCTGTTTGTAAAGCTTGAATGCTTCTTTTAAATGCCGAGGAGCACTCTGATGAAGATCCTTTTGCTCCATTTTGGGTGTTGTGGTGGTGGTTCGTTCAGGGAGAGAATTATCCATTTCATGTCCTTGGGTGGTAGTTCGGTCAGAGGATGTATCCTCCATCTTGGCCAGTTTGATCGAGATGTCTTGCTTCCTTATTAAATGTTGAGCGGAAGGGAACAAATTAGGTCTATCAACAAGTTGTAATCTGACTTGGACTGCCACCAAACTAGGAAGTCACTAAGAGATCTTGTAAGTGAATTGAATCGCCTTATGAATGGCGCCTCACCAAAGAAAACATTTTGAGTACATACTCCGTAGAGCCAAAAGTTAACCAGGGTTATATATATATATATTTATTTTTTAAACTTTTCGGGATTACTTATGGCCGATCTCGCGTTAAGACGCGCCGCTTATGCCGCTGGCCGGGGCTGCATTGTTTAATGTTTATTTGATGATTTCTTGTTTACTCCTTGAGAATCTAATAAACTAACAACACAAACACAACGACCATATCAACGATTTCGTACGGATTCCTCTTCAATAACCTTCACCAATTCGAGTAAAATTCGAGTTCTACAAACACACAAGATTCTACTACAGACTAATGCAGCAACGATCCTTGACTTTACCATATTTTTGTAGCTAATTTGTTCCCTTTCATTTTCCAAATTACGAATCCTTCAATTCTTTGCATAGTCCCTTTTCAAAATAGATGCTGTTGTTACCATAACCCAGAACCAATTACCATTCCAAACTGCCCCTCCTTCACCGCCCCACTTCAACAGACAAAAGAAGATTTATTTCGACTTGACTTCTGCGTCCTTTGCCCTTTCAATATCAAGCATATTCGACAATGGAGAATTACCAAAAGTTGGAGAAGATCGGAGAGGGTATGTTCTATATGCGCCAAGCCCTCAGCAAAAACATAGCGAAGAGTCTTTTGTTTACTAGACAACGCTGTACTTTCTACTAACATCATCCACGCGCAGGTACCTATGGTGTTGTTTACAAAGCCAAGGACCTTTCCCACTCAGGGCGTATCGTTGCATTGAAAAAGATTCGACTCGAGGCTGAAGATGAAGGAGTTCCTAGTACCGCCATTAGAGAGATTTCCCTTCTCAAGGAGATGAATGATCCAAATATTGTTCGACTCCTTAATATCGTTCACGCAGATGGCCATAAACTATACCTCGTCTTCGAGTTCCTCGACCTTGATCTCAAGAAATATATGGAGGCTCTCCCGGTTGCTGATGGTGGCAGGGGTAGAGCTCTACCGGAAGGATCCGGTCCAGACTTGGGTAGATTAGGTTTGGGTGATGCTATGGTTAAGAAATTCATGAGTCAGTTATGCGAAGGTATTCGATATTGTCACGCACATCGGGTTCTTCACCGAGATCTCAAGCCACAGAATTTGCTCATTGATCGAGAAGGTAACCTTAAGCTTGCGGATTTTGGTCTTGCTCGTGCCTTTGGTGTACCTCTTCGAACATATACCCACGAAGTTGTTACCTTATGGTACCGTGCTCCTGAAATTCTTCTTGGAGGTCGACAATACTCTACTGGTGTGGATATGTGGTCTGTTGGATGTATTTTTGCAGAGATGTGTACAAGAAAACCTCTGTTCCCTGGTGATTCTGAAATTGACGAGATCTTTAAGATCTTCAAGTAAGACACCCAACTTTCGAAATTCACATTATCTACGCCAATGGCACTCATGACTATACCTTCAGCTAGCTAACATATTTCTAGGCTTTTAGGTACACCCAATGATCAAGAATGGCCCGGTGTCAGCGACAAGACATGTTTCCCCGATTTCAAGCCATCGTTTCCAAAATGGCAACGCGACATGAGCCAGCCCCTTTGCACGAATCTCGATGATAATGGATTGGACCTCCTCGAATTGATGCTTGTCTATGACCCAGCTGGACGTATTTCTGCCAAGCAAGCATGCGCACATCCATATTTCGAAGAAGGGAGCTCTGCATACTCTGGACGAGGTTTAGGAGCCACATACAAACCCACAAATGGATACCACTGAGGACTGAAGCATACCAATAGAAGCATACATTGGATGATTATGAGTTTGTGATAAGATGAGCTGAGATGATTTATGATATGAGGGGCAACGGGATGTGAAGAGCACTGAATGAAACGAATGAATGGTTAGGGGCGGGCGAGAAAAAGATGAAATGAATAGAGCTTATAGCTAAACATAAAATAGCCATGAGCTTCAGGATAAGAATTGCATACATGGAGGGGTTTTATTAAGAATGGGGTGGGTGGGATACACACTTTTAAGGCTGGTTACAGGCTACATCTTTTTTCGTTTTTTCTTTAATTCATTCTGTTTTATTGCCTCATGCTTTCTGCAAGCCTTTTTTTGTTTTTTAATACTTGCATTTTGCGAGTGTTTATAGGCAGATGGGCAAGTAATGGGTGGGCGGTATCTTTCTGGTGTGTTTGCGATCCAACTTTGACGTTTGTAATTGTACAGAAAGAATTAAAAATACACAATTTTTCTAGATGTTTTTGATAGGATATATATGGGTGAGATGTAATGTTCTTTCGAATTTTGTATTGCGAATTTGTCTGCATATATTTGGCGTGCTTTTTAAATGTATCCATCTAATGATTATTCTACCATCTATTTCCTCCCAAACGCCTCTGCTGTTTCATCACCATGAATCACTATCACTCTATCATTCTATCCGCCCATCCATCTATCTTCCCCTATCCTCCTCTTCCCTCTCCCTATCTGTCGCTATCCGAAAACCCCCTAATTCTCCTTCCCATCCCCCTCCAACCCCAACAACCACCCATCCACTCCCTCCTTCTCAACTCCCCACGCCTCCCTCCCCAAACTCGTCCTCGCAACCTCAATATCCGTCTCAATATCCCTCACCAAACTCTCCCGATCCACATAATCTAATTCCGGCCTAATATACCCCAGTATCTTAACGCGCATTTGCGAACCGTAGAAATCCTGCGTGAAGGTGTGGAGGAGGTGGACTTCGGCTGAGCGTACGCTGTTACGGTAGAAGGGGTTGTAGCCGATGGACATTACCATGGGGTAGAGGCGGGTTGTTGGGGAGGAGGAGGAGGAGGGGGATGGAGAGGTTTTGAGATCGGGGTGCGTGGTGGGGAGATCGAGGGCTGCGTAGCCGAAGTACACGCCTGAGGGGGCGGTGTCGATCCACGGGACGTTTGTTACGGGGAGGTTGGCTGTGGGGATACCGAGCTGCGGGTTTGGTTAGTTGTGTAGATCAGATGGGGGGTTTATGAGGGGAAGAAGAAGGGAGAGTATACTTCTTTTGAGCCCCGTCCAAATCCTGATACTACTTCGCCTTGCATGCGAAGAGGATAGGGTGGTTCGGGACCGCTTTCTGGACCGATTATTTGGGGGCGGGGTTCTTTGGTTGACATTTTTACTTGGGTGAGGGTTGGGTTTGGAAGGAGTAGGAAGTAGAGACTGGTGAAGTTTATCGGGGATGAGGATATATTATTGAGTGAGGTGAATGATGAATGATGAATGATGAATGACTAAATAGATGATTGATTGTCTATCTAATGGTGGGGTTGAAGATAAACTAAGCAAGGCTGTAAGCTAATTGTCTGATTGTGAATGAATAGTGGGGGTTGTTTGTTAGATCTAGTTTGATAAGGCTGTTTTTTCGCCTGGTCTGCTAGAAGTTAGAGTTAAAATCAAAGTCAAGGCCACACCTGATCCAATTCTCAATTGACTATCAATTTTCAATGATCGAGTATGCAGGAACGAACTCCTGCATCGACGTCGCTATCATTTATATTTACTAGTACAATCAATCAAACATATCAAAAATATCGGAAATTCTCCTTTCCACGTGGCAACGGATAGATACAGTATTCCCTCAACCCTTCCATCCGTAGTCTGTACGGAGGTAGGTAAATCCTGCCTTCCTTGAAGTTTCTTGTACATAGAAGCGACAAGATAGCTAGGCAATGTCCCTTGTACCTTTGTACCTTTGTACTTTTGTACCTTTAAGCGCAAAGTTGCATGCATGATATAGAGGTTTGGTATTTGTACAGGTAGAACTATGTAAAGAGCCGCTTCTTAGATCAACTCTTGGATCTGTCTATAAGGTATAAAGGAGTTATGAAGTGTATGAGAGTATAAAGTATATGAAAATGTATAAAAAGATGGCTGGGAAGCGAAGTACTGCGTAGAAGGTTAACGCGGTGATGTGCTGAGAGGTTGTCAGGGCGGGTTATTGCTTAGATGGAGAGAAAGAATATAAAAATAGGTATGAATACAAATAAATATCATAACAACAAGTACAGTATTATCCAAGAATATCAACCATCATCCCCTTTCCTAATCCCAATCATAGCTAATCACAACCACAAATATATCCTCATTTCCTTACCCTCAAAATAAACACAATTCCTGCCGCCAACACCATCATCTCCCCGCCTCTTCATTTATTTTCACCATTTTCCCATCCCCAACCCCTGTCACCACCTCACAATCCAATCCCAAAAAAAAAGTAGATGGCAGGACAACCCAAGCCATAAGTGAGTAAGTAAGTAAAGTATTACAAGAACTTGACCTCTTCTTCTCTTTTTCTTTCCTGTCTTCTCTTCTTCCATTCCTCAATTAAAAGTATTCTTCAAGTATCTTTCCGCATTCTTCGGGATTTTTATCATTATCATTATCAGATCATATCATTATCAGATCTTACCACAAGCAAGCTGTGAGCTGTAAGCGGTGGGATTGTTTGTTTACACCTAGCTACCTCGCTATCTATCTATCTATCTATCTACTCTACACCGATATTGTATTATTCGAATACTGTAGTTGCAATTACAATTACAATTACAATTACACTCTCATCCTTCATTCTTGGACAATCCATCCAAAGAATCCAAATTAATTGAGATTAAGAAATTAACGTACGTTGAAATAGCTATTCACTTATTTCCCAATTCCTCAAAACCATATAATCTTACATACTAACCATAACTCTAGATTCACATCTACTCATCTCAACTCACCTCATCACATCCAATCCTCACACCAAATCGTCCAATTCACCTCGCTCTTCACCCCCAAAACCCACATCCAAAATGCAAGAAAACGACGTAATCGCCATAATAATCATAATCCTCTTTCTACTCCTCGCACTCATCGCCTACGGTATCTACAGATTAGTCCAGAAAGCTCGAGGAGAAAGTTCTACCGTGTCGGGAAGTACGGAGACTTCGGGGAGTTTGGCGGATGATTAGGTGATGGATGATTTTTGAAGTTGAGGTTGGGGTTGAGGGATGAAAGAGTAGGAATGAATGGGAATTTTTGGATTTGGATGGGGAGTTGGGAGTTGGATGCATACTTATGAGAGGATGCTTGTGAGGATTGGATATATGCTATGACTGGATGAATGATTATATGAATGAATGGGTGGATGGAACGGTGGATAAAGGAAGGAGTATTCTGCATGCTCATGCTCATGCATACACGAATACGAAAATTGTGATTGATCAATCAATCGATCAATCAATCATGAACTTTTGGGACAGGATGTTATGAAAAAATCCACAAAGCGAAACAGAAGATGGGATATAAATGGATAAATGCACAAACGACGGAAACTGGCATAGATTCCCAGTGCTAAAAAAAACAACCGAAAAACGACCAAAAAAAAAGAGGAAGAAAAGAGTTGGGTATGGTATGTTATGGTATGGAACTGAACGGAACGGTATGGGAAAGGGAAAGGGGAAGGGAAGGATGAAATCATGATAGGATAGGAAGGGAAAGGAAACGATTTCAAACAAAAGGAAATGTATATGAAAACCCAAGCTAGCAGGACCAAAAACACATAAAACACATCAAAGTTATCAAACATATCAAACAGTTCGGGATACGCCAGCGTGGGTGATATAGATAGATAGGTCAATCAAAGGGGGAAGGATGGATATCAGTCTTACTTTGCTTACTTGGGGATATACTTACATACATACATACATACAAGTAAGATTATATTTCAGCATAGCATAGCATAGCGTAGCATTGCATAGCATTGGAGTTTTTAGGATTTGGAATTTGGAATTGGAATTTGGAATTGGAATCGGATTGGATATACCATTATTATCAATATGAATCATTATCAATCAATTCTCAGTCAAGCAATCACTACGTTGAAAGAGATGATTAAGTTCAAATACAGATCACCATCATCGTCAGATCATAGGAGTAAAATCAGAAAAATGGTATCATTCTCATCATCATCATCATCATCATCTTCATCCTCATTCACGTCTCCAATTCAATCAATCTCATATCCATCCATCCATGCATCCAATCTTCCTATCCAATCAACATCAAAATCAACATCCCCTTCATCATCTCCTCAATCCATTCACCACAATTCATTTGCTCCCCACTCTAAATACATAAGTATTCCTTCTCACTCCCATTCCCATTCCCATTCCCATTCCCATTCCCATACGCACCCCAAGTATTCCTTCCCCAAGTCTTAGTTTAAGTCTTAAGCCACCCAATCCACTCACACCTACCACCCACTCGTCCCTTATCCCCCTTTCCCTTTTTTTTTTATCATCCTGACTTCTCCGCATCGCAACTAATTTCATCTCATCTCATCTCTCATCTCCCAGTCGATTCATCAGCTCAAATATTCTCCTCTCAATACTCATATCCATACCGTTTCATATCATATACCATGCATTGCATCCCATACCCAATCTCATCCCAAAAAAATCCATCCATCCATCCATCGAAACCAAAACCCATCCATAATAATCCATGCCCAAAAATGTATGCAATGCCAATGAAAATCCAATAATATGCATATCAATGTGAATTATGAATATGAATATAAATCCAGCGAAAAAGAATCCCGAAAAGTATTCACAAACAATGCCCCAATCCATTGAAGCATACTATGAAAGAAACCTCCTTCATTTCATCTCCTCATTTCATCAACCCATCTCTCCAAGGAGGATATATAAGATCAAATTTCGTCGATGTTCAAAAATGTAAATGCATGCGAGGAATTCCAATCCAATTCTTTTCCCATCAAACCCCCATTATATCCAAGTCCAAGTCCCAAAAAGAACCCAAACAAGCTTGCGCCATTTTTTGCCCCGGCCCTTATGCATGCATGCAAACATAAACAAATAATGAAATGAAGCCGTGTAAAAGGGAGTTGTGAAGTCAAAGGTATGTAGGGGAAGGGAAAGCATCGTATCGCGTGACTTGAAGAGGGTATTATTTTAATGCAGAGGAGGAGGGTAAGTTGGCGTGAATGATATTTAGATAGAATCTAGATGCAAGGAAGGAACTACAGATCGTTAGTTTCATCTCACCAACATCATTCCTCGTTTTCATCAAGCTGCCCTTCGAAACAAAAAGAAATACTCACATTCATAACAATCAACATTGGAATATCAAAGACATCTCTCTTAATCGTCCAACAAGAGCTGCAATCCACCTTTCCATCCGGCTGTAAAGTCTCAATCCCATGCGTCGCATCAATTTCCTTTATCCTGTTACCCATTCCACCAATACCAGCGCCATTAAACCCAACAATATCTTTCCGCTTACCTTTATCGCCTTCAGGAGATTGGGAATTATCCTTCGCAGTTTGGTATTGGAGCAGCTTGTAACGAGTCGTAACACTTCCCCTACTGTCGCCAAATGCTAATCTTGCAAAATCTTCGTAGAATTCAATGACGCTATCGTCATCTAAAAGTTCCGCGAGGAAGATCGGTTGAGGTTTATTACCCGTCTTCGAGTCAACAAGGTTTATAGGGCGCATTCTAGGGGTCGTAAAACTTCCTCGACCTGAACTTCCTGAAGACGAGGCACCGCTATTTCCTGTATTGATATTAAGATTCGGTTCGTTCCCCAGGAGGACTTCCTTTCTCCATCCAGTTAAGAGGGTAAATTCTTTATTGACAGCGGCTATTTCTCCAGTCCTCCGACAAACTAGTGTCGGCGTGCAACAATTCAACATGAAATCTTCATACTCGAATAGGGTCCTTTGAAAACACTTTTCCATAAAGACCAAATCTTGTCGATTAAGTGTTTTTGTACAAGAGATGAAGGATGGCCGAATGGAAGCGAGCGATTTTGCTATTCGAAGTGTCTTATTTGGAGAGAATCGCTTTTGGATGAAAGCAGTCAAGCTATGAAAGCCAGTAGTATAAGAATAAGGTTCGTGAACTGTATCGTAGATAGATGAAGGATCCCGATTCCTCTTTCCAAGAGCTGATGATGGTCCAAGCTTTCCGGATGGTCCAGATTTCGTATCCTGTCGTTTTGCTGGTCTGTGAGCACCTGGTGGTGCTGGGTAATTAGTAGTAGTCGGCGAGCTCTCAAATCCCATTGTACTTGCCGCAGGACTTGCATCAGTGCTAGGGCTGTGTTGACTACCACCTGTTGCTATTGCGTACGCATGAGGCAAACCGTGATGTAGGTTACTGTTGGCGAAGACGTTTCCTCCATTTTGCCTGTCCATACCTACAGCAAAATCCGGTAATGCGTCGTGGGAGTAGATCTGATTAAAGGCGGCGTTATTGTTGAATGCTGGATTGTTGTTATAGCCTAGATCGCCAACATTCTGTGGCATCCCTGCAGATGAATCTTGTGGTGGTGTTTCTGCTGAGCCTGATGCCATATGCCCGAGCATTCCAAATTCCAGTGCTCCATAGTGATTTCCAAAATTCAATCCTTCTAGGTCAAAGTTAAACAGTGCTGGATTACTAGGATCGAAAAATGCACCACCGCCAAATGCCGCATGAGAGTCATTCGAAACTTGCGGCAGAGAAATTCCTTGCATTCCAGCTGGTCGATTCCCTACTGTATGGAAAGTTGGAGATATCGGCGATGGTTGATTACTGCCAAAAGAGAGTCGATTCTGCAATGGCGGTGGCATTTGACCTTGTTGATTAGCAGCAAAAAGTGGATAAGATGGCGATGTATCAGGCTGGGAGAAAAAGTTTCCCATACCAGGTGAAGGTTCCGTTGGAGTTGATGCCGCTGTTGCTCGATTGTTGCTCACTTGCTGATTGTAAGTTGGTCCTAAAACAGGCCTAAGAGCTTCTGGTGGAGCATCGTGAAGATACTTTGCTTTCTTCCTGACGCCATCCTGGCAAGCATCTGCTAAACCTCGTTTGATACAACGTTGACATGGACGCTCGTCACCTATTGAATTCATTCTTAGCACATGTAGCAAATTTCACTGAAAATCTTGATGATGGTAATAAAAATGTTGAAAAAGTTGATGAAATGTAAGGCTCTTGGCACAAAAAAGAGCCTGAAAATGAAGCCTTGAGAAAACAAACATACCACAAGTTAGATGAGCCCGTTGACAAGCAAAACAAGCTCTTCTTGCCTTCTTTCTTCTAGGTCTCAGCGGATCTTTAGGATCGAACTTCGGTTTTGTAGCTGTAGCTGCTGCTCCCACAGAATTCCCATTCTCATCACCGTCCGGTCTTACTTTTTGTTCCGCCATTTCCTGATTATCGTCCTCTTTTCCTACAACATCAAGCTCTTGCTCATGATCACTATAATCGTTCTCCGAAGCGCCATCCGAAACCTCAGGATCATCTATCTCAGTTTCTCCCGACATCCTGTCTTAAATACCTCACTTGGTACTTGTGCAGAAGCTAGCTCGTTTCTGCGACACCACACCCCAATCAATAGAAGCCCCAGTCAACCTCCCTCGCCAATCCCTGAAGAGGAGCCCTGCTGCAGCAGCCTCGTCGCACAACCAAGGCAACACAGGATGGTGCCGTGAACCGCCCGTCCAGCAACAATGCACAATGACCTTGTTTCCTCACTCCCACACTTCCAGCGCACACTTCTACCACCTTCCTGCGTCTGCGAGCAATCTTAATGCCACAAAGGGTAATCCTAGCGATACTCCGAAATAAATTCTTGCCGCAATGTAAGTACCCGTGTATTTCAATCCCTTACCACGTTTCGCCGCGTGCCTATCCGAGCACCAGCACGCGTTCGCATGCACCGCTATTTCACCGGCCCAATTCACTCTTCCGTAATTCCTTCCCAGAAACCAGGTAGGTTTGCCCGACTCGGCCGCTCCGTATTTCTCGTAATTTCTTTGGATCCAAAATCTCACCCCCTTCCCTTTTTGACAATCTTGTTTCGATTCTTATTTTTTTTTTCAACCAATCCGAAACCTAGGTAGTCCCTCGCAAATCACTACATCCACACATGTATAGTCACGCGGAGAACCTACTCCTTCCACCAAGCCTCCTCTCTCGTGCTGGAGGGAATGCGCAAATGTAATAATCGAACGCTGTGTTACTGAATAGTGCTGCAAGTATCCGCGAGCTAGTCCCACCGCAATCGCATTGATGCCCAAATAAATGCCTTTCACTACTGATGCAATGGAATTATCCTATCCCTTTCTGCGTATCACTTCAAAATCGATATATTGGAAATGGGTATTCGCCGTCCTCTGTATTTCGAGCGGCCAGGGCTTTGTGTATTCCCTTTTCAATTGGAACCTATATAAATCTTTTTTTCGCCTCGTATGGAAGAGATTTGGAAATGTTGCAGATTGACACGGCGGGGTTCGATGAACTGCGAATTGAAATTGCACTTAGCTTGTGTGCTCTGGCGGATGAAAGGATTTTGGAAGGAAAGGTTGTGGAGGTGGTGGTGGTGGTGGTGGTGGGTGTTGGATGGTTGGGTGGTTGGGTGGTTGGGTGGATGAGATTGAGTGGATGGGTAGAGACGGGTAAGCTGAGATTAGGATATCAATTGGTTTCTTTAAGTTGGAATTGAGTTTGATTTTGACCCGATCAAACAAATTACCTTTTGAAAATGGCAAATCAATAGAAGATCTTTGTACTCGAGTTTGAATCAGAGAGAGAGTACAGTATTTAGTAGCAGTATCAGTATCACCCAAACTTTTTTCTTTCAAGCTTCAACGCCGCGTGGCAGGAACGAGGTTTGTTGTTGCAATTATTGCGTCTTCTGTGTCTTTTGGTCTTTTTGCGCGGGGAAAATTTTAGTGTTCATCAGATCAAACAGAAGAAGCTTTTGACCAGCTTGAGCGGGTAGAAGCTAGTAAGTAGCGTCGTCGTAATAGATAAGATGACGGTGAATTTGATATTTCATTATAAAGCCACAATTGAGATTAATTGCACAGCCACATGATTAAACAGAGAGAGAGGAGTGAGGATTAATTATAAAAGACAAGATACAGTTGTTGAACAATCTCTTGAATTTTCATACAATGAAGGAAGTTGTCAAATCGCAAAGATTTTGGGTATGACAAGTTCTTTATAAAGTTTATTTGTTTGGCTTACTACCATTATACATACACACGTATAATACATTACCAAATACATATATTACTCCGCACACACAATACATCTTTAAAGGTAATTCAGCAATTTCCACTTCCTCTAATCAAATCATTCACTAACAGTTTCCCCTCCTCTACAAAGCTAATAAGAGCTACCTAAAAAGCAAACCTCTCCTTCCTTGTGAACTCGAGCAAGTAAGCAACTAACATTACTCTGCTCCTGCTCCTACATTGCATATGCATTCATACATTATACATCATACATCATACATCATACATCATACATTAGCAGCAAACAGTAATACATACTCCGTACATAATCCACCCACCCAGCATCCACCACCTACCAAACCATCAACCAATCCCCTCACCCACTGCCATCCAGCCAAGCCATCCCACCCACTGCCATCCAAGCAAGCCATCCCACCCACCCAAACAAACGAACCATCTGTCACAAAACGTTCATCTGCAAAAAGAAAAGCCGACTCGCTACTCGCTTCCCACTCACCGACTCCATCCATCTAGCCAATATCCATCCCTTCACCACCCAGCTACCACGTATGCGCGTTCTTGTCCCAAAAAGTGCTAGCCGGTAATGCTTGCCAAACACCGTATCACCAGCATCCCGTCAACAACCAAACAAATCCCGTTCCATTCCCATGGTTCTCGATAATTATGGGAACAGAATAAAAACCATCACGGATGGAAAAAAGGAAAAGAAAACAAAAGAGCTCGTCAACATTTTCACTCATTACAACTACTACGTGCGTGCATATATAGGTAACACACTTATCTCCATCAATTACTTTCCAGGTAGGGGGTCACATGTCCTTCGTATCTATCACATCCAATATGTATATCATATAGATATATGCGAGGCATGGGCTGTGAAGGACAGGATCAGGTATTGAAGGTACACGATAGATTAAGTCGAGGGTTCCATTCACTCTATCTTTAGAATCTGCTCGCGATGCTTGGATGGACGATTGTGCCGTTTCGCTTCGATAGGTTCTGAATGGAGTGGGAACAAGATTTCGAGTTACGCTACAGCTCGGCAATTGTGCGTTGCGACGACGGGGTGGTTGGGGGTTGAGTAGCTTGGAAGGAAATAAGAACCCCCAAACATGTGCTACCCGTGACACATCTTATTAGCCCTTCATTTTTCCATTGGGAATCGTCTTCTCGTTTTCATCTTGGCTTCATTAAACAATGTCTTCGATTGGGGGTATATACTATATGATCCTTCGTTTCTATGAACAAGCGGCCGTTAACGTTAAAAAAATCGACGTTTTTAATAATCCAATAACTGGTTCCCGCAAATCCAAACTCCAATAATGCCAATGTTTACCCATCCAACGCTACTTTTCTGTACCCCAAAGTGCAGGGCCAATGATTCGAAGCCCATGTCCAGATTTATATTAACTGTCGTTGCATGTACCGCTGAAAGAAAGTCACATCACGCGGTAGCAAAACGACTATGGCCCCTGATCCTCTTCCCGTATTTGAAGAAGATGTAGGGGAAGGGCGTCATGACAAGCGTCAAAAACGCCAAAAGACTCGTTGCCCATTGATCGCCGAGCTTGTGATACATTTGGATACCAAACAGCGGAAAGATAGCTACCCAGCTTCAGCCTCAGCATTTATTCTCCTCGAGTGCATAGGTGACTGCTCAGGGGATTTCAGGTTGGGTGGACTTACCTCCGAAACTACTTCTCATGAAACTATTCGCTGCTAAGGAGCTGGCTGCATAGAGCGGATATGCATCGACTAGGAATGTGAAGATGCCAGTAAAGACAAGAAGGGTTCTGCATGAATCCCAATCGGTTAGCTACTTCGAAAGTACTTTGGTGCCACATGAAATGCGTGTCATGTGAGACATTCATCAAGTCCATCGACGACTCTGGCATGAAAGAGAAAGAAAATCCAGCTTCACATTTCCCAAAGAAGACCAGATATGCAAAAAACAGATGACAAGATCAACTACATGCAGGAACAAAGCACAAGACCCCCCTACGCTACTTCGGCGATGGAACGTACACGGTTCGGGGACCTAACAGGAAACCTCCTGAGACACGAAGTTTATCATTTTCAATGAAGAAATTTCAAGACTTACCCCATTGCGAAAATCCCTGATCCAATAATAGGAAGAACCCAATGAACAGATGAATATGTCGTCCATGCAAAGAAAAACAAACCGATAGGAACGAGACAGGCTCCAAGTATGGCAGGAGGTAGGCGATATTCAGGTTCGGATCCACCGACCTCTCCTGTCATTTGTTCTCTCTGTTTGATGAGTCTTGCATAGTTCTTCTGCCAGAAGGGGTCAGTTGCCGCCGCAAGCACCATGCCTATGAACAGCCCTATGAACGCCAATCCAACTTGGTATTGCTGAAATCCGTGATTAACCTCAAAGACGAGGGGGAAAGCCCCAAATAATAGGTAGAGAATACCGAGCAAGATAGCTGAAAATATGCAAAGGTTAAGACACATTGGCTCAAAGATTAATAATTGGCCTGGCCTGAGTAGCGACTTTCCAATAGTCTTTGGAATCGACTTGTTGAGCCTTTCATTAGGTGCATACCAGCGGTCATCGCCAGTCTCTTTTCGGATTTTGCAAGCTTTGGCTCTCAGGACGACTGGATGATAGGTTTCCGGAACGAGGAAAAAAATCAAAATTAAGTCGCAAGCTGACCAAATAATTAGAACATAAAAAGTCCAACGCCAAGTGGTAAATTGGTTGATGAATCCAGAAATCAATGGACCAAACGATGGACCTATGAATGGCGACGCTGTATAGATTAGCATAGGGGCTTGAAGTTGTTCTCGATTAAACAAATCTCCCACGGTGCCCCCCGCAACGGAGAGAAAGGCGCTTCCGGAAAGACCACAGAAGAATCTCGCTATTATCATCGTCTCTATGTTTTGCGCTACTGCTGAAGGAATAAGCCATATTAGGAAGAAAGTGAAGGAGCAAATATAAATTGGACGACGACCATAGAATTCACTATTTCATGTGAGTAGGTTGATGGGAGGAAGATCTCAAGGTATGCTTACGAAAGAGGTCCAAGCAACATAGGTCCAAGGCCAAGCCCAAGGATAAACATCGAAAGTCCGAGTGTCGCAACTTCTCTCGAGCAATGAAATTCCTTCTCCAGCTGAGCATACGTACTGGTATACATTGATGACGCACAGGTACTAATTAAAATGCAAGTCAGATTAGCATCCTTGAGTATCCACGTTTTTTTAACTCAGCCCTATGTGTTCTTCCTGATGCCAAAATAAGTGAATTTTGACATCGACAAAAAATCAACGGATGAATTCTACCGCAAGTGCCCAACGCACAGGAATAATTTTGGGAGAACATTATAAAATATCGGAAGAACCTACACACAGAATGAACTTGCACTGACAATCAAGACTACCAGCCATTTTCTTCCATGCGCCATGCTCCTTGGACACATTGGATCACTATCGCCACCATCGAATCGAACCTCGAACGGATCCTTCTCATCGACTTCCTGCCCTCCAATTCCACCTGCACTACCATCCCAAGTATTATCCGGATCATCACAACCAAAGCCATTAGATGAGCGCGTTCGTACCAGCGAATTGGTCCGACTACCCTTCGTGTTCATTCTCGAGATAGGTATATCTGTAGGTGTAGCTTTGATGGGCACAAAATCCATGCCATTTTCGGTTGTGGTATTCGAGTCTCCTGAGGTTGAGATGGGAAGTTTCTCGTTCTCTTCTTCTATTGGATCAGACATTGTGGGATGAGTACGAAATGGTTGTTTTTGCGAAGTGAAGGTACCCAATCAATGGTCTTTTTTGCGAGAAATGGGATTGGAGCTGCGATTGCCTAGAGGTATTGTTTGAGGAGCTTGAGTATTTTAATTCGCTATTAAAAACGAATTCATAGTGATTGGTATCTGGGGAATATTCTTTTGCATACATTCACTGGCAAGAGAAATACTGGGTCTAGATATATTTGAGCAGGTAAATAAACATGGCTGGTGAGCCAGGTACGATCAAATACTTCCACAGCTCCCCTGTTATTTTGGAGAAGCTAAGGTAGCTATCAATCGGCAATACGGATTACACCATATCTCATCCTTGTCATGAGTTTTCCATTTGTTTGACCGTCTTTCTGGAGCCGGGTCCGCCATCAAATGGGATTTCGCTTTGAAGCTGTGCATGCACGAGTGCCGGTATTTTGTGAGTAATTTGAGGAGAAAGTGGGGGGCGGGTATTGCGGGTTTTACGGGGAGTTAAGCTTAAGCTCGTCAACTGCATCAATTGATTGTGCTTAATTGATTGCTCTAGAACTTGTCGAGATCTTGCCCCCTGTGTTCTGATTTGAAATCTCTTTATCTTTTACTTTCGAAACTTCAGCATGACTATTCCGACTTCAATTGAAACGTTACAGTATATGGAACTTCATGCGATCTGAGAAGAATCAACAGTGCCAGGTATTTATCCGATACCCGAACTTCCTCTCAAAGCCGGATATCTTCCGACTCCCGAGACTGCCCCAGAATAAATCACCACATTGGCACTGTACAGTAAGCGCTGTCGTAATGTTTTTAACGTTAACCTGTTAGTATTCATCTGTCTATACTCTAACGCCTGTATACTATTCTTCTATGCCGTTGCTCTTACTGTTTTTTGGGGCAAGTGGCGAAACTGACGTGAACCAAGCACCGTGGATTCACCTCTCCTAACTGTCCATCCTTTGACCCCATCATACCGTCAAACACTCCTCTATAGACACATATCGAATCCAAAAGTCAAAATGGCCTCAGATACGAACTTCAAATCCATTGAGCATACGGATATCTGCCACCTAGTTCATTAATTTTTAAACTTGCTCAACAGCCAGAAGTCAACTTGCGTCCAGACCTCAACCCATTCCCTCGATCATGCCTTTACACATCAGCGGATTGCCGTCGTCGGAGGGATATGCATTGTCACTCACGCCTTCCATGTATTCGGTCGCTGCAATTGGTCCGGAAATCGGCCTCGTAGGAGTCGAGAACGGAGCTTGATGTCGGCATACACACCAATTCGATACCCGTATTGGTAGAGACGACGATCTCTTATGCGAGCCTTACTAACACTCACATTCATCTTCTCGTCTATACAAGTAACTTCAAGCCTTTATATTGTTTCTATGAGAAACCCTCGTGACATCTTTGTATACTTCAAGTATATCTTCGACTAGTCGATTGCTAATTTATTTTGATATTGTGTGGATAGTCCCGAGAATCTATAGAATTGTGGCCGGATCTCTGCATTCAAATTTTTGAAATACCTGTAGGAGATCGGGGAGTTCTATACGTTTGACTGCTGAATTCCCATGTTATAATTCGCCGGCTGGTAGGAGTATATCAGTGGGAATCTTAAAATATTCCGCTTCATACGGTAAAGAGTTTTAATCTCGCCGTCGTCTGCATACTGGATGGCTGGACCAAGGGTGAAGAGGGGCAGGGAGGAGCAATTATTTCACCAATGTGAGCCCAAACTTCAAATTCACTGAAAACTCTTGAAAAATCCACGGTCTATTTCAGGGATAATTTGTGGATCGCTTTGGTGCTTCCCAGCATTTATCAAATTGGCGGGTTCGAAGCACGACAATGATCCTGTATGATGTGGTCTTAGAGGCAATTGAGTCGTATTCCAGTGATTATTGTTGAAGCTCTTAATAGATTCGGCAGGATCTTTTCAGCCGTCGAAAGGGGAACCACTAGCCAAGCTAACATGCAGAGCTTTCTTTTAGATTTGCTGCATCTAGGACACTTGCTGACTTCTTCTGTCAGTGGCTCTTGGTGGATACACAAGGCATCTGCCCTGAGATAAGCTTCTGATGCAAAAGGCGGCTTGTGTGGAAATATCAGCTGGAGTTTTGACAACCACTTCATATCGAAAATACTTGAGAGCATCTAGGAGATTCCTACCACTCTTCACAGGCGCTACGCCGATAATGATACGGATTCACTGTAAATCTTTGAAGAATTATCGGATATCGCTTCACCAGCGAACTATTCCTGATGATAGAAACATCGCTCTATGTGTAGAAAATGTGCAGTAGACTTAGGCTTATCTACCAGAGAGACATATTCGATTGTAAATACAAGAACCTCATCAATCCGTTCTGTTTCCCCAGGAATAAATCCTAAGCACTGGACGGTGTAATCAAGCGCTCTGTGGATAGCACCGAGCATGCGGTTCATATGCTGACGGGTGCAGATAGCAGAAGGTCGAGAAATAAGGCATCTAGCCTTTATACCTCCAAAGTATTCATTGCTTCTGGAATCCATTGCATGTAGAACTCAATGTCATTTTGATACTTGATCAAAGTAGAGCCATGGTAGCAAGAGGTCAAGGATCAGAGCAGAAAAAGAAGAAAAGCCATTCAGAGAAATAGGGAACTAAGTTTAGGACCCCGCACTAACCTTTTTGGGACTCGTCAAAATTCAATACTTTTGCTCCAACAATCCAATCTCAACCTCGGCCGGTTCATTTGCATTCACTGACAGCGCCATTATTGAAAGTAATTGGTGTCATCCTCTGCATGTGTGTCAAGGATACCATGAAAATTTCTTTCTAGTTTCCCACCGTTGTCGGTGGAGTCTTCCCTGAAGCTTCTTGGAGGCCCTCCGGAATTTCTCGCCGTTTTGCTCCCCGTTCTAGAAATGGCTTGCCGTTGACTCAAAAGGACAAGAGCCTTTCTACACCATCGTCAATTTTTGACCTGCGAGTCCACCTGATACATGCTTAGTTCTTTTGTCAATGCAATCAATCCTTCAAGCGCTGCATCTTGACATGGAAAATTCCATGTTTGATCAAAAGGACTAAGAAGAATTGGGACTAGCATAATTCCTTCAACACGTATTGATTTTCTCACATTGACTTCGTTTTTCGGCCATACCAGGCCCCTTTCAAAGGCAACGGTAGCTTTCTTTGGGATTATTACACATGTTTATGATGATCAGCATCATAGTTTGATCATATCCTTGTCTGCATCCACCTTATATTGAAGTTCCTTCAACCCTTCAACATATAAATATGTTGCTCATCCGCTCTCTTCCTCTCCAATCTCGCTCCATCACCTCCAGGAAACTCTTCTTCTTTACCTACAATCATATTGCTCTCTCATCCACAGCTACTCGTTATCGAAGCACCTCTTCAACTAGAAACACACAGAAACCCGCCCCGCCTACACCACAACAGAAGTCAAAGATGGCGTCCACTGATGTTCTTTCCCACACGCTCTCCTCCATCACGTCCATTAAACTCGAAGAGATTTCAAGCCAGAGATCCGCATTCGAGAAAGGTAAGGCAGACCTTCTCCAAGCCGTGTCGAATGAGCCCAAGCAAAGCGAGAAACTCCGCATCTTGCTGGATCAAATTGAGGAACTTGCTTCTATGGGCAAGCTCAAAGATAAAAAATCTATCTCTTTGTCCAACATTCGTATTTTCCTTCAACAAGCTCAACATGACCCATCGGTTTCGGAAGACCTTCTCAAGGATTGGCAAGAAAAGCTCGAGAAGGAGCTTGACATTCATTCGTTGAAGTATGAGTATGCCTCGCTGTATGGTCGACTTGTCAATGAATGGCTCTCAGCCTCAGAAGATAATGCCGCGTCTGATAGCAGCTTTGAGAGCGTCGGCCGAAAGGAGATGCACGAGCAGCGGCAGAAGTGGGAGGAGTTTGTGTTTGAGCCTCTAGAAACTGATCCCGCTGCCATTGAGTCATACCTCACCAAGCTCTTCACCTCGACGGATGACATTAAAAACGCTTGGCATGGGCTGCGATACCAGACCACAGTTTTCGAAAAAGAAATGGAGAATCAAACGCACTTCGACGAGGACTCCCTAAGATGGGTAATCAACGGCCTCCTCCGTAGCGATCTTCTCACCGACGAAAAACGCGCCATTCTCAAGGACTTTCAAAGCAAAAAGGTCGTCCTCGCTGAAGTCGCCGACGTCCTAAATATGCGTATGTCTTCGCTCGACAAGTGGAAATGGGCCTCGGAAGGTACACCTGTGGAACAACGGCGCCAAATCAACGGCCGCTACCGTTTTTACCACGACGAAGATCTTCTACAAACTATTCTCCTCCGTTACATTGGCGTGAAATGGTCCGTATTTTTCAAGCAAACGCTTACCAGGTTCAAAAACTCCTCCAATGTCTGGGCTAGCTTATCCCCACAAGTTCCAAAAGCAGATAAACTCAAGCGCAAGTACTTCCTTGGCCAGTCTCACGACCGTCCCGGAAACGTCGAAGCTACCAGGGAAGAACACTTCAATTCTGATATCTTCCTCGAGCAGCTCCAACATTCTCCGGAAGAACAACGAGGCGGCTACTCCGACGACGATGCAGAAAATGCAAAGGATACACGTAGATCCCCTACAAAAATCACTCAATCAGTGCTCCACACTCTGGCCACCGAAATCATCATGCAAACTCGTTTCCGCAGCCCCCTGACTGTCGTCCGTTCCGATTTCACCTGGTTTGGTCCTTCTCTCCCTCACACGAGTATGTTCTCGGTGCTATCCCATTTCGGCGTTTCCACTAAATGGTTATCATTTTTCCGCCGCGCTCTTGAAGCGCCCATGGTCTTTCCCTCCGATGGACCATCCGCTCCTGTTCGCATTCGCAAGCGTGGAACTCCGATCAGTGGCCCGCTAAGTGATATGCTCGGCGAAACTGTCCTCTTCTGTCTTGATTTTGCTATGAACAATCGGACTAATGGCGCACGTTTATACCGTCTACACGACGATATATGGTTCTGGGGCAGCTCCCCTGTTTGCGTATCTGGCTGGCAAGTTATGCAAGAATTTGCCTCTCTCATGGGACTCTCCTTCAACGCGGATAAGACAGGTTCCTGCACCGTAACTCGCCATCCTACCATCATCACCCCACCTCCTTCGTCGCTACCGCAAGGACTTGTTCGTTGGAGCTTCCTGTATTTAGACCCTCTCACTGGACGATTTTTGATTGATCAAAAACTAGTCGACAACCACGTCAAGGAACTAAGCCTTCAATTAAAAGCCTGCAAATCCATATTCGATTGGATTCAAGCCTGGAACATCTACGGTTCTCGATTCTTCTCCACGAATTTTGGCCGACCAGCCCACTGTTTCGGACTCGCTCACGTCGACGATATGCTCACCACTTTTTCGCGAATCCAAACCCAACTCTTTTCCGAAACCGGTGGTTCCGTCACTTCCACTCTCAAGTCTATGCTCCATTCCCGCTTCGGCGTCGAAAACATCCCAGAGGGTTACCTCTATTTCCCCATGTCCATGGGAGGTCTCGATCTCAAATCTCCTTTCGTACCGCTCTATCTGATCCGCGACCAGGTCAGGAAAAATCCAGATGAAGCTATGGATATATTTTTTCTGAAAGAGCGAGCTGACTACGAAGCCGCGAAAAAGGTATACGAAAATGGTGATTCTGTGCTTACACGTAATGGAGTTAAACACGATCCGGCTCTTGAAAGCGTCGGCTTTCCATCATTTGAAGAATATACAAAGTATAGAGAACGCACGTCAAGCCGTTTGCATGCTGCGTATGATGTTTTGAAGTCTGAGCCGGAGGAATGTCGGGTTGATGTTACGGTAGGGAGAGAAGTGTTTGAGAGACAGCGGGAGAAAATGTCGGAATATCAGAAGTGGATTGTGCAGTTGTATGGATTGGATATGGAGGAGAGGTTTGGTGGCTTGAATGTTGTGGAAAAGGGATTGCTTCCTACGGGGATGGTGGGGATGTTTAGGGAGAGTAGGTTTAAGTGGCAGGGATGAGGACGGGGATGAGGATGGAGGATGGTGGTTGTGTCGTTGCGTAAATAAGGACACGCCTTCATGCTGATAAATACCACAGTTTGTAGTAGAAAGATAAACAATAATAACTCTCCACTAAACAATAAATGCTAAGCTTACATTTACTTCATCTAAAATCGTTCTCCATTCTATTCCCTACTGCTTCACTATTCTAAATGATATGAAGCGAACAAGCAGACATGAAAGTTTGCTAGCAGCCAGATATCAAAACGAAATATCTCATTAATCAATATAATTATGATAGAACACAAGAATGCCACAATCCCAAAATAAACCTTACTTTATATAATAAGGACACCAAAGCAAGATATCTATCACTAAGAGAATCCTGAAATGTAAAGCTGAGTGGACTTATCTATGCTTTTTAGCCGGAATGGCATATTATGTATACCATAGAATATACGATATAAGAAATAAAATATTCCAGGGTAGTCGCGCTATGAATTAACTTAAAGGTAACTATCTAGGTAGTATCTACTATGACTGATAATATATTGGAGTCTATGTGCAAAATCACCGTTATTTAATCTTCCATGCGTTCGAATAGAGGAGAATGGAAGAGAAACTTGCTGGTTTGGATGAAAAGAAATGGGATCTGACTAATAGAATACTTGAAATTTCTATGTCTTAGGGTTGAATGTGTGATGTGGGTAAGACGATCCATTCGGATTCAGTGTTTGAAAGATGAGAGAGGTTCTTAGTATGTGTATGTGTATGTGTATGTGTACGTGTGTGTTGCAATAATTTGTAACGAATGCTATTCGAAATATTGAGTGCAAGATCATATTAATCGAAAAAAAAAGATGTCTTCTCGATGTGAAGACTCGAAAGTTTTAGGGTTCGAAGGACTGAGAGGTTCGGCTTTGAGGTAAAGACTACTTCCTCTATAGGCCGATACAGTCACTTTTCTAGATATCGGTCAGAAAGCTGCATCTAACCGTCCGGACATGAACCTCAATTATCCCGTATTCAATGCGACTATTCCACACCTTCTATACCTTCGAAGCCTCCTCCCCACTCTTCACTTCCTCTTCAGTTAAAGGACTCAAAATTTCATTCAGAATCGTCCCCGCATCCCCCAAAAACAACCAATCATTCTTTCCCAAACCCCCCGCACTACCCAATCCCTCTGCATCCATATTAATCACCGCAACCCTCGCACCCGCACTACGAGCTACATCTACATAACTCGCTGCTGGGTAAACTTTCGCCGTGGTCCCAATAACTAATATAAGATCAACGGGTGCTTTCCCAATCCATCGATCTACTTCATCTAGAGTATCACCCGGGAGAGGCTCGCCAAACCAGACGATATCTGGACGTAGGAGAGCAGTGGTACATTTGGGACAGTGGGGAAGCTCATCTTTTAAAATGGTATTTGTGCTTTTGTTAGGATCGAGGAAGGTGATCATGGCTTGCTGGGAGTGTATTAGCTATGTGTAATGTCGAGGAAGCTGCATCCTACTTGGACTTGTGGCCCAGCCCGGGATAGCATTGCAGGGCTCAGGGTTAGGGGGAGGAAAGTTCTCACTGTCTCGTTGGCTGCTGCGGGTAAAAGTTTCTCGTCATCTTCGCTGGTGATTGCGATGGATGGATGGAAAGGATCGTCGAAATTGTTGCGTTCGCGGTAATCGCAAACGGGGTCGGCGCATTTGATGTCGTAGAGACATCCATGGAGAAGTTTGAGTGAACCTTCCGGATGACCTGCACGTTGAGCCAGACCTGACTGAATTAGCAAATACTAGATATCGCTAAAAGTAGATTTATGTAACTCAGATCATGGATATTAAATCGACAAAGTATTTACCACGATTGCCACTTAGCAACTCCCACTTTTTTCCAAAAGCAGTACATTTTAAGCGCAACACCTGACAACAAAAAGCAAGATAAAACGCATCTCTCCCAACTCACCATCAACATTCTGCGTCAAACACACAAACCCCTCTTCATCATCTCTCTTCATCCTCCTCGCCAATTCAGCTAGTGCAAAATGACCCTTATTCGGCTCAGCCGCTAGAGCCTTATGACGCCTGTACGAATAAAACAACCAAACCAAGCCCGGATCTCTCGTAAATGCATCCATGGTAGCGAGATTTTCCGCTCGATAATTGCGCCATAATCCACCTGGTCCTCGAAAAGTGTCAAGGCCAGAAGAGGCACCAAGACCGGCACCACAAAGAGCGAGAACCCTTTTAGAAGAAGAGAGTACCTTTTTGAACGAGGCTATGTCGCTGCTGGGTCTGTGACCGGGTTTGGAGCTGGCAGCGCGTCCCATAGGCATAGGATTTGCGGACGCCATTTTAAACGTAGGAAGGCGATTTAGGGGTTTTGTGATTACAGATAGTTGTCGTGATTTTGAAAGAGTTTGAAGATTTTGGGATTGCAGGAGCATTATACATACATATATTATAGAGCTTTGCCCAAGGCTTAGAGGCGCAGTCCTGTGGTTGCCTAAGTAGCAATTGTTGTGAGTACTGTGACTACCATGCCGAAAATGGAATACCCTTGGCAAACTCACTAGTATAACCTCAAAACATGCAGTGTAATACTGTGGAAATATCACAAAGTTACCCGTGTGGCGTTGGGGATTTGGAGATACTGAAGGTTGACCATCTCGGAAGTTCCTTATCGATGATCACGTGGTGCATAGGATCTGACACAATTTAGGCATTCGAACAAAAATCGTTTTCCCGAGAAGATAACAAAGTATTATTAGATTTACATATATCATTCAATTGAGCGGTCATTCTAGTTACTCCAGAGGCGGTTGAATCTTAGGCAGGTGAAGGCACAACGCTACAACTGCAGGAGCTTGAGCAGATAACTAGAATACCTTGTTACCCTTGTTAACATGAGACTGATACAGCTACCCATCCAAATCACAACAAAGCATAAGATAAATGCCGAGGTAGGTTAAGGGTTCTTGAACATGAGAGAAAAGCTAAAGCGATGAAGCTGAGATGTGAGCCAGAGAAAAAAAATAACACAAAGCTTGAATATTGCTGATATTTCAACATCCTTGGTCTGAAATCTAATGATGAATGGATCTCGGATTGCCCCTATACCCAAACGATAACCATCAACCATTTATACTGTTGTAATTCAGTAATGGCAAGTAACAGTAGAAACATACTCTGAGCCCCATTGCACCCGCCTCCATGATACAGGGCAAAAACAGTTATCTTTGGTCTTTGGTCTTTGATGAAAGCATGGGGATGCTTCATGAGGCTTGATAACATATAAATGCGTAAGCACAGCTCGTACAATTCATGTCGGAGGTCGGAAATTTGAGAGCGCTGATGATGTCTTGCAATTAGGACTATAAATTGACCAGTATATTGATCTGCGGAAACTGGAAGAGCTGAAGAGACGCAAGTAATGTGTTTTGAGCAGATGCTGAGATTTGGGATAAGAGTGGTCCTTGTCTCCAAAAGATCTTTCTATTGCAAAGAAAGCTGCTTTTCATTTGCTAATCTACTAATGATGGTCTGTGAAATACTAGGTTATGCAAATCCACCTCGTTTGATAAGCTTACTCACTGTCACCGATAAGACTTGGTAAAAAAACACATCGTCATTCAGATGTGCAACAAAACTTTTGGGTAAATCGGTAATTTCCGTCTTGGTTCATGTCCGACAAGTCCGGCAAGGACAAAGGGGGTGATTGGAAGGATATAAAAAAAGGACTAACTCGCAGAATTCCTGCTTCCAGCCCAATCGCCAAAACCAAGCGACAGAACCGTCTCGGAATGATTACACCTATTGCATTTTGGGCAAAAGATGTTGCTGGCTTATTGAAGTCTTGATAATAACAAAGTGCCACTCACTTGATGACTTTTGAAGGTCGTGTTATGGCTGACCGGTATTGGCTCGTGCGTCAAGGTCGGTTCCACACCAAGGGAATTGACCAGAAGGCTGTGTCAGGGCGCCTTGCAGGGCTAGACGATACGAACTTACCGTTGATGTGTAAGCTCCCTGTAGGACTCTACCATATCCTCATGACGGAGCTGGCCTGCTGGTACGTAGATATATGTTGGAAAGCCTCTTGAACAACGAAAACGCAGTACCTCTTAATCATTTCAAGCCTGCTTAGAATGTTCTCCTCATTGTCCATTGACACTGCATATCCCGACAGCAAAAGGGTATTGCAAATATTGCTCATGAAAACCCAATATCACAGTCCGATCTAAATGATTTACCGCACATCCATAATATCAATCGTCGGAATCATAATCGACCAAACCAATTACTTTTCTTGTCGATGGAGCCTCCTCAAGACCAGGGATAGATCTTTTCCTCTTGATTCCGACCAACAAGGGTTTTGGCGTGTTCTTGGCGCCGTTTGGCTGGTTGTTGATGAGAAATGGATCAATCGCAGCTCTGGTATTACCTCTTATCTCAGCCACAACATCCTTACGATGTTTTGCTACTATTGCCTCAGCCTGCTTTCTCCGTGAGAGCTTTTGGCCCTTTCTCTCTGCTTTGGGCGGTGGGTTATCGTTTCCAAATAGAGGTTTCGAGATTGCTTTAGTGATACTGGCATGAGAATCATTATCCCCAAATTCAATGAAACTAGCCTTCTGTGCATCTTCCTCGTGTTTTGGCAATAAGTCGAGGCCTAAACTCATTTTATCTTGTAATGCGGATGCTACGCCCGCCTCTTTTTCTCGCCTCGTCCTCCCTTCTCGAAAAGTGTTCCTTAATTTTCTATTCCTTTCATAGGGGTCTTCCCATTGGTTGGAAAGATCTTGCAGCTCTTCCAGTCGTTTCTTGCTAGCTACTAGCCTTTCTCTCTCCTCAACTTTCCCCTCTAAAGTTGCAAATGCATTGTTTCTTAGCTTCTCCCTTTCGTCCTCGGACAAAATTTTGACATCCCCTTCCATAACTTTATCCTCGCCGGTGTCTCGTTTTCTCGCCCCTTCAGTGATCACATAAGCCGTATTCTTCGGATCCGTCCGTATCTCAATCCAACCACCACAAGTAATATGTTTCATGCGAAAACTATAGATCGGGGTGGAGAAATAGTTGCCTACTTTCTTTTTCTCTGCGTTGAATCGTACTCCTTGTCCTATTATTGTAGGCTTTGGACAGTGTGTGCACCAGATAGGATATGGCATCTCGAATCGTACTGTTAAGATACCCTGAGAAATCTTATTCGCTCGAGCCCCCAGTGCGTGCTTCCCATGCAACTGGTTTCCACTCATCAGTCCCTCCTGATCAGGAGGGACATAACGTCCCATATTGAAGCCTTGCATCTTTTGTTGTTTAGGAGGCTAGCTCCCTGGTGATGGAACCTGTGTGGGATGTGGAAAACTGGAAGACTGTAAATCATCCGTCGGTTAGCATGTACTGGCGTAATGCACAGAATTTCTGGTCCTCCTCTTAGGCTTGAGTAATAAACGCGCGAATCAATTTCTGGAACCTAGGGGTAGGTTGGCGAACTTGAGATGTCGTGGTCAAGATCGAGATGGGGAATTCCCAAGATGGTAACTTGTATCGGCTCTTAGTAAGCCCGTGTCGCGTGTCACGTGTCTGTCCAAAATTAAGGTTATCATCGCTGCCCAAGTCTGAACATCTGATTGTTTCCATCGACAACACATGTCCTTCTTAGTATCGTTTTGCGACACTTTTGTTTCCTATACTTTTCTGAAACCAGCATTTACATCTACATTACAACAAAGATATACATTCAAATCTCTATTTCAATACACGAGTGAAGACACCCAGACCTACCATGTCGGAACTTGCGGGATTAGAGAATGATATCAAGGAGTATAAGCTGCAAGTAAGCTCGCGGGTTATCATTTTGATTTTGTCGCGTATTTACGATGCTGATATTGTTATAGCTAGAAACTGTTCAGTTGGGGCTTCAAGCTGATCCTGATAATGTAGAGCTTCAGACACTAAAGGCTGAACTCGAAGAAGTCATTTCCCTCACCGAGTCAACGATCGCAGAACTAAAGCCAGCTCCAGCACCTGTAGCCCAACCAATAAAATCTTCGGAACCGCCAGTCAAGGAAAAATGGTCGCGAGAAAACCACCCTGCCTTCAAGAAAGCAGCGCCACCTCCAGCAGAAGAGCCTGAAGTTGTCACGAGCTTTTCAGTCAACGATATGGTATTGGCAAAATGGCATTCAGGCGACAAAGGGTTTTATCCAGCCCGAATCACATCTATAACTGGCTCGTCCACATCTCCTGTCTATATTGTCAAGTTCAAAAACTATGATACCACAGAGACTCTGCGGGCCAAGGATATCAAACCCATAGTCAACCCAAACAAGCGTAAAGCTGATGGTACACCAGTCGTAGCTTCGGTTCCTACACCCCCATCGACGTCGAATGTTATTTCAGCAGCCGCCGATATTGATCCAGAGCTTGCGCAGCAATCCAAGCGCGAGCCAAGTAAAGTCAGTGACGGGCCCACAAGACCAGCCAAGGTACCTAAGAAGATCAAGGCAAAGAAAGAACTAGATGACGGTAAGAAGAAATGGCAAGATTTTGCTGCGAAGGGAAAATTTGGCAAGGCAGGGAAGAAGGACAGTATGTTTCGCACACCTGATGGCGTCAATGGCAGAGGTAAGGAATATTCGTTTAATCTTTTTAAATTCGTATTCTCTAACTGACTGTGTAGTTGGATTTACCGGATCGGGACAAAGTATGCGAAAAGATCCGACAAGAAGTCGTCATATATATCAAACGAACGGTGATGATGAAGGATTTGCTTAGGAGCAAGAAAGGGATGGGGAGAGAAAAGGGTAATTCTCTGCAAGTATAGGTGTTCAGGCCGGGATTTCCCTTTCTACTTTTTCTTTTTCTTTTGCATCATCGCGGACAATTGGATGGAGGCTAACATGGGCTTTGCGTACGAGGGCTAGACTTCTTCCTCGAATGAACATAATTTCCTAACAGTATTATTATCTGATGCACAATGAAACATGCTAAAGATTGCTTTTGTATAGGGCACTGAGCATCACGACCTTCTGGAGATTTCTGTTTTGACCTGACCTTGAACCAAAATTCCAGGTACGAAGAACCCTGCACTTGACAACATGGCTGGCTGCTTCTTTCTCATTGCTCTCCTTCTTATTTCATTTTCTCCCCAGGTGTTTTTAGCGTTGCGATATTACTATTGCCCATTGCTCGGCCCTTGACTGTACTTATTCCTATTTGAATAAATATTGTTAAAACAAGCCGATTCTCTTTCCCACTAGTTCTGTGATTGACATAAATGCCTTTGCTCTTTCGCTTCCAGGCTCGGCTACAACTGTCGGTTTTCCCCTGTCCGCGTCATCGCAAATGCTCGCGTGTAATGGTATATCTCCTAGAAAATCAATCCCATGCTCTTTACAAGCATGCGTGACTCCCGAATGCGACCCAAAAATATGTGTGCTGTTTTGACAGTGCGGGCATGTAAATAGTGACATGTTCTGTACCATTCCCAGAATAGGAATATCAATCTTCTTAAACATATTGATACCTTTCACGGCATCTTTGAGAGCTATGTCTTGAGGCGTCGACACAATTACCGCTCCTGAAAATACTCAGTACCCTCACTCGACCTGAAGAATGGACTTACCATCAAGTACAATTTGCTGTGTTATAGTCAACTGAGTATCTCCTGTTCCTGGTGGTAAATCGAGAACCAAAACATCCAATCCACCCCAGTCGACCTCGTGTAGAAGTTGCTGTAATGCTTTCATCACCATCAATCCACGCCATACAACAGGCGCTGCATCACCCACTAGATAACCCATCGACATAGATTTTACGCCATAATTTGAGAGGGGTATAAGTTGATTGTCTGCCGACCAAACATCAGACGTGTTTCAACTATTGCATTTTACCAGAGACGCACTTGAAGATAATCTGGGCTCCCCAGATAGATTGAGTAATGTGGGTATCGAGGGACCAAAGATATCTGTATCTAAAATACCACTTCGTAGACCACGGCGAGCAAAGGCCAGTGCAAGATTAACTATTCCATCAGTACTTTCTGATATGAGATCACCGGAAATACGAACCAGAAAGCGTCGATTTTCCAACTCCTCCTTTCGCAGATGAAACTGCAATAACTTTCTTTACATCTTTTATCTTTTTTCTTTCGGGCAATCCACGCTGCATGCGCGGAATGCTGCCAGTTCGTGGTAATCCCTGATATGCGCCAACAATCAATTTCTCATGTAACTTCCTTACTTCAAAAGAACTGAACATACCAAAGGGTTCTCATGTTGCAACCTTCGCAGAGTAGAAAATAATCGTGGCTTCATTTTGTACCAATGTTGAATTGAAGCTCTAACAGGATGCGATGCTTTTGAGCGGATATGCGCCCGCTAGCGCGCCAAGATCGTGGGGAGCTCCAAAATAATTTTTTGGATTGAACTTCTGCGGAAAAACACAAAATTCTCAAAGTTTGAGAGAATAGTAAACAATATGGCGATACCAAAGAATTTGGCAAAACAGATTAAGGAATTAGAGGATTCTGTTCCTAAAGGTAAGTTTATATACTTGACTAACAAGTAAGGGCTCATCTTTTACTGACCGGGCTTCTTTTGGCAGATTTCGATCCGGAAGATGATAAGCCGGCGCAAGAGAGCGATTCGGAAAGTGGTGATGAGAGTGATGATGGGTTAGCGGGGACAGAACATTATGTTCAAGTTGGGTAAGGAATCTTCTCACTACCGGTTGAATGGACTCTTGCTGATCAAGTATTATAGAAAGAGTAAGCTTCGAAAACCAGAAGAAGTTGCTCTTGGACCTCAATACGCCGGATCTCGAGTCAGTCGCGAACAATTGATGAACGGCGATGATGAGGATGAACCTAACTCGACATATGGAAGTGCTGATGAAGAGAAATTTGAGGGAATGGATTTTGATGGAGAGTTTGACGATATGGAGGTCGATAGTGATGAGGCTTTGGGAGAGAGTGACGAAGAGAGGTTCAAGGACTTCGTTTTCCGAGGGAGTGGAAAGCCAAAGAAACCTGCTGAAGCGAAAAAACCCATCGATGTCAATGGGGTGAAGAAAAGACCTACTGCTGCTGATTTCATGTCGGATAGTGGTGGTGAGGAGGGCGTGAAATTATCTGAAGAGGAAGACGATCACGAAGCTGATGATAACGAGGAGGATATTGAGGATGAGGAGGCAGATAAGACGGATGAAGATATTTTGGATGTCGACGCTCAACACGCCGAGACCACAGGAGATATCGAAGGAAATTTTGGCGAAGAAGATTCGGAAGACCCAGATCAGAGTGGTGAGGAGGAAGTTGGCGGTGATGAGGAGAGTGAAGAAGAGCAATCCGATGACGAGGAAAATGATGAGGATGAGCAAGCGAGACGTGCTGAATTGCGAAAGATCATGGGCGAGGAACAGAAAACGGTTGTCGCAACAATTTCGCAGGCAGCAAAGGCAGATGCAGACAAGGGAAAAGCCGTGAAACAACAACGCAAAGCATTCGATTCGCTTCTCAATGTTCGTATACGTCTTCAAAAGGCCTTGGTAGCGACAAACTCGTTGGCTGCGGCCAATGATAAAGATCAGGAGGACAGCGATGAGAACCCTTTCCAAGCCGCAGAAGAGGCCGCCATTAAGCTATGGAACACAATTGATGGACTTCGACATGATCTCTCAAAGGCATCCACTACCTCTAAAACAGGACAGAAACGGAAGCGCGGTATTGATTCCTCCCTCTCCTCTTCGGCTATTTGGGAGCGAATGCAGGCCTCCGAGGTTGCTAACATTGATACTCGACAAACCGTCCTCGAAAAATGGTCTAGCAAAGTCCGCGCTACAACCGCCCTTCCTGTCTCTCGCAAACTCAATCCTAATGCGCCTCAACAATCCATCACTTCTCTTCTTCAAGATACTCTCTCAAGTTCCGAGCATCTAATTTCCCGCACCAAGGTCCCTCGCTCCTGTGCTCCCGTTCAAAAACAGATGAAGCTCACCACTGACCCTAACATTTATGACGATGCTGATTTCTATCAATTACTTCTCAAAGAATTGGTCGATCAACGAATGGTTGATTCTTCTTCCGCAGGCGCTGGCGAAGCCGGTAAACCATTGCAATGGACTGCAGTCAAGGAAGCGAAGACAAGGAAGAATGTCGATACTAAGGCTAGCAAAGGCAGAAAAATGAAATTCACAGTTCATGAAAAATTACAAAATTTCATGGCACCAGAGGATAGAAATACGTGGGAAGAAACCGCGAGAGATAGATTTTTTGCGACTTTATTGGGTAGGAAGTTGGATTTGGGAGAGAATGCAGATGAGGAGGATATTAGTGAAGATGAAGCATTGAAGGAAGAGGAGGGTTTGATGTTGTTTAGATCTTGAGGTTGAATTTGCATTGAGGATTGTGAGCATGCGGTTTAGTAAAAGTTTGGGTCATAATATATGATTGCATTGCATAGGAGCTTAGGGATTATACCAATAGAATGGAATATTTTGCATACATATCTTATATTACCTGCCTAGCTTTGCTACCGTGAACTAGAATGATAATTAAATATCTATATATGAAGTCTAAAATCTGAACTTCCCCTCAAATTTGTATATTCCAAAACCCTATTCCAACCCATTATACCCAGTTCAATATCTCTTTTATTTAACACTGTCTAAACATCCCATCCCATCCCAACTCTATATCTATCAAGAGCTTTAAATATTAAACCCCAGTATATATTATCAATAACTAATAACTCATAGTTATAATATAAATATAATACTTATTTCATACTTATACAATATAAACTTTATTAAAAAAGCTTATAAAATTAATATAAAATAAAACTTTTATTTATTAATCTTATATATAATATAAGTATTATTTTAATATATTCATTTATTGTTTTAAAATATATAATTAACTTTCAATAAATAATTAATATTATAGAAAAATGACGCCACTCTTATGAATAGTTAATTGGGTTATATATAGAATATTCCTGTGACAATTAACTATTGACAAGATCAATTATTTAAAATTATCATTTTGACTAATTTTTTATTTTTTTCCTTTCCTCTCTCCTCAAATTCCGCATCTGACAATCGCTGATGACCTTCTTTCATGATTTTCTTCTCTCATCTATTTATACCGATGACCCTACAAACTCTATCTCCATCTCCATCCATAATCTTCACCAACCATAAGCCTCCCTATAACCTCCACCTCATAAACCTCTTTTGACCATTCCTCCTTCTCTCAAATATCGAGCAGTGTCTTCATCACTCTTCAGGCTCCCCTTGACCTTGCCCTTGCCCTTATCTTAACCTTTTCCTCATTCTCCCCCCTTTCTCATTCTCCCCCTCTTCCTCTCTAACCACCCCAACCATCCTCATTCACATTTAACAACAATGAAACACATACAAGAAAAATAAAAGAAATCTCATACAAACCAAACAACTCCTCCATGCATTGAAGAAAAAGACATTACCAAACAGCCAAGTCAATCATAATTCCTCCTTCATAATCTCATTATCACAGTGATAATATCTATGAATGCTTTTCGGGAATCGACTCCCGACACGCGAACACGTCAACACATCAACACGTTAACACAGAAATATATCCATATATCTCATATATGTATGTATACAATCAATCAAGCAAATAAATAAGTAAATAAATAATTCATTACGTCAACTAGATAGGTAGATAAACATTCATTCTAAGTCCTACCAGCTCATCGGCTCACGCTCAGAGCTCACTAGCCAGCCAGCAAGCAAGCAATATTAGGGGCGTATCCCATCAACGCCCTACAAGCGGCAAAAACTACATTCCTTTATTAATGATTCAATATCCGCATTCCCATCCTCATCCTCATCCTATGCATTACCAATCACCATGACCCAAATGCAACATAATGAAACATAATCGAGTTTTCGAAACATCCTAATCAGCACTACCACTCCCCTCGAAACTTTTCTCCCACAAACTTCTCAAAAGAGTCGCGACATTTTCCTCGTCTAATCCACTACCACCTCCATCCCTATCAGTATCACTACCTCTCTCTCTATCCTCCCCTTCAAAACTTTGTCCTGCTCCCTTCCTCGCATTTCCATTTCTTTCCCTCAAACTACCCGCTCGACTCACATTCGCACTCGAACCCTTACTATGTGCATAACCATTTCCATGAATATTTTTTCCCCCATGCCCAAGCACCCCCATCTTTTCTAATCTCTTAACACCGCGTCCAACGGGGTCCTGATGACGTCTTACAACCAAGTATTCTAAACCCGTCCTCTCAAGTTGTAATTTAATTCTTGGGTCTCCTTTCCCATCTCCCCCCATTGGATAACCACCCATAACAGCACCCATCCCCATCCCCATCCCAGGGCCAAATCCCACACTGCTTCCTCCGCCATGATTACCCATTCCTATACCTCCATTCAACAACGACAATGCACCCAATCCCTCTCTCTGCGGTTCGATATTTGACGATGCTCGTTGAAGCCATAGTTTCTGCTGAGTGCGCGAATTATACGCATTAGGCGGCCCGCTATTTCCACTCGTAGAACCCTTCCGACTCCTAGGTAATAGAGCAGATTCCTCTTCATCATCGACGTCATGCCTCGTTAGACTTCCCATCGATTTCGCTCTTGCCATTTCTCCATTACCGCCATTTGCATTCTTTTCCGCCCCACCCCTATTCGCAGCACTCGTCCTAGACTCTCTACCATGATCCGGCGGAGGAAACTTCGGGCTATTTTCACCAGGCGTCCCAGCATCACCTACAAATCTCGATATTAATTCCTGATTTCCGGAGGCAGTACTCGCACCCATACTCTTCACCATGCCCGAAGCTCGGTCCATGCTACTAGACGGTGTATGAGCCACCTTCGGTGTCGGTTTAGCAGTTGCCATACTCATTCTTGTTTCTGAGGCCATATGTGATGGTGTTCTTTGTAGTACTTTCTCCGTGATAACTTTTACGTCTGCGCTAGAATCACTATCCCTATCCTTTGTCGTACTTTTCTTCACGTTAACATTCCCATCAAAATTATCAGCCGAACTTTCCTTCGCAAAATCTCTTACGGAATCCCTTGCAAATGTTCTTTTCGATTTTGGCGATGAAAGAGGTGAATGATGTCGCGAGCTGACGGCGGAGTTTACAGCGGATGGTTTGCCAGATGTATTTGCACTGCGACTTAAAGCTGGACTTGCATTCGAGCTTGCTTCTTCCCAGCCCTCTTCGTTATCCTCTTCGGCCTCTACCTTTCCCGGCGTGCCTATACCCAACTCGAAATGGACACTATTTGGTCTCTTTTTACCATCGGAACTCCTAGGTCTTCTCGTCGATCCCGGAGAGTGCTGTACATCTGCCGAGCTGCGATTACGTTTCAAAGCCGTCTGCGAATGGTTCTTTTGACGATTGAGATTCGTGCTGGAATTGTGTGGTCTGTCCCAAGGAGCTTCAAATTGCTTGAGATTGTCGGTACTTGTATGATTATGATGATTGTTATTGTGAGTACTCGTTTGGCGTGATAATTTATGCAGCGCCTTATTACTGCTCACACGCCCGTATTTGCCAACTAGGTGTTTTCGTTCGCCTTTCACTTTATGTTCTTTATGTTGTGTAGCAGTCGTACCTGAAGTTGGAGTCGTACCTGAAGTTGGAGGCGTACCCGCTGGACTATCAGTTTGGTGGCTAGTGATCGAGGATGTAGATCGGTGACGGGCCGCCAGATTGGGCCGTAATTGCGTTTGCGATTGGGATTGTTGTGATTGTGATTGCGATTGGGGGGCATTATCCGAAGAAGCTGGAGGGGGCATTTTAATTATCGTTTGTTTTTATTAGTGTAGATGTGATTGATGCAGGGCTGAAAATCGTTGGAGATGATTGTTTGCTTTTTATGGATTGAGGTGCAGGATGTCCGAAGGTTTGATGTGTTGGTGCGAGCCGATTGTTAGACTACCTCATCGAAAACTATACCTGCATAGTTCTAGATCATGCTCAGGGGAATTCACTGCGATATATATAGACATTATAAATTTACGATGATGGATTATATAAATTGTTTAATAGACAGTATTGAATCTATCATGAAGACTACTAGCCTTATTCAAGAGGCTGAATAAAGGATGAATTATACCTGCCGACCCGGTCTAAATACCTAGGAACAGTATTGCTGCTATATACAATTCTTCATCATTATGAATATTAGCTAGAATGCAAATACTATATAGTTAATCATGGTACTATAAATCATCGTTGTCTTCCAATGAGCATTTGGATATTAGAAATCATGACAATTGGGAACTATCAAATACGTAAAAGAAATAACCTTGACTTTAATGGGCTCCGGGACATTGCAGGGACCACCATTACATACATACATTCAATTTCATTGCTTCATCAAATATAATTGTGAATTTTGTTTATTCATTGACTCAATCTCCATGCTGATGATGCGTATGATAACCACAAGGTACACCACAATAAATAAGAACGCCGGCCGATGTTTCCATAACCCATAATTAGAACCCCTTCTTTATTACACACCCTAGACCTTAACCGCTGGCCCTGCCGCAACAACATCATCAGTAGCTTCCGACTGGTATTTCTTAAAATTTTCAACAAAGAGACCACCAAGTTTGTTGACCTCGGCTCTGAAACTGTCATCTCCTTGGCTCCATGCATTTTTGGGGTTCAACAATTCCGATGGGACATTGCTGCAAGATTTTGGTACTTGAAGGTTGAATGTCTCGTAATTTTCATACTCGACTTTTGCAAGTTCCCCAGAGTGAATTGCATCAAGAATAGCACGAGTATATTTCAATCTGTCACATGTTAGTATTCATTGTTTCAGTGAAAATTTAATGTGTACTTACGGGCAACGCTTGCCACCAGTGGTAGCACCAGCTCCAACCCATCCAGTGTTCAACAACCAAGCATTAGCCTTGTGGTGTTCAATCTTCTCAGCTAACATCTTAGCATAACGCATTGGGTGTAGAGCCAAGAATGGTTGAGCGAAGCACGACGAAAAGGTAGCTTGTGGCTCTGTGACACCATCTTCCGTACCAGCCATCTTTGAGGTATAACCGGAGATGAAGTGGAACATGGTTTGGGCAGAGTTGAGTTTAGAAATTGGTGGGAGGACACCACGAGCATCACATGTAAGAAGAATGATATTGCTTGGGTGGTTTGTCGAGAGACAAGGAATCTTAGCGTTGGAAATGTACTCGATGGGATATGCGCAGCGGGTGTTTTCAGTCAAGGTTGAGTCGTCATAATCAACCAGACGAGTAGTTGGGTCAAAGACAACGTTCTCAAGAACAGAGCCAAATTGGATAGCACCGAAAATATCAGGCTCCTTCTCGGCTGACAGGCCAATGCACTTAGCGTAGCACTGCAGATTGTTAGTGTGCCATAAATCAATACAGGAATTGAACTACTTACACCACCCTCGATGTTGAAAACACCACGTTCGCTCCAACAGTGCTCATCGTCACCAATCAAGGCACGATTAGGATCTGCTGAAAGTGTTGTTTTACCTGTACCCGAGAGACCAAAGAAGACAGTAACGTCCCCGTCTTTACCTTCATTGGCCGACGAGTGGAGAGTAAGAACATTATGCTTAACAGGCATCTCGTAGAAAAGGACTGTGAAAACACCCTTCTTCATCTCGCCAGCATATTCGGTACCTAGGATAACCATCTCTTGTTCGGCAAAGTTGATAGCAACTGAAGTACCTGAAGTCATACCCTCGGTATATCTATTAGCAGGGAAAGATCCTGCGTTGTAAATAGTATAATCTGGGTGGAAATGTTCGAGGTCTTTACGATTAGGTCTAATGAGCATATTGCGCATGAAGAGAGCGTGGTATGCACGTGCGCATACGACTCGAACCTTGATTCTGTATTTTTCATCCCATCCTGCGAAGCCATCGACAACATAAATACGATTTCTTGTATTTAAATAATCAATTGCACGTTCACGGTTGATTCTCCATACCTAGTACTGATGTTAGTCGATTGACCTTCAAACATTAAAATATTTATCGGACAATGCTCGCACACGACTCGAAAAGGGGGAGGATTAGCTTAATAGCAGCGAGACCCGGATAATATCGGTTTAGTTCTATATGCACCCCGCAATTCGCTTGGGGAAGGAAAAGGAATAAAATAAACCCGAGGATGTTCAATAACTTATGACGTAGAAATGTGCGGGGAAAGTTTGTTTGAAGAGAGCGAGACATGAATTTGGGAAATTAAAAAAAGTTGTGGATGTGTAAAAATATGCTCAAAAGCATTGAGGAATTGGGTTGCTGCTTTCGAAATTCATAGAAAATCTTTGAAACCAAAATGTAGTTTCCCTCCGCTGAAAACGGATTGTATGCAATGCAAAAGAAAAGGATACAATAGAGAAAAGGAAACAGGAGATTATCTTCTTACTTCAGGAGTCATAGGCTTATTGACCGGTCCCCACCAAATATCATTTTCAGATGATGGTTCTTTGACAATTCTCTTGTCCAAGGGTGAACGACCCGTCTTAGCTCCAGAGTATGCAGTAAGGGCGCCGGTAGATGTGATGGCAGAACCAGTTTCGTAAACAAGAGCATCTTCGTAGAGGGCAGCGACGCTGGGGTTAGGAACCTAGAAAAAGAATTGGGTTAGAAACTGGAGGCCTTGACAAAGGTGCTGAATGCATACAATAGCTACACGATCATAATCGATATGTGCCTTCTCGTGGAGTTCCTCCTCAAGCTCGGTGTGCTCAGCTTGTGGTTGTACACCGCTAGGATGCAGTGCTAGAAAGAAGAATGTTAGCAAACTGTAGATCTATCGAAGCTATAATGGAGCTTTATCGTAGTGTTGGGAGTTAAGGAATGTGTATGGGGCTGTTGAGGTGAAAAGCATGGCGACGTTCATGCTGATTGTCCACGCTGAATTGAACATGGGAAGCCACATCGAAAGTGGCAAGTATGAAGCAGTAGAAGTATTGAAGAGGAGTATACTAACATGTGCGATTGACGCTTGGATGTGTAGAGACCATTTTGAGAGTGGAGAGTGATGAGGAATGATAATTGTTTGTAGGTTGGTGTTGTGCAACGAGATGAGAAGGAGCAACGCTGTTCTTGTCAGGATATGGAGAAGCAGTTCTTTGGATGGGATCGAAAGCCTTCTTATTCAAATTGGAAGTCGACATTGTTCGGGTAGTGTATCTTTGATTATGCCGAGTTTGGTTGAAGCTGTCGTAGTAGTGGAGTAGTGAAGACGACGCAAAAGTAATTGCGCTAATTTTATTGGCCGGAATGGGTGATGCCGGAAAGGGGATATTATTGATTCGGGCGCACCGGGAAACTACGGAATGTAAAAGTTTCAGTGTTGAACACGATAAAGTACGATGCTTGGGACTAGTTGGAATGAATATGTGAGGATGGACCTGCATGTCCGAGGCAGGATGATATCAGATCCAAGCGTTGGTCAAAGGTTACGATGATCTCCAGTCGCATCTGCAAGAACAAAGCAAGGTGCATTGACAAACAAAACACAAACTTTTATTTATTAGATAGAATGATTATTTTGTGATTTCTTTTCAAGAGAAAAAGATCTGCAGTTACAAAGCTGAGGACAATCACAATAACACTCATCCTAAATCGTAACATTGTACAATAAAATGTTCTGATTTTACGTGCTTTGCGATATGCTCTTTGCTCGAATTCAGCCGCCATCACCCTTCAAGCAAGAACCGTAGATAGATCTATGGTTGCATTGCACCTATCAAACAAGCTTTCTGGGGAGAAGTGCATACCTCTGTTATAGTCAAGCATTCTCCATATCAACCAAATTATGAGATGCTTCGGAATTTCCAACTAATAATTGCTCACACGACTATCAATTAGTACCCATCACGACTTCCTATGATTCAAGAATTGATGTGATGTCATTCGTGAATTTAATCACTTTAGAAGTTGCCAATACATACCAATTGTAGATCATGGACTGTAGTATATCTTCATAGAATGGCCCACCAACCAAAAAATAAGATGTTTGTATGTCTTATCTCCTACCCCACCGCCCCCTCCTTTTCGAACCTCATGGTGTGGAGATACAGAGCGCGGTACCGTACCACTGGCTTATCTCCTTGCTGTGTGGGAATGCGTGCAATATCCATAATGTGTATTCCTGGTCGCCAATTTTCCCATCATAGGGGTAATCCCCACAGCTTGGCGTTCACATGCTCCGAAGTTCCCCGCAAACTGATTCGGAAAAGTCGACCTACATAATAACTTTTACGTCTTCTAACTTCTCAGCCCTCTAAGCCGTCAGTTTCCCCCTAAACCTCGGATCATACCGTAGTCAATAACCGACCTTTTGCTTTGGGTAGCAAATTGGTAGCAAATTGGTACCTAATAGTATCTATTTTGAGGGGTCGATATTGGTTCATTGACTAATTTGAGACCATCTAGGGTTCTAGTAAAGTCTATGCCCGTTTAGCGTTGAACTCGGTAGCAGACGCTCAATTGCTTAGCTTGGGTCAAACGAAAACAAAAATCTATAGAAGGCAGTTGAGGACGAAAACAGTTGCCGTTTTAAGACAATCATTTATATGGGTCTTGTCGTTCGGGTGTGCTCTCAATCCGTTTGGTGGAAAAAGTCTTATCCGGGATTTCACGTGGCTTTTCCGATAGTGTTTTATCTTGCTCCTTCAACAAATACTATGTCATCAACACGAAAGGCGGTGGAGCAGACTGCCGTCTACTATAATATTATCATCACAAGGCTGGTGAGTCTATTTCATCCCAAATTCTTTATAATACCTATCTTTACATCAACTGTTGCAATGTCCAAAATCACTCAAGCAAGTAGCCGCCTGTGAAAATGGCTCATGTTGCAATGCACTTACTACCACGGTCAAACTTTGTAATATGAGGGAATTAGGCGGATACCTATACTCGCCCAATGGTGGAAAGCCTATAACGGATCAAAGCCATCATGAGAAGGATTGTTGTGATATCGAGGAGCAAAATGCTCTATGGTTTTCATATGCCGTGCAAGTGCGGTTCGGACCTTGGCTGATGACCACAACGAGTGTTCGGGTTGCACAACCTCTTATCAACGACTGATATTATAGTTGGAGCTGAGAATCAATCCATTGATCAACCTTTTCTACCTTTTTTTACAGTAAATAGTTCGTTTCAGAAACGGGATAAGTCGGCGTCACATGTTGAAGAAGAAGGGATCGTGCTGTCGCCTTCTTGTTTTGGTACCCTCCTGAGGCTTGAGGCTTTGGATAAACTATGCTCTCCGGTGCCAAGGATCACCTTGATGATTTATCACCAATAATCATTGTCGCTATTCTATAAGGGGAACAATCAAGTTGAACGTTTTTTGCGATCCCAAAAAATATCAAAATCCCGAGGAATTCTGTATCGGTGCCGATTTAGATCGACAAGCCAGGCTAGTTGCATGATTTAGACGAAAATAAGTCGGAAGCATTTCAACTCAATATTCTTTCAATATTTGGGATAAAAGAGTGCTCTAGAAGACTCGAAGATTGGTAACGACTGTTAGAGGGATGGTTCCATGGTCTGAACTTAGGGCTGACACCTTGGCGGCCCGCGCATAAGACGTGTGATCACTGGATGTGGGTCTACCCCTGACAAGGAAGCCAAGAGGACTTCGCAGCGTGGTTAGTCTCGCTACTCCACTATTCACTTCCCCAGACATCAAGCATGTTACGTTATGACTCAGATTAGTCAAGCCGTCGTTCTCGATTCTCCTCTTCACCAATTTGGTTTGTCGTTACAGGTTGAGGCAGTCTTTCTACCTTCAATTCTACTCTCATGACCTACTTTCAAACCATCGAAAACCTTTTAAGCGACGGTGTCAACACGAAGTATGAGGGGTCCAAGCATACTTCTCAAGTTGTAACTCGAGCTTCAATCACAGGACCTCAACTTTGTGGACTGTTCAGAGTCCAGACCCATCGAATTCTCGCGAGCTTATTGTCAAATTGACGGTCAGATGTTCAAAACGACTAAAACCACGGCGCCGATGAGAAATTACTCCTTGGTATCACGAGCTCATAACGCATTGATTTCTTGTCCACTTTCTTTAAATACGCTTCCAGCTTGACTTTCTTTCTATGACCTATTTATCATTATTCTACCATCAATCATGTCTTCAATAGACGGATATCCATATGGCAGCACCTACTCATTATTCCAAGCTTTGTGCCTTCAAGACCATTAATTAAACTACATGGTGCGGCTGCATGATGAAGTTAGTTGAAGATAGAGAACCATGGCTCGATAATGATGGTCACTACCATCTCACTTCCCTCCCTACAGATACGAAAATAAGGTGGTGATTTTCCCATTGGCATGTGTTGCATCCCCTTGTTTCAGTGGTAAAGCACTGAGCTGCGAAGCAAGACCTTCATGTTGGAAGAATTGGTTCGCCCAGTCTAAATTCTCTAACGTTATAGACTTTATCCTTGCGATTGAATTTTTGGACTTTCTAATCCCATATACCCACAACTAAACGGGCTCAGCTGATTCTTTCCGATGGCGATTGTTCAATTTCTCGCCCTTCTCTTACGGTTTGGAGGAATTGTGGATGCGAAGTGAATTCTGGTGATGGGATAGGGTGATGGAAGATTATGTGCCGCTGCGTATTTTTCTTGGAGTGGGTTTTCAACCTCCCTGTCTTGGAGGTGGTGGAAGATTAACAGGATGGCACTGATTCGGCATTGATGCTTGCAATTATCTTACCACTCAGAAGTAAGTTAATCAGTTATAAATCTAGCCTTCGGCATCAACATAGGTTTTCACAAGAGGAAAATTGAAAGACCAACAAATTACACCGAGGTCCCCCAATGGTCGATTGACATGCAGTGAGCACTGTTTCTAGCCGATGAATCACATTTATTCTAAGAAAAACCCATATATTTCACAATCTACAGAGGTAAAAAAATTAAAATTGTGCTTTGTATCTTGTATCTTGGATATTCAAATAAATATAATTTCAAAATTTCAATTCTCTTTCCTCACATCTCAATGTTTCTTCATACACTCACTCCATCCAGTACTCCAAGCGTATAATAACTCTATAGATATTCATAAACTCTAATCCAGTCAATTATCAGATATATCTCCTCTCAAATACAATAATATAGCGAGGAAACTCTATTAATGAGCTACGAAGATTGAATATATTATAATTAGAAATTTGGAATAAATATTTTGATTTATATAAATACTAAGTAAGTAGTTATTTAGGTATTATATATCTTTTTCTATGAGCTATTATTCTTTCGAGATTTTTAATTGTGTAATTGTATTTATTATACATTACAAATTCCTTTAAACTATTTCTCTTCCCTTATCAGATTATAAATATATCCCACGGCCTAAGAATGCCTTCTCTTCCCTTCCCCTTCTCCTCCTCTCGCACCACTCTCATCACTTTCATCGTTTTCGCCATCATCATTGCTAACTCTACTTTTCTACAAATTACTTAATGCCGTAATATATAAATATAAATAATATAAATTATTATTACTTCACATACACCATATCGCCTTCACCTCAAACTTATTTCCTTTCACATACTTTACTCCATATTATATATAAAATGAACGATCTATACCCTGTCTTTAGATTCGAATATATGATACATCTACAATCACAATCACAATCACAATCACATTCACATTCACATTCACATTCACATTCAATCGCATAAACAAATAAACCCCTACACACAAAACTTCAGGCATTTGCTGTATTAATTTTCTGACCCTCCGCTGCTAACAAACTAACCAACTAATTAGTTAGTTTGCAATTGTAAAATCGCTAAAACTTCCCCATCTCCATTTCCATAACCCAATCCACTCCACAACCATCATACCGTAAAATGCTGCTCCAATCACCTCAAGACCTCAAAAGTAGCACGATTTCTTCGCTCGCGGTAACCAATCCCCCAATCCTGGAGGTAGAAGCCGAAAAAGTATTCACTTTCATCTCGTCGAACCGCATTCGCAGTTCATAGAAAAAGAAAAAGGAGAAGACGAACAAAAGGGTAAGTGAATCCCTTCCAACATGCTTGCAATAAAACTCCTAAGCCCAAAAGCTGCCTCAAAGTCAATATCCATTGAAATATTATCCATAACCATGCCATATGAACACCTGTGAAAATATGCGTAGAATGCGTATGCCTTTATAAATGTCCATCATTCGTCATCCATTTCGATCTGCAGGCGAGAGCTTCTGTAGCGAAAGCGCTCGAGATAAGGTATTTAAATTTCCTCCATCGTACCCGCTGCCTCCTCATTATCATCGTCATCGAAACTAGCTACTGAGGACATTGTATCGTCGTCTGATTCATCGGCGCCCGCATCGTCTGCTGCATCTTTACTCGCATATTTCGTGACATATTCTATTTTCCGTCAGCTCCTACACCCATATCCTATCCATACGATTCCCAGATATACACACCTTTGACCTTTGAATCATATGCCTTCGAATCTCTCATGAGCAATGCCGCCGCTTCTCCATTTAGAGGATCCGTCGGATTTGGATATCTGAGTAATTGCGGAAGGAATACTTCAAAAATATTTATCATATCGAACATAGGTGACCAAGTTTGATTTATGACATCGAGACATACGGATCCGGACCTAATTATAGGCTTAGTAAGCTATCTGCTCCACCATCGAGGTGGTGTGAGGAAGGGCATACAACTCATCGATATTGGGGTGAAAGATGCGGTTCACGAAGCCAATACTGGGGGATTTGTATGGATATTGGTCCGGCAGCTCGACGTGGATTTTCCAGAGGCCGCCTTCAAATGGCGCTGTGGTTGATGGTGATTAGTTTATGTGGCATAGTGATGAAAGAAGAAGGGAAGGTGAACTAACTCTCTTCTGGTCCCTTGAAGCGGACGTAGAACTCTTGCCTGTTCCGACATATGAGTGGGTGATTCAATAGCTCTCCTCAGTAGTACATACACTGGACAGAGGTTAGGGAGATTCAGACTGTGCAGATAAGTTTCAAACTCACTATTGTCATTCACAAGAGTTACCTCATAATCCGACATCAACCTATACTCCTGGTAAGTATTGAAGCATAAGATCGATCGGATGGGCTATGAAAAGGTATCGCATACATCCTATAGTCATGGTGTTAGCTAAGAGCTTTAATAACAAGTAGTTGAAGAGAAAATACATACTTCATGACCTATAGATCAGAAAACAGACGTTAGTCTTCCAACTCATTCATCTAAGTGCACTGCCATTGAGACATTACTCACATCAGTCTCAATCCTACGTCTAGGGCTAGACATCTTGACTTTCTGTTTCCTGGAGTATTATTATTGATTGATCAGGTATTCAATGTAAGTATTTTTTTGCAGATTGGAAGAATAGGTAATGGTGGAGTTATAAAGTTTGCGTGGAAGAGTTGATTTTGGTTTGTTCTGCCAGCTGCCAGACAAGAAGGTCGGTCAATCCTTATCTGAGCGATAGAGTGGTAACGTTATCGGTAAGTTGTCGGATGTGCCACTTTCATGCACTTGCCTTGGTCTCGTGAGATTGTTCAATAACCTGGGTGACTTGTTATTACTTCCAAGGTTGGTAAAGGAACTTGATTTGTCTTTGTCCGGATATGGGCCTTGGTTAAATATGAGGGGTAAGGACATCATCAACACTTTTCAATTTATGGTAATGACATCCGACATGGCCGGATGTAGGCGTGATTCACAAGAACGCCTTCATCTCTGATTGAACGATGGAAGATAATTCTCAGGTACACGACAGCGCATTGCATGATCTGAATGCTACTTTAGATACATAGAGTAGGACCATATTTGAGCAGTATCACACTAATGGGTGGAGAAAGAAAACGTCTGATGACAAGCACAAAACTACTTGGAAGCAAATTGATGCATTCTCATGATATAGTGATATCCAAAAAGATACGAGATCCAACTCAGGTCCCAAGCAATTATAATAGCATAGCATCTCAAACTCGAGATCTCAATCTCAATAAGTTCTTTCCCATCCAGTGCCGACTCCCACTACCGCCTCGGTTCCTTCTTACATAATACAGAGGGACCTGAACCTGATTATAAGGGACCACATTGTAAGGGAGAACTCTTTAATTATACAGATCAAGCTGTTCAATCACATACATCGGTTTTATATACTATTCCAGCTGATATAGAAATTATCACTTATACAGGATTATAATACTGAATTTGTTAAATCCTGTATAAAAATTGATGGTAAAAGGCGTCGGGTGTTGATCTATCATATGATAATTCTATAATGGAGTACAAATTTTGTAGATGCCTTAATGCCTAACCTGGATATACGGGTCGGCCGCATTCCTCGGTCCAAACCACGCAAGCGATAAAAATAAAGTGCAATAATGAATAATGAATAATGAATAATGAATAATCTCACTCCGCGCTCCAGTATGGAAACCACAGCGCAATAGTGATCACGACCTCAACAAAAGCTGCTCTGAACCTCCGCAACTCCAACAATGGCTCTCTATTCATCCTCAAAGTTTTTCAATCATCAATTTCTATCAGAGAGAGAATCTTTTCATCAATTCCAGCCATGTCTTCATCATTTCCCCTCATGAAGATGAGCACGAGCGCACTATTGAAGCAATATTCACGACCGGCAACTCTTGCTGCTAGACCATTTCTTGCACAATGTCAGATTAGAAAAAGTTCGCATAGCCCTATGGGCGCACCAAGTACGAGGAAGAAGGTCACGATGACTACATTAAGGTCTATGTATAAGAAAGGGGAACCTATCGCTGTAATGACGGCTCACGATTTTCCAAGCGGACATGTTGCGGATGCCGCCGGCATAGATATAGTTTTGGTTGGCGATAGCTTGGCCATGGTAGCCTTGGGCATGGAGGATACTAGTGAGGTTATCATGGAGGAGATGTTAATGCATTGTCGTTCTGTATCTCGCGCTGCAAAGGCTGCCTTCACTGTATGTACATACCCCATATCTTTTCAACCCATCTACCCTCCTGTACTAACAAAACTATTCTTCAGGTCGGAGACCTCCCCATGGGCTCATATGAAATAGCCCCCGAGCAAGCACTCGAATCCGCTTTCCGATTTGTGAAAGAGGGTCGAATGCAAGGTATAAAATTGGAAGGGGGCGTAGAAATGGCTCCGACCATCAAGAAAATCACCACCGCAGGAATTCCAGTCCTGGGCCACATAGGCCTCACACCGCAACGCCAAAATTCTCTCGGTGGTTTCCGTGTGCAGGGTAAAACATGTGCCGGCGCGCTGAAAGTTCTGGAAGATGCGCTTGCCGTCCAAGAAGCTGGTGCTTTCGCAATGGTCATTGAAGCCGTTCCTCAGGAGGTTGCAAAACTCATAACGGAGAAGTTATCCATCCCTACAATAGGTATTGGAGCAGGGAATGGTTGCTCGGGACAGGTTTTGGTGCAGGTCGACATGACAGGCAATTTCCCACCTGGTCGATTTCTCCCAAAATTCGTGAAAAAGTATGGTGATGTTTGGAGCGAGAGCTTTAAAGCTATTTCGGAATACCGCGACGAGACAAAATCCCGAGCCTACCCGGGCCCGGAGCATACATATCCCATTCCGGAAAAAGAGCTCGAGGAGTTTCGAAGTGCGATTGAGAGGGGAGCATGAGTTGTGGATAAAATTATTGATGTTGTAGATTGCGGGCGTACTTATCCAGGTTTAGATTCCCCGTATTTGCTCAGCTTTTAGACGCCGAATAGCAATAAGATCTTGTTATCAAGTAAAACATATCTTATACAGCGTGTCGTACATTGGCCATCCGATCATCCAAATGCAGGTGTCATCGAGTATGTAACAATAAGCTGGTCCTTGGAATCCTTAAAACACTATCCCACAAATTAGTATCAAATCTTCCCCATCCCTTCAACCTCGTTCCTCATAACCACCACCATAAATGCTAAAAAAGCCCACTCACCCTGTGTAAATTCCCCACCACCTCATCCAAGGCCGGCGCAAAACAACTATTAACATACAAAAACACACTTTCGGCCTCCCCACCCTTCCTATCCAACTTCAAAACCCTCCTCAAATAAGCAACCACAGTCTCAAACCTCTGACTGGAACTAATCTTCGAAACGGGTCGTTGTAAAATAGGCGCTGATCCAATAGGTTGAAAACGCACAGTTATCTTCGCGGTAGGAAAGGAAAATGCGTGTTCGAGGGCGGAAGATGAGTCGCGGGGAAGATTGGTGAGAAGAAGTGAGGAAGTCATGGTTAGTGGGAGGGTTGGGGAGGAAGGGGGTAGATCGGGAATTCGCGATGAGGCTGCTTGGGGGGCGCTGGATGTGGGTGTGGGGGTTCGGGAGGGATGGGGAGGGGCTGTTTGAGTTGGTCATTTTGGTTGTGGTTGGGTTGTGTTTGGTCAGGTGTGATGGATTTTGTTGTATTTCGTTGTATTTTGTAGTTTTTCGTGAGTCGGAAACACAGGGTTGTGTATCATGTAACGAGTTGATGTTGTGCAACATGAGGTTGAATTGGAAGACGAACGAGACTGAGAGGCTATGATGCGGTTATTGCGGCCGATAGATTAGTGGGGCAAATGATTGAACCCTTAATTAAGCTTCGGGCTGCTACTTGTTAAGCTCACCGGGAAGCTCATCCGAAACATTAGATTTTATCGGGAGCAATAAAATCTTTCCCATGCTTTGATTTCTTGTCGCTCATCAGAACTGTAATGGGCTAATAGAAGCAAAGGCACACTGGAGCTCTATCGCAAAACTTTACAGCATCTACTCGACATTGTTCTGATTAATTTGGGGGTATTTATATTCTATTTATACTTTTTGGTTGGAGTGGTATACATCATTATCATACATTCATACATTCATCCCCTTTCATCTAATCGCGTAAAGCTTCGATATCTACAACCTCCTTGACTGCCTCGGTAGTCAAGACTAGGGGCGAATCATCCTGCACACAAACACTATCCTCAATCCTGATGCCCATACCCCAGAAATGAGATGGCCAGCGGTCATCATTTGGTACATAAATTCCCGGCTCAATTGTAACACAATGTCCTTCCTTCAGAAGTTTACTTCGAGAATAGCCGGGGACATCATGAACATCAAGTCCAATGTAATGACCGACATGGTGAGGGAAGAGAATATCGATAGCATTTCCAGACATATCGAATCCTAATTGCTTCAATTGATCCATAAGACCATGCCTTGTGACTGAGTGTATTTTGTCCAGTGTCATATTTGAGCTTTCTCTGCATAGTGCGATACTACTTCGTTGAACTCTTAAAACTGCCTCATATAGATCTTTCTGAGCATCTGTAAACTTGCCATTAATGGGCCATGTTCGGGTGATATCCGCAATGTATCCACCATATTGTCCACCGGCATCTACCAGAACAAGTTCGCCATCTCGTAGAACATCATTGTTGGAAACGTAATGTATGCTCTGAGCGTTTCTTCCACCTCCAATGACTGGCACATAAGCACTCTTCTCACAACCTCCAATCTTGAAATCATACTCCAGAAAGGCGCCAAGATGTTTTTCTTCGGTCCATCGCTGTCGCATAGCATTTGTAAAAGACCTCCCGGAGATTTTGCCTGCCTTTCGCATATTTTCAATTTCGGCTTTACTTTTGATGGCCCTCAATTCGTTTATCAATGACTCAATTGGCCTCGTTTTCTTTACTTTAGCGTCGCGTAGGAGTTGCACAAGTTCCTTTTGCTTTGATACACATTGCGATTCTATGGCCGGCCCTTGGAATTCTTTGATATCCATAAATACTTCACTGGCACCTTCAATGAGTGGCTTCAGAAGCAGATGTGCGTGATTGACATCTCCAGACTATGTCAGTATTAGCGTTCTTGTTTGCGACATATTGTAGAAAAAAGCCTTACCTCATCTGCATTGAAAACATCCAAGGCTGCTTGTTCCCCAGATCTAGCACCATCCCAAAGTTCTGCTTGTGCATCCTTCGGCCTAACGAACAGGTGAAATATAAAGTCTGAAGACTCCAGCCTCTGGATTACTGCAATGGCCTCTGGTTCATTAAATCCAGTAAGATAGAAGAAGTTTGATTGTTGGTGAAATTCATGGAATACAGCTCCGGATCGATATTTGATATCTGCTCCTCTTAGGATGGCAATTGAATTTGAAGGAAGTTTTGCAGCAAAATCTGCTCGGCGATCCGCATATTCTTGCGCGGTGATACCTGGAGTAACTGATATTGTTTTAGTCTAATCGTAATGACACGATTGAATTCATTTCATACCTTCTCCGGCATTCAATAAATGCGGATGGGTTTCATGAACAGGCTGACCAAATTGAAGTTCTGATGCATGTATCGAACCATACAATCTTTTTGGCTGATGTGTTATACGACAGCTTGTTGCTGCAGACAATACTTGAGCTCGACATTGAGTTCTCGAGGATAATGATGATGAAGGCCATCCTCCTCTACTCTTTCCTTCCAATTGTTGGAAAAGTGTTCGTGTTCTTCTACTACACTTCATGATAGCAATTAAGACCTGATGATTAGCAGTTGATCGTATCGAGTCCTCGAGTCTTTGGCATACTGTACTTGTATTGTACCTGTACTATGAGAAGACCAAATATTAATTTAATTCCCAAAGAAGTCCCGCTATATTATGTCATGTCAAGTTATCAATTCCTTTCTGTATGTAGTAGCTCCTGTACTCCATATATTATAAAATTGGTATTATCAAGCATAAATTGTGAAAGTTTAATTGGGTCATCTATCGTGATTTACGAACTGGGGAAAGTAGATAAAATGGTTGCTGAGTGGAAATAATCCGCTTCGCGTTTTTAGCGTTTGTTGTCCACCATAAACCATAACATCCAAACCCCGTCCAAACCAGATCATCATCACATACATAAAAAAGGAACCACCACAGAAAGAATCCGACCTTTCATCACCCAAAATCGAACAGTCAAGCATTATCCCAACCCACATTCATTAATTGTCTGCTCTCAGCAATTCTTGTGCTAAAACATTTCGATATCCATCCACTTCCCAAGTCTCTCGAATTGTATCTACTTAATGTCTTCATAAAAAAGAGCTTAGGGAAGAGGTTACAAACCGTGTCAAAAGTCGTGTGCTAGAACCCCACTCCGCTCCTTCAGAGGGAATTCTCTGTCATACACAGAGAACTAATATATTTCACATGGCAACAGTATCAATATCACCCCTAACTGTCACATTAACAACAAACATGTCGAGCAGGAGGCAGCCTCTCTCAACCATCTCGAATGTCGCTAATTCCCCGTACCGAGCGGTAGCTTCGACTACCACAAAGCAGAAACGATCATATGCCAATATACAACGCGAAGATGCTTATGGACAACCACCTCCGGCGAAGAAGCAGATGCTAGATGCACATCAACAAGCTTTAAGAACACCACCGCGTCAAAGTGTTAGTCAAGTCTCGGTTGAAGGAAGGGTCTTTAGTCGGAAGTCCACCATCCAGCCATCCAATATTGAACGAAGGTGCGTAACAATTAGAGCAGATCGAGGTTCTCAGCAGCAAGTTACAAAGGCACAGAAAATACCAGAGGAGAGTTTGGAATCTATACGTCAATGGCAAAAGTTTTACAGGAGGAATTTTCCAAAATTCGTCTTCTACTTTGAAAGTATATCAGAGGATGTCCGGCTTAAATATACAAAACAAGTTCTCGCTCTAGGTGCAGTAAGTGTTGATTCTGTGTAAGGGCTGGGTGCCGCGGATCATATTGACCTCGTTTCAGCGCGACGAAAAATTCTTTTCTAATGAAGTCACCCATGTCGTCACCACTCGATCGATTCCACCCGAGATTCCCTTCACATCTTCTACTACAGCTCAGTTGGATTCGCAACATGGAACTATAAATCCTTCTTTGCTGAACCGATCCTCCGAGACCGCAGATATGAGAGATCCGCGATCGAAGTTTACATTTGAAGCTCCAGTTTCCAGAAGGCTTGTTACACAGGGACATGATGGAGATGCCAGGCGACAGCAAGCTCGTAGCTCGGATGTACTGTACAAAGCGCGAGAGCTAGGGATAAAAATATGGGCTTTGGAAAAGTTGCAAAGGATGATGACGACAATGTTTGACACGGACACTGGCTACCAAATATCACACACTCATAACAAAAGGAGCCATTCCGTCCAGGGTGGTACAATAACTAGAGCAATTCAAGAAGCTGATCTATCCCAATTGTTGAGGAATGAACGAATTTATGGACCATCAGATCGAGATCTCAGCGTCGCTACAAAGGAAATGACTATATTCAAAGGGCCTTATATCTACATTCATGATATTGATGAAAGGAGAAAGCCGATAATGGTTCGAGAGTACAACAAGGTTACTCAAAAAGAAGACGGAGATTGGCCGCAGTTCCGCAGTGTGCCGAATGGGAAATGTCCATTTGTGGATGAACAAGAGCTCAGTCGTCGTGAATTAGAGAAAGAAAAGGAATTGATACGTATTCAGAGCCAAAAGGAAAGGGAAATGGCTGTGGCTGTGGCTGTGGCTCCAAGAACGAGAGCTGCGGTAGAAGCAGCCAAAATGCAGCCACCGAAGGCGATCAGCAAACGAGCACTATCTCAATTTGATGATGGAGCAAATCGAAGTGCTACTGTCTCGACAAGGCAAGCCAATCCATTCGATACCAACAGAACCAGAACTCATCGTGCAGAACTTGAGTCTTCTTCTCGAGGTCAAAATGCGTTTGTCAGTCGTGCTGGAGTTGGTAGATTGTTTGGCGGTGAACCTGTTGCATCGGGAGTCCAACCATCGAGTATCACATCGGCTATTCGCTCTCAGATGATCTCTTCCACAGCAGCTCAACCTGGACTGAAGGTCGGAACAAGCAAAGAGCTTCATGGTCTGCAGAGGAAGGTGCTGGAGAAGACAAATGGTGGATCTGGACCTCATGGATCTCATGGATCTCACCGTTTGACTGACATTACTTCGACTGTAAGAGAAGATACAACCACTCGCCCTGCAAAGCGTGAGGCACAAAGGAAATTTGGCGTCATAGACGAAGACGATATTACTACAGAAAGAGAGGAAATGGGTAGAAGAGATGAAGCTGCTCGCAAAGCAAAAGCTGTTCAGCAAAGAAAGCTTGAAAAGCGTGATGCCAAACCAGGATACTGTGAAAACTGCAACGATAAATTCGAGGACTTTGACGAGGTAAATTTCTTTTTATATTGTGATCGCAATGGTACTAATAATTGAAAAGCATGTATCCTCACGCAAACATCGCAAATTCGCGGAGAAGGCCGAAAATTGGAGGGAGCTTGACGCCCTATTAGGTCAACTTGTTCGACCTCTTTTGTAATGAAGATGGAATCGCTTCTCCATGTACTTTCAATCATTCATGTGAATTCAATTTGAACCAGACAGCAGCCTGTCCCTCCCAAATTAATAATATAAGGGGTTCAATCATCGGGACATAGAAAAACAAAAACGGAGTCGTTATAACGACACATCACAATCACAGTTTTGCTTTCAAATTTGCATCTTGCTTTATACCACAATACCCAGACATCACGATTGTTTTTTCCTGATGGGACGGCGGAATGATAGGGTGGCAATATTGCCTTTTTTGGGGACGTATTACTTGATTCGGCCTGGCCTGTATCAAGATTTCGGCATTTACAAAGGCGTTTATTCTCTTTCATCTACAATGTGTTGATTTTGTTCTTGGGGGAGGGGTGTTGGTTGGTGGTCTCTTGTGCTTTTGCTCTTGCTCTTGCTCTTGCTTTTGCTCTTGCTTTTGCTATGCTTACTTGATGGGCAAGGCATGGCATAGCATAGCATCTTGCGTGCACTTTATAGTGTCTTGTTTTGACTGTGTTGTATATAGTATCCACTGTGGTGAGGCTAGGGTTTAGGGGAAAGGGAAAGGAAAGGAGACACGGAGAGGGATTTCAGGGTTGTAAGAAGATGGCATGAAATGAAATAAGATGAAGCGCTCGGAAATTCCTTACTTGGGAGTAAGTGTGAAATAACCGGTGCTCTTTTCCATGTACATATATATACATAAATAAATGTATGTGTGTCGAGTAATGATCGCATCATTGAATGGGAGTGCATAGAGATAAGAGTGAGAATAAGATAAGAATAAGCATGAGCATGAGCTGTTTGATATAAGCATACCTACCTAGTAGTAACCATCACGTAGTAATCATCACATATCACGTATCATACATATATCAATGTTAAAGAGGGGGTTGCGGATCCTTCGTACTTCCTCGCTTAACTTAATGTTTTACATATATCTACGGAGTAAGTATTCCGAGGTATAGACATAAAGAGTAAATATCAAACTGAGTATATCTCAGTTTTAGGAATTATTTAATATAAATAGATAGGTAGGTAGGTAGCTTAATATGATATTAATGAGTTGGTGATTTTAATTATATCTAGAAGTGAATGGGTGGGTAGATAGATGAGTAGATAATGAGTAATTATATATTTCATTATAATGAATGAATGAATTAATTAATTAATGAATTAATTCGTTATCTAAAGGGATTTTGATTGTGGATTTTGGTTTTGAGAAGTATTGGGGATTGGGATGGGGATGGGGATGGGGATGGGGGTGGAGATTGGGATGGATTGATTGATAAAGGTGTATATATGTCTATGTATACTTAGTGGAGGAAGGAGGGATAGATAATGATACGTGTATGTATATTAACCGATGTATATGTATACATTAATAATATAGAAAAGAAGAAAAGCATCGTTAAATTTTCATTGCTCATTTACTCGTTATTTTCGTTTTGTCCTTCGCTATGCTATGCTATGCTATGATATGTGATTTGTGATATGTGATATGTGAAATGCAATATTCAACATGCAACACAACGCCCCCAACTCAATTTCTCACGTCGTTAATTCCTAGTCCTCATTCATAAAATTATTCCCCGCTCTCATGTTTACTGACAACCAATTCCGGACTTCCTGCACTCATCCCTAGGCTTTTTTCCGTCTCCACGCTTCCTCCTCTCCTCAATGGACTTGCTCTTCCCTCACCTCTATCCCTGTGTACCTTATCTAAAGGACCACCGTTAGATTTCTCATCCACCCTAGCATCTCTTCCCCGATAACCAAATCCCTGTCTTTGTTGGAAATATGGTTGCGATTTCGGTTTATACGGTGAGATAGGTGATGATGGTGTCGGAGAAGATGTTTCTCTGCTTTGTCTTATATCACTTCCAAATCTAGCCGGTGATGCCAATGATCTCTGAGGTGTTGAACTACGTTCTCGTATCCCACGCGGATTTGATGGTACGTCCTCATCCCATGGCGTTCCTTCCCTTTCGTGTCTGTCATGCCCTTCATCTTCGCCATATTGATAACTCTCTCCATGTCTCTTCACTGGACTCTCATCATAAGGATCAAAGCCCACCTTCTTTCTCGCCATCATTCTTGTTCGCTTACGTTCTGATGCATCACCGCCTGCGCCGGTCGTAGATGATTCATGAAGGAAGAATGTCAGGAATTCATCGGGGACGGCTAAGTGAGTGGATTGTTGGAATTGTTGGAGCGAGGTAAGGCGGATGAGCATTTCGAGGAGGGAAAGGGATGAGCGGGTTTGGATTGGGATCTGGAGGCCTTTGTTTTGGGGTTTGGAGCGAGGTTTGGAGGGGCTGGAGGAGACGGGCATGGGAGATGTGGGATGTGATGGAAGATGGGCTTGAGAAGATGGAGTAGCTGGGGCTGGTGACGATATTTTGAGGTTCGACAGATCAGTGGTTAGATCGTTGGTAGACAGGTGCTCTCCTGAGGTTTTTGGTCTGCTGGATATGGATGCAGAATCTCCATTTCGTTCAGGCTCGAGCTCATCTTCGGATTCCGAGTCTACGGCTTCGGTATATACTTCTAGGGCAAGCCATTCTGGATCGAGATTTTGGGGAAGCCGCCATGTTGTGTTTTCTTGTGGTATTTCTAAAACCTCCTCCGATGGAGACTCTGGAGCCATGCTTTCTCGTCGAAGTTGTTCATCAATATCAAGGTCGTCATCTTCTTCATCCTCTTCCTCTTGCTTTGGCTCCTCTTCTTCCGGTTCTGATACTTCCTCCGATGGCATATCTCCGCCCTCGTCATACCACTCGCTCTGTACCTCATGCCCCTCCATCATTCGCCTCGGTGGCATTGCATTGATATCTCGCTTTAAGAGCAACACAGGACTGTTAGCCTCATCCTGGTTACCAATATTTAATATTTTGCCAGTGTCTGCGTAGAAGATCTTGGATATTTGATGAATTGGCAAGTGTTCTCGAATACCTGCCAATTTAACACCTCCATACGGTCCCGGCTGTGGTTCTCCATCCTCGTAAGAGTGTACACGATCATCATCGAAGTCTTCAATTATTTCAAGCTGATATGCATATTCTGATGCTTTGCCTTCGCCGGCAATTAAGGACGAATCTTTTCCAGTTAAGTAATCCTTGGCTTCATTAGAATGATGTAGCTGTCCAGATGAGCCGTATGTAGATCGGAGAGGTACACGTAAAAGCTTAACTTTAGCTTTATGTATGACCTCTTTCCAAGTAGTCTCTCTCATACCTTCTTCATCCTGAGCTCGATAAGCATGTCCGGCGAATAACATATACAAAGAGAGAGTAAGTGTTGGTCCAATTTGTACAGATATATTAGGTTTCTCCCCGTATTTGGCATCCCCCTGGGCAAGAAGGTTACTTGCTTGAAGTAGCCTCGATGGTGATACAGTTTCTGGAAGTGTTGTCGAGAGGTTTGCTCCGGACGTAGTGATGGCTAGATTAATAAGTGGAACTGCATCTTCTATCCTGGTCAAAAGCTTCTTGATATCTCTAACAATAGCTCGAATCTCGGCTTCGTGGGAAGCTCGTGTTTTTACTCGATTTTTATTCCGGCGTGAGAATTCTTCGGCACTTGCAGCTTTTGCTAATTTCATACCGAGAGATTGGATTTCCCATCGAAGTGATTTGGTTAGAGTTACAGCTGACTCTAGGGTTGTATTACCTCTTGCGGAACTGAATATTACGAGTAATGAGATTTGGATAGCAGTGTAGTAGTAAGATGAAACTCACATCAGTTCTATCATATCAATAGCGGGTGATACGATCTGATAGATGCTAGGTTAGCATTTGGAATTCTTCATATCATCAAGCCAACTCTCATGGAAAAGTAGACATACTCTAATTTTGCTATCAAGCCTTTGTTGTAATTCGTGAAGCTCACGATAATCGCCACTATTATCCACGGTCTAGAATCTCGTAAGTCAAGTCATATGTTATTAACAGGTTCGAGGCCAAGAAAGAAATCCCACCTTTAACAGCCTCGATGTTTGTCTGATGGCAAAAGAAGCAGTGATACCAATTCCAGACCTGCTGTGGTGTTAGATGATACTTTCGAGAGATTTTCTAGAATCGAACATACCTGATGGCATAGGTCATGGCCTGTTGAGTGATCTGAACGAGTATAGTCAGCACGTGCTTACGAAACATGGAAATCAGCCTTTTTACCTTGCCCAGGAAGGAGTCCATCTTGAGGGTATTCGGGTTGATTTAGAATCAAGCAAGACAAGTATTATGAACAGTAGGAAATATTCAAGACCACAGACATATCTAGGTTAGTGTAATAGAGATATGATGTTTTATCAGAAGTTGTATGGTTGTATAGAAATTTTGGTTGTTGGTGTTGAAATTGGGTTTATATTAAACAAAGAAAGTTTCTATCTGTAAGCTTACAGCTCTCTCAAACCGCCATCCCACTTGCCATCAAATTGATTGGCCAAAACGTCATTAACCGGGAATAAAATAGGCTCGATGCATGAGATTAAGGAATGAATACTATTCTCATATAATAAAAATAAAAATAAAATAAAAATAAAAATAAAAATAAAAATAAAAATAAAAATAAAAATAAAAATAAAAATAAAAATAAAAATAAAAATAAAAATAAAAATAAAAATAAAAATAAAAATAAAAAATATAAATGAATATAAATGAATATAAATGAATATAAATGAATATATATATATACCAATAAATGAGATAACAAATACTTATCAAGAAAATAAATCAAGGTAACACCAGTAACAATTCGAGTCACTTTGAGTAGGTAATCAGGCATGAATTTGTGACTCGTGAAAATTCATATTGCAGAGTAAAATATCACAATATTATTGTCTCTGTGCATGTAAAAGCCCCTCCTCGATAAACGATCCCGCCCATCTTAACCTATTAGCCCACCACCACCAGCCCCACTAACAACTGCCACTTCTCCCTCAATCACTTCAATTTTTGGCCCTTTCAAAATCTCTCTCATCCACAACCCACACTTCCCTCCAGAACATATTCTTTTATATTCCTCTAAATATGTCCGACCTTAACTCATGGGAAGATGATCCAGCTGCTCAAGAGGACAACAATCTTTCGCAGCAAACTCAACGTATGAATTTGAATGCAAATCCCCAAGCTAGATCATTTCAACCGGGCGCAAATTCCTTTCAACCTGGTGCACAATCATTTCAACCTGGACAGCAATATCAACAATATGGAGGAGGATATGATCAATATGGCCAACAACAAGGTTACGCCCAATATCAAAACCAAGGATATGGCGGATATCCTCAATATGGGCAACAAGGTTACAATCAATATCAACAGGGAGGCTACAATGCTGGAGGATACCAGCAGGGTGGATATAATGCAGGATATGGTGAGTTCCTTCATAAAATTCTGAAATAAATGGATTCCTTTCAATATGACAAGTGTAAAACTCGGCATGGTTTGAGGGACTCTATGCTTTTACTGTATGTCGGTTTTGTAGGTGATCAAAATACTAACCATAATCATTTACAGCACAACAATATCCTGGATACGCTCAACAACCACAAGCAGCAGCCCAATCATCACAACCTCCACGGCAAACACCAGTTATTGCCAAAAGACCAGCGGATGGATCTGGTTCAGCGGATTTAAATAAGCCTGTGGCAGTAAAGGATGGAGCACCAAAAGTTCTTAGCATTGGAGGAGACGCACCAAAAATTTTGAGTATTGGGGGCGATGCGCCAAAGCCAAAGGCAAAGGTTCTCTCAATTGGTACTCCAACTCCCGCGAAGAAGGAAGAGCCAAAGAAAGAGCCCGCAGCAGCATCCGCAGAAGCAGGTGCTAAGGTTACCGCAGCAAAGGCCATCGAGAAGGTTGAAAAGACACCCGCAGCCGCCAGCGGGAAGACATCACCTACACCATCATCTGGTCGCTCATCACCTTCTCGAACTGGGGCTGCAAAGGCAGCCGCTCGTGCCGCAGATGCGGTTGAGCAAGAACAAGCAGCCGATGTTGATGATGAGACTCTCAAAGAAATTTACGGCAAGGAACATGTTAACATTATTTTCATTGGACACGTTGATGCCGGAAAGTCGACACTTGGTGGTTCTATTCTTTACGCTACTGGAATGGTTGATGAGAGAACTATGGAGAAGAACAAGAAAGAGGCCAAGGAAATGGGTCGTGAGACATGGTATTTGTCGTGGGCTCTCGATTTGACAAAGGAGGAGAGATCCAAGGGAAAGACTGTCGAGGTTGGACGAGGATTCTTCGAGACTGAGAAGCGAAGATATAGTATCTTGGATGCCCCTGGCCATAAAACATATGTGCCAAGTATGATTGGTGGTGCTTCACAAGCTGATGTTGGAATTTTGGTCATTTCTGCTCGTAAGGGAGAATACGAAACTGGTTTCGAAAAGGGAGGTCAAACCCGTGAGCACGCTATGTTGGCAAAAACCCAAGGTGTCAACAAACTTATTGTGGTTATCAACAAAATGGATGACTCAACCGTCGAATGGTCCCACGAGAGATACAAGGAGTGCACAACCAAATTATCTCAATTCTTGAAAGGTACTGGTTACAATCTCAAGACCGATGTATTCTTCATGCCAATCGCAGCACAACAAACAATGGGTATCAAGGACCGTATCCCAGAGGGTGTGGCTCCGTGGTATGATGGACCATCTCTACTTGAATTCCTCGACAACATGACACAACTTGAACGTAAAGTCAATGCACCATTCATGATGCCTATCAACGGAAAATATAGAGATATGGGTACTCTCGTCGAGGGTAAGATAGAATCTGGTGTCGTAAAGAAGGGAATGAACCTCGTCATGATGCCCAACAAAGAAAAGGTCGAAGTCATGGTAGCATATGGAGAGACCGAAGAAGAAATTCCCGCCGGACAGTGTGGAGATCAAATTCGTCTTCGTCTACGTGGTATCGAAGAAGAAGATATTCTTCCAGGTTTTGTTCTTTGCTCACCAAAACGTCTCGTTCACTGCGTTACTACATTCGAAGCTCAAATCAGAGTTTTGGATCTAAAGAATATTTTATCTGCTGGTTTCAATTGTGTCATGCATGTGCATTCTGCTATTGAAGAAGTTACTTTCGCGGCATTATTGCACAAGTTGCAAAAGGGCACCAATAGAAAGAGTAAAGTTCCACCCACTCATGCCAAGAAGGGTGATAGCATTATTGCGAGAATGGAAGTTATTGGAGGTGCTGGAAGTGTTTGTGTGGAGAAATTTGAGGATTACCCACAATTGGGTAGATTTACTCTTAGAGATCAGGTATGTGGCTGCATACTTTTTTGATTCATCCTTCTCTCCTCTCGTCAAGAATAGGAGAAATTAGAAAGAAATGGACTAACATATTAATACAGGGACAAACCATCGCCATTGGTAAAATCACAAAGTTGGTCACGGAGGAGGAAGCCGCTGCTTAATCCTATACTAAAAACGTGTAAATAGATCATGATTGGGAGGGAGATAGGAATTGGGATGGAAATGGAAATGGGGACGGGGATGGGGATGGGGTGGGGTTGCAATGAGTTGAAGCAAAACTTAAAGATACATCTTTTATGCATGGATTCAAATGTCGGCCGGATGGCTGGATGGCCGCATTGATATTATATGATATTATGTTAGATGATATGATATGATCTAAGATGAAATGAAAATTCAACGTTTTTATCCATATTCATATCCATACAATTGTAAGTCTTAAATATATCAAAACTTTAAAAGAGAAAAAGACGTCTTTTATTTTATCTTGGTATCATATCTATGTACAAATGCGTCTTCATCGCAACGCAACTCAATTCAGCTCTCGGCTCAACCCTTACTATCATATCCAATCCAATCCAATCCTATGTTATCCCCCTACTCCCATCATCCAAATAAATGCATATTTGTTCCCCTTGTAGAAACATCTACATATGCATGCATGCATACCCCCATCCCATCCCATCCTATTCCATTCCATTCACATATTCCATCCACCGCATGCTATGCCATGCCGCGGCTTCTCCCTCCCACCTATTGGTATCTTATCACAGCTCATCTCACTCATCACATCACATCTAAGTTCATCATCCCCCTAACCCATCCACCATTCCACCCTTCCACCCTTCCATGCATCAAATCCATCGCACCTCTCAAGATCAACACAGGGAACGCAACCCTATCCAGACGATCCTTTCCCTTCCGGGGGCGTATATAACTTCGCCACTGTGAATCGTTCTCGAGTTTGAGTTTGAGTTTTTCGTCCGCTTCAAGTACCGAGTACCAAATGATTGATTAGTTTGTTCCTGAGGCATATTCCTCTCAAGATGACACTTTGGATTGGATATCCGCATCTCCTCTCCGTTGGAAAAAAAAAGAAACAGTAACGTGGAGTTCGTGATGCCTCCAGCATATCTGTCATGAACAAAAGAAATAGGCGAAAAAGAAATTAAAATCCAGTATCCTCGAGTAGTGAGAATGCTGTGTGTAAACGGTAAAATAAAACAAAATAACTCCCGCTTGCCCTTTGAAAATGCAATGAATGTACATTGATCGCACCAAAGGAAATTGTGTGCTGGAAATTCGTAAAACGGCTGCCAGTAAGTAATATTGGAATATCCGAAGAATCATTTCTGATTCAACAAACTTTCAACCATGGCTTATAATGACTCTTGCACCTTCCTTTCCTAGGATACCCCTCTCCTGTGGTTTGGGACTATGACCTCTGCCCTTCTTTCTTGATAAGAATCCTAACATACCAGTTGGCTTGGCATGTGCTTCTACCAACTTGGCATCTGCGGGTAAGGTCGCATCTTGCTTGGCCAATTCTGACCAGCTTCCAGTTTCGCCTAATACAACCTGCATACCGCCGCCTTGCGATTCCTTGCGTATTCCACCGGGGCGATGAGGACGGTTGTATGACTGTTGATAGGGTGATAAGGGTGTCTTGCTCGTACTTGGTGACTGGGCATGAAGTACGGAACGAGGAGGTCCTAAAACAGGGCTAATATTTTGGGGTGATTGTTGACAGCCAGGAGCTTGTGAGCTAGGAACTGGTGGAGCATTTGCACTATTCGATGGCGATTCAGAACGTGAAGATGGCTGGGAACGCGAAGCAGCTCTCTTCCGATTTTTAGATAAAGTACGTGTGAGGGTGGCTTTTGGAAATTCATCAGAAGTTTGCGATGCTGGGGTGGATGGGCTATTATTTTGTGTAACGGGAGGTGGAGAATTTGGGTCACCACCTTCATTATATCTAGAGGATTTAGTTAGCATAAAGGAAACGATCTGTAGAAGAGTGCTAACCTGTCATACGCTGCTTTGGTGTAATCGAATGTGGTATATTGAGCTTCAATCATCTTATGGAGTTCCTCTTCCTTGATTTCTTTCTCCGTCGCATCCTCCTTTAAAGCCTCCCTTGGCTTTTGTCGACGCGCCCGAGCTTCCAAAGGTGCCTCCTCCAATAGTAATTCCTCAAGGTCATAGGTAGCATCAAAATTCGTCTTTTCACTAGATGGGACGAAGACTGGCTCTATCTCTTTTCTCTCAAGTGCCTCAAAGTCTATCGGCCGAAAGAAAGGGTTATCGGTAAAGGTTTCAAATCCGGCTGAACCCATTCGCTTTGCTGGATCCTCCTCAAGAGCTGAGCTGATCGCATGTAAACATGGCATAGAAACTGCTGGTGCTGTGATGGGGAAATTTGGTGCAGCTTTGGTTATCTGTGCTGCCAACGTAGTTTGTGTACTACCTTCAAATGGCCTCTAAAAGACATTGGTTAGGACTGAAAATTCAAGAGCGGGGTTTACAAGAGAATGAAATTATGTCAAATAATACCTTATTGTAGATACATTCGTAGAACAGTACTCCCAACGACCACCAATCTGCTCCAGGCCCATATCCGCATCCTTTATAGACTTCTGGTGCAAGATAAGCTAAAGTACCAGATTTGCTGGTTAATAATCTATGTGAAGTATAATCCGATGCAACATTCTACATAGTGTTAGTGCTGTGTTCCAATCCGGGAAGTGTTTTTTCTTAGGGTACAAACAAAATCTGCTAAATGTATATGTCCCTCGGAGTCCAATAAAACATTATCAGGTTTGACATCCCGATGTATGATACCCTGCTTATGTATGTACTTTAAGGCAATGCCGAGTTCTGCAATCCAAAACTGAACAGCTTCTTCAGTGAAGGTCTTTCTGGAAATATGAAATCGTAAATCTCCCCCATTCATTAAGTCCACAACTAAATACCTGTTTGTTGAATGGTTAGTGAGCGCTTACAGTCCAGGTTCAAATCCAGGTCAACGTACATGTACTCGATGTCTTGAAAACTATATCGCAAGTTACAAATGAATGGGTGATTTAAATGCTCCAGCATTCGTCGTTCTCGGATTATATTCCGTACACTTTCTTGTCGAACAACTATTATTTTCCATAATCAGTAGTCATTCAAAATCTGAGTGAGTATCACCAACCCTCATCCTTGCGAATGTACTTCAGCGCAAACGTCAAGCCCGTATCCTTTCTCTCTACTATCCTTACTTTCCCAAAAGCACCTTTTCCAACAACTCGCAGAAGTCGAAAGTGATTGAGGCTCACTGCACAAAGAAAAGATATGTCAGCAAAAGATACATGCGGTGAAATATTACCAGTAACAAAGATCAAGACCACCCCCAAGAGTTCGAGAATGCCTTGCACAATCTCTTGCCACTGGATCCGCATCAACAAAATCCATTCATACCTTCATCTGCGAAGTTCACCGGTTTTCCAGAACTGTTTCCCATGGGCGCAAAAGTCTGCTGGACAAAGACTTTATCTTCCTAATCCTCGAATTGTCCAATAATTTTTTCTACGGAATTGCGATTGGGTTTGTAAATGGAGACATTCGGCGCAAAAGTACTAGACCATGCGAAAGAGACGTATGTATGGAGACAGAAAGGTGGAAGTTCGGGTCGATCTTTATCGATAGTGAAGTTGTTTATTCTTGAAGGAAATTGCAAGATGCTATGTTGGAAGCGAATATCAGGTGGACAAAAGTAGAGTGAGTCCGATCTCTGATGTGGTGGTGAGATGAGTTATCTATAATTGAATATAGACGGTGTAGATTTGTGTAGATTTGTGTAGATTGGAAGAACAAAGATGGGATGATGATTCTTAGACGAAATATATCTTTTTCCCTTTGGAATGTTTGGGATGAGACTTGGTGTCAGAGATTAGAAAGTAGAGACAATGAATGAATTGATCAAAGGAATTTAATTCCTTAAGTGAGGTAAGGGAGGTAAGGGAAAAAGGGAATTGTCTGTTATGCGTGAACGGACCACAATGCCGCCTTTCTCAGATATGGATGGGATATGGCGTTGAAGGTACCGGTATATGAGTTTGAGGTGAAGGTTGATTTAGATTTGGATGTGGATGGGGTGGATGGGTGTGGATGTATGTGGATGGAGTCAATGAGAGAAAGGATCCATCTTCGAGAAGTGGTAAGTAGTATTGGGATTGGATGAGCAGAGATGTCAGATTTGAAGCGATATGATTGATTGAGTGAATGGATGGGTGGATGAATGAATGGATGGATGAGGGAGGGATGGATGAATGAATGAATGAATGAATGAATGAATGAATGAATATAATGAATATAATGAATAAGCTACCTACCTAGTAATTTGATTTGATTTGACTCGATTTGATTGACTTTGATACCTTAGCATTCATTATTATTATCATTGCTATTATCATTACCATTACCATTACATTACCATTGCCATTACCATTGCCATTACCATTGCCATTACCATAACCATCATTACCATAACCATCCATCACCATACATTATCTACCAACGTACACCAGTATTCAAAGTACAGTGCCTAATGAAGCTGCACACGCACGCACGCCTGCATACCAGATGCAGAATCATGCTCGCTGGTTAATAGCACAAGGACCCGTAAGAGTTAGGGTATTTCTCCAATGTAAATCAATGGTATACACTGTACGGTAGTCATAATAAGTACCCTACCACTTCTACCCTACCACTCTACCTACCCTACCACTCTACCTACCCTACCCTCCCTAGTATAGCACGGAGTTATACAGTTTCTTTTTCCTTTTCCCTATTTATTGACAGAGTGGGGAGAAGGCGTTTTTGCACGCGAAACCATGGCAAGCATAATGCTCCGTGGGCGTTCGTAAGTGTGGACCCGTCAGTAGTTCAAGTCAACCGATGAAGTTTAGTAGAAACTTTAGTCACTTTGGGATTTCAAGTTTAATGTCGACTTAACCAGTTTGCGGCGAAAGTACCGGTAGGGAATTAATCCAATGTGACAAGGGCCAAAAGCTCAAAACACACATGGCATTTGCATGGCAAAACCGGTGCAAAACGCTGAGAAGGGAATGACGGGAGTGTGGTGAGTGGTTCAGATTGGACGGGATGAGGTGATGGGATGTGTGGGATGGAGGTTATAGGGTGTGCAGGATGTAGCGGGAGGATAAGATAGAAGAATGAAATGGAACGAGTCTTGACTGGGTAGAAGGGTAGCACTGGGCGTTGTAAAACTTGGCTTTTTTAGTCTTGGCTCTGCTGATGATATGAGATGATATGAATCGTGCTTTGCTTACCTTTTTGCTTACCGAGTACATCCTGTCTATTTATCTACGACTTACATGTCCAAAATCTCTCCAGGTACATGGTTCATTAGGGCCATTAGGTTCATGGTCAATAATTGGCTCTACATATCTATACACTCATAAATTCTTGATCCCTTCCCTTTAGGCTTCGCTTACCTGCAAACTCACGAGAGACTGGTAACAGAAGCCTAAAGGAGGCGCCTATCATTAAAGCTGGTCACCTAACGAGATGTCTATAGTCATATTTTAAGATTACCTCTATGCTAGCAAGTGTCAGTCATATTGCGCGACCACGAAACCGATACCACGAATACATCGAATGAGGGTACTGGTTGGTAGTCTGGCTTGTATAAGTTCTATCGACTCTTCTCTTGTCATTACAACACCTGCATGTTGAGCCTATGTTGGATACATACCTATTCGTACTTCTGCCACGAAAACACGGTATACCTTAGTGAATCTGGCATAGGCATAACTTTACATCACATCTATGAAACGAGCCAACCATAACCACATTCACTAATGGATAAGCAGTGCAGGCAGTACATTATGGATTTGTCAGTCTGTCGGCATGAAAAAAGATATTTTCTTTTCCTGGGGTTTCAGCCCCAAAACAAGGTAGTGGAAAGTCGATCAAGACGATCGATCATATTTTACAAATACCTTACACTTACAGCCTTGCTATCCCTAGTCTGTGTATTATTCCGATTGCGTTCATTAATTCCGGGACCCCCTCACAAGTCCTCCTCGGCACGAACATGTGATACCATCTCTCGTACTACACGACACGACCTAGGGACAGAATGGCCGTATCTATCTGATCCCTTCATCTTCGCCTGCATGCTTCCTTCAACAGGCGAAGAATATATTCTCATGACCAACCCCATCACCCTTTTATGTTTCATAACTTCTTTTCCTTGTTACCGTGACCCATCCATAACTTCACAGTCTTACAGAAGTGATGGCCCGGTGGATCTGTTTTAGGTGAGACATACCTTGCCTTATTGCGTTTCATCTCCTTATGAAGTTGACAGGGTTCATACTGATCTTCTTTCAGATGTCATCACTCACCTCCTTTCCGATCCGATACTAGCGACAAGAAACATCCCGTCATCAAAAGGATCGGATTCCAGAAGCTTTCCAAATTGATCCAGCTGAAGGAACACATGCAACGCTTAATACAAATGCAATCATCTCACGCCAAAAAAAAAGACACTGCTTAGCATTCATCCGGCCAGTGTACGGAAGACTTGAGACTTATGTTTTATCACTTTATACGTTGTACTATTCTGTACAATCTAGAATGATCCTTCAAGCCCTTCGGAGACCGCACTCTCTCAATGTCCTCAACACTTATCTCTTTTTACCTCTTCAACCTGTTGACATAAGCCACTTGGATCCATATCGCCTTTCCTCCATGTGAGCTTGAAATAACGGCACATTATTTTCATCTTTTATATTCCAAAGCATCTTTCCAAAAGATACATTGAACTCAGCATATGCAGAATGCAACAGGTACAAGAATTCCAAAGACAAAAGACCCTTCGTCGCGCCAAATAATAACAGGTCGACTTTTCAGTCCACAAAACGAAAATATTCCCACGTGGACAAATCTTATCTTCCAATATGTGACACAGTCAGATCCAAAAAAGAAACATTCCAATTCTTAAACATGACCAATATTCGCCAACACGTACCTGCATCAGAGACAAAGCCTCGTGATCCATTTAATTAAGGCATGGCAGGATGTACAGTACCAGTTTTCGGTCAAAAATTGATTCATTTCTTCCTTCCAGAAGAAAGCATCGAATGTTACGAGACAGCTCAAAGACAGAGGTTGATATTGCGTGTTGAATCTAGCTGAACACAGTAATCTTCTAGAATGTCTTCAAAAAGATCCAAAAGCAAGGGATATTCCTTGAGCAAGTACCAACCCAACTTCCTCCCTATTTCATACGCCACACTCATGTCAGCACGGCTGAATATCTGACCAAGACATTAAGATGGCGAAATAAATTATCACGACGGCCATTCCGATTTTCGGCGTCAAGGTGCACTCTTGTCGGAAAGAAGAAGACAATTTCTTTATGCAAAGAAAGTATTTATAGAAACAACTTTAAATTTGACGTTCCATATCGTCGGGATCTCAAGGGTTAAGAATCAAGATGATGCTGGATTCAGGTCGTGCCACGTTCGCCGTAGGTAAGGAGTACGAATGTACAGCATGGTGGAAAGACAAGGTATGAGTATGAGACTATGAGTACGAATATGCGGAGAGGAAGTTTTCTTTCGCCTATTTCTACTTCCTTTGGTGATGAACTTGGACATCTCATCTGACAAGACTGGGGATACGGAGAGAAATCCTTCCCTTCTACATAATAACACAATAATGTGATGTGCACGACGAAGCAAGTAGAAATATCACATAAGCAGCATACTTCTTGAGTGAAGTTTTGTCTTCGCTTTCAGCGAGGTTGGTTTCCTTTTAGTTTGAGGTTGCTGAATTATGAGTTTGTGGGTGTTTTACTGCAAAAACGGCCTGAGTCTAGACCAGCTTGATTTCAATTCAACAGTTTGAGATTGACCATGGAAAGCCGAGGTTCGTGTAACACGGGAAATACACGTGTCTAACCCCGTGTTTTGGATTTTGGATTTTAAACTTGGATTTGGATTTAGTTTTTTTTTTTAAACATCATCATGGCTCACATGTCTTTGCAAATTAAGTTACACGAACTTTGATCTGCATTTTAACGGCGTAGAATCGTCATGTATGACATATGACATCAAAATAAAGATTCCTACCGCCCTCATGGAACGAACGAACGACAAGACTTCGGCCGAACCTATTGAGAACTATCAAAATAATATTTTCTTTCTTTTATATGGAACCTTGTACCGCTTGTCTCCTTCCTAGCGGCGTTTATTAGTCCAGTGGCTTATTGCACGAGTCATGCTGGCGATGGATGCGCCGGACTGGTCTAGATTATTCCCGGGTCTACAATGATTCCGGAGTAGGTTCACAGTCTAAAAGTGCTTTTTCATGATTAATTCATCCACTATCAAGGATGTCTTCACACAAGCACGTGCGCATCAATTAGAACATCTTATCTACATGCATTGCAACACCTTATCTATAATGTTCAGATGTTTTTGCAAAGTCGCTAATGCACGAGGGTATACTAGTTCCTGAAGTTTCGGTCCGAGGATTCAATCTATTTTGCATACTTTGAGTTAGCAACATCACCCGCCCACCTTCCACATGACCATTGATATCCCCTCAACCTACTTAGGAATAGGAATCACTGGTCGTCAAAGCTGGGTTTCAGCTCTCAGATCATGCACATGCATACGCACGGCTCTACGCAACATTACATATTCTTCTCCATCATCACTCACTACCTTTCTTTTACATCCGCTGTCCACAATCACTCTGAGTAGTGAGGACTCCAGAGATCACCGAGATATACGTGCCGAAACTCGGGTCCTAGGAATGATATCCGAATGATCTGAGATCGGGTTGCCGATCGGTATGTGGTGCAGTGATGATTGATCGGTGTACGTACACTAGGTTCTAGTTATCAGTTAGCGTTATTCCTTTGATGAGACGCTGAGAGGTGAATAGATGGCAGGATGGTAGGATGGCAGGATGATAGGATGCACTACAAGAATAAGAATAAGATATTTTTAGAAGCGGGCGGGGTTTCGGTGTGGAGTAATCACTAAGTACTCTGTATGGAGTAAGTAATCTATGTCATGCTCGGGAGATTTGGGCCCGATAAATTATATGTGTGATTGATGATGAGGTTTTTATAACTGATGAGATGATCAGATGGGTTATGTTAGGGGTTAGGTAAGGTAAGGCAAGGTAAGATAGAGCAAGGTAAGGTAAGTTATATCGTTTCCTT